CGGTGCGCAAACAGAATTGCAATCCAGACATGTTGTTCCTTGTGGAGGTAAGATATAACCTCATGAATATATAAATGAATGACCCCGCTATCTTCATTTTGCTAATGCGGAAGTATAGTTTGTTCGTTACCACCCGAGGTAGGTAGGAATTAGTTTATTTATTTGAGAGGATTTCATATAAGAAGTGAAGGATGAAGAAATGAGAAAAAGGGATACGTTTGTTAATAGACAGGAAGTAGTATTGTGAATATGGCGGTACGGTAAAGAAATGTCAGGAATGGCTCGAGAAGAAATATCCAGATATGTACGAGAGGTTATGGTCTGAAGGTATGTTTTCACTCTTCCACTTTCTCCTCCCGGAATTTCTTTATATTAATCATTTCCCTAGATGCCCTCGCAGCTGCAACATCCACACTAAGCGTCGACGCCCAAAAACGCGCCGCAAAAGACGCTACGAAAAAAGCCGCCAAAGCCGAAGCTCTCGAAGCCAAACAAAATGAAACTCTCGCCTCATCTAAAATTCGCATCAAGCGCGTCGAACGCAATAAACGTAAATACGTTACTGAAATCCAAGGTCTAGAAGCCTTTGGATTAGAATTAAAGAAAGTAGCAAAGGAATTTGGAAGTAAATTTGCGACGGGGAGTAGTGTGACGAAGGTGGCGAGTGGGGGACAGGAAATCACGGTTCAGGGGGATGTGAGTGAGGATGTGAGGGAGTTTTTGATTAAGACTTATAAGAATATTCCGAGGAAGAATATTGTGCTTGAGGAGCCGAAGAAAAAGAAGGCGGAGCCGGTGGAGGTTTAGATTTCGGTGGGGTTTGGAAGGGAATGGGGAGAAGAAGGGGATGGATTTGACGGGATGTGATTATTAGGATAGGTTTTTGAGAAATACCTACATGGTAATGAAATTCGATTTATGACGTCGAAAGAGTATTCCTGGCCTTCACATATGCATCATATGATATGAGATAATGAGACATATATCTAGTTAGAATCTGACAATAAAAATCTCAATTTTCACACCATATCAAGCATAAAGGCAGCGAATCATACATATACATACCAATAGGTATCAAAAAACACCAAAAGCCAAACTCAACTTTCCCGTCTAATTTCATCTATCCCATCCTATCACCCCTATCTCCCTACCTGTAGGTCCCCAATATTGTACCTCTTATCCCATCCCACCCCATCCCATCCCATCCCATCACACCTCTTTTCACGCTATAGCCTATCCTATCCTATTCCATTACATTATATTACATTACATTCTACATCCATCCATCCCAACACTTTCTCTTCCCTACAGCCTGCTATTTTAATAAGATTATATCTATACTATGCCATTTCATGTATATATTTATGATAAATTATATTGATATTATTCTATACCTGCCTACCTATTCATTCATCTATTCATTTATCCTCTATGTCAATCTACGCTCATCATTTCCTATTTCATCTTCTACCATCTCATTTTCTACATTCACATCTTATAAGTGTCATTACAGTATTAATATTTATTAAATTACCGTGTTGTGAGCTTCTCTTCATCTTTCTGTCTCGCTTACGCTCCTTTCGCATCAGCATTACATCTCGACGAATTGTAATCCTCATTAACCCTTCACAAAAGAATAGAAATCGCACAGAGGTCATCAAATCTACGCCAAACTATCCCATGCCAACCTACCCCTCTCCATCATCACACCCATCCATTCATATCTTCTACCCACTCCCCATCCTTTCTCCCTACCGATATTTTCCCATAACTCCAATCCTGAAATAAAGTCACAACCTTTCCTCCATATCATATCATCAATTTTCAAGCCAGACCATATTATCCCATTACTTCCTGCGGTAAAAAGTAAAAGTTTCCCCTTCATGTGAAACAAAAACCCCGTGACCAGTCAACTAAAAAGGATACGATGAAAAAAAAACACCCGCTGATATACGCCTTGCTTTACTCATGCTGAAATAAAGCTAGCCAAACTCTGGATGTTATGCCGCCGTTTATGATTAAATCCGAAACATGGATAAGAAAGTTGGCTCCAGAAAACAAGGAGAAAAAAAAAATCGTAACCTCATCTAGTACTTTTCGGTCATCGAAACTAGATTTGTTCCCTGTTCAAGTCAATAAACAGACAACCTTGGAATATAATTGAAACTTACTCAATGCTACGTTGAACGGACCTCCGAAGTTTTCGATTGTATATCTTCTTATCATCTGCCGATCCCCAGAAAAGTTTGGCTGCTTCTAGGTTCACCAATGTTCTTGGATCATATGGTGGTGATACCTCCTCTAGAGCTTCAATAATCGATTCAATATGGGATTTGGCATCATCAGGGCGTTTGGGAGTATAGCAGGGAGTTCCATCAACTGTGATCCGATTATGGAATAAAGATGTCTCGAACTTGACTCTTAGTTGCTCTTCTGGGAATCTTGGGCTAAAATGAAGCTTAACTCGAAATAACCCTCCATCTAGATTAGTCATGGGACGACCGAAATAAGTAACATTCCACACGAAAGGGTTCTTATTATCCAAGTCAATATCCAGTGTTACAGACTTGTCTCTCTCGTATGCTTCAACCACTTGCTCAAATTGTCGTTGAAGGTTTGCTGCTACACCACTTTCCTTCTGCTGTAATAGCAATCCTTCAATAGCCCAATGAGAAGTTTCGTTTTCCAATGCGGTACGAATGGAAACCATTCGCTTCTGAAGTTCGGTGTAGTTAAACTTTCCCTCCATGCTATTTCCACCACCCTCAAATGGCATCCGAGCAAAAGGTTGACCATCTGAAACCTCTTTTTTTGCATTTGCTATGGCCTGCATGTATGAATCGTAATACCACAAGAACCTACGTTTGCATAAATCTTTGAAAGGTTCAAACGCAATTGAATTCTCATCAAGTATATCTCGATCCAGGTCGCTGTCGCTATCGTTATCATCGCTTGGTGGTGTGCATGGTAAAACTGTTCCTGGCCCAGAGATACTTAGGTACTCTTCAAGACGTTGAATAACCGAAATTCGTAATGTCTCATGTCGAATCTGCAGTCTATTCAGTACCAATATACATAATCTTGACACTCCAAGCATACCTTTGCACAATAATCCTTCTGATTTTTCCTATCATTTTCATCATTGGCGGTTTCAAAACCTGGCTCGTTCTCGTAGGGATTGCTCGACATTAAACTTTGTATTGAGATTAAAATGGATTCAAGTCCTTGTGCTGATGACCACTCTTCTCCTCTTTCACCGCGCCATGTACTTTGATATTGTTTAGTTTTAAAATTTTAATGCGATTGTCTGGAAAATTGGTAGTTACCCTAAAATTGACCTGAAAATAAGTTAGCTACTGTTGAAAGCAGTATGGTGTAGAAAATAGTCTTACAAACAGACTTTGCCTTGAGCATAGATATTTGGATTGAAACGACATCTTCCTCCATTTGTGGTAGCCGCAAGAACAGTAGGAGCTCTCGTAGGATATTCTGTGAGGACATTTCAGCTTCTAGTTAACGTACAATCATTGCGCATAATCGTACCTTTACCAAATCTAACGTCAAACTAGGAAAAAATTAGCATTTGCAAATTGAAGAAAAGCCACCATGAATTGGATAACTAGATAGATAGACAAACATCAAAGAACCCAAACTCATAAGGTGTATCTGGTGGACCGATGATAATTGCTTTAACAGCTCGAACATCGATATCTCGACAAGCAACTGCCAAAGCTGAAAGTTAAGTGATTAGTATGAATTCAAGATAGGAATAAATAGTAAGCTTTAGGACTGATCATATGAACTTACAAAAATCTGGACCCTTCTGAATATCTGCCAACTCCTATAAAGTAAAAATGTCAGCCTTGCGCTCTTCACCACATCACCAGGAACATCGTCATTTAGTTTCACATGATATATTTACCTTCGCAATGCGAATAACGGAGTGATTTGACATGATTTCCAAAGTCTATGCGACCAACGACTCTTTTCGAGATGATATCTTGTCCTTTTCCAATTCTATTCTTTTGAAAAAATTGAAAGTGTTTGTGAGATTGAATGTGAAGTTGTTAAGAGGGAGGAGTATGGAGTAATTTGGGTGGGGCTTTTGTTTGGTAAAGTTGCGAGATCCTAGAAGATCATCAAGCAAAAGAGATCCGAATAAGCGGTAAAGTACGGCAAAATTCTGTTTGTGCTCTAGTCATCAGTACAGTTATGGGGAAAAGAGTGGGACAGGTTTTCATGGGGCTCAGGGATGATTTTTTATCTTTTTATCAGATATGGGTGTAGTTGAAGGGGCGCAATTATAATGAAGAGGACTTTTAAAGCTTCTTATCGAAGACATTCAAAAGATACCACCATTTCACAACATTCATGAAATATCATTATATTATATATATCCAAGCAATCCCACCTCATTCAGAACATTGATTATTACCTAGTCAACGATGAGTCAACTTATATATCTATCTAATAGAATGATTTCCTTCTAGTCTTATGAATGAGAACTATATGTATCATCAGCTGTCGGGAGAGTTACCATATGATTATTTACCATTTGATGTGATATGATATCACATGGTATGTTGACTGATTGTCTAAATAGCAATCATTAATACCTACCTTACCTTCATTTATTACTTATACATAAAATTGAGAGACGTGTAGAGGTGTAGAGGGTATGCTGCAGTATTGGTACTCAGGACTTTGTCCTTGTTATTTTTCACAGATGAGATCTCAATAACAGAAGCTCAATTTCACCGAGTATAGTCAAGCATATAGAATGAGATATAAAGTCACATAGTCATAATGTATAGATATGAAAATCAAGACTTTACTTGAAGAAAAAGTCGAATTCAATGCTATGTTGCTATGTTCATGATCATAATATCATCCTCACGCTTTGGGTATCTTCAAGCAAACTCTCCAAAGTCTCTCAGACTCTTCCTATCATACAAGTTATTTAAGACTATCCAGTCTTGCACAAGAATATATACAAATCCTCGAGAGAGACCTGCGCTCAACCACAGGCTTAGGGTCGTATACCTAACATATCTTGATATCTGTATGCTCCAGTCTCGCAAATCTTCCTTCGCTCAACAACATCCACCACCACCAGTGGCCTGTTGAGGAGCCAACTTAACATTTGTTCTAGAGCCTCCATAACCAGGACCTTTAACCCCAGATCTCCTATCATTCAAATCATACTTCCCTGCTTCAATGTTCATATATATCCTTTCTGCCACTCTTGAAAATGCATTCTCAACACCTTCACCACTCTTCGCACTTGTTTCGACATATTCCAATACTCCGTTTCGTTTAGCCCAGGCTTCTGCCTCCTCCACAGAAACTTCTCGTTTATTCTCCTCGTTCGTCGCCAAATCACTCTTGTTTCCTACCAACACGACAACTATATCCGGCTCTGCAATTTGTCGCAAATCATGTAACCAGTCGGTAACATGTTCAAATGTCGGTCGCCTTGAGATATCAAATACAAGCAATGCGCCTGAAGCACCACGAAAATAACTCCTCGTTACACTCTTATAAGTTTCCTGACCTGCTGTATCCCATAAACTGAGTTTCATATGTTTCTGTGGAACGTCCGATGCCGCAGCTGAAGCTTTAGCAACTGGCGCTTCTTCTAGGATACTCGATTTTGCTTTGAAACCTTCTGAATTCGGTGGACCAACTGGGATGATTCTCGAACCAAATTCGACTCCAATAGTAACATCATGATGTGGAGAAAAACGACCTTCGCAAAGTCGAATTGTGAGTGATGATTTTCCAGTTCCGCTATCGCCGATACAGACGAGCTTCGCAATATAATCCCATGATAATCCAGACATTGCTCTGCAGCTTTAAGAAATCCGCCAATTATTTGTTGACCTTGTAGGAAGAGGGGTCTGGAACAAGAAGTTGTATTTATTGTAAGCCAGAAGCTGTTTGAAACTTAATTATTCTGCGATTTGCGATCCCATCAAAGAATGATAGCAAAAATAGTAACCTTGCAGTTGCAAAAGTTAGAAGAAGTAATATTGATGGTGTTAATGGATTGTGAAAGATGATGAATCTAATGGATCTGAAATATAAGTAGATGACGAAGAGTCAGTCTTGGTAAATATTCGGGCACCTAGTACATAGTAGGTACCTACCGTTGTAGCTTATTATTAGTGTAGTTACTGTAGTAGTACTAGGTAGGTAGGGAGCACAATCTCGTGGGTAAATGTTCAAGGTTCCTGAATCCGATGAGATGACCCGCCAAAAAGGTGGCTTCGGAAAATGAAAGCAGAGTCTTTAGCACCATCTATGCGGAGTAGGCACCTTGGTATTTTGTGCTTGGGCTTGCTTGGAGGCGGTGAACAAAGAAAGGAAGGCTTACCGGTTATCGATGTTTTTGGTCCCTGTTGCTTTCACGACTGCGTATGGATGGTTTTTAGGTATCCATCCATTATCATCATTATTCACAAGCAAATAATGTATTTACGGTATAGGTAGTATTATTTGAATAATCACTCCCGTCTACTCGATTCTCTTTCAAGTCATTCCTCCTATTATACCTCAATTACGATTAGGAAGGACCCTTCATCACTTACATTAGTCACTGTCTTCTCGGAACAACTCGATATCTTGAGGACGAGCTCATCATCTTACAGGTGTCTATCTGTCTGCCTTGTGATTCCTTCGAATCACGACTCCCCGGCACTCCGCCATAATCTAACTCGTCCCCAGATCAAGCAAATGACTGATATCTCACAATATCAACTCCACGCCTTATACATGAAGCTTTAATCAGTCTTGCTTATACGGTCAAATTCGGTACATGTTCACTCATAATACTTGGACAATCACAAGCTTTATATCATTCACTGATCACGAACGATCCCAACTTACAACTGATCTACTGCACCTGGAACTTGCGAGTACCGACTTCAACCTCGCCCGAAAAAGACCCACAAGGTTGGGCAGAACCAAAAGATAGGGTCCTTATCAACAACTCAACTTATCAACTTCATCGCGGACAAAACATATCAATATACAAATTCATAACAGCCGAAGATGTTCTCAGAATGTAAGTAAATATTGTTGACTATTATTTACATTCATTGTTTTAACCATGATATTATCCAGATGCTTCGCGCTTCTTGGCTCAGTCACAGTCCCGATTCTCCAATTTCGTCCAACAGGATAACGAAACTCCGCCTCGAATTCCGAACGAACGATATCAACGATCGCAACCTTTACGGAACTCAAGACATCATCGAGCACTTGGTAACCCTTATCAGTCTTCACATCTCCCAAGTTTTGGATTCACCTCTCGATATTCCCAAGCTCCTCCTGATGCACCGCTATTTCACAGCGCTTTGAACGAGTTTCAAGAAGAAGATGAGGAGGAGGAGCGAGAGAGGGAGACTGCAGATTTCTTTGCGCTACAACGATCACGGAGGGTATTCGCGCCTACGAGAGAACTAGAGGAAAGTGAGGAAACCGAGCGCGATGGGAGTGATGTAGCTTTGGAGGATAGTAAAGATGAAGATAGGAGAGTAGGCGACGATCGGAAACGTCCTCGTGGTATTAAAAGCAGTTGGACAGGTGGAGTAAGAAGTACAAGAGAGCGAGGCCGAACACCAGAAACAGTTGGAGAAGAACGTGATGATGAAAGTAGGCGGCCAAGCAGTCGAGGAAGCAGTGATAAAGGGAAGGGAAGAATGGTGGATGTTGGATTAGAATCTACGATTGCCGACAGTGAACCTCCGAGTGAACTGGCATATGATATGGGTGATGATAACCCACCAGCCTTTCAAAAATTTAAATCTGGACCGAAATCAGGACCGATCCGACTTGCTGGAGATTCTACAAGAGGTATTGAGAGGGATATTGAATCAAGTCAACAACCTGGTCCTCGATTCCCTATACCACCGAGCGAAGTGGAAACTGTTCCAGCAACAGTTCCTATCACTTTAAATGAAGGTCCAAAGCATGACATGTTTTGGGGGTCTCTGTTTATGATATGTTTGGGCGCACTTTTCGCAACCTTTTTCCTGATATTCCTTCATACATCAACGCCGGACGGAGTGCTCGGTGATACTGTCTACACAACCCTTCGTTCTTCATTCCATTTGTTTGCTGTCGATACCCTAGCATCCATTATCGTATCTTTTGTATGGCTTGCATTATTACGATCCTTTGTTCGTCCATTGGTATTTTTGATTGTTCTCGCAGTACCAGTCATATTGTTCTCATTCTCGCTGTACCCTTTGGTGTCTAGTATGAAAGGTTCTACAGATCGAATGGGTGTACAAGATAGAGCTATGCGATGGATGTCATTTATACCCGGGGCTCTTTCTCTACTTTGGCTGTATACCATTTACAAGGGCCGTCAATCCCTAACTAAGTCTATTAGTATTCTAGAATTCGCATCAAGGATTCTTGCAGCAAATCCAGGTCTTCTCGCATTAGGATTCGCTACTTTAGGAGCAGTTGTTTTATGGACCTGGATATGGTTAGGAATGTTTACAAGAGTATTTTTGGGTGGACATCTCTCAAGATCAGGGCTCAGCTTCATCATTGATATGACGACCTGGTGGCTTGGTGTATATTTCGTGATGATGTACATTTGGACTCTATCAGTGATTGGAGGAGTTCAGCGAACTACAACCGCTGCAACCGTCTCTCAATGGTATTATCATCGCAATGTTCAGCCAGGGCCCACATCTAGAGAGATCGTTGGAGCAGCTTTTTATCACTCGACTAATACGATATTTGGTACCATATGTCTATCAACACTATTAGCTCTTCTAATCAGACTTCCTCTTATCACATTCCCACGAAGATTAGTAACAGCTATTTCGATAATTGCTTACTCCTTTGTACCAACACCGGTTACAGCTTTACTTAATCCTCTCACACTCACCTATGCTGCCATCCACTCTCAACCTCTTCAAACTTCAGCACGAGGTTTGAGTCAAATGACATTTCTCACACCTCAAGCACCTACAACCACTTTGACCCCACGATCATTTTCCTCTCGAAGCCCTGCCGCCACTCCCTTACTTCCATACCGGTTAGCCAAACTCCTCCTTCATGCGACTCGCGTAATTATGTCCATGGCTCTCGGTTTCGGAGGTTGGGTCGCAACAGCTCGTCAACTATCAATCAATATGCCTGAAGGCCCTGGTATCAAAGGTAGCGCATATGCTTATGTAGTTGGACTCGTAGCTGGTTTTATCGGTTGGGGTGTTCTTGGATCTATGGAAGGTGTTTTAAGTGGGATTGTGGATGCAACAGTGGTTTGTTGGGGAAGTGAAAAGGGTATGGCTGGTGGAGGGGCTTATTGTCTTGAAGCTGGTTATTTGTTTGGTGATGGTAGGGAGTAGGTGGTAGTATGAAATGAGGGAGAGGGAATTTTATTGAATTGATTTGGTTTTGCGAACGCATGGAGTTTGGTGCATAGTGCATGATGATTAACATTGATTGGGATGCATGATTATGTGGGTCATGATATGTTTAAATGCATGGTATGGCATAGCATGACATAGCATAGCATAGTATAGCATTGTTTAGCAAGGTGGAATCGATTAATAAAGATCATTTGAATATTCTTATACTCAACATGACATAGACTTGAGTAATCTTCATATTGTAGCGCATTGAATATTACGTTGTTGTCCTGTCCTGTCCTGTCCTGTCCATGGAAGTAGTGGAGTAGTGGAGTATAATAATAAGTTTGTTTAACTTTACCTTTACCTTTAACTTCCAGTGAAGAAGATCTTGTGGGAATTAATTGGATTTATTACCTACCAACCTACCTAGGTAACTTAAGGATAATTATTCATATGATAGAATTACCATAATTTTTCTTCAAGTTTTTCTAAGTCTTTTTTATTTTTTTGCTAGGTTAGGTTGGATGGATAGGTGAATGGGCTGTGTGGGAGGGGGTGTGGGATAGGATTCATTCTTTAGATTCTGAATGAGCATGAGCATGAGCATAAGCATAACTTTTGCTTTGCTCAATTTTCTGGATGAATTGTACCGGATTTAATAGTTTGATAGTATAATGAAGTGAGAAATAGAGACTCGGGGTTAAATGATTTGTGAGGGATAGAATCGATATCCTGTAAATAGTTTTATGATACTCGAGTCTCGAGTCTCTGAATATTATCTATCGATGTGAGATCTTATCATGGAGTATTATGGCTATGGAGGCAGAAGTTAATGTTGTGACTTTGATTATGACTTTGATTTTGATTTACTTTGATTTTATATATCCCTTATACTCCTTCCTATTTACCTACTTACCTACTATACTCCAAATAATATTATTATCATCTAGATGAATTCACTAGGTTAGAAATATAATATTTATTTATTTTAGCTAGCTAGCTGTTACGAGGTTTGCCGTCTAGATCATGTGGAAGTGCTCTAGGCTCTCGAGGTAGTTTATAACTAGGTGTCAAACAAGGACTTAAAGTAATAACAATAATGATATGCAATTCGTAACTAATAGTAGAGTATACTAAATGATTGATCTTGAGCACGAAGCTCTATAAAAAGGAAATCCATCTTGATTATATAGACCTTCATGCCTATGGTTAGTCAGGACCACTGCGCGGTCCTGGACAGCCAGCGTTCCTCAGCGGTACATAACGTGACTTAATCACGTTACTTGGTTTAGTCATGTGACGCGGCGTAGAAGATAGCCGTCGTAACACTAGCTGATTCCCCCACCCCTAGAAATATTTACTTTGTTTAATATTATAATTACAATTATATAATTAATAATCTCAGTCGTGGTGCTTGCCCCCCCGAGTTTAGCGGCCGCCGCATTAGGCAACGTGCGTGCACGAGCCAGACGCCGCTTTCAACATCTATAAGAATCGCACTCCCCTCTCTTCGATCTTCTATCTCTTTAGTTCTCCTCCAACACCTCCTTGTTCGGTCATTCAGACTTGACTTGCGTTGTAAGTCCCTTCCTATACCGCCCCACTTCGAATCTCCACTTACATCGGTCTTGCCGCAGCTGAAAAACGTCGATGGCATTACCCATCAAACTACAAACCTCGATTTACTACCTTGAACTCGATGCCCTTTGGCTGTTATGATGACGATCAATCAATTGACTCGCATTCTACTGGCTGAGTTACGAAAGAGACAGTAGTTCGACTTTCCATTCTCACCAACGCATTGTTGCGATCACCACAACAATCACTTCAGTAAACCCAACTGCAGTACTCTTACCCTAAAGCCTGGTTGCTTTCACTGCAATTTGGCCAATCAAAGAAATGCCTCATTATAGCATGGGGTGCTCCTGCTGTCTCACTGCGCCATGGATAGCTTATGTGCTGAGGGAAGGATCATGGTAAGTTTCTGCATGGCGAAATGATGATGTGTGTAGTCTGTCTTGGACTAGGGCTGATTTGTAATGAGAGTAGCCCATATTTACCATACACTGCAATCTCCTGAGTATCGACGACGAAACGCTGGCGGTTCGAGGCCTGGGTCGCTCCATGGGTATCTACAAGGGGATAGGTCGTATGACCTCGGAACAAGCTCTATTTGGGGCTGTGGTCATGTCAGAAGGATGGACCTCATATTGAGCTAGGAAAGATCATCAGCTCAATATCCTGCTACTGACAGGATATTGTATTGGCGCCAGAGTGGATACACGATCATCTGGAGCTGCACAGTCTCGTTTCTACAAAGGGAAGGTTCTATTTACATACTGGATAGATCAGAAGGGGACATTGGAAATATGCACTCTGTCACCGACGATCGCGAAATAACGCCGAGATTGCTCAATTGTGAACATGCGGAATGGGAATCTACAAGATGGGCGCATTCTACACTGAGAATGCAAGGTTAATGACCTTAGCCCGGCGACTTTAGGGATGCGTCTTGCGCGAAGGGGTCTGTGTCGGGACCGAGGTGTTTGTATGTTGAGAGTGCGTGGAAGCTTGTAGAGAGCAGCTTTCCTAGCTATCAGAATCAAGCTACCATTGCGAATTCGAAAAATATTGATTTCTCGGAATGGCAATCAACCAAGAAATTTTAATGGCACGAGCCAAAGTACACGCCGAGGCCCACGACGAAGTCCAATTTACCTTCTTACCCATTGCATCCTCCCTCGACCATAGTCCCGATAGCACTGGTGACAAGGGGGCTTGTCTCGGTCTTTCCTGGCCTCTCATCATACATTGCCCAATCGCAAAAATGCCTCACAATAGTGATGTACCTGCTTGGTTGCTCAGCCGTGTTGCGAATTGCTTCAGCGTAAAGCAAAAGAATTCGGGTAAGCTTTCCGCATTACAAGACGAGTGATATGCAGTGTATGCCTTGACTTAGGCTGATTTATGATGAAATAGACTGATCGCTATCATAGACCCTGCAATCTATTGTGGACTTCAAACGGACAGCCAGACGCTGCAAGCACTTGAACTGTATATTGGTGATTACGTGAGGCGTGGTAGGAAATGGAAGTAGATTAGGGGCGCGATATACTTGATCCTTCTGCCGGAATATGGTTCGTTTGGAGCTATAGTCATTTCTGCAATGGGGCTATCCGTTGGTTATGACCCGCACGCTAGAGAGCTAAGAGTCGCTGGCTGGATGAGCGAGTGTATGAGATAAGGAGCGCTCGCGGGAAGTTGTAGAGAGTATGTTCTAGTGGGTACCCTGCTTGCAGGAGAAACACATTTAAACTCTCTGTTTCCCTCATTCCTGCTTCCTTTTTCTTTATTTCTCATCAGAGCAGTTCGATTTACTTGTATTATCTAGAGAGAGCAGAGAGCTTCCAAAATATTATCAATCACTTTTATATTCTCAAAATGACTTCTTTTGAACCCATTTATTATACCTATGTACCCACTGCTGCGCGTTCCAGGAGGGCAACCACTCAGAAGCATAGCTTTCCCGTCGAGGAGCAGCATATTGTGCCAGATCGAAGATTACTTGACGATACTCAGAGATCAAATGATGGTAATGTTTCAGGCTCAGAACTTCAAGGTATACATGCCTAAAATAAGATCCTAAGATATTCTTTCTCCCTACTAATAATGGTTAATGTTTTTCTATACAGAGAATAATGATACAGAAAACGTTGTCGATAATGACTACAATATCGATCTCCCTACATCATATAGCATATCACAAGTGAATACAGGAGAGGATTCAAGCTTGGAAAACAAAATTTGGGAGGATAGGATAGCTTCGCCAAGAACATATGATGACGATTCTTCATCAATTGAGATAGTCCTTGATCCTCGTTTATACCAGGAAACCTTGATAGAAGGATTACAAAAGGGTTATGACACTCAAGGTATGGATACTCTTGATTACGATAATAAAGCAATCTTCTGACTATATATAGATACTCTAATGCTAGAAGACAATAAATCAAATTCAGATGAGCAAGAGAATTTCTCAACGGGTGGCTCCCATTCTCCTTCTGTGGACTACTCAATCGAGCCATTGGATCCTTTGACTATTCGCGATCAAGATCAGAGCGATTCCAGCTACAGTGACCCTGAAGAGCTTGAGCATGGATCTTCACCATACTTCCTTCAACAGCACGGGAACATAGCTATAGAGTCGATAAAGGAGGGGGAAAATAATGAGCAACAGGGATGCAGAAAGCGGCGACATCTATCCGAAACTGAGAGTGACGACAATACACGACCTGCAAAACAGCGAAGAACTCGGTCACTTCCTATCGACAACGAGCAAACCTCATCCCGACATAATGGTGCAGAAGGTCATCCTTGGCCACGTCCTATCATCGGTCCATCCTCCATTGCTCCATCTACTATGATCGACTCCTCCACATTGAACTTTGGTGGGCATTCACCAGCGACCAGCGATGGCAATCACTACTATTCACCACCATCCGCACAAAGTCCCTCTCTTGCAGAGCCAGCACCAACCGCCGAATATCAGGAATGGCCCTTCCAAGGATTTCTTAAGCGTACTAAGATCAGAAATGATACAATCTACAATCTCGAGTTTCGGTTACAAGATGTTCCAGAGCATCTTCATCTCCCTATTCTTTCCGAAGCATTTGGCATTGTCGAGGTTGCGCAGACCCCGCCCCCTCATAGCATTCTACATTCCAGAGTACAGCCAGCAAGATTGCGGGCTAAGGGGAAGCGCGTTCGTTGGGAACCAAAAGAACACGAGACGATACTCAGGATGAAGGAGAGCGGATGCTCCTGGGAGGAGATCCATTATGCCCTTCCGCATAGAACTCTAGCCGCAATACAGGTGCAGTATTCTACGAAACTCAAAAAATAAACGTAACATTTCATGTTATGTTTCTTCAATCGGTTTATGTTTCGGCTGTGGGGAGATCTTTGAATTACATAACGTGAATTAGTCCGATGTCAACTCCTACTAAAGTCTGTTCTTCCCATTCTTTCATCTCTTCTGTTGCAATCTTGGTTGCTCAGCCACCCAGGCTTGCCTTGTTTTCCAACCAGGCAATAAAGAAAGCATTCAAAACCTCTTCCATACCAGTTGGAAACAATTTCATTCTTCTCTTCGTTGATTTGAATAGGCCAAGTCCCAAAGCCTAAACATTATGTTAGATAAGTGATAAATCAGGATTTCCCACTATACCTTCTTCTTTCTGCCTTCGCCTCCGCCCTTTCTTTCAATCTCTTCTCTTCCCATTCCCTTGCCTCATCTTCACATTGACGATTTCGTTGGAGATCATGCAGTAAGCCTCCCGCATTCCCTTTATTAGTACTCTGGTCCCATGCAGTCTCATCAATCTCAGCTTGTTCTAAATCGATAAGCATCACTCGATCTCCAACATCAATAGCATTATCGAGTTTAGTATCTCCATGAATCACTCCATACCAAGTTAATGCCTTGTAGACTTCTTCTAGCTTTCTCTTAAATTCTCCATCCTCTCCATGTTTCATCGTAATATCATACAATCTTCGTCCAATAATTTCCGATAGGACCAAAGCAGGCGACCCATCATATATTGCCTCTCCATAGAAATAAGGTATGAATCTTCCTTGAAGGGGTTGGAGACGGCGATACATAAGCTTTTCATTCTCAAACTCTTCGTCCCAATCAGGCTTGCGTTTTTTGAGGATAACTGTGGATGGCAAGAACCATTCGGGATAAAAATTCTTGAGACATGGAAAAAAGTCAAAAAACTTCCGGAATAAAAATCGAATGAATAGAATTGGAATATAATCGGGAATGGATGGCTTTTCGATCTTCAACCGGTAAACTGTTCGCAGTGGATCAATCCGTTCGGCGATAGTTGCAACAATCAATCTGTGACCCATACGAAATTCCTAAAAAGATTAGATTTATTTTGATCAGATTACAAAAGTAAATCATCATACCAAAGGACCATGAGTTTCGCTAGGATCTCGTTCGTGAATAAACTGATCTGAATAACATGCTAATGGTGGTGATGGTGGTGGATCACGAGTATGAGGGCAGGAAGAAAGTCTATCCATTGCGAAGAATTGAGTAGAACGGTTGCATAATCTCTACACTGTATAGAATAGGAATGGATGTTATTTAAGAACAGATCCCTCTTTCTCCTTGGCTTTTTTTTCTCGCTCGTATGCGTGTTCCCGGCCACTGTTTGTTTGTATTACATAACCACATACTACCAAATTACTTCTGAAATCATGTGAAAGACTTTGCATTAAACCTCAAACAGTACTTTGACGGATATATAGCTAAGTTGCATCATGGCCATGACTGAAGAGAGTCCCATATAATAACTCCATTAGCATCTTTTACATCCTGTTCATTTGCATCGACCCAATGCCATGCCACTCCATCAAATCTTCGTTGATAACCATTCGGATGAATCATTTCCTTAATACGGCCTTGCTCCCAATATGGTCGGCCAGACCAAAAGCGAAATTTTCGATCCCACCCGTCAAGTGAAACAGGGATTTCTACCGACCACTCCCCTGTCATGCGTATCCACCCCCGCCATACTAGTCGGTACAGTGCATATCGGGCTGCACATTGCTGCGCATCCTCCGGTGCTCGTGCCAAGATGCAACAATCAACAGGACAATCCGCTGATTTGATCTGGTTGGCATCTTTGGCCTTGAATTGAACAATCAAGAGATGTATTCCATCATACACAAACACCTGTGGGCACTTGTATTCCGATGCATACCTTTGCACATTAGTAATTCATTTTCTTCATCAAAAAAGGTAAGTCTTACGCTCTGATTTCTTTTCCCAGTCGGGTTGTTATATCTTTCTTCTCTTTCACTCCATACCATTCATCGACAATAACAACACCCCATTGCTTCATCTCTCCTATCACCTGACATCTTTCATTTCCGCCCCTTCCTCCTACTTGCCATGAATAAAGATGATCCACAGTTTTGTTTGAATTTGTGGGTCCTGGAGGGCCTGACAATGATCTCTGCAGAAAGTGGCCTTCCTTCTGCCAAGCAAGAGAAACCGGAAGAGCAAAGTTTTGGTAAAAATCACGCTCCACATCGCCTTCTGTTTGAATATCTACACGATCAAGATAATTCAAACGATAAGCTGATTTGTCAAGGCGATCGATATCACTGCCATCGGTACTATATATGCTGTCTGCCTGATATTGGTCCAAGGCCAAAAAGCCATTAACTCCATTCAAAGTTGCCAAATGAACCGTTGGATTAGAGATTGGATGATAAGCGTCAGTCCATGCTTTCTTACTCAAAGAAGGAGCAGATGCAAGCCTAGAATATAAAGCACGAGGAGGATTTTCTAAAAGAAGATCTGATACTCTTACTTCGCCAGACATCGTAGGCGAGAATAAGGCTATGTGAATAAAGTTGATAAGAGGGAGTCAAATCTGGTGAATGATGATGAGATGAACTGAATGTTGATTTTCTGAATAGATCTATAGATAGTTGGATAGATCAACTAGTTTTATACTCTTGTTTGATGTCGCTTCTATACCTTTGCATTATGAACAGAATGAACAATACCGAAACCATTACCACTTCATATATCTCGAATAAACTGTATCCTAACATCGTACTACATGATACCGTTCTATTTCATCCGTATTATTCCTTACCACTTCTTCTCACCCCTCACATCAAGATATGGTCTAGTCTGCCTGCAAGCAAGTCATAATTTACCCTCGCCCCGGCAAGGCCAACTAGGGATATCAAGCATAATTGATATGACCTCCATTCTATCGCTCAAAGTTTCCACGTTATCACGTAATAAGATGTGGTAGCATTACAAAAATAGAAATTTCAGAGTGCATGCCCAATATGAGATCTTGACGCTGATTTGTGTTTCTTAGCCAAATATAACCTGTTTACCCCACTTCATTGCAACTTTCTAGCCTTATTTGGGAATCTCGTTTTCACTTGTGAAAACGAGATTCTCCTTTACTTGGTGTTAAGTATGGCGCAAGAGTTGCGCTTCTTATATGATTGGGGCAACCACCGCCATATTCTCCCTTATAGTGACGCCAATGTTGATCGACTTGAGCAGTGGCAGATGCCGTAGCTGAGTTTCCAAGTAAGTTTGATCTTCAATTCGACGAAGAGCAACGTACACATCTCCTTTTCGACGCCGGAGAGATGCAGATTGGATGCTACTACAATAGTAGCAGCTTTGGCTTGAATATTAGCCATCTTGAAGGGTTGTTGATTGATGGAGGTTGATTTATTGAAGGTTGTAAAGTGGTGACTCTGTGAATGGAATCAAGTAGGGAAGTCATCTTGTGACTACAAATGCCCTGCGAATTATAGTAGGTGGGGTAAATCGCCTGACGTGAGATTGGGTTAAAAGATGATGATTTCTAAGTGGTCGAAGTTCAGTCGTCGCTCTTTCTGCAGGCTGCAACAAATGAATCGGAATCCTATTATACAAAAATGTTTCTCAGAGTGTGTGCCCAACATAAGATTGGGTTAAGTCCAGATCAAAATAATAATAGTGTCCTGAGACAACCTAGCTACACTGTCGGTCCTTTTGGTCACTTTCGGGCTGCTAAGCAAATCGCATGAGCATAACGCCAAACCCCACCAAGTCTTTCTTTACCTTTGTTCACATCTTGACAATATTGTATTTTTTCCCTGTATATCTAATATTCATCCCGACCTCAAACCTTCAACCTTTCGCATCAACTTCATTTCGATCAGAAATCCTTGAAAATTAGTATGCATTCATTTATGATATCTATCTGCCAGCATTACTAACTGCATAGCAGTCAAATCGAACAATCTCATTTCGAGCCAGCCTTCAAGCGTCAAGAAAGGCGCCAAAATTCGACCGCAATCTTCCTCATCTACCTACATTTCAGGAAAAGTGCATAGGGTGGTATGTATTCATTGTTATATTTCTATCACTATCGCTGACCTATATATAGTTTCTTCACAAAACGCGACCTTTCCATTTATTCACAACATCCTCTCCTCATCTACAACATCCTCTTCTCATCTCCAACATCCTCCTCTCGTTCGCAACAATTTTCTATCCACAAGATAATTATATTTGCGATATCATCAAGCTATTATACACACTACATACTTTGTATTAAGGGTTTCGACAGGTATTTATCAATACAATGTCTGTACTTCAAAAAAAGAATTTTCAGATGTGGATTATCAAACCAGACAACAGTCGTGATAGAACGATTGAGTTCAAGGGCGAATCGATCTTGATTTTTAATCGGGATACAAATGACACAGCGGAGGATCATCTTAATGTCAATACTCCAACGGAATACACAATTAAGGTGGGCTATGAGTGTGAAATGCATGGTGGTACCAAAGAACATTTTTTTAAGCTATCTGATAAAGCAACCTGAGAAAATGATTAAAAGCCTGTTTCAATCTTCTTCAATCCAAATACACTTATTAATTCCCATCCTGAATCCCGATCAACCATAATAGAAAATGTGAAGTCATCGTTTGTACCATCAGACGTAAATGCAGAAACGCAAGCACAACGAGGTCCAGGCGCCGATTTGTAAGAGCCCGTACGAATCGTAGCTTGCTGAAGGTCTCCTAAAAGATGTAGGCTTGCCTTTGGCATATTCGAATATTGCTCAACTTGACCTTGAGGAGATTGAACTTGTGGTAGACATTGCAAATCAAGCATTCGAATTATTTCGTATCCAGCCCCGCGATCAACAGTGATAGAGAATGTAACATCTTGGTTCCATCCTCGTGGGAACATTACCACAATACATTGTTGATGATTCCCTAGACCTGATTGAAACCTAGCCATCACAGGACTGCGAAATGGTTCCTGAAGATTGCTATTTATTTTCTCCTCCTTTGGATCACTATACACAAACTCGATTTCTAGATTTATCCTCATCAGCATTAACTCTAAAACCATGTACACATTCATACTTACTCCTTTGTTCATTCGTAGTTTGAATGCGACCGTCAATGGTATGTTCCTCTATAGCATGAATGGGCTGGCGAGCACCTTCCGTCTGAGGTACCGCACTAATATCTGGATCCCCCAAAGGCGAGTTCCCAATCGCTCCTCCTTGGCCATGTGTAACTCCATTTTTCGACTGAGAGAAAGATAAATCAACGTATCTTTGTTTTCCATGTAAGTCGTGCGTTTGTGACGCAAAACCATTAGATTCCCCTCTATTGTTCCATATCTCTGACTGACCATCTGCAGTGGTAGCCTCAGTTGTATTCAACAGTGCATCTATGGAGATGGAATTGTAGTTGGAAGTGGCCGGATCATCAACTCCAAACTGATCTGGAAACTCTGCAGTGTGATCTGGGGCAGCTGGCTCGGTTTCTGTACGATCTCCACTATCGTCCAAGGAATTCCTTGTATTGTGGTTCCTGTTCCTCTTATTGTTTCGGTTTAGCTGATAATTTAATTTCCGTTTTGATGACTTCTGGCCTGCAATTTCTTGGCTGACCCAAACACGTGCAGATTTTGGCAGAACTAAAATATTAGTCAATATTTTAATATGCTCTCTGCTACTCACTATCTTCAAAATGGTTGAGGATTTTATTAGCAACCTCCTCATATTTTTCTCCCAAGTCGATGATACCTTTGTCCTTCAAATAACTCATCGCCTGCTCAAATAACGGGCCTTTTTTTGGTAACCATCTCTCCCATCTGTACAAAGATCAGAATTCCGTTCTGATTTGGATAGGTTTACTCACACACTAATTGAAACAGTATCTCCAAGAAGAAATAAACTGCCAAGGCCCAACTTCTTTGCAATATTTTCATATCTTGGACCTGCTTGTATCAAGATTTCAATCGTTGTAATAAGAGATTGCATATCATCGTCAGCTTCTTCTAAAGATCTATTAGAATGATAAATTGGAAAAATCGCGTGTGCAATAGTTTTCGCATCATCACTTTGCTGACGAATTTTTCGGCATCGATAAAGTGCGACACAGTAAAATCTACGTAATATTCGGGAATGGGTGTCGAATTGTTGAAGCTGTAGACAACTAAGGATGATTGCAGATTGGGGGTCGACCGTATCGCACGTCATCTGCGGTTGCTGACATGTAAAGAATGACTCTGGTTGCTTGTCCCAAATGTCGAAGTTACGATGGAGAAGCGTCCGTACATGATAATCAGCAGGATCGTACTTGTAAATCTTTGCTATACGGCTCTCGGCCTCCAAACGCTTAGGCACTGTACTTGGTAACGCGGCCGACTTTCTTTGTAGTGTAAATGGGAGATGCGGCATCAAGTGTTCGTTGTTAGATACAAAGTCATACAATTGCGTCAAAAAAACTTCCAAGCGTCCAGCTAACTTTCCTGATTATCAGTAACAATATACCTTCATTAGATTCATCTTTTTCATACCTCTTGGTTGTCAGAGGGTTGTGTAAATCCATGTTGAATCTCTGAGCATAAACACATTTTGGTGATGATTAAAAAATGAATAACAAGAAAGTAGAAGTAGGAGAAGACTAGAAGTGGATAATTGTGAGCTGCTGACGTACACGCGCTTTGCCATATTTGGGCATCTCACTTTTCCCTGGGAAAATTGAGATGTCCAAATACGGTATAACTTTGGTAAGACGCTTTGACGTATCTGAGGAAAACGAGGGTGCCGCAAACAAGCTTGACCTATGTTCGATGTCAGTAATATTGTCGGTACGATTAGATGCCGGTATTAAACTACTTAAAAAACCCTGTTTGAAGATAAAGGCAGTGAAGAAAGATGCTGGAGTTCTAATGAGGTTAACTCCTTATAATACAATTATTCCTCTCGAAACTACTTGCAGCAAGCAACATCACTTTTTCAGGGAATCCTTGCTTTTGGAGTGTGGAAGTTCGATTTGATATGTGTGGTCTTGATCAATATCGTTGTTTATTTTTGAGCAAAAGAAATAGAAAAGATTTTTAATTCGAAAGATTCCAACAATGAAACAGATCTATAAGAGGTGTATGCTCTTCTCATCTCCATAGTACTACAACTTTATCCGCCTCACTTTATCCTTCACCGTATTCTCTCCTCTTTCTTGTTATTATTTTCTAATATCAGGTTGCTTACACCCTGAGCTATTTTTGTTTTCAGCTGCTTCCCTGCTATCCCAATATACGCAGGATGTATCATTCTACCCCCACCCTAGTATTATCTGAGGCCTCATATCTACCCACCTCACATGAACACCCTATCTTCCCAATCCTAATGCCTCCCGCGCCATCTGTAGGAAAGGATGGCTACACGCGTTCCAATACTAGTCGAAGCTGTAGCGGTACTACAACGATTAGTAATGTCAACGAGAAAGTGACTGTATGTAATTGAAAATCCCCCTTATCTATACACAAATAACTGATCCAATCCCTAGTACGGGTTTGGCATTTTATTGGAAACATCACCTGGTTTCTTCAGAATATCAGGAGATTGTCAAGCTACTGCAGTTGCTTTGGAAAGCCTGGAAACTACTTTAGCTGGAACTATACTTCTCATCGAATACGATAATCACTATCGAAGAATATTTACTTGGTTATGGCATTATTGGTTGCGCAAGTCTATGTCTAGCATATTTCAAATCGAGGACGAAGCCCCAGATCTATTTCAGTTTCGATCGGGAAAAGTATTTTTGATGAGTGGAGGTTCTCCTGCAATGCGAATTCATGAGTCTGTTTTGGAAAGGAAATGGTCAGGAAGGTTGTATATTGCAAGGTGGAGACAATATCGCTGGGTATTAATCAAGTATCTCTGGAAGGATATTCGGAAGGGATTTGATAGTTTAATCAATTGCTGGACAGGGTATTAATACCAAAAATACGTTTTTGGTGATAGAAGCTTGAGAATGTATAGTATAGGTTTATTAGCTTCAATTGATTGGATGGGTGAAATCTTTTAGAAAATGTAAATTCAAAATAGTAATCGATAATTTCCACAAAATAAATATTCCTGCATAGCATTACAGATTTATATTCTAAAACATAGAGGGAGCTGAACAGCGTATGCCCAGAGTTGCCCTAAGATGTGATTCGATATATTCAATTTCGATATATATATCAAATAGCATCTCCCTTTTAATGTCTGTTTAATTCTTCGATACACTGTCAATTTCATACATCAATATTTTAAAATGACTACCAACTCTGGCATACGTCGCCCAAAAAAATTTAAAGGTCCACTAGAGTATATCTTTGTCGATTTCGGCACCGGAGGTCTTCGCATGGCCTGTAGTATCGAAGGCGATGAAGATTGCAGAGAAATCGGAAACTATCCTGGAGCGCAAGCAGGTACCCCATCTCTTGTTTCTCAAGCGCCAACAAACATTATATACAAACCCAATGGCGATGAACCAGCCGAACCCGTAGCATTTGGTTACGTTAAACCACACCGTCGTCAACAACTTTTATCCAAAGTGAAGATTGCCCTTCTACCAGATCCCGAAAGCTATGGTTATGCCAATGCTGCTCTAGTTAATGCAGCGAATGATCTCCACCTGAGATCTGTGCAGCAGATCCCAGAAGACTTCTTGAGGTTCGCCATCGAGCATGCGATCAAGGAATGCGGTGGGCAGCAGCCTACAAAAGGCTGGGTATTTTCAGTGCCTCAGTATTACAAGATTAAGGAAGTGCAGAACTTTCGAGCATTGATTAAAAGAGCAGGTTGTCTTGACAATATATATATCCATGGTGAAAGCGATTGTGTTGCTTATGCAAATCTGCCAACAATCGAGGATATCATCAGCGATGCTAAAGAGAGTGTCTTTAAGAAAAAGCAGAACTATACCATCGCAGTTGGGATTTTTGATCTTGGAGCTGGTACAACTGTGAGTGATCTGGTTCAAGTAGAAGTGGATTGACTAACCTTTGAGAAAATAGGATATAACCACCTCCGAGATCTGTTTCAAATATGATGGAGGACCACCTGCGATCAACGAATTGAGTGCCCCTTTAGGTATATTATAAGAACCAAAACCATATATTTAATGCTGATGATGATACTATAGGCTTTGCGATTGGAGGGGATTCATTTGATGAACGATTCATTAATCTCTTGCGTGCCAAACTCGGAATCAATATGACTCCAGATGAAGAGCAGGCCTTCTTTAACCCGTTTGTGAATCATTTCCATCTACAATCAAAGCCACAATGGACAACAGATTTTGAGGATGAAGTATATCCATTCAGTGTACCGTATGACAAAGATCAATTTGTATTAACAAAGTGAGTTTATCGTCAGCTTTCTTTAATGTGATCTTCAGCTGCTAACTCAATAACAAGGGAGGATATGACTTGTATTATGGAACCACCGATTGATGAAACTTGCCGACGCATCGGCGAGCATCTTGCTCAAATAATTAGACCTTTGGACCTTGTCGTAATCTCGGGAGGGAATTCCGAGGTGCCTGGTATGGTAAATAACTTGTGCGCTATGCTTAAAGGAAAGAATATCATCGACGATGATCAAAAAGTAATTCATTTGGTGGGACAGTCATTGTAAGTACCAATTCAACGCAAGGGGAATTTCGGATTGAAAGAAGCTAATCTGGAAACACTTGTAGGAACGCGGTAGTTCACGGTCTGCATTACTGGATCAATCATCCTCAACTAGTCAGAGGTCGATATGCTCGCATGACTCTGGCTCGAGTGATCAAACATCATCGTACAGAGCTTAACCGCCATATCAAAGTGCCTGCTGAGGATGCAAAATTACCCAAATTGTATAATTGTGCTGAAAGGATCATGACTGAGGTAATCATATCTATGGAAGATTGAGTAGGATTATTGATTAATGACTTTCTAGGGAATCCTTGTTCCAGATGGCATTCAGACTGTTGATATCTACTTTGATATTGATATAAATGCCAAAAATTTGGACCTACTTCCTATCGATATATGCATTCCAAATAAAGATGCCGAAACTTACACTTCTAAAACCTGTCTCTGGAATTTTGCATCCGAGTGTAGGACTATAGGTGCTCTTCATCTAGAATCAACAATAACGAATATCGATATTGGTGCACTTAAAAAAGTTGCTAGAAAAAGGTTGCGTCGACTCTGGCTTCGTTTAAGTATCGAAGTTGATATTGATATCAACGTTGTAGTATCCTGGAGACCCGACGGACTCAAGCTTAAAGAAGACACGGAGTTCTGTTCAACCAAATTAACTTTGGAAAGTGTGAATCTATCTGGCCAAAGATTAGTGGATGAGTTTCGCGCTCCAATACAGCAACGAGAGAGCTTTAATTCAAATATTACCAACGATACCTTGAGGAATTATCTCCAGACGTTAAAGACTCCCTCAAAGAATCTATCTTCGACAAGTATTCCTTTTCAATCAAGTAAGTAAAATTCTTAGATGGGGGTTTCAATAAAAATCATTAACATCGATAGATTCTTTTCTTCCTGAACGTGATGTTCATTTTGCTGCTTGGCCACATGACAGTTCAGGTAAAATTGGTAATTACGAATCAAATACACAAGCGGCTCCATATTGTCCCGAGAATCTCAATCCTGCGATGACATATCTCAATAGCGAGAGATTTACACAAATGTACCATCCAAATCGCAAAAGAACTTTCTCTGAAACAGAAACAGAAACAGAAATAGGATATGGGTATCCAATACCATCACAATCATATACTACTCCTTACCAAAGTCCTTACAATAATTCATTAGCAATAAATCCTTCGTTTCATTTACCTTCGATCTCGCATCAGAGTATACTGCCATCATCTACAGCCACAACACTTGCACCGTCATCTTCGAACAATCCTCTATATCACCAAATATCATCATATCCACCCCAATCATCATATCCACCCCAATCATCATATCCACTCCAATCATCATACCCACCCCAATCATCTGATATTTACGATAAAAATACAGTGGTTAATCCACAGGATCTTTCATTTAACCACCATCCTACTAACTGAGTTTCAATACTAAGACGAGAAAATGGAAAACGGGTTTTTTGGAAGTTGTGACCAAAAGGGTGTTTATAGACCAGCAATTGTATTTAACCTAGAATCTACTGGTGAAGAGCACCTGTAGATGGGGATAGCTACTCTATGTATAAACGAATGAATGGCCTAGCCGTAATGGCTAGGCAAAAAGAAGTCATATTTATCCCTTCAATGATCTTACATTATCGATAACTATTGGTACATAGTACTTGTTCGGATCTGATCTTTAGACTACCTAAATCGTATACTAATCCTGAGTAATCGTATCATGTGTGAACATGATTAATGTATTTGAAGTTTCTGCAATTATCCGAATGATGGTGATTCGTGACAAGAAGCTCCTGGCACGTGCTATGTAGTCCAAGTAAAAAGCGGGCTACATTATTGGCCTATAATAATAATCGAATTTTGAATACCGGTGGTATTTCAACTCCGTCTCTTATTGGCTTGAGAATATCTTATTATGACGTCAAATATATTCAGGAGTTTACACAGTAAATATCTACTGGAAGATTTCTACCGAGCCCCAGTTTGACGGAACCCATAAACAATCAGAACACATAATTGCATTATCTCTATTCCAGCAGAACTCTGGGGGTCAGCTATAGCTGCCCTCAACGACCTCAGGAACCACCAAGGTCCTGACCTTACCATAGACCACGTTCGAGCAGCCGTTACTACCCTTGACTCATTGATCCGTCTTGAGGACCAAACCTTCCGAATTACAAACCTCGAAGAACAATTAAGTACTGTCAACAATAACTTCAACCAAGTACAAGCCGAGTTGAACGAGGCTCACACAGAAAACAGCACTCTGAATTCTGTTTTCACCAACGTCCGACAACAACTCTCAGACGCCCCAGAGATAAACTTAGCCCTGGCCCGTCAACCACAAAGAAGCATGAATACTACCACCCACGCAAAAATCCCTGATCCGGAAAAGTTCACCGGCAGTCGTGAGAAGCTTCGCCCCTTTCTGGCCCAGTTACGCCTCAAGGCTGCAACTTTCATAGGAAACCAAGAACGCCTACGCTATGCTGTTTCTGTCCTCGACAAGGAAGCCCTGGACCAACTAATGCCGTGTATCCAAGACGACCAAGTAAAACTAAACGACCTAACCCATATAGTTAAACAGGCACAACGTTGTACTTCTTTTACTCACCCAAATTTGCATGGGAAAATTAATGGGTTATGCTCTTTTAAAAGAGGGACGTTATGCTTCTTTAGAACCTGTTGAATGTAGTCTCGGAGTTGGAAAGTAGATAGCATAAAATCCTTTCGTGATTAGGTTTTGATGAGGAGATGCAAGTAATTGGCACACAAGGAGATAGACCGTCCAGCTTTACGGATGTGAGGAGAAGACTCAAGAAGCGGCAAATTGCGGTGACTATCATGTTGCATCTACCCCTCCAATCGACGATCGATAGGTATTGTCCTTGGCGAGGTGGGACAAGGGGAAGTCATAACAGGGAGACATTAGACGCCACTGAAAGTTCATCCTTGCTAAGTGACCATCCTCGCTGCTTTGTCATTCATGCAATGACTCGTATCTAGATGCATATCGCCATATCGAGTATGCAATCTCTGGGTCAATAATCTTGTGTGGGAGACACCTGATGACTGCGACCTCTAATATTCATCCGAACTTCTCTGCGCTCTTTTCCCTTCAAGTTGTATTTGATTACTATATGGAACTTCGTGCTCAATTCAAAAAACACAACTTGCCTTGTCAGAATTTGGTTCCAGTTTTCCATGGGATCGGCTAAACTTTGAGTATAAGCAGCTTGTAGCAGCTGACCCTCGCTTGCAAGCAGGAGATGGAATAATTGATTCTAGCGATAGTAACTAAGATGAATTGCTACCCAATTTCCAATTCCCCAGTAGTCGTTGTTGTTGGTCGACTTTTGGCTTATCTATCCCACGTGATTGTTAGGTGAACAAGCGTACTCCTCTCCTCATTTTCATGTCCTAGTATCCCTCAAAACCCATTCAGATCCGCTCTTCATATACATACAATAAATTTCCGCCATACATCTCGATTTTATTTCGTTAAATTCGGTCATATCTCCACAAGACACTGCTCCGCCAAGATCTGAGAAGACCTGCTCACAAGCCTTCTCCAAGTGTGAGTCGATCTCTAATATCCAGCACATGAAAGCAGCCAATTGCTTTTCGAGGTAGCTCTCTTCGAGGGCGTTCAAGACTTCGCTACAAGGTTCGGCGAACTGAACTTGGGGATTTTGACGATCTGCGTAGGATTTATCTAGGGGATATAGTTAGTAGTGCTTAAGAAATGTTGAGAGAAAAAAAGAGGTATAAAATGAATCGCTTACTAGATTCATGGTGAGGATTAGTAACAGTCTTATGAACACCTGATGGCATTTTATCGGAAGATATCTTGGTGTGTTTTCTCGGCCGCTCTGTTTCCACTTCTTCCTCGCTTTCGGTCTCTATAAACCGTTGATCGAGTTCATCATTTTCGCCACAGACTCCACTAGAATCATCTAGGCGATCACTATCTTTATTGTTAGGATGTCAGCACTATCGCTCACTATTGGGTCAATTCTGAATCACCTTTACGTTTCATTCCAGCACTTTGACATCCCTTGGTATATGGCGGTAGGGATTCCGAGTTATGCTCTTTGCTATGAAGAGTATTTTGATGTTTCGCCGGTTTCTTCTGTTTCACAACCGGATTGAAATTATTCCATTTGTCGCATACCATATCGTCTTTATATACATTCTTCTGAGTTGTAAAATCATCTGTAAAGGTTCCTTGACATCTTTTATCAATCGTTTTCCAAACAGATGAAAGTACTGCTCCTCCAGACGATATGAATACCCGGAATCTCTTGGCCTGGGAAAGGGACTGTATCTCCTTCAGTAGATCCAAGACATTATCCGATCTAGGAGTGAAGGAACAATTTTGACATGGGGGCATGAATACTGTGCCATGATCGCGGAGCGTAAACAATGTACAGCAAAGAGAGCTCTCATCGGCCATTATACCAGCATTTCGTATACTAGCGTAAGTGTCGAAACAATACTTAGACTGCGAATAGTCTAAGGAGAGACACTTATTATCCGTATTCCGATCAATCAAACTGCCTTTAACAACGAAGTAGAGAGACTTTTTACGTATATGAGAGGATTCAGGGTGCGCGCTAACTGAAACTGATATGCTGAACCAAAAGAGCAATTCGGGTTTTTCGTCTGTACCAAGTTGTATATTCATTCGGAGTTGGTGATGGTCTGCACCGATAAAGTGAGCTGAACCATTACTTGTCCACCTGATAACGACTGGTAAATCTGTAATGCAGTTCTTCGGAAGAAAATCCGACGACGCAGGTTTGGATATCCAATTCTGGGAAGAAAGAGGGTTAGCTTTTATAGAGAGGGAAATAGGGGGAGAGGATAGAGAAAAAAGAGAATAGAGGAAATATACCGCTGTTTTTGATAGGACCGACGAGTCTTTGGAGGGGCACATTGGATCATCCATAGCGGCCTATTGTTATACGGTATTCAAGATAGAAAGTCTGGAAAAACAATTGTTAGCGCTATTCTGATAGATAATAAGATAATACTGATAGAAGCAGAATAAAAAGTCTTGGAATACTATCCTCAATAATCAAGAAACCAAACTCGATGTAAAGAGAAAATACTAGGTCTCCTTACTACAGGTGACATTTGACCCGCCTACAAGAGGTGATACCTAGTCCGCCTAGTAGGAGACCTAGAATCCGCCTACAGGTGACATTTGACCCGCCTACAAGAGGTGATACCTAGTCCGCCTAGTAGGAGACCTAGAATCCGCCTACAGGTGACATTTGACCCGCCTACAAGAGGTGATACCTAGTCCGCCTAGTAGGAGACCTAGAATCCGCCTACAGGTGACATTTGACCCGCCTACAAGAGGTGATACCTAGTCCGCCTAGTAGGAGACCTAGAATCCGCCTACAGGTGACATTTGATCCGCCTACAAGAGGTGATACCTAGTCCGCCTAGTAGAGGAGACTCAAGATCTATCTACCTACAGGTGCTGAAGAACGTAACTACCGCCAGAGTTGTTGTACTTGTATAGTCGTAATAGATGTTGTGCGATAAAGATAGATATAGAGATAGTGATGGAAAGACTATGTTCGTATAGTCGTAATAGATATTGTGCGATAGAGATGGATAATATCGAGATGGCGATAGAAATAGAAGGATATCGAGATGGTGATAGAAATAGAAGGATATCGAGATGGCGATAGAAATGGAGATAGGGCAATGCGATAGGAAGACTGTATTTGACGTGGTATGAAAAGAAAGTTTGCAGTGCCTCCCCATCACAGGACCCAAAAACAAGCGACTGAAGACTAGGTTAAATATGGTATAGTTCCATAGTTTACGTGATTGATGCCTAGAAGAAATAGCTAGTATATGCGGCTATTAGACACTAATAACTTTTTGGCTGTAGACTGTAGAAATTGAGGCAATATTCCTATTAAAGGAAGGCCGGACAACCCTTATTGACAACTCTGATTGGCCTAGCAAAAATGATAGTAACGTGACTTTCGCACATCTGATTCGGCCAGGTCCCCAGGCCAGGATAAGATGTACACGTTTATAGGTAGCGACAGCGAGTTACCCTCTAAGCAGAGTAGAGAGCCTAAAGCGACCTGCGACAGACAGCTCGTCACTAGAGATTGCAGAGTATAGAACACCCAACGTGAGGTTGAATCAAGTACAGATCAAAAGAATGACCGTGTATATTTGTCTTATGACTCATTTTTCATGTTGAATATATTACAGCCTAATTAACGCCGACCGACCCCACCGAGCCACGTGATAGTCTATGCAAGCGCGTGGTAGCCCGTTATGCTTTAAGGTAAGGCTATCGCGAGAAACATTGTGATAAATGAAGCTGCAAGCGTCGAGATTGCTTAGATTCTTTTGCTCTCTTAGGCAGGCAAATTTTATTAGCGAACGAAAAATAGCGCCACGTATATTCTCGAGCCTCTCCAAACCTCAGGGATCTTTCTACTTGTCGCGGACACCCTGAACTCGTTATGTCTACAACGGGAACTGTTGATTATTCTGTTGCACAGATTGTGCAAGCAGACCACGAAATCCAGGGTCATATTGAAAGCCTAATACCGTATATCAATATTAATTCTATTCCAGCGGGAAAGGGTTGGTCGAAGATGGAATATGAATATGACGATTCAAAGATACTGGATAAAATCAGGGAGGAATTCAAGAAGTAGTTTAATCGATCTCAAGAGGTAATTATGGAAGATCTCTTCAGAAATAGTTATTCGCTGACTACTTCATATATTGCAGATTACTGATATCGTTGATACACTCGTTTCATCTCCTAAGCCTTCCAAGAAACAATACTTCCTAGCCCGGACCGTACAATTAGTGGTATTTCAGAGCGGATGGTCATATCTGGGGAATGATTGTATTGTGTTGATCCCAGCAGTTATGTCCGGTACTATTGAGGCAACTCTAGAAGAACGAACAAGTCATCGTCAAACGACCTTCACATTCGCTCAATCTTCCGAGGTCATAATCGCTGGTGGCTGCTCAATGTTGATTCCGGAAAATAGTAAGGTGGTGTGTGTCTTCCTCGGTATAGGGATAGGGAAAGAATAAACAATAAATTCAATCGGAAAGGCGAGTTGTTATAGAGGTTATATTATATTGTGTTTTCTGTCCATTTTGTTGAATGTACGATCTTCTCTTCAGAGCTTTTGAGGCCTCTGCCTTGATTGATTAACTTTGTGTTACGTCGTCGATCTTCTAGTCACGTGTAAGTGGTAGAAGGGCGTTGGGGTTGTGTATTGAAGCAGTCAAGCAGGGGATTGAACCTTAACCCGAAGGATGAGGATACTACGATGGACGACTCTCCTGAAGATATAACAGCCGATCAACCGCGGAAGAGGGCCGCTGTCGGAGATGGGATATCCGCAGGCTCAGCGTCTCGAGAGGCTTCTGGTTCGCCGCCCCCACAACGATCCAAAGCTCAAGCACCCCAGTCTCCCATGGATGCGGACTCTCGGCGGCAAATCCCTACTTCTCAAAGACCGAAGGGCCATTTGTGGACTCCGGATCAGGACTCACCATCCACAAGATCATCGTTTGATCCGTCCAACATCGCATCTATTCAAGAAAACAAAACACGGGCGCAGGCGATGAAACCAAGCACACGTAGATTATTTAAATCTTCCCCCCAGCTTGTACCACGATCAGCCCCTCATGCAAGTCAGTATAACCACTACAATAGCCAATCAGCTGCCCCACCTGCTGTGCTGCATACGAGAAGTACTTCGAATCATGAATCCAAATCTCAAGGTGAAGAGTATACTATCATCCTTCAGCCGGAGACCAGACCCATTTCGCAGGAGCAGCTCGTAGCTGAAGTAAAGGGCATCTATGCTGGACTCGTTATGGTTGAAGCGAAGTGTATAGAAATGGATAATAAGCAAGCTGGCTTGACGCAAGGGGATTCCTCTCCCCCGCAGGAGTTCAACAATGAGCAATGGCAAGCATTGATTGCTCTACATCGTACTTTACTTCATGAGCACCACGATTTCTTTTTGGCGTCCCAGGGTAAAATACCAAACTTCAAAGTTGGTACTGCCCCTGGTCTCAACGGTGTCCCACCCGGCCACCAACAATAACACCAATCGGCTTAATCTAGGACTGACTACTCGGTCAGTACGTATAGGCAACCAGCTTTAGGCCTAAGGCATACCATGTGCTAAATTACGTTACCATACACTAACACTTAAAACAACTGTTACCCTATATAAGAAAAAACCAAACCCACTACAAAACATTGATTTCCAGCTTCTGCAATGTCTGTATCGGTCGCGCAAGTCCAGTACCTAGAGAGAGTTGAGCTGAGCGGATCCAAGATCGATGTTATTCTGTCAAAGCTAGGAGAATGGCTTCCGAAGGCAAAATTTGACCTCGATCCAAAAGTAGACAAATGTATAGATACAGCGCTGGATCAACAGTGTCTACCCCTCTTTATCGAGTTGGATAAACTTAACAAGGCTAGAAGGATCTCTTTCACAACAATCCCTGATAATTTCTCACAGAGTGTCTTCTCCTCTGCCGCTGAATCTCTACTTCGGAGCTCAGTATCGTCGCTGCTTTCAATATCGGTGGTTTCTTGCCTAGGTCTGCTGATGGTGTCGGGTTTTCGGCGTTTTCCTCTTTTATGAGCATTCTCTTCCGTGATATTAGCATAGTCAGATTGCTTCCGAGGCCGTTTCGAGCCACTTAGAGTAGTAACTTTTGCTGCCGCTATACCATCGTCTACGCCATCGTCAACGGCTTTGGTTTCAGAGTTCATGTACTTTAACAGCACAGCGTGTAGCGGTAGTGACATCGATAAAATGTTTGTCCCGAAATATACTGGATGATAAAAGGACACAAACTTATTTGAACAGCAGCCCAGTGGCCCTCAAGCTGTACGACGAGATGTATATAAGTTGCACGTGCCTTTGACAATGTGGGAGAATCGCCAGATATGCCGTCACTATCTCTTATTCTCTTAATGAACAATAATGAACAGTGGATGTGCAAAGCTTCTGGAAATCCAATTCATCCATGATGGTTCAATATCGTGGAATTGTGACAAGGAGAAAAGTAGTAAAGAGAGGCAAGGTAAGATGCCAGATTTCAAAGTTAGTAATGAATCTGGTTGTCTGTTCTGGAGGAGCAGGTCACTACCAACTTTCAAGCAGGGGTTACTACCAACTTTCAAAAGATGGTAGCATGAGTCACAACCAGCGCCACTTGTGCATATTCCCGTACATAATGCATATTCAATATTTCTCTCGCCTCAGGCGCTAAATCATTGCTTCCAAAAGTCCTGCGCATTCGGTTTCAAATCGTTCTATACCTCATATTTGGCTATATGCAGGGTTCTAGCAGTGGGAATCTGGGACCGTATGTAAGGGTGTGGGGAAGTATCTTTGCATTTGCACGAGGGTACAGGGAAAACCATATCTATGGAAAACCTACGCCGAGATAGAAACATGAACTAAGAACTATTCGTATAACGAATCCGGTATACATATTCATCTGTTCTTGCCAGTATAGCCTTGATAACACCAATACCAAATTGTCTGACCAAAATTCCAGCAGAAGTTGACGCAAGTCGCGAGGTATCCACTCAGTCCCAAAAGGTCTTTCTGACCGTCATACCCCTCATCAATGGATCTTTTCCAAGCACAATCGTCAGCGTTTACATGAAACACACACATATCTTTCATCAACTAGCTATATTTCTCCTTCGATAATGTAGGCTCTTTCAACTGTTTGTAAAGATCGAAATAATACATTATAATAGTTGTAGCGGTTTTCACAGGTACGTGACGAGGATCCCATGCTGGGTTTACTGCCGGGTCATGGTGAGAAGCTGAAACCAATGAACACTGGTTATAATGAAGGGAAGGAGAGAGAGAGAATAGAATGCCGGCTATGTAAAAGGTTCCTCTATCACCTTAAGGCTAGGAGGCGTATTGGTGTAAAATAATTTGCTGTTCAGAAGAGTACACAAAGGCATACATCATTTTTCATTGATGATGTTGAAGCTAGAGTATATCGCGATATTCAGCTGCTCGAGCCACCTCATCATAGGTAATATAAGGCTGATTTATTGTGGTTCGAAGGGATGATATAGCAAGCCAAAGTTAAATAATGCTAATCACAAGTTCCTTCAAGTCCGTTTTAATTAATTGCCTGAATATATATATATATACTCGTCATTTTCTCCTGTTTTATTATATACTTATAAATAAAATTAATCGTCTTTATTTACATTAACTTGAACTTGGGGCTAAATACAAAAAAATCTTATCCTAATACCAGTTACTCACTTCCTCCCATTCTCCCGTCACCCTCTGGTCATGAGCACCCCAAGCCAGAAATTTATTCTTCAATTCAATCAATCCTACCCTCGTATTTTCCGCCAACGCCATCTCTTGCCTATTCTCAAGCAGCTTTTCAATATCTTCTACCGAAGAATCCAAGAATACATTCTCATCGCTGAGGTGTTTGCGGGATGAGGTTTTTCGTCTTGTACATCGACCAGTCGGTAATACATTATCTTGGCTTTCAGACGCTGTTATAGGTAAGTAAGAAATTACAAAGTGCAACTAAAAAAGACTTACTGGAAATTGAAGATGCTTTAGAATGTTTACGCTTCTTATTTAATGATATAGTCGAACTTTCTATTATATATTAGATTAGCAAGATTAAGTTAAAATTCGAAGACTTACTGGAGGATGACGGGCTTTGATCATTCTGTACCTTCCGAGTAGTCACTGATGGGGCTAATTCCTCGTCACTCGACTCTGTTAAATCAATGACAACAGGGTCTAATGGATGCTGTACATGTATAGTCGACTCCTTTGTTTTTACCTCGGAAGGTTTGGATGCGATAGCCTCATCGTCAACCACTTCTGATGTTTCCGAATCCTTCGAAAGAGGCTCTGACTCGCAAGCAGTTCCGTCCAATGTCTCTACCTCGGAAGGTTTGGATATGATAGCTTCATCGTCGACTAATTCTGATGTTTCTGGATCCTTCGAAAAGTACTTGTCAAAGTCAAAGTTCTCGAAGGCCTCTTTGTCAGATTGCTGGGAGTTGGCTACGTTGTTGTTGTTGTTGTTGTTGTTGTCCTTGGGCTCCAAGCGTTGATCTATTGAAGTCATGACGGTGGGAGAGGTTGAAGTCATGATGATAACTTGGTGATTTGAAATGGAAAATGTTTTGATTGAAGAGAAAGATGAATGAACAATCTCAGAACTGGATACAAGTCACCTTTTATACCCGTTCTCTCTCAAGTATCGCCGATTATCGGGGTTTCATACCGTGATCTCCTTAATCTTTGTTGAGGCAGTGTGCAGCATAATCTTCTCAATAGACTACTATCTAGAATGATGATAGGATGGCGAAAAGTGGTCCAGGGTCTCTAGTTTGAATGTAAACAGGGGAAATATGTATATTGATGCGCCTCTTGCATAGAGCATGAAGAGAATGCCAGCTGGGCAGATTTATCTTGTCATAAATGCCTGTCCAGTTCTATTTTGCACTCTTTAACCTTGTTCGGAGAGTCGCTGTGTCAGTCTGTCGTTGGCTATGTTTTCGGGAGACGCGGATGAAATCGCCTTTGTTGCATATATTCAAGCATGTTCTTTCAGCACAATGTTCCATGCTTCGTATTCGTTATCGACGACACGCAGGACCCTTTCCTATCGTCGAGTCATTTTGAAGATGTGTGCCTCCCGTGTTATGCACCTCTTAAAACCCTCATCATTTAATTCAACACCAGTACTTACCTCTCGTATTATGCACCTCTTAAATCTCTTCCTACACTTGCTTCCCTTCTTATGCGAACCCATACCCATTGATCAATCACGGTCCAGTAATGTCAATAGTGGTGGGCTATGGGGAATTGAAGCCTCAATGTGTATTCGTATTGATTGCCTGAAGAGCTAGAACTACGAAGATTGGGAACTATGTAATCCCTCTTGCCGAGACACTGGCGTCGGCGCCGGTGGTTCGTTGTCCCGGCAAGTAATGAATGAGTACTCTACTGAGGAAAGGATAGATTAGAGGTGGGGTATCTGGTTGCACCCTGACTTTTTCTAAACCATTTTCTTAGGGGTGGCGCGGTTAACAAGTAATATTTGATTGAACGAATCGTTGAGTGGATAATCTTGCTCCAAACTTTTGACAAGGGGTTGATCGATCAGTTCAATATTATAGAACAAGAATGGATTAAGCGGCGATCCCTGTAATATCTTATTGTGTGTAGATCGTTGTGGACTCATGTAGTTATCGATCTGGATGCTACTTGATCTTTCCTCCAAAAGCTTTCGACGAAGTTAACCAGTTGTTTCGGGAGTCCCTTGGTCTTGAGGGTATGGATGGTGCGTGGGTGTGATGCGTTGTCGTGTCAAGACCTCTGGAGACTAGTAATATGGCCTGGGAAGGATTTTCACAAACTTTCTTTCATGTACTTATTAGAAATTGAATTATCACAGCAACAACAATCATAATGATGAATAATTATTGACTTCATTACTACCAAGAAACAAACCCATGTTATATACCAAATGAAAGAATTCCAAATATTTGAAGGTTGAGCCTCAATCATGCAATCCGTGAATAATGTTGAATGATTCCAGATGAACAAGATCCTCCAAGGTCCTCCAAGTTCTTATGATATCTTGAACCTTCAAGTTGATTCCTACTCAGCCATAACTACTTTTAAAACCGAACACTAACTTGCACGCATGAGACTCCAATTCATATTGTGTTCAAATATACTCAGCCATCGTAAGTAGGGCCCACAATCTCCACGGATATCCAAAAATATCTTCCCATCCTGTCCTATCCATATTCCTATTAGGCGTCCCTTCACACAGGTATTATGGATGCCACCAGTGGTTTGTTGTATAATTGTAGTCTCTCGCGAAAAGAAGGTTAATATCCATAGGAAGAGAGATTCTGGCGAAGCGACACTATCTTCGAATATGCTGTATTGTCTGTGAAAGCTTTAGACAAGGCTTTATTGATTGATTAATTGACAAAGTTAATGTCTAGATCAAGTCTAAGATTACTCAAGAAAGCCTTCGTGAAGCCTTAGTAGATGATCTAATGGGAAATCTAGTTTATTAAACTATAATGATATACAAATTTAGGGATATAACGCTAGATTTAATCTCCAAGAATTAAATAGGAGAGAAGGAAAAAAGTTTGAAAGAGTAGCCCCTCTCCTAGGCTCATAATGAAATGCCTCCTTCACACCAAAGCAGGAATCATTGAAACCCTCAAGTTTACCAAATCAATAAGAATAACGTCTAAATCGTAACACCTCATGAGAATATAGAAATAAGAAAATGAAATGAGTATAAAAGAGAAAGAGGGGGATCAGAGAAGAAGCGTTAGACTTCTGACATAACATACAAACCAGGGCAACAAGTAACATGAAAAGAAAGCTATACTGTATTTGGGTCTCTCGGATAGCCATGGTCACCCGAAGCATTCAAATAAGAAAATCCACGCGAAAATGGATTACCCACTATGTATATATATCACAGGGTTTATTTTAGCAGTAGTACAAGTAATATGAAAAGAAAGCTATACTGTATTTGGGTCTCTCGGATGGCCATGGTCACCCGAAGTACCCAAATAAGAAAATCCGCGTAAAAATGAATTACCCTGTTCCTTTCGGCTATATTAGTAATGTCTCAAGAGAGGGAAAAGAGGGGGGTAGAAAAGCAACAACGAATATCAATATCCGAATTTTACTCAAATGGAATTAAATTCTGTATAGTTATCACACTAGAACTATTGACACAATACCTGCAGACTCAAACAATTGGATACTAACTATGAATACGAGATTAATTCGGAGCTTTGGTGCATATAGGAGAAGATTTTGAACGGTTGACCGAAGTTCGAAAATCACCGCAGTCAAACTCGGACTTTGAATCCGATTCGTGTTCGCAGGGAAAATTATCACCCCATGCTCAAGATCCATACAATTACCAAGTAATCATACCCCTGGTGCAGTCTGTATCATGGCGGCGAAAGTCAGTGACCCTGGTATAATTAATTACTCGTGCCGACAGAAAGTACAGACCACCCACTTATTAACTATGAACCATTATTCTCCAGCTTGGAGCTTGCAGGATACTGAAAGGAGATAGTCCTACAGTTTGTGGTCGCACCAGTAAAGCCTCCTCATTCACTTCTTGTTCTGGTACTTTCTCATCATATTCATCGAAATAAACACCAGCCATGAATTACTTTCTAATATGACTTTTTCTCAAGAACTACCGAAAGGTGTGGAAAACTTTTTGTTAAATGTATCGGTGGAAAATCTTCTTAGGGCTCAAGATCTCATTCCCTTACTTTCTCCCTTGGAGAGCGAGAAACACGAAACATCAGTAGAATACGATTTGAATCGCTGGCTCGAGAATGACGCGAAGTATAATGTAGTCGATGACAGCTATCGTAATGGATTCGGCGAACGGTTAGCAGATTATTACCTATGCGACAGCAAAGAGATTAAGATGGGCATCCTAAGTCGATCTGAATACGATGCTTTTACACTACCTCTAGACCTCGAATGGGAATTTTCAAGTTCTTCGGTTTCTTTCTTGGAATACCTTGTTTCGTTCTTCAAGGAAAAGGTGGTCAAATCATAATTGTGCGCGGTGTTGTACAATCGCTGGAACAAAAACATGAGAAAATGCTGAGAGAAGTCCATCGACGTCAATCAACTTTAAGAAGCAAGCATAAAAAACGACATGAATACCTGAGAGTATTGCTAGAGGATTCCGATGATGCTCAATCATGCCTACTATTGTCCTTGAGGTCACTCGTCAGACGATTGGGATTGTACGTAGCATTCAGGATTGAAACAAATTTAACGAGCTAATCATTTGTTGTAGCGCACGAGAACGTTTGATCCTCACAAGGCCACGGCGAGAAATTCACCTTCCCGCAGATGTTTGGTCCAATATTCTCGAGAACTTTGCGCCGAATCTACAGACCATCAACTTTAATAATGGGAAATTGAACCTTATGCTTAAGAGATGGATGATATCGAAAGTCCTGTTTCAAACGACAGTCTCACTTTACTACAGAGAGGCCGTCTTCTCGTTCACCCCACACTCATTTATGAACTGTACTACCGTCAAAATCATGAAGAAAATCACCATAGATATATCGTTACATCAATGGCAAAGACGTACGATCGGCACAGAATCCACCTGCCATCTACCGAAGACAACAAAACCAATTGAAGCTTATACTTTACAAAAGCGATTGAAGGAATGTACTGCATTGGTGGAACTCCGGTTTATAATTCCACGCTGTACTAAAATTAAAGATCGTGCTGCTGGGGACTGTGTTTCTTTATCCAAAGCTGATCTCCGCGATCTTCAAAGATGGAAAGGGTCATGCGATTGTTACAGCTCCAGAGAAAGGTCAAACTTACGCTCCTCGGCCACTTTGATACCAGTTGAGATTTTTTAGATAGATAGATAGATGACAGGTTGTTAGGATCGATTGGACAATCGGTGCTATGATATATATACAGGGAGGTTCTTCGTTGGCCTCAGATGGATGTAGAAAGAACGCCTTCATATTCTTTCTCTTCAAAATGAAATGATTTAGAGAATTAATCCATCTGAGCCGCGTCCATCATTAAGGAAGCCACGTTTTCGCATCGTGCGATGGGCATTTTGGGGGGGAAGAACAGTTGAAGACCGAAAATCATTTTCTCTGCGATGTCGATTGATTGTTGAAGTACTATTTATTAGTCAATACTATAGCAAAAGGGTATATATCTATAAATCAATAATTTACCTAATGGTTTTTCCTTTTTATGTATGGTATTACAAGTTGCGAGGTGTGAACTATATTTCGATTGATATACTCCAAGTCTCTGAACCTTGTTTGAACAATATCCCAAGTATTTCAAAATCTCCGAGTAGATTGAAAATACTATTTCGTCCGAGGATTGTCGTTGCTCATATGTTATACCCTTTTCCACCCCATGAAATATTATTGATATATCGGGATTCTGTAGATTATTATGGAACGTCCATCTGTGATTAGATTAGCACTCAAATCATCAAAGGATACATATAATTCGCCTTATTTACTTTCGCAAATCTCTTGGATTAAAGAAGATGAACATTCCAAACCAGAAATTATAAAATCTGAAACTTCTGCGCAATGCTTTGATCTGAGATAGTGTAAAACCAGTAGACTCGGCGATCCGTTTGTAGGCAGCTGTCGCTCGGCCATATCTATGGGAAGTTCTAATCTCGCTTATAATGATCTATTGCATCATCATACTTATCAACTACTCGATGACAATAATTGCCGCAGAGGTCATCCATTCCTGATGTTGTTGTTTGCATAATTCATAATAAGTCCGAAATAAGCGACAGAAAAGATCAAATGAGGACAAATCTCGAGGTATATCCCTTAGAGTATATTGGACTGTTTGTACAATGACATCTTGATTTTCAATCCATTGATTGTACTGATAGTTATGATCAACTGATAGCATTGTTTCAATGAGTTTAGCGCGATCAGAAGGTATTGTGCGTCGTCATAATGTAGAGAGTCATCCATCTTTCACCTAGCACACCTTATCGAAGCTGATTGAAGTTGTGTTATTGCTTTTGCTAAGCGCCTAGCGTAGATTACTATTTCTGGGGTTTAAGAGGTGCATGAAATCAATTGCGGATCTGCTGGAATCCTAGGACAAATTCAATCCTAGGACAAATTCAATCCTAGGACAAATATCCTAGGACAAATCCAATCCTAGGACAAATATCCTAGGACAAATCCAATCCTAGGACAAATATCCTAGGACAAATCCAATCCTAGGACAAATCCAATCCCAGGACAAATATCCTAGGACAAATGCAATCCCAGGACAAATATCCTAGGACAAATCTAATCCTAGGACAAATATCCTAGGACAAATCCAATCCTAGGACAAATCCAATCCCAGGACAAATCCAATTCTAGGACAAATCCAATCCTAGGACAAATCTAATCCTAGGACAAATCCAATCCTAGGACAAATCCAATCCCAGGACAAATCCAATCCTAGGACAAATCCAATCCCAGGATAAATCCAATCCTAGGACAAATTCAATCCTAGGACAAATCCAATCCTAGGACAAATCCAATCCTAGGACAAATATCCTAGGACAAATCCAATCCCAGGACAAATATCCTAGGACAAATCTAATCCTAGGACAAATCCAATCCTAGGACAAATATCCTAGGACAAATCCAATCCTAGGACAAATATCCTAGGACAAATCTAATCCTAGGACAAATATCCTAGGACAAATCCTATCCTAGGACAAATCCAATCCTAGGACAAATATCCTAGGATTATTGTACTAGCACGGTTATCACACTAGGACTACTTCAATCATAAGGCCAGTGTCCTATCTAATCTTGTATCGCAGGACAATATTCCTAGAATACAAGGCACTCTAGGTTCCCCAAATTCTCTATAATATAATTGGTTAGCCTAACTACTATTGTGTAATGATCTGTATGAATATCATATGATAGAATACTAATGGTTAAGGAAATGTTTGATTGACTGAGGCATCTCTCTGATTGGAATTTTCAGTGGGGCGTGGGAGACTGTTAGTCACGTAAAACTTACTTAACTCCCAAATCCACAAAATGAGATATCTCATTTCAATTATGAATTATGAAAATATGTGGAGAAGTATGAAGTACGATGATTAAAAGGTATGCTACATTGGACACTTTCTATTTTGTCTCTATCAACTTAGACCTTTCGAAATAAGAATGATTTCTTTAGTAGATTTGTCTGACCTCTTCGCTTTTAATATCGAAGAAAGCCGGAAATAAGCAATGATAAGAGAATTCACCACAAGGATAAGATCTTTTCAAGTGTATCTAACGTCTTTTAGACCTCGTACCATATGAACAAATTAGGCATTATTCAAAATAGGCATCGTTAAAATAGGTATTGTCCAAAACAGAACCGATGCTTATTTAACCTTCACTTTCAAATTGACCGGCAGAAGTCAAATGCCTATCTGTACATTATGCCAGCTACAAAAGCTATCTTTTGATCAATTCAGAGCCAATAGGAGTCGCATCGCTTCTCCTAGGCCATAATTCCTGAATAAGAATCCTTGTCCCACCATACCCGAATCCATTATTATTATATTACCCCGCCTCTTCTCCATCTTTTGTATTTGAGTCATACTTTTCTTAGCGACGGCATATCAGCCTTATTTTACCCTGTAGATATAATCTTCTCAGAAATCCCAAAAGTAATCATATGCTATCTTGCAAGTAGAGATGGGATGAGATCCGTGTTGTCAATTTTTTATTTTGTTAGCCTGACGGCCGTCTAAATATTCCTTCGAAATATGCTTCATAAATTCGTAATAATTAATAAAGCAGTAGATGCAGGTACAGCAGACAAAGCCAATATCATTCGAAGTCGAGGGTGAATTTCGGAGCCAGTCCCGTAGAGGCAAAACCCATCAGGGTATTGGGTATTCAGGTGATGTGTGAGGCCCACCCGGTCGCGCTCCTCAACATAGTGCTTGTCCCGGACTCATAAGAAAATACGTTTAAGGCTCAAGAAATAAGTCAAAGGCTATTATATCAACTCAAAACAAATAAAAATCCTTTTTAGGCTCAATGTTACGAGGTTTGCCGTCTAGATCACGTGGAAGTGCTCTAGGCTCTCGAGGTGGTTTATAACTAGGCGTCAAGCAGGGACTTAAAGTAATGACAATGATGATATGGAATTCGTAACTAACGTCCGTCCCTGCGTAGCGAGACGCACCCCGTAACGAGACAAATCTGTAATTTTGGAATCATAACTTTTTTCTTAGCAAGTCTATAGAGTTTCTCTCAATATAATATTTTCTTTAGCTATTTCTCTCTAGGGATACCACTAAACAGACAAGAAAAACAGTTCAATTGATTATACTATCGATCGTTTCAATGACGCCACCAATCTCCGTTTCGGCTGTTCCCCCTTTGCTTGATCGCAACTATTAGAGTTTTTTTAAATTCGGAGCATTTGAGGAAAGGTTCTATATCCAAAGAATATAGCTCCAAGTTTTGAAGATACTTAAAGAGGAAAATAATGTAGTCCGGGAGTTACTCCGATGTGAGGAGACGGCCTCATATTTTGGTGCTTAGTAATATACATTAGCTGAGTTATAAATTTACTAAGTTCACTCCTGATCTCATTATATTTTACTTAGCCACGATTCTCAGGTCTTGGCATGTGTAGTGTATAGTAGCCATGTGTGTGGCGTAAGTGCAGGTTTCTAGAACATTCTATCAGCAGGTGGCAGCACGCTGGTGCCTGGGCGCTGGAGCGCCGTCTCTCGTCTCCTTCTATAAATAATATGGACAGAGCTAGTCAAGTCCTGGCATGAGGCATACCTCCTGGCATGCCTAGATTATACCATACTCTTGCAGATCATGGTAACATCCTATATTTTATATTCCATTATTGTGTTTGTGGAAGACTCTCGATGAAAGAAAAGGTGCGAGGCTGTGACGGAAAAGTCGTAAACGGAGTCAATTCAATTACTTAGAATCTAAAACTAAAGAACTAAGAAGATTCTAAGTAAGAAGGTCTTTATATAAAGGGCTAGTGCACGTGAGCCACTAGTGGGTAACAACCGTCACGTAACAGAGGCTAATAGTATTTCAAATTATATGAAGAAAATATTATTGTTAAGTATTTGCTACAAATATACAATTTTGGGTAATTGATACGAATAAAGTTTATTTCTTTTATAATCTTTAGAGTTATCTATTATCAGTTTACCACTGATAGATTCTTCAAGCCTTTTGGTTGGAATTGGATAAAAGCTTTAGAAAAACATTATTCAGAATTCACAATATGAAGAGTTAAAGTATTGGACTGGAATTGTTACAAGAAAAATACTTATAAGATTATATATTGGTTTGAGGTGATAAAAGATGTGTTACAAGATCCGGCTGTTTTAGCCGAAAATGTGTATAATATAGATGAGACTGGAGTGATGCTATCTATACCAAGCTTTATCAAAGTCCTTGTAAATAAGTACAATATACGAGATTATAGAGGCACATGAATCAAATATATCATTGTGATTATGATTGAATGTATTAGTAGTGATGGTAGGTATCTAAACCCTAGGATTATCTGGTTAGTGAGTATTTATTGAAGCAATTGGATTATGTTTTTTATTTCTAAATGGCAATATGTGTGCTCCGATTCTGGATATATTGATTCTAAGATTAGCTTAGAATGGTTCAAGTGTATATTTGATTTCGAAATTAAAAAACAAGCTAATAAGAAACCACATATTTTGATCTGCGATAGCTTTGGAATATACGAGACCCTCGAAATCTTAGAGTTCTGTTTCAAGAACAATATTCTTTTATGCTGTCTCTTCTTTTATACCTTCCACAAACTCTAATCTTGTGATGTAGTAGTGTTTGCTCCACTCAAGGCAGTTTATTGCAACCAGATTGATCAACTTGAACAAAAAGATGTAAATATGATCAGCAAGGAGCACTTCATTTTTTTATATATCCCCGTAAAGGGGGGGGGGCGTTCATGCTAAAGAATATCAAGATTGGTTTCGCTACAAGTGATTTGTTCCCGTTCAATCCAGATAGGGTGCTCAGAAGTATGCCTGCCCCTTTAGCTGAACCAGCTATGCCAAAAGCCGATGAGGTGAAGGTAGCGTCTTGTTGGCAAGATATAGAACCGCAAACGCCTGTGACGCCAGTTTCAGCACAAGCCTTTATTTCACTGCAGAACCTGATTATCCAACACGATGCTCATACGACGAATGAAACGAGCAAACAAAACCTGGCAAGGCACTTGCAGAAATATACTAAAGCTTTCCAAAAATCCTTTATTAAGAGCATCCTGCAAATTGACCAAATTCAATTTCTGACCACAATTAACAACAAAGCTAAGGTTCGACGATCGACGAGGTCGTTGGTGCTAGGAAAGGCGAAGGTTATGAGCTGTAAGGACCTTGAGGAAGCACAAGCAAAGCATGCTGTAAAAGAGTCTACCCAAGCAGCTAAAGGCAAGGAAAAACGCGGTCGGAAGCGCAAGGGTAAGCCAGAGGTAGGTGAAGAGGACATAGATACGGCGAAGCATAGTCGGAAACGCAAGAACGCTGCGCAAGATCCGCCTGAGCCGGCCAATAAGGTGATGCGAGCATCAGTGACAGTCTCAATAGTACAGATAAGCGGGATACCAATCGCGGAAGATGAGATTATGCCAGAAACATGGAGAGCCCCAGTGGCGCGGATGTATTAGCGAAGGAAGAGATTGCCGTACGATATAATAATAGAGTTGATAGACTTGATCCTTGGTTGAGGCAAGCTCGTGCTGGCTTCGAGACTTGTTGCTATAAAGTAGAGTTGATATTAATCTGCATTTGTTTCTGATATAATGGGTTGTACCAGCCTTTGGTGTCATGATTCTGCCGTTATGCCTTGCAATGGCCGTTGCTTGCCATCATTATGCCCACTATTGTGCCCGCTGTCGTTGTGCCCTTGTTATATTATCTTGGGTAGTGTTGCCTCTTGTTGTCGAGCATGCTGAGCACACCACTGTCTTGCCATGTTGTCATTGTTTGAGCTGCTCTCAACGTCTTTGCTAGGTCATCGCGGTCAGGCGCGCTGATACTGTGCTCCTCTTAGCACTCTTGCAACCCTTATGATTCCATCATCAGATCATCATAGAATTCGTTGGCGATCTGTCCACCTCTGCAGAGGCGGGATTCCCCTTGGTTCCAGGGCTGAATATCGAAGAGGCTTATCGTTCTATAGCAAAGTGATAAGCTGTGAGGATACTGTTGAGGCATAAGTGAAAGCATGGTGTAAAGGATATTATACTGTTCATCAGAAGTGAAATCAGTGTCGCTTTTCATCTTTACCAGCACCGAGCAGCAGCTCGGCCAAAATCGGCTGATAGCTTAGTAAGCTTCTACAATACAATTGGTAACTATCGGAGTAAGTTGAGTTACTAAATACAATGAAGATTTGAGTTAAGCACGAAGCTCCTATATACTAAGGAAATCCATCTGATTATATAAACCTTCGTTCTCGGGAACCCAAGGAGCCCTTAGGATCTGTCCGCTCCAGGAGCCTTAGGAGCGCTCAGAATCCAACCGCTCCTCCGGGTCCTGTGACCCTAAGTATATGGCTCTACTGTAATTGATCGTCCAATCTCTAAGCCTAAGGTCCCTATAGTTATATGTTCTGCACTGGTCGTAACAATCTACTAGGCGAAATAAGCCTTGATAATCAGTCACAGGTTTATTATAGCATATAATGTTTAACTGAGTTATATGATAAATAGAGCTTTATATGATTTAGTAAAATCCTTAGAATTTAATACTATAGAAGAAAGAGGATCGAAAGGCCTTAAATGCTTAAATACACAAAATAGATCATGTTCTAGTCACGTGTACTCATAGCTTGTGGGTCGCTTACACAGCGTTGTCACAAGTTAAATATTGCTTAGTAAGCAGTTCTAAAAATAAACATCACCAGATTACTAAAGTGCATTCTTCCTCAACCAGTATAGCTCAAAACATCCTTCCAGTTAATATTGTTATGATTTATTTGTTACTGTAATCAAATTTTTATATGCTCTAAATTATGCACTCTAATAATCATTTGCTGTACTGAATCTCAACGTCTAAATTGTGGCATTGTGACTACGGATTGCTTAAGCCACAATTCGAAGGCAGGCTCCAATTACGCTGTGCCACGAAATGCATCACATGCTACAGGCATCCCCACCGCGCGAAGGGCTACTCTACATTCAATAATTTCATCCTACACTTCATCCTGATATAGAATTGTGATTTCTTGACATTGGATAATCTTATCCTACACTCTATTCTGGTCTAAAATTGTGATTTTGATCTCACGTCAACTTCCTTAAAACAACGCGAAATCCCTAGCCGTTCGCAATTATGTATCTTTTAGAGATGAAAAGCCCCGAGCGAATTCAGCCTGATCTATGTTGCCACCCATAATACCCTTCCCTACGCAATCCTTTCACATACTTGGACAGATCAAGAGGTCACATATAAAGATCTAATGAATGATACTGGGAAAAGCAAGTCTGGCTACGAAAAGATCAAGTTTTGTGGAGAACAAGCGGCTAAAGATGGCCTTCGATATTTCTGGGTGGACACTTGTTGTATTGACAAATCGAATCTTACTGAGCTTTCGAGGGCTATTAATTCTATGTTCTACTGGTATCAAAATGCGAAGAAATGCTATGTATATCTCACGGATGTATCGACCCCTGGCGATGATGTATATGTCCAAGCAAACCAGAGCATATGGGAAGTAGCCTTTCGGAGTAGTAGATGGTTTACTAGAGGCTGGACACTTCAAGAACTTATTGCTCCAGCGGAAGTCGAATTCTTCTCTCAAGAGCACAAGCTACTTGGTGACAAAAGGTCACTCGAAAAACTAATTTATGAGATTACCCGAATTCCATTTCAGGCTCTACGAGGGGATCCTTTCTCTGATTTTAGTATCGCTGAGCGGAAAAGATGGGTAGCACAACGCCAGACAACCGAAGAAGAAGACCTGGTTTACTGCCTGTTAGGCCTCTGCAAGGTGTCTATGCCACCAATCTATGGCGAGGGAAAGGAGGTCGCACTGAAAAGGCTCGAAATGACAGTCAAGGGGTTCTCCACTAACGAGAGCGAGCCGAAAGATCTTAAAGGTATGGCAGATCTAACCTGATTTGACTATACTAAACACTATTTTATAGATAATACCGCTTCATTTATTGTCCCATTCGGCAGAAATCTCAACTTTATCGGTCGTGGAACACAGCTTACCGAGGTGGAAGCAAAACTATTTACAGGAGGTCGAATGACAAAAGTTGCCATCACAGGGCTCGGGGGAATAGGCAAGACCCAGCTGTTGCTTGAACTTGTCTATCGAATAAGGGATAGATATAAGGATTGCTTAGTGATCTGGATACCCGCAACCAATACGGAAAGTCTTCATCAAGCATATCGAGAAGTTGCCCGCCAACTCAAGATCCCTGGCTCGGACGAGGATAAGGCTGATGCAAAGAAACTCGTGCAAAATTATCTGAGCAAAGAAAGCGTAGGTCGGTGGCTCTTAGTTTTCGATAATGCTGACGATGTCAATATGTGGATCACTGTATCTAGGTCAGGATCTGGCCGTCTAATCGACTGCCTCCCACGAAGTGAGCAAGGATGTATCGTCTTCACAACGCGCGACAGAAAGACTGCCGTTAAGCTTGCACACCAAAATATCGTAGAGGTACCAGAGATGGGCGAAGACGTAGCGATACAGCTGCTCCAGAAGTGTTTAGTTGATCCAGATCTGGTTAACAATAGACCAGATACAACAGCCCTACTAAAAGAGCTCACATACCTTCCACTTGCTATTGTTCAGGCAGCAGCATATATTAACGAGAATGGGATTGCGTTCGCGGATTATCTATCCCTCCTTGCAGAGCAAGAAGAGGATGTTATTGATCTCCTTAGCGAGGAGTTTGAAGACGATGGGAGATACGATAATATAAAAAACCCTGTGGCTACAACATGGCTCATCTCGTTTGAACAGATACGGTATCGGGACCCTCTTGCAGCCGACTACCTATCGTTTATGGCATGTATAGACCCCAAGGATATTCCCCAGTCTCTTCTTCCGGCAGGAAGGTCTCGAAAAAAGGAGATAGATGCAATTGGGACACTTGATGCTTACTCGTTTATTATTAAGCGAGTGGCAGACCAAGCTCTTGATCTTCACCGACTAGTGCATCTCGCAACGAGAAATTGGCTTCAGCAAAATGATCTGATCACCCAATGGACCGAAAGGGCGATTATACGATTAGAGGAAGTATTCCCAAACGATGACCACCAAAATAGAACTACATGGAGGACGTATTTGCCACATGTATGTTATACGCTAATGTCTGATAAAGCTGGCAAAGATGGGGAAACCCGGATTGCTCTGTCGCGGAGATTTGGGGCGTGTCTCCTTAGTGATGGACGATATAATGAGGCTGAGATACCGTTTGTGGAAGTAATGGAGAGGCACAAGAGTGTTTTCGGACAAGAGCATCCTTCCACACTAACCAGTATGGCCAACTTGGCTTCGACATTTTGGAATCAGGGACGTTGGAAGGAGGCCGAAGACTTGGAGGTGCAAGTGATGGAGACGAGAAAAAGGGTGTTAGGGCAGGAGCATTTAGACACACTGACCAGCATGGCCAATTTGGCTTTGACATACCAGAATCAAGGACATTGGAAGAAGGCCGAAGACTTGGATGTGCAAGTGATGAAGATGAGAAAGAGGATGTTAGGGCAGGAGCATCCAGACACACTGACCAGCATGGCCAACTTGGCTTCGACATACCGGAATCAGGGACGTTGGAAGGAGGCCGAAGACTTGGAGGTGCAAGTGATGAAGACGAGTTTGAGGGTGTTAGGGCAGGAGCATCCTTCCACGCTGACCAGCATGGCCAACTTGGCTTTGACATTTTGGAATCAGGGATGTTGGAAGGAGGCCGAAGACTTGGAGGTGCAAGTGATGAAGACGAGTTTGAGGGTGTTAGGGCAGGAGCATCCAAACACGCTGAACAGCATGTCCAACTTGGCTTTGACATTTTGGAATCAGGGACGCTGGAAGGAGGCCGAAGACTTGGGGGTGCAAGTGATGGAGATGAGAAAGAAGGTGTTAGGGCAGGAGCATCCTTTCACACTGACCAGCATAGCCAACTTGGCTTTGACATACCGGAATCAGGGACGCTGGAAGGAGGCCGAAGACTTGGGGGTGCAAGTGATGGAGACGAGAAAGAGGGTGTTAGGACAGGAGCATCCAGACACGCTGGCCTTTTCTACTATCATCTTGCCCTCATATGGAAGGGACTTGGCCGAGATAAAGAGGCCCTTAAGCTTATGGAAGAATGTGTATTATTACTGACTAGGATTATAGGTACTAATCACCCTAATACATTGTCTTCCCGTGTAATATTACTTGAATGGCAGACAAATGAACTAGAGATTGATCCGGAGTAAGGAGAAAGAGAATGGGAGGAGGGCTTTACCTAATTATCAGATAAATAGAGTAGTTATCTCTTTGAAACCAACAACACTAAAAAATGTTCATATTCAGACTTCGTAATATGTTCTTCACACTATTTCTCTTAATGTAGCAATATATTTATCTCAAAAGTCATTCAATTTCGTTAGTCTGTCTCGGCACATAGGGTGTCTCGCTACGCAGGGATGGACGTTATCTGGTTTCTATTGAATTATACATAGACTGAACAAACTAGCTAAAGGGTATAGAATAGATGTTGTAGCGCCCTTCGATGTTGTGCCAGCTATAGTAGAATCTACTGTAGATCCTACAATATCGCATGACCGACTGTCAGAGCAACCTGTATTACATGAATTCTGATCTATATGGAAATTCAAAAAAAGTTCTCTTAAAGGGTTGTGCTAAAACAACAGAATCACAATGAATAGCAGTGACTGTTGTGCGATAATCAGATGGTAGCCAAAGAATATTTGTACTATTTCTAGTAATCCAATCATCTGATACAGTTAAAGTATATAGCAATATTGGATTATCCAAATCAGATATGACCTGCTTAACATCGGCGAAAAAGCGACTGAGTAAACGATTCTTGTATAGCCTTCAAGTGTTGGCTGAATTTGTTGCCCTGTCGCTGTATCCCAAAGCCGTACTGTATTATCCCAAGATCCAGATACGACCTGCTTGCCATCAAGCGAAAAAGCGACTAAGTGAACGTAGCTTGTATAGCCTTCAAGTGTTTGTAGCATCGCATTCCAATATGATTCTACTATAGGCTTCTGCTTAATCCAAAACGGAATATCCTTTTCAAATATTGTTCGGACATGTGAGAGGCTAGACCTCGAATAACTCAGAGGCATAGGTTCAGGTAAATCTGTTAAGAAGTGCATGAGGACTATGTACATGAAAGTGTCTCCATATATATAATAGAGAGAAAGGACTGTAGATAATTCTAGAAATATGGAGAACAGCATAGAAGTCAGTGCTCAGCGAGGGCTGTGGCCCGAACATCCACATGGGTTCTAACCCTTACAATGCGAAATGAAAGACGGCTGTTGATCAACAAGCAAATAGATCAGACTCTATAACACGGCTGTAGCATAGTTGATTCGGGAGTCGGTAGCCTGGCAAAAGAAGTAAGATAAAAGAACCGGCTTAGCCCCAGACTTCTCTAGTTCATTGATAACTCCGCAAAGGAGCATCGTCTTGCCCTTGCCAGGATTGCCCTTGATCCAAAGTAGCCGGCTCTGCTGATCGTTGCGCCATTGTCGGAAATCGGAGTTTTCCAAGATCCAATTGTATGAGCCCTATAGTATATCGCCTTTCATTTCTTCAATACGCTTTTTGTTGTTATGCGGATCGGAAAGACGTAAGTCTTGGATACATTTCTGCATCTTGTAGAACTTGTCTAGAAGCTGATTATATACACATATAAATCCCTCGCTATAGATAGGAAGTATATAGATATCGAAAATGCCTAATAAGGAATACACTTTATTTTCTGCCAGTGTAGTCTGACGGTGTTGTATCCACTGCAATTACTCTTCGACGCTAAATCGAAACAACGATTGTCCCTCAAACGTTATACAAGGAATATTAGTTATCTTATCAATTTGGATTATTAGAGAACCTTTATTACCAAACCATCCACATTCCCGAACAAAAAACTCGATCGATACTGGGGCAAGAAGCTTTTGAAGTGTTTAGCCTCAAGTGAACCATTTATTCTTTTATAAATCCGATTCCTATAGTTGCGGAATACATTTATAATTATTACTAATGGAATATTTAGAGATATTCAACAAATAAATATAACATTGGACTGCATTGCAATACCAACGAAATATAGAGTTGATAGATTGTGAGAGTTCAGCATCATCGCTCTTGTTGATATAATAAGTATCGATCCAGAAGTATTCTAGTCCATCTTGTCTAGCCTGTTCTCCACAGAATCGGATTTTCTCATAGTCAGGCTTGACCTCGCTAATACTATTTAGGATATCCTCAAAGGTAACTTTCTCATCATTTGGTCCCCATGTATGCGATAGTATAGTGTAAGGAGGGACTTCGCCGCTAGTCGGTTCGCAAAAAACGATCTCGCTGTCAGGTTTGCGTTGCAAGAGATGTATAAAAGATATACTGGAGGTTCGCAAGCGTTATTGTAACAAATACAACTTGTATCGCTGATTCGACAAATTTTCGTAAACACTTCGATTTGAAGGTCTAGATTTTGAAGATTAAAAAGTTTAAAGATTGAGATGTTAAAGAATTGGGTATAAGAAAGACATACAATCGTCGTCGCAAATGCTGCTAATGAGGCTGTGTCGTAGCGTAATCTGATTAACCACTTATATGTCTGAGGCAAAAAAATAAAAATTGGGAAGAATACTTCATTTTATAGAGACCTTGTTCAATACAAACTGGATCCTGAGAGAACTTTGCTTTTTGTTGTTAAAACACTGGTTTCTTTAAAGTCAAAAAGCAATGGGGTGCTATAGGTGGGATCAAAAGGTCGGAACAATTATGAACACATCTAAGGTTGTAGACTCTTTCCGCACAAGCCACTTTTTGCTCTATTTATAGATTACCGGGGAAGCGGGATTCTTCGGTGAGATTGTATCAAGCCACAAGCGCTATTACCATGTGTTTAGCAGCCACAGACTTCATTAAATTTTTTACAGAAATTGCTAGAACTACACCATCGCTGACTAATATCCTCAATTACTTCGTCGGAAAAGTATCATCTCTGCGACAACGCCATATGAAATAGCATGCTCTAGCCCATCACAAAACTTGCACTTACTTCTCAGCATTGTGATAAGACGTGAAAGTTCATATCCAGTCGTTATACAAGTTCAAAATGAAGAAAGATCTTAATAATAGTAATGCGGGTGGAGAGGTCCTATTGTGTTAAAGAGCCTATCCATGATTCAGACGAACGGCGACAATACGATGAAAATTTTCGGAAGCAAGAAGCTAGAAGTATTCCAGAGAAGCATTCAAGACATATAGAATGATAATATATAAATTATTTGATACTTTCATGGATTTAGAGCCGCTTGAATTCGAAGTACCTGTGATTTGTCTCGTGATGGGGTGCGTCTCGCTACGCAGGGACGGACGTTAATAGTAGAGTATACTAAATCTTGAGCACGAAGCTCTACACAAAGGAAACCATCCTGATTATATAGACCTTCGTCCTCCATTGGATCTCTTGGATCCTGAGAGTTTGTGGACCTTCGATTCGTATGGACATACGATTTGTATCCCTGAATATGCAGGGTCCATCACGTGACTTTGATCAGACTATATGTCCAAGCTTGCTAAGGGTGGGGAGATCCTACGAACCGATTACCATACAATTTTGTATGTGAATCGGTTTGCTTTTCCACGGGGTCTGAGCTCATATGGACAGGTTGACTGTTACTACGTAACACTCAACTTGCTCTTTTAATTCCATCAAGCAATCTCGTTTCCAAAACACTCCTTATTCAACCCATCTACCTACACCCAACTCAACTTCAACCCGTTCATTCCATTTCTTAACAGTATCGCCCAATCGAAACCATATCTCTTCCACCTCCATGTGAACCTCTTGCCACTTCGGATGCTCATCAATGTTTTGCTTTAACAATGGTCTCTGAAAGCCAAATAAAATCAGCGCTTGTTTGGTATGTTTCTGCTCTAGGTTCTTTACCAACAGCATAATTACTTTCTCTGTGATGCAGCCACTGAGTAATAAACTAACTGTTTTTTCTATAATGAGGGAAATTTACATTTATATTAGGAGATTGAAGAATATGAAAAGACTGATCCTATTCAAGAGACTGATCTTTAGTAAAAGACTTATTATAGGAAAAATCGAAAGGAGTAATTTACAAGTGTTGGGGAATATGCTATTTTGGACATTTCCTGTTTTGTCAAGGCCAATTAGGACCTTCCTCACTCTATTCTAAATTTGGATGCTGTTCCAATAGCAAAGATCAGCTTATATAATTCTAGCAAGGGTCTATTGAGGACCTTCGGCCTTGGAAAAAAAGATGAAGGTGTATGAACGGCTTGTATAGTTGCATTTCCCTTTTCCTTAAATATGATTATAATACCCAAAAGCACTATCCCAGTACAGAACTCTGTCTGGACAAAACCTTCCTATAGTCTAGGATAAATAGTGGGGTTATGGTTCAATACGGGCTGGGTTAGGTGAGTTTCGCCAATGTTCTCCACTTTATATTACGTCAGTCTTTCATTTGGCAAATGAACGCTTTCCAAAGTGGATCAAGCTTGGAAGAAGGTTCTTGATAAGACGAGATCTGATATGTTGTAGCCGCTATGAGATTCCTTGCAATTTGAGGTCTGGAGCAGTTTCACTTTGCGCCATTCTTGGACAAGTCCGCATCACTGATTTGAAAACTGGCGAACGGACTGACCTCTATTATTTGATTTAAATGGATGACAGCAATATCACTCATATCATTATCAGTGCATTGACTATTAAGTATAAAAGATAGATCTAAAGCTGAAATACCTGATGGGTGGTGTGATCTTAAAGCTTTGGCTGCTAAGGTACGGGACGACCCGATCTAGCACGACGATATGAAGGAGTTATGCCCTTGTACCCATACTTCTTACTCATCTCCAGCATTCAGCTCAACAGGGAATGCACGTTGTGTTACATCGGGTAACATATTCCGCATCACATGACTAAATAACGGGATCAGCATAGTCATGTGACTGGCTCTAGGTAATCTAATTAGAGCCACTAGAGCCAGAACACAAAGATCTATATAATCGGAATGGATTTCTTTACTGTAGAGCTTCGTACTCAAGATCAATCACTTAGTATACTCTACCATTAGTTACGAACAGCATATCATTACTGTTGTTACTTAAGTCCCTGCTTGACGCCTAGTTATAAACCTACTTCAAGAGCCTAGAGCACTTCCACGTGATCTAGACGGCTACCCTCGTAACACTTTGAGCACCATTACTGCTTCAAGTACCGACTCGATAGTAACGACATCATGTCTTCCAAGACACCACAGCCTAGCAACCCCGCCACGACCAGCCAGGTCACTCCCGAAAGCACCGACAAGGACGGAGACATCGCCATGGGAGGTATCGAAGACCCCAAGGAGATTACCGTCACCGAGGCTCTCAAAGTCGCCATGCCAGACCGATTTACAGGCAACCGACAAGAGCTAGAAACCTTCTTGCTTCAACTTGAGATCTACTTCCAATTCAATCAGGATAAGTTCAACCATGACGCCGACAAAAGCGTCTGGGCTGCCTCCTACCTTAGAGGAGAAGCCGCTAAGTGGATCCAACCATACCTCAAGAATTACTTCACCAACTTGAGCGAGCCTAAGAAACGATTGTATCCCACTCAGACCATTTTTGGGAAATTCGATGGGTTTAAGAAAGAAATACGGCGAGTATTCGGGAATATCAATGAATTGCGTGGCGCCGAGTCCAAGATCTATGGCCTCAAGCAAACATGTCAGCAGTCAGGTACGCTGTGGAATTCAGGAGGTACATAGGTACCACTGGTTGGGAAGAAAACGCAACAATGAGCCACTATCGGAAAGGGCTCAAGGCAGAAGTTAGGTTAAAATTGGATCGAAATTGCAGTTGAGAAGACCTGAATAAGTTAATCGAGGAATCTGTTAAGATGGACGAAATGCTTTACGAATACCAAAAAGAACGCCGATCTTCCAACTTCCACGGCAACCGAGATCGTGGGAAATACCGCAAGAATGGGGGAAGACCTCGAGACAACAAACAGTCCTACGAGGATCCAATGCAATTGAACGCGACATTCAGGAATAAACTACATAAGGAAGAGGTAGAGTGAAGGCGCAAGGAAAAGCTTTGCTTCAAGTGTAGCAAGGCAGGCCATCAGGCAAGGGATTGTCAGAGCGATAAGACACCAGGAAGAGGAGGCTTCAACAAGAAGTTCGACAAGGGCCAACTTAATGCCACCTTTATCCCTCAATTATGGGCAGTCAGCACAACCGAGCTCCCTACAAAGCAATCGCCGGCTTATATCGAAGAAGAACCAGAGGTAGAAGAGAACCTCGAATGGCTTGACCGAAGCCCTAATCTCGGAGAACTATGGACTATCCATGGGATAGACGCATGGAACCGTCGTATCTGGAAGTTCGCAGATACCAACGAGGGAACGATGGACGAGGACGCCAGCGTGACCGATGCGGAAGAAGGCGAATCCTACGAGGTGAAGCTCATCGATGAATATCGGATTCTGTGGTACAGGGTTACCACTAACAACTCGTTTGCTGAGAGAACCAGTCACAAGCACTTGGAAGGACCGGTGAAAGGAGAAATCTGGGAGGTTTGCTATCACCACCCCATTACGGACGACAGAAATCTGTCACGAATCATATGGTTATATGATCAAGGGACCTTAGGCTCAGTGATTAAATAATCATAGGAGAACCCTTGGGAGGATTTCATTGGATAACAGCCAGTTTATAATCGTTCCCTTTCACAGCGGTCATGTGATCAGTCAATGAGCCAGGTGAGCCGGAGCAATTAGCATAGTAAACAGAACGGTATATATTCTAATTAGTTTCATAGCTTAGGAGCTTCATGCTCAACTTAGTTGTCAATTAGTTTACCTACATTCTACCTGATCTAGTAACGACTTCACCTCTGAGTGAATACTCAGTGATATATCCTTAACCTAAAATATACCAACCAACGAACCTAAGGCATCAGTTGCCTAGAGAGTACCAGATCGTTACAAAATCGCGACCTTTTTCTATGCTGGAAGACGGGAGATGAATACCGAATTAACGCCCAGATCATACTCCCACCCCCCAAGATAGGCCGCCTACTCAAGGTAGTAGCTAGCAATTGTTATATACAAAATGGAAGGACATACTTGATGACAGAATCAGGAAGGGTCGCAACGCCGCTTACCTAAGAGAAAGCGAGCCAAGCAAGGCTCTAATTGACCAAATTGACCTAATTGACCTAATTGACCAAATTGACCAAATTGACCAAATTGACCAAATTGGTCCAAACCAACAATTAAACATTATGGGGCAAGCAGGACAGATTTACTGCGATGCCAAGATAAATGGACGACAAATCTGAGCTATAATCGGTCCAGGAGCTACGGTAAATTTTATTGCACCAGGAACTGTGAAGTACTTAGGGTACATCTCTAGACGAAACAGAGACTCTATAAATTCCAGCTAATAGGCGGACAACTAGCCGGATTAAACGGCAAAATTTCTAGTGAGACTCTCCTAGTATGGATAAGTATAGTTTCGCATAAGAAGGTTATCCAGTTTGATATTATTCTATTAGGGAATCAACAGATCATTTTGGGAATAACCTAGTTGAAGGCACACAACTCCAAACTCGATTGGTTTACAGAAGCTGTATGCTTTCCAAACAAAAGTAATCTACGAGATGCGTTAGAGCCTGCGAGGCTGTACACACGCGATGAAGAATTGAAGGCGGACAATTCTATCGACTTAGGGCGCCCAGTCCAGGGTCCTCCATTAACGGTGAAGGAAGGTGACCTCCTGTACAAATGAAGAATAAGCAGAAGAAGTGCTTGAAAACACCCTTGTAAATAAACAGGAAGAAGCGCCAATACCGGGACAATACCAGAAGTACAAGAAACTATTCGAAGAAAGAAAGGGCCATGAGGCTTTACCAGAACACAAGCCATGGGACCACGAGATAGTATTGCAGGAAGGCAAGACGCCTCCATTCGGGCCAATCTATCAGATTTCGGAGCCTGAACTAAGGACGCTTAGGGAATATCGACGAAGCATTAAAGAAAAGATGGATCAGAGAATCCTCTTCACAAATAGCAAGCCCTGTTTTATATGTACTCAAGAAACATAATACTAAAAGATTATGCGTAGGAAGAAGAATGAGGAAAGATATCCTTGCTTTTAATTATCGTTCCTTGGTATGAGATTTTACCATGTTCGCTTGTATGATTTCTTATATATATGATACAAATGCAAAGGAAGTTCTTAATATACGCGCCTCTCAATATGCTAAATGAGATTTTCATTGCACTATGCCAAGAGATGTGATTTCCAATGTAAAGTAAAGAACTGGGTAATGAGGATTATGTCTATAACAATAATATAGGTTTTTGATAAGGAGGAGATAGTGGATCAAGTTCAGGAATCTTTTGAAAAACTTGTGAAAATTCCTTGTTGTCAGGATACCATTTTGGAAAGTTTATCTTTCTATCCGAACGTCTGCCTTCAATTTTGTTTGTCTAATCTGCGGATACATAACGTTGCTCAACTAGGAAGGAAGTATCTGCAGCCCTGACACACCAGCACATAGTCTGCCTCGGAGATACCCCTATCTATTCCAATCAAGGTAACCTTTGCGGACGTAACCAACAAGCTCCGTATAGCTAGTCTAATTCGCTTTGTTCCAGGGTCTGCCAACGCGGTTCAGGAGAGCTGCATATCTCGCAGGTTGATAACCCGCCATGAGTCATGAGTTTGGGATATTATTAGATAAACAATCCTCTCATCAATATATCAAGTTAACTCATTAGAAATAGTATCTTTGACCTTTATAGAATGGTTGATAATATCCGACTAAATTTATCTTCCTCAAATCGCTAGCTGAAGGATTTCCTCAGAAAGGTATCAAATGAACCTGTTGATGATGATATCTTTATTCTTTCAGAATGTGAAGTCGATAAAAATAGTTGAAGCGTTGAGCCTATAAATTTGAAACTTTTGTGAATGTAAGAGAAGATTTTGAGTGGTTTACCGAAGTACGAAAAACATGATGGCCAAAGTGGGGCTATGAGTCCGATTTGTATTCGTATAAGACTACAAGAAAAGAGTATCCCCTCATGCTCAAGATCCCTACATTAAATCATACCCCTGCTGCAGCTCGTGTCATGGTGGCCAGGTCAGTAACCCTGGTTATTATCACTCGTGCCGTCAGAAAGTGCAGAACCATACACTTAAATATAGGCCACTGCTCGCCTTGTAGTATGTACTTAAAGTGGATGGTTCTATACTTTCTGGCTGCACAAGTAGACCTTCCTCATTCACTTCTGATTCTGTTACTTCTCATTATATTCATCGAAATCAACAACAACCAAAAATTACTTTCAAACATGGATTTTTCTCGAGAAAGACTACAAACTGGCTTGGAAGATTTTTTGTTAAGTGTAGCGACGGAAAGTCTTCCTTCGACAGAAACTCTAATTCTCTCCTTCTCTCTTTTGGAGAACAAAAGATATAAATTAGTAGCCGAGAAAGAACTTTCTCGCTGGCTCGAGAACGACGCAAAGTACAATACATTCGATGGCAGCTATCATGAGGGATTCGGCGAACGGTTCGCAGATTATGAGCCAGGACCAAGACCTACAGCACTTCCCTTTAACCAGGCGCCATACGACTCCTATGATTTGTGTTTAAACGCAGATCACAGAAATTATTGCCATCGCAAAGAGATTAAGATGGGTATTCTGAGTCATGTATCTTACACGAGTGAGGACACCGAATGGGATTTTTCACAAAGTTCGGTTTCTTCATTGCAATGTCGTGTTGAGAACTCGAAGGAAATCATGGCCAAATACATGGTTGCGTACAATGTCGTGCAAGAGCTGGTACGGGAATATCAGGAAATGTTTGAGTTATCAGCAGACCGTTACGTTGATGTGGAATTCAGACTCAACGTGAGAAAAGATACTGAGCATCGACTAGCTTTGAGAAGTGATACAAGATTGAATCCCCCGGGTTACCTTTCGTGCACTCCTACATTAGACAGCTTGGGGAATCAAATGGAAAAGGTAACTGAAGAAGTACTGAGCATTGGTAATCGATTGAAATTCCTGGAGAATGTAGTATCAACCATCAACGATGCTAAATCAGATGAACTATCGAACTTGATGTCGCTTGTCAGACGATTGAGATTGTACGTAGCACCTAGAAGTGAACAAATGTAACAAGCTAATCATTTATTGTAGTGCAGAAGAACGTTTTATTCTCCAAAAGCCAAAGAGAGAATTTTCCCTCCCTGCAGAGATTTGGTCCAATATTCTCGAGAAAGTCATGCCGAACATACAGACCATCAACTCTAATAATGGAAAGTTGGACCCTATGCTTGAGAGATGGAAGATATCGAAAGTCCTGTTTCGAACGGTAGTCCCAATTTACTACAGAGAGGCCATCTTCTCGTTCACTCCACACTCGTTTATGAACTGTACTACCGTCAAAATCATGAAGAAAATCACTATCCATATGTCGTCACCTGAATGGTATACGCATGCAATTGGCACAGAATGCGCCTGCGATTTACCGAAGACGACAACAGCAATTGAAGCTTATACTTTACAAAAGCGATTGAAGGAATGTACTGCATTGGTGGAACTCCGGTTTATAATTCCGCCTTGTGCAAAAATTGAAGGTCATGCTGAGTTGAAATGTATTTCTTTGTCCAAAGCTGATCTCTCCGATCTTCGAAAATGGAAAGGGTCATGCGATTGTTGCACCTTCAGCAAAAAGTCAAACCTATGCTCTTTGTCCACTTTGGTACCAGTTGAGATTATTTAGATGGGTGGATGTATTTAGTATATCAAGTCAAAACAAGCAAATATTTTACCACGTAGAATGCCCGCGGGCATGGAGACTTGAGGTTCGTGACCTTGCGCTTTTGATGGAGAATTAAGACCAAGAGATTCATTCTAATTTTCCCCTCAAGTATCAAGTCTTTTTCCCAATGAATCGAACTGGCCCGGCCATAATTTATGACTTAGAATTTAGCGTGAAAAAAGCTGGCAAAGTTTGATTTGTATCTTTGCACAGGCCGATTAGTTCTTATCACAGAAGTCAGGCTTAGAAGAAAGCTTGACTTAGTTGGGAGAGATATCATTTGATAACCTTTTTTCTTCATAATATTTCCTTAATCGTTTATTTCTTTCATGTTAGTCTAATCACAACTCTCAATAATTTTTAGCCTCATTCAGCTATACTTATCGTATTTATCTTCGTGAGTTATTCCATACAGAGCTTGCAACGAATTCAGTTCATTCTGACATTGGTTCAAAGGGGTCTCTATGTGATTGAGAATTCCAGGTACTTTCAAAAGGGTAAATGTCTATGGGGCGAAGAGTGGAGGTGTATGATCTTCGAGGGTGACTACGATCAGATCTCTTGATATTGAAGAAATTAATTGCACGAATTGAGAGCTCGGTGGAAAGGTTAGAATCTGGCAACATATAGTCTTTCGCATCGAGTCTTTCCAGATACGCAGCATTACCCCGCTCCTTGCCCACCTTCTCTTTTTGAAATAGGCCGCTTAAGGATTGGGTTGTAGTTGAATATTATCTTCTGGTCCTTGGTATGAGTTTTTGATGTCAAGCTTTGTTTAGATTCCTAGAATCAATGAAGATGACAGTAATGACGCCCCTTTATTTACAACGTATGACCGTCAAGAATGTCCTCAGGGTTGACGCTCCCGACATCATGAATATTGAGGATGCCAAGGCTGAACTCCAGAGCGAACGAGAAGCGTATTGGGCACATCTCACCGACACTAAATTGAGGAAGGAGAGACGGTGCCGCCAGAATCGGATCAACAAATACATATCACGCTGGAGAGAAGAGTTCCATCTTGTGACAACCGAGGACTACCACCCATTAGCATGCGAACTTCAAGATATGCGTGAGGGTGGAGTAAGGACAAGTAAAGGAAGACCGAGAAGACCCGAGGGCCGGTCAAAAAGGTGTATAAGCCCGCGTTTGGCTTACAAACTTCAGAAGCCCGATACAGAAACCTCGAATGATGAAGACAGTATCTTCGACTCACCAATGGATTTTCATTTTGGCCCACTCGACGAACCATCTTCCAAAGAGATTGACGGTTAGCTAGTTGTAAGAGTCATCCTGTTAACGTAACCGATCGATTGCCATTAGATGTTTCATACGACATCTTCCTTGTCATCAACGTACCCAAGAGTATGAGCGACCCTGCGCTCGCACCATCCGGAGAAAAGGACTTGAATGCTGAACAAACAGGGCTGACGGACCTATACTTGAACAGGTTCTAGCACTCCGTTTCCGCGAATACTAAGAACGAAGAATTGGCTAGGAGATGATTAAAACGATTAAAACGACGAAACCGGAATATCTTACCCACCTGTGGGTCGAATTGCAATTAGAAATCTGGCTGTTCCAAGGCAATTCAAAAGAACATCAGGGGAGCGTATGAGCCATGATAATACCCCAGACAAGTCCGAAGACGATATCGGGGCATCTCCCTCAAATGGTCACATACTGGCGACGCGTGAGCCTTGGGAAACTGCTAACACTCATTCACAAGCTTGACTTTGACTAAAGTATACAGCAGGGTCTCTCACTGTTGGTTACTGCATTGAGCGGAGGCAATTATTCCTCCATGCTTACATCTGATCCAAACTGCCGGAGTCTGATGTGGAGATAATTCATATCTTAAGCCTGTTTTATTGTGTGATATAAGCTGCAGAGTGAACTTTTGCATTTATCCATCACCCTACTGCATCTAAATGCGTGCCCCCAGGATATTAATTAATAAACAAACAAACAAACCAACCAACATTAACGTGGTGGAGGCTTCAAGTTCTAATCCTTGTATCTGATCCAAACTGCCGGAGTCTGATGTGGAGATGACTCGTATCTTAACCCTTAACCGGTTTTATTATCCTTTCGAAAGACGGACTTGTGCTGACATTATAAAGGATAATCTAAAAAATGATGTTCACTTACACAAAGCCCAGATAAACCCTTTTACGACGTTTCTTTACAACATGAACATATGATCAATTATTCGAGATTAGTATTGGAGAATCTTCCCAAAACGTACCTGGCGTTCATTTATATAAACTAGCTATCCCTATTTACAAGCGCTCTTCACTTGTAGATTCTGAGTAGTCCAATTGCTAGCTTATATACACTCTTTTGATCACAATACCCTTTAGAGCGAGGGAAACTTCTCGAAATTGTTTTATAATAATCCAAGCTGGTTAGACAGGTCATTTGCAACTTTGAAATAGTGATTTGAAAACTTGTTTTTGTATTTATGTTTTTATGTGCCAAGGTTGGAAGCGATGTGATCAGATACTTTGTTATTTTCATGTGATCGGGTACCGCAAATTATCATATGATAATGTAAGGAAGGGTACGCGAAAGCTCGCGATCGCGATCAATCGCGATAGTGTACAACATGTAACAACTATACTCCACTTATCACAAACCAAACAATGTCGTCGCAGATCATGAAGACAAGATCAAAAAGACCTTGTTCGATTTGTTCTCGGAACGTGTCAAATCCTAGCGAACATTTGAAAAGTTGCCTAAAACAAAAACAGCGTTGCGAACTATGCGATAAACAATACCCAGCTGGACGCTATCGCGACCACAAGCCAGTGTGCGAGGGGCCCAAGATATCTACACCCAAACCTTTATCGGAATATTTGGATCTTGGATGGTTTAATTGGCGTCATAAATGCCCTCAGATATTACCTGGTCTCACAAGCATAAACTCTATGGATTATGGGACAAAGGATCTTTGGGCTACTTTACCTATGAAGATAGATATGCATTCAAACTCGATTCCAACAGAAGAAGAAATGTATGCGAAGGTCTTTTCTTCTATCAACGAATCAACCGATTTCAAAGCGTACGAAGATGGAAAAGAATCATTTGACAATCGCAACAAGGTTCGAATCGCAGGGACAGCTCTGTTCAGAGCTACAACTCAATCGAAAACTCGAAAATTTGCTAAAGATAACGAAGTTTGTGGTTCGATTTCGAATGTACATGTCAAAAATGTATCACTTGAGCTTCCCGAACTTCCTAGGGCTCAGCACCATCATCTTGAAATCACAACAAAACTGAGGGTGAGTGTAAGTCCTGCAGGAAGGTTTACAGACTTGTGGATAGATATGGAGAGAAGTGTATTCTTGTTGGATTTTGGAAGGTCTCGCAACATTTGGCTTGTCTTTCCACCCACGGATAGAAATATGAGGTTGCTTTCTGAGGTTGTTGGAGAACCAAATATTCTTGCTCGAATTGGTTCTGATCTTGAAGGAGGAATCGTATGTGAGACCACTGCGAGCAGCGCCTTGTATTTGCCTGCAGGCACTGTAAGTTTAATCATTAATGTATATATTCAAGTGATCACTAATGATTTTAGTTGTGTGCAGTATTCACTACTGAAGGTGGATTACTTGGAGAGATCAAGTTTACCACAGCGGCAGATGTAGCAATCATGGACCAATTTAGACAAGCAGAGATGATCTCTGCTTTTCCGCGATCATTGACTAGCTCTGACTATGACAGTAAGTTACTCACAAGGTATTTTGATCAACAATATTACAATTTCTAATTTGTTTTAGGTCTAAAGTACATTCAGAAAGCCAAATACTGGCCTGGTTTAGTAAGCGACGAACTTGTCGGTACGCTTACTAGTTTCGAGAACGTTGTTGACAAGGGAAGGCACCCTTTGTGGACTATTCTTCCTGAAGTCTCTCAAGAAATGACCCAATCCGAAGCACTGTTGATAATGCATCTGACCTACGCCCTTAAGTCCAAGAACATACAGGATATTCAGGTCCATCGGGGTAGTCCTCAAGGGCACGCTGAAGATAATCTATCAACATCATCAGCTCAAGAGAAGAGAGACTGGGCAAAAAGTTGTATGGGCCAATTAGGATGTCAAGATGTTATGCTTCCTTTGTATAAGATTGCACGATGTGAGCTACCTGAAGCGGACTCTGTCTCACCGCTTCTTAATTGGACCAAAAAGAATCCCTATTTGTATAAACAACCAGAGATGGGAACGTCGGCAATGGTGACTCCATCTGGTGCATATTCAGACATCCATACCGATTCCACAACTATCGGAAGAGCAGTTTGCATTGAGAGATGTACCAAGATCTGGCTAGTATGGCCTCCCACCAAACACAATTTACAATTATGGGCAGACAACAAAGGACTCGGAGTAGCAATCCAAATTTATGGGCATAAACTAGAAGGAGGTTTTGTAATACAAACGTCAGGGAATAAGTCTCAGGCCAATGCTTTGACAATGCCTGCGGGAACGTTACACTGTGTTTTCACAATCTTTGGGGGTTTTTTGATAGGTTCAAACTATTCTACAGCCGAGGATATCCCCCTAGCGGTGGAAATGCTTAGAATGCAAGTTATACGTGGTCAGTACGAGGACCAAATTGAGAAGGATTGTAGCTGGCTTACGAAAACAATCGAAATTGTTATTCAAGCTCAACCAACTCATGCTCCGAGAGCTCTCTCTTTAGTCGCTCAGCTACTGCAGCATATAGAGAATCATGAGAGATCGCAAAATCGAGAATGGGGAAGGTTCATCAAATCAGCAGCTAGTCTTTTCAAAGAGTATCGAAGAGGATTAAGCGTTGGGAAAGTTTGCTCCTGTAACGAGGTTCTTCCGGAAAAGATAGAATCGATGATATATCATTTCCGGAATGTTGATCATTGCATTTAGGATGAGATTGACAACGGATGAAGGCGAGAGCGTTCTGACGGTCTAGGACATCGAGTCAACATACTTATAGGACTGATTTATACTTAGATAATTGGATTTGTATTTATAGAAAACTAAATTGGAAGAAAACATTCTACAATAAAATTCTTTTTCTTGTAATCTTGAATCAGGATCAAACATAAATCCTTTTCATCATTATATTAACATTCGTAGGTCTTGAACCCATATAAACATACCATCATTCATTTTCTTATAGAACATTCCGTCCAACTGATATTCCATTCCACCAAACAAATCTTCTTCCAAGCAAGGATCCATCAACTACGATTAAGGGTATCCAGAGAAAACTCAATAAATTGAGATTCGCTAGACCAAATTGGGACAATTACCACAATATGACAAATAAGACGAAGATCAATTTGGTTAGGGCGTAAATTGCCCATATAGACAAGGGCTTAACTTCTCTTGCAGAAGCCAGCCCCCTAACACTATAATTGCTAGGATCTATATTCTGCTGCCGATAGTAAATGGGGAGCAGGTAGAAGGAGGCTAGGGTCGATCTGGCTTCAAACTATTACAGGGTAAAAACATACAATCAGCAGGGTTTCAGCAGATATTGCCTTGCTACGGATACTCCATTTAGGATTACGATGTATTTACTTGTTTTAAATGTGGTTGTATGCCGATAACAGGGTTTCCTATTTGTGTTTGAGATATACAGTTGTTCCCTCAAAAGCAAACAACACACCAGCCATGTATCATGGCTCGACAACTATTGTACAGATATTTGTAGTCGAATGATGCGAAAGGAAACGACAGATACTAGGTGTCAGAATTTAAATAAGAAAATTGGAGAAAAAATGCAGGTATGTAGCCATCCTTCCGTAACTTATCCATGCAGATTATGGAATACGACCTCATATGCAATGTAAAAGTTTATACGGCAGGTACCTATAAAGCTTTATTATTGTTGATTTTAATTTAAATTTTCATTTATATTTAGAGCCCTCTGTTGTCTCAATTACGATTCAAATACTCAGAACACCTCTCTATAATCACAATCTCAAATCCTCTCCCTTCATTTTCTAATTCTAAACTTTCTCTCCTCTCATCTTTTTCATTTCGAAATTTGCATAGCATTATTACTACCTACATACTGCAATCCATTGCATCAACGCTACCATACTGTCTCAATCCCATCACAACCACATCAAAATCCAAGAAACTACCACACCACCCAATATTACCTTACTCTCCGTTGTCATTTTCTCTCTCAAATTCTTTCCTTCCTTAATTCATTAAAATTCCCTGCTTTCTTCTCTTATTGCACTTTGCTCTTTTAGATTGTTCTCCTTCCAAGAACTTCCTTTGTTGTTGTCAACCTTTCAACTTCTTCGAACTTCATTCAACCAACAAGGCTTTCCAGCCAATTCCTGTTCTTCCCGGTACAACTTCCCTCGTCGCCACTAGAAAATCAACTTGGTTTCAAAAAATCATAGAAAGTGGTTATCAAATCATTGAGGCGAGAAGATCTGTTAGGCTCCGCAAAGAGGTATGTTTTTGCAAGTTCCCAGCCTTGTGTATAAGTAAAAGCAGCTCTTCCTTGCGGATTCGAGAACTCCTCGAAATGAGTGTACAGAAAATGTTCTTACCCATAACCGTATCCACGAGATCATACCTTTTGAAGTGCAGAGCTCACTCTTTGTTTGCCCACAACATTAATTATAGCTTGAAGCCTAAGCTACACAAAAGCAATTACTAACACTGTAGTTTTCCAGATTTACTTTTTGGACTACGGCGCAATTCTTTTCTCATAATAACAGCTTGATAATCTGAAGACAACTTTTGCAATAAACCCCGTAAAGTTGGGTTGAGAATCACAGCAAAAATGGAGCACGATGCAGGGAAGAGACAACGTGGGAATAGCATCACGACTACTCCCGAAAGACCTGCGAATAACGATGGCCGAGCTGTACCCGAGGCTCAGGTAACGGAGAGACCGCAAGAATCAGGGGAGATTAATAGCCACGACCCTCAGGGATATGATTTACAATCATCCAATACATTCACGGCTAATAGTAGCTCACCGCCCACAAATCCCGCCCCAAGATATCCTTTTGAACGACCTACAACCTCATCTAGTCAAGAAGGTTCCAGCACGTCAAAGAGAAGTGTACAAACGGTGGCCAAGTCGTCGTTAGAACCCCCGGTCACGAAATCAACCTTGAGTGAACTCGATGTGGATAAAATTGAACACAATCCCAAACTTCGACACGATATTAATTTCGATCCCGATTTACACTTTAGACCTAATCTCGATGGAGAAAAAGGACGAAAGAAGACTCAAAAAGCCAATGATTTTTGGGACATGATGCGTTTGCAACTTCAAGATTATTTGACGGATCGTGAGCAATTCGAAAAAGACTTGGGAGATGCGGAATGGTGCTTGCCAGCAACGCTCAAGGCTATCAGAGGCATTTTGGAAACATTAGTCCCGCAGTGGGATCGGTCTTCGGTCGAAGAGACCTTTAACGTCGATTTGTTAATGCAGCAATTTCGCAAAGGCGTTGCTGATCTTGGTAAACTTGCAAAATGGCTATCGCAACTCCTCAAATGTCATTGCGCACCGATGAGAGACACTTGGGTGGATGAAATGGTCGTTCAGTTGAGTGAGGGTGATAAAAACTGGGACGTGTCGATGTTAGTCTCCGGAATGCGAAATCTGTTGGGTGTTTTGGAAGCTATGAAACTCGTAAGTTCTGCATGATATGAGCCTAACGGAAGTTTGCTAATATCACATTCAGGATGTCGCAAATCATCAAATCAGATGTTTGCGCCCACTGCTTATCGAGGACACTGTTCAATTTGAGCAAAAATTCTTCGTAAGAAAAATTGCAATGGGTAGAGTAGACATCGCTTCGGCACATGATTGGTTCAAAAAGGCAGCAAGCTTGCCAGATAACGTTCACTTGGGCGCACCAACACGAATTCAAGGAAACACATGGGACTTCATGAAAGCACTTGTAAATCTGACGTTACCATCCAAAGCCATCGAACCTGTTCTTCACACCTTCTTTTTCGATGAGGAGCGCTTGGTTAAACTTCGAGCGGATATGCTGGATCTAATAAATCTCGAGATTTGCATGTTTTTGCATCACAAACTTGACGCGGCATCCAAAATGAACGAGGCTAGATCAGTACCACAGGATGATACACCTGTTGCTTCGTCGTATATTTCTTCTCCCGCGGATGAGGGCGTGCTCTCGGCACCGACAATCCCTTCTAAGAATGATTTCAAAGCCAAACGGAAGTACAATCATTTGGCTCAGGAGAGAGGTCATTTCTCAAGAGAACTTTCAGATAAACAGGTATGGGTACGAAATCTAGAGGATGAAGCTACGAATTCTCAATCGTCCAGCGCACGATCATCTCCATTAACTACTGCATCTACGCCAGAAACATATCCTGTAACACCACTTTATTTGTCTCTTCAAAATTTGGATTCTGCTTCACAAGTACGCACGTCTTTACAAGCTCTCCTAGCTTCATCGTCATCGCAAGACAGATGGACCGCACTGTCCTCGAATATTGCTTTACAAATTCTTCGTTCAACACCAACCCCTATAGCACGCCTTCCAGCCTTTGAATCTCATCTCTCATTCCACCTCTCAAATTCGCGATCTAAGCTTTATCAGGAAGCAGAAGCACGAGTACTCTCGAAACTTTACCCCGAATTACAAAAACTTGTCGAGTTGTATACTCCTTTGACAAGTCTCCAAATATTTGATGCGGCTATGTCACCAAAATCTACAAATGGAGTTCTTAACGGGAATGCTCCAGCAGCTGGACGAAAAGAGGAAATTTCATATGTCTCAACCAGAATTGCGCATATTGGCATTCTACATTGGAGGGTTTGGGCACCACTAGCATATCTCGTGAACCCCGATGCTGAGGACGAAGGTGATGTCAACATGATTCTTGATGACGATTTACCGGTTGACGAGTCTTAAAAGATTCACAAACTGGATAATTACAAAAAAAAATCTTTCGAGGGAGCTTTTAACAGCAGAATCGAGCCATGAAGAGAGTCAACTCGAAGAAGTCCACTCACCCGGAGTCATATTCAAGCCAGACTCCGGATACGTTATAGCAACACATATCACATGAAGAAAGCAATATCTCTAAGAATGGCTGGAGACGAATTATTACTATGACATATATCAAAAAGTTCGGAGGTCGCCTCATAATTTTCTCATCTCTAATGAACACATCTTTTATAAATTCGCATTGTTTTTGGAATCGTTAGGGAGTGATTTATGCAAGCAATAGTATAGGATTTCTTGACCGCAATTTGAGTTTTCAAAAGTCGTCATATATTCTACAATATATTTCAAAAATGCAACTTCAGGATTCAACAGCGTTTTTTTATCGTGCTGAGCTCCGCTCACAAGCGTTTCGGAGCCCCTAGAGCTTAGCTCTTCCATTTGAATAGATTTAGGATCTGTATCGCGTGATCGCATTATACTAGCAACCAAGTATGCTAACTCATATGGAGGGACAAACTTGGACATAACGACTAACATCCAATGTAGCTCGCATATCGCAATGTCGTATATTGTAACATTGCATATCGTGAGCTTTTATACTCTTATGAGATTAGAGTCCTGATTATAGCTTGAAGGAGAAGAAATCCTGTTTTAGAGGAGTGAAAGGATTTAGAGAAGTGAAATCTTGTAAGGGATTGAGGGCTCGTTTGGACGTCAAATTCCGCTGTATTCCGTTAAATAATCCGTTCTTTTTTACTACAGCTGAATCCGCTATAACAATAATCTGTTTTAAAAAGTGTGGATTTCGAATCTATGTTTTATTATTTGGATAAAGATTCCGCTGTAGAATCCGTCAAAGTGAAAGGCAATGGAGCGGAATTCATGATTTTGAGGGGGGATAAATCATATGGGTGGGGTATAATAAAAATCCAGCTTATGGAAAGAAAATCTCGAGGCAAACGGATCCAGTTTACTAAGTCTAGATCTTTTGTTGAAGAATACCCGCTCCCTCGAGTCAAAACTAAAAGTAATATGTTTCGGCAGATATTTGAAGCAACACAAATGTAGAGCGTCAGTCTCCCCTGTTTCTAAATCAAGAAGTATGCTAATTGGATTAAGATTTGGGTTGTCTTTGATTAAACCATGGTTATTGCGTTATCCCTCAAAATATCTACAATGAACGCATTTGTATTAACAGGAAAAAGAACGATCTGAAATATAGTGATTCATTATACCATAAGGGTGTATTCAAAGGTTTTTTACAAAATAATTCCGATGAAGCACTACCTACAGAAAATCCTTAACGCCTCATGCTACCTCGAACGATACATTCAATATCTCATTCTCAATTGATCTGTACCAGACCGCAATCCTAATATAAGTTTAGTATATAAAGATAAGAAGCGATATTCTTTCATCTATTAAGATGGTGTTTGGTAGCCGAAGTGAAGATTGGCCGGTAGTATATGAAAGGTAGTATTTCAATTGGTCGGATTGTTTGGTACAAGTGAATGTAGATATCACGGAATATTTGAAATTAGTTTTCGGTATCATCTGAAGGCTTTCCGTGTCCACCCGGTCGTTCCGGCGGGTCCGAAGCTATGCATTTATGAGGATATACTTGATGAGGGCAGCAGCAACGATATATTATGACATTGTGTCCTTTCCTAGGTGCTATTTACTTCAATATAACTTTTAATTACTTTATCCGAAGCTCTGACTGTATATGAGCATAGTATTTTTCATCAAAACTCTTTGTAATCTCTCTAAAAAGTTGCCAAGCGGATTGGAAGGTCGGTATCTCTTAACTTCGTAAGAACCTCCGCTCGAAATCGAAGATCCTTGGCTTTTCGAGGGGCTTCCCAAGCTATGATATATCTTCATTCACATTGACCCTGTATTGAGGTTGCCGTCGGAGTTGACTAGCTTTATCGCTTTATTGCTGTTTTCCAAGAGTAAACTAAACGACTTCATTACTGTAAACTACTTATATACACACTAGTATATAAACTAACTCTTGTATATTTTCTATTATCACTTCTCTACATACTCCTTACTAAGTATATTGGTTGATTTCGTTCTACTAAACCCATCTTGTTGACCTCCTGGGATCTTGGCAGTATATGCATATATATTGCATGATGCATATAAAGAGCAAACAAAACTCAATTTTTAATTCATTCTTTCCTTTTTGGTATACTGTTTGTTTGCTTTCAATATTTTGATTTCAAAGCACTTTAATTCCGAAGGCCGAATACCTAAGCCTATTCCTTCATTTTTTGAATATGTACTCGTAGCTTAACTGCTTAGCTAGAGAATCAATCAATTCAATCTGATGCTCTTTCTGGTCTCAATAAACCCAATAGATATCTATCTCCACATCGCTTGCTATGTTAAGATAAGCCGTTATGTTTTTGTTATCAGGTAATATTATACAATTCTTATCTTTTAGCAAATACAAAAAGAATTCTATGGGCATCGTAAATGAGGGTATAAGGAGTTTCAAACGAAGCCAATTTGGGCACAGCCAGCAACACTTAATGGAGCTTACTCGTTAATCAATGCCCCAGAGAAAGAATATACTAGAACTCGGATTTGAAAGCCATTAGCATCAGTATTTGGGCTTTGAGCTTAGGCTATCAAAGCTAATAAAGAAATATTTCAGAAATGCATCAGTCAATTTATTGATAATGTAAGAAAGAATATTGATTAAAATGATTATTCAATAATTAATATCAATAATCACTATAATTGGATTGCATTTGATGTTTTCATAAGCATACTCAACTCACAATATATACGCGCTGGAACATGGTCTAGTTCCGAGGTGAATAGCATTCCTTCCGCAGATAGATAGGCAGCTCAAGAGCAATCCCATATTCAAAGCCGTTGCGATTATATATTTGAAAGCTGTCACTTGTTTCTTTCGAAGATGGATCATGGTCAAGTTTCGAGTTTGTAGAGGGTGACAAGAAGCACTTCGCCAAGAAAAATCACGTCTAACGAGCAATGAACCATAGAATTAATTGAGTTGCGGAAAGAAGCTATCTAGACGTAATAACATCACACTTCCTATCAGACTTTTAAAAACTCGAAAATTTTCTTGACTGCCTGTGTGTCGCCTTCTAGTGTTTCTATCAACTCCTCATCTACCCATCCATCCGTCCAGCCACCTCCAAAATCGATCAGCCAGGCATCATCCGTATCTCGATGTACAAGCACATTATGCGGCTTGCCATCTCCCCACACAACTCCAATCTCATGCAATAAATCAACCATCTCTCGAATCTGAGATGCCCACTTTTTCCTCCGCGAGTCTGCAACGACAGAGATATCTACCTCTCCCAACGTAGGCAGCTTTTCCAGATCGGTCGGTAGGTATTCTTCCAGGATCCCAATGATTTGTCCGTTGTCAGCTGACGTGACAAGACCGAGTAGTTTCGGTGCTCGAATAGTTGAGGCGTATTTAGAATGTGCGATTTTCTGGAGGCAATCAAGTTCCCTTTTAACTGAGGGCCAGTCGAATGAATCATGCCCACTCTTGCAACACATTTCTTGCCCATTTACCAATACTTGTGTGACGTTGCCTTCACCTACTATCTGTTTCAAGACTTGAATATCTTTCGAGGAATATTTGGGTAAACCCAAAGCGTTATCAATCTTTACCGGAGGTGGAGAATAGTCCTGGTTGTCGAATTCTTGCTCTAACAGCTCTGCTTTACCATTAGTCCTGGCAAAGCAGAAATGATGGGTTTCCGGAAAGAGCAAAGAATGTAGATTCTGGAGTGGAGCTCCTGTGGCAACTGGGGGGGCGAGCTGATCAAAAATGGGCCCTCCCACATCCCAAATCATGTTCACAAGTTCTTGTTGAACGGCGTCTGTCTCATCCTCATCTTCGTCAAAAGAAGCCTCGTAGCGCTCGATCAGAGCTCTCTCTGGTGTGCCATCTCGGGACTCGGATGGAAGGAAGTCCACAACGATACGTTTGCAATTGCCGATAATTGTAACGGAGAAATCCCCACGGCCACAATCCACTTGTACAATGTTATACCTCCTCGATCCAGCCTGGTCCTCATCAGTGGCCATTTGGTTTGCTGAAAATGTATGTATGTTGAGACGGAAAGAGGTTCGCCACGAATACGTTTGACTACCAGAAAAGTCGAAACTAGAAGGAGATTCTAGCAAAAATTGACCGTGTTGAGGTAGGGACTCTATTTTCTGATAAGTATTTAAGTATGTTGTGGGTGGTATTCTCTAAGTTTAAGTCTCGTGGGTGGATTATGGACAAACTATTAAATACATATACAGTAGGTAAATGACTCCATCAAACTGTGCTTATTGTTACTAAAAGAAATCTCCAAATCACATGATAATGCTTATTCTTCTATGTTGGTTACAAATAAGAAACCAAAAAAATTAATCAAATGGCATCCTTGACGCTAGTCGTCGAATCATATCGACTGTATTACCGCCGGCAACTAAACGCGCGCATCTACTACCAAGGTATACGACGACGACCGAATTGCTCACCAGCATTTTACGTAAGATCATGTAATTATTTAAAACACTAACAATGTTTCACTTTCATTACTTCGTACCGCCGATCACTAATACATGCAACATTGTGGAAATTTTACGCTACACATAGGCAGAATTGCTCAATGCTCATCCAAATTGACCGGACTGATAACTAACCAACCATACGCTCGACATTTTGCATCGAATCGTATAATCCTTTGAGACACCAACAAGTCTTCAACTACATTCAAGTTGCTATCAACTACTAATACATACCTAGGTGCCTGCTGTGAAAGTATCGTACTATATATTGGCCGAATGATCTAGTACTAACCCAACCAATAATACGTAGTATGCTCAGCATTTTATGTCAAGTAGTATCATCTTTCCAAACGCAAAAAAGTTTCCAACTACATTCAAGTTGCTACCAGCCACTAGCATGCGCATACTGTGGAAGTATTACTAGTAAGTACACTACGCGCTGGCCATTTCCCTCGCCCGACTAACCAAGCGCTCAGGCTGACTCTCTTGCTGCGCCGGCGACTACTACGCTTATGGTCTCATGTGCTGAAACGTCGGAGAAATTCCTAGTCTTTGGCGCCACCCCTCTTCGGGAATCGAGGATCACCAACGAACCGCAACGATCAAGTTAAACCACCCGTGGCCTCAAACCGCCCCGTCAGACGGAGCATGAGCTCTTTCTCTCTTCTCAGTATCACTATTCCATCAATCATGGCTTCCAGCCGGCCGATAGTCTTGTCCTTGTCGTCTCATGGTCTGAATCTGACAGTTCTTTCGTTCTGTGAAGTTGGATTCCCCTCTATGTTTAGGTACGTTGGTGATTTACATTTGTTACAGATCTATGTTGTGTAAATGCTCAACATATGGTCCTGTTCCTTGTTGGAATAGCCATCCAACAAATAGTTCAGGACAGAAGCTATCGGATGTTTATGGAAATATACTTATAAGGCGCGGTTTACGCTTTTGGATCTTTCATATTCGCATCGTCTGTCTTATTATCAACAGCTTGAATTGCCTCTCAACTTGAAGACTTTCTTTTGTCTGCTTATATCGCCCTCGGCTGTCACTTAGATCTGTTGTTTTTATTTTGAATACCGCTACAATTTCCCTTTTCACTACAATTTTAAGATGTGTCATTCGAATATCATTCATCACCGATGCGGACACAACACTCGGCGCATAACTTACTGCGGACGCTCTCAACGCGGTCAAGGGGGCAATCAAGTCATGTGTGATCAAAGAAATTTAACTCATAATTTTCAGACAAATTCTCTTTGTCACAGGCCTGGATGTCAACTAAGTCGGGTTTATGGAAATTGGCGATGTTGCCAATGTGACCAAGGGCCCAATCGCCATTGGCAATGCAATTGCTCAGTACGAGACCGCGATGGCCGGGACCATGCATGCCCACATGAAGTTTGCCGAGCATGCACCTACTGGCAGGTATGAAGTAAGAGGAATAATACTAGATGGCCTTGTCTACTGAATGAGAACTGACGAAAGATTCCAGATCATCAGAGCACTGAATGCAGAAGAAATAGTGATGTCAGAATGGGGAGTCAGGTAGCCATTTAAGTAGAGGATCTGGGTGTTGTTTGTTAAATCTTTTGTATTTCTGACTTTTGGGAGTTCTGCTGAAGAGGATAAGGATGATTCCGCTGGCGGAAACATGGGAATTTGGACGGCCAAGTTGCAAACAGAAGGAGTACTCTCGTTTAGAACATACATGCAGTTTTTCTAGAGCTTGGATAATCAGCAGTGAAAAAACACTAATCAGCAGTGACGCCACATACGCTCGCAAAAGGTATGATATTCTACATTATCGCGTATAGAACCATAATCATCGACTTTTTGTATGTACAACTATATATCAAAATGTGCATTGAATTACGCTGAATTCAACGCGTTTATTTCCATCGTTATAGCAAGTTTTTTTTTCAGAGGTTATTGAAGTTACTCGCAAGCTGCAGGGCGGTCAGCAACAAGGCTTGACTTCCTTGGTTAAACTATAGTTGGATTGCATTTGATGTTTCCGTGAGCATACTCTTCCGCCTGCTCGTCGCAACAAATTTTGAAGAAAAATTATTTTTCGAAATACACCCTTTTTATATCTCCATTGCACTAAAAAAATCAGCATCAATCGAATGCAATTGTCCCCAAAGAAATTGAACCAGTACTTGTTGTGATACTGTCGCTGACGTCCAAAACACATGAAGCCACGCTAAAACGCGTGAAATTTTCACCCCCTTCATCCCCCGATTACGAGGGAAAAGAACTCAATGACGAGGACCACCCAATCGAACTTCCCAGAAGTGATCTTAGGCACTCCATGCCAAGATAACCACACTGAACAAACCCATGAAAGAGGCAATAGCCCGCCATTCATCCTTTCCAGTCCTACCCCCTCCCAACCCTTCAACTTTCAAACCCAATGCAATACCTTGAGCTCTGATGATCCATTCAAATCACCAATCAATCGCCCAACGTTCCAATTAAATAACAAACGAAGACGACAACCCAGCCACTCAGAACCCCACATCAACTCACCAAAAGAAGCTATCCAAAAAGCTAGAAGTCTACTCATTCTAGCTGCCTCCTTGGAAGAGGATACCGAAGAACAATCGAAAGTCCTAGACTTAGTCGAAATATTTCGTGAATATCTTGAAAAAGGAAAACTCACAAAAGCCTCAAATATCATCACATCACAAATCTCCCATCTAGAAAATGCTACCAAACGGATCGAAAAGCAAGCCAACCACCTTTCAAACCTCCCCAATCATATAATCCCTCCTACAATAAACGCCCCTGGAATCAAAGCCAGCTATGCCACTATCACCAAAACCTCAGGAGAATGGAACCTAGTTACAAAGGGAAAACCCACAAAACAGAAAACTACAGAACAAAAGGAAGAAGCCCCAAGCAAACGACTAATCCTCATCAAACCCCTTATTTATCAACCACACTCTTTTACACCATTAAATACAAGGAACAAAGTCAACGAAGCCTTCAAGAAAGCAGGAATCAATGGACCAATCATCTCAGCTATCACTACTACAAGGAGCGGCAATTTTATACTAACCACTAACAGCCCTTTCAATGCACAATTCCTGATGGAAAAGAAGGAAATCTGGGACAAAATCCTTGATGCCGCAAGAATACAAATCGATAAACCCTGGCATAAAGTCATCATTCACAAAATCCCAATTCAGGAATTCTCAGGTCTGAAAGGTATGGACCTAATCAAAGAGGAAGTCAATACCTTCAACCCAGGGCTCAGTATCATGGGTACTCCTTACTGGCTTACTAATGCCTCCAAGAGAGCCAAACAACAAGACGGAGCAATAGTCATTGCATTTGCTACACAAAAAGAAGCAGATATAGCTATCCAGAAAAGGCTATATATTGCAGGCATTAGTGTTAGAGTAGAAAGATTCTATCATCTACTGCTTCATCCCAATGCACAGATGCCAGGGATTCGGGCCATAACGAATCATACTGCAAAAAACCTCCAGCTTGCGGACTTTGCAGTAATAATCATGCTACAGTCGGTCATTTCTGTATAATCTGCCAAGCAAAAGGCAAACCATGTCAACATCTAAGTGTCAAATGTGTTAATTGTAAAGGAGAACACAAAGCCAACTCGAAAGTATGCGAAGTATATCTATCAACCATCAAGAAATCCAACTAATGCTGTACAACAATACTCGCATTCTTCAAATCAATCTAAACAAGAGCCCTCAAGCAACCGAAAGTGCTCTCCAACTTGCTTTAGAACTCAAAATTGATCTCATAGTCATTCAAGAACCCTGGATCCTCTCGAATCCTGAGAAAGACTTCTCCTCAACCAGATCGATTGCCCACTCTAGCTTCTGCTCAAACTTCTCGGAGATAATCCTTCGAACCTGCGTCCCCGAACTATGATCTACATTTCAAAAGGATTCAAACCGCTAGTAGCCCTAGCTCCCAACTCCCCTAATGATCCAGATATTCAAATCATTGATATCACTCAAGGAAAACATACAATACAACTCATCAATATCTACAATGAAGCGGACCAAGCCAAAGAAAAAGGCCACACCATCGAAAGATGCCTTTACAATACCCCTCTTACTCATCACACCATCCTCGTAGGAGATTTCAACTCCCATCACCCTTGGTGGGACCCCTTCTCTAACAAAAGCTCAAATGCCGACCTACTCACCGAATGGTTTGAGGATCACAATCTCATTCTATTTAACGAACCAGGCACGAGCACCTTTTATCGAACAAATATGACAAACCCAAGTGTCTTAGACCTTACTTTAGCCACAGATTCAGTATCTCCCTATATCACTGATTGGCAAGTCCTCCCGGATCTTGGATCAGATCACTTAAGCATTCTCTTTGAAGTAAAGGGCACGTTATCCCGTACAACGAATATAGCTCAGCCAGCAAGATTCAATACAAAACTTGCGGATTGGGAAAAATTCGCGAATACCCTCAAATCGAAAATATCGATATCAACCACCTTAAATTCGAGTGAATACCTTAATATCGCTACCTCAGAATCCAACTCTCTTGATTCCCTTCTCGACAAGAGCCAATACATACAAGTATTGGATGAAGCTGCAAAAGAATTCACCCGAATAATCACTTATTCGGCTGAAACCAGTATACCGAGAATCAAGTCCACAAAAAGAGCTAAACCCTGGTGGTCCCCAGAGCTGAAAGCCCTTCGAAAACGACTCTCTAATGCATTTGAGAACGCCAAGATTTACCCGGAAGACGATATGTTCAAGAAAATCTACCGGTCAGCCAGGAATCATTACTTCCAAGCTATTAAAACAGCAAAGAAAAACCATTGGAATGAGTTCCTTGAAAAAGAGGATACCCAATCCATATTCAAGGCAATGTCATACACAAAAGATATACAAACTGAACGAATCCCGAATATTCGATCCAATCCCTCTAAACTAGAAAATTCTTTCGAAGGAAAATGCTCTGCATTTAGATCGACCCTATTTCCTCCTCCTCCATGCACCCCACCGCCCAATTGGGAAAGCTATAAACAATCTAAGAAATGGGAATGGCCTGATCTTACAGAGAGCGAACTCCTAAACGCGTGCTCTGCAAAAATCAAAGGAAAGACCCCTGGCCCCGATGGGATCACTCAAGATATCATTATTCAAGCGTACAAAGCAATACCAAAAGCATTCTCCACCCTCTTCAGTCATCTTATCAACCTTGGTTACCATCCTTCTTGCTGGAAACAAGCCACTGGAGCGATACTCAAGAAACCTTCAAAACCAGACTACTCGGCCCCAAAAGCTTATAGAGTTATCGCCCTACTAAATTGCCTTGGCAAAATAAGTGAAAGAATTCTAGCTCAAAGGCTTAGCTACTTAGCGGAGACTACGCAATTACTTCATTACTCTCAAATGGGTGGAAGACAAAAGAAATCAGCCATCGACACAGCAATCTTACTCACTACCGAAATCGAAAGAAATTCAAGATCCAAGAAGAAAACCTCAACTCTCTTCCTGGATGTTAAAGGCGCCTTTGATCATGTATCTATGAACAAATTATTAGATATCTGCAAGAACCTAAACCTCCCAACCAGCCTAATCGCCTGGATCTCATCTTTTTTGAAGGAAAGGCTACTCAAGCTCTCATTCGATGGCCAAATTGAAACCTTCAAACCGATCAATACCGGGATCCCCCAAGGCAGCCCTATTTCGCCAATCCTCTTCTTAATTTATATTCGAGATCTATTCTCAGCAAATTCGATCAAATATCTCTCATATATAGATGATATAGCTTTAACAACATTTTCAACATCCTGGAAAAAGAACATCATCTCTCTCGAAAGAGCAACTAAACAGATATATGCTCTAGGCAAAGAAAATGCTATTCAATTTGATCTAGCGAAGACGGAACTAATACACTTCTCTACATCCAAAGATACGAAGACAGCCTCAATCAAGCTTCCGAACGAGGAGATAATTCAACCCTCAACACTAGTCAGATTGCTAGGCATATGGTTCGACCCTGGCCTCAGTTTCAAACAACATGTCACAATCCGAGCTACCCAGGCTAAAACCTCATTCTACCGAATGGCTAGACTTGCTAATTCTGAAAAAGGCTTTAGTCCCAAGGCAATGAGACAGCTCTATATGGCATGCGTCACCAGTATAGCTGACTACGGTTCAATTTTATGGTGGAAAGGGCAAAACCAATTCAAGAAAATCCTTCAATCCTTGCAAAACCTCGCCCTTCGAAAAATCCTAGGAGTATTCAAAACCTCACCAATAAAACCAATAGAAATAGAAGCCGCATTGTGCCCTCCAGAAGTAAGGCTAAATGCTGGAATCAAACAATACGCCTTCAGATTATTGAAAATCTCCCCTTCTCATCCTGTCAATTTAATAGCTACAAAGCTGGCTACAGAAAAGGAAAATCAAGATGTAGTTGCAACCCCTCAAAGAAAGCAATTAAAACCTACTCAACTCGAAAAGATCAAAAACTCAATCCAGAAAGACTTCGATCCCCTCACTTTGGAAAGAATTCATCATTTCTACTTCCCTCCTTGGAAGAAGGAAGTTCCATATAGAGTCAATATCAGCAAATTAGGAAAAGAAGAAGCTGCGATGATCCACAATCTGGCTTTCAAATATAGATGCAAAAATACCATTACCATATACACTGATGCCTCATCCACTCTAGAGGGAATAGGGGTTGGGATCGGGATAGTAGTCATCTTACCAAATGGCCGAAACTCATATCAAGAGACTATCAATATAGGCGTGAATCAGCTTGTCTATAACGGTGAGCTTCTAGGAGTTACTAAAGCGATCGAATACGCAAATTCAATAGCTCAACCAGGAAACAAGTTCAAGATATACTCAGATAATCAAGCAGGATTATTCCGGCTGAAAACCCCCTCCGATTCACCTGGTCAATCATGCCAAATCAAAGCTATAAAAGCTGCGGAAGCTATTCAAAATAAAGGAGCCGAAATCTCTCTCAATTGGGTCCCCGGACATACATCTGTACAAGGAAATGAGCTAGCTGATTCTCTTGCAAAAGAGGCGACCAAAATACCATCCTCATCTCACGAAACCAGTTATGCCTCCATTGGAATGGATATAAAAAGAATGAAATCAGAGAACTGGATAGCCATCCTTAACACTAACAACTTTCATCAACCATCGTCAACATATTCAAGAAACTACCCCTGGAAGATCAGCTCAAAAATCAGAATTCCAGGAAACATCAAAAGAAGCACAATCTGTGCTCTGTTCCAACTCAAAATTGGACACGGATACTTCAAATCTTATTTGAAACGATTCGGTATCTCCTCTAATGACAATTGTAGATGTGGGGGAAAGGAATCTCCTGATCATCTTCTGCTCAGTTGTCCTTTATATAAAATGGCAAGGAAAACCCTCAATAAGGATAACCCCATAGTCCGACCTACTATGAAATATCTGCTTCATACTAAAGCAGGAATCATCAAGACCCTCGAATTTATCGAGGCGACGAGAATAGCCACCAGATCATGGCATCTCAATAGAATGCATGAAGAAGAAGAGGAAGAAGGCGGAGAAGAAGGGGGTGGACCGGAAGATTGTGATTGAATTGATCAATTATGGTCAATTTGGTCAATTTGGTCAATTTGGGTCAATTTGGTCATTTTGGTCAATTTGGTCAATTTGGTCATTTTGGTCAATTTGGTCAATTTGGTCAACTTGGTCAATTTGGTCAATTTGGTCAATTTGGTCAACTTGGTCAATTTGGTCAATTTGGGCAATCACCCCAATGTCAAATTTCATTACATTTCATTTGTTATTCCTCTTACTTGAATACGAGAGTATCTGTAAGGCGGGCTTGGTTCCCTAGTATTAGTTTTCACTTCCCCCATTCAAACATTAGAAGATTGAGGCTTTCAATCTCCCCAACCTGTATTAGCTACGGTCGAATAAGGCCAGCCACCCTCCATTTACTATTGTTAGAAGCCTACAAAGCTCCTAGCCGTCTTAGATAGTCATAGACTCAGTGTAGACGTTAATTTAATCAATCAATTTAATCAATCGAAGGTTTGCTACAAATGTACTAATTTCTGGTGCTTCGTATCCAGAAAGTATTATTCTTTTGTATACAACCACTAACAGATCTCTTCTGACACAACATAGTATTTCTTTGAATTGCCGCCCCACTGTATTTGGTCCGATGAGCATTCATTAGCTAATAAAGCATCGAAGAGTAGTCATTTGTATCCAAAATGACGCATTTTTTATGCCATGTATCACGATAGTGATGGGAGTCACTTATCAATATCTTACATATACTACCAAAAAGAATATCATGTTCTACTTTCATATCAATCACAGAATGATAGATTACAAGAAGTTCCATATTTAGATGGAGTGTAATATACTTTTGATTGTAGAGACAATAAATAACATAATTGACCAATGAAAGCTGTTAAAACTATATTAATAGTTTTTCAAAAATGTTAATGATTGGATGATATATTAATAATATTTTATGATTCTTTGTATACGATCTATTGGTCTAAATCTTTGATTGCAATTGTGATCGATTTTTGAAGAGTGGAAACTTTGAAGACTTTCACTCAATCAAATAACTTCTTATAGCTCTATATTCCCTATTCTATTTTTTATTATAAAGCTTTCGAGATATATAATTCAAATCGATATTTCCATCAATTAGGAATACTGATGTAACGATACTATACTGGAGGCAGCGGCTGCCTAAGGTTTCGTCTGGTTGGTAGTTGTGGGTTAAGGCTTTATCACTGGTCTTCACTTGGAAGTGAAGTCGTTACTAGATCAAGTAGAATGTAGGTAAACTAATTGATAACTAAGTTGAGCACGAAGCTCCTTAACCACGAGACTAAGTGAATGTTTATATACCCTATATCATCTTTTGAGGACCCTTGGGACCCTAAGGTCCAAAAGGTCCTCAAGGTCCTCGAGGTCACGTGAATTAATGAATCGTGACAACTGAATAGTAATGTTACGTGACGGTTGTTATCCCACTAGTGGCTCACGTGCACTAGCCCTGTATATAAAGACCTTCTTACTTAGAATCTTCTTAGTTCTTTAGTTTTAGATTCTAAGTAATTGAATTGACTCCGTTTACGACTTTTCTGTCACAAGTAAAGTACCTGGATGTTACGAGGTTTGCCGTCTAGATCACGTGGAAGTGCTCTAGGCTCTCGAGGTGGTTTATAACTAGGCGTCAAGCAGGGACTTAAGTAATGACAATAATGAAATGCAATTCGTAACTAATAGTAGGATATACTAAATGATTGATCTTGAGCACCAAGCTCTATACAAAGGAAATCCATCTTGATTATATAGCCCTTCATGCTTCCATGATTACTAGTGATCCTTCATGATCATTAGTGATCATCTATATCGTGATCCTTAGTGATCCTTAATGATCACCAGTGATCACCTATGCCGTGATCCTTAGTGATCCTTAATGATCACTACTGATCATTAGTGATCATCTATATCGTGATCCTTAGTGATCCTTAATGATCATCAGTGATCACCTATACCGTGATCCTTAGTGATCCTTAATGATCACTATTGATCATTTGTGATCACGTGTCTTGGTAGTTGTGTAGCCCGTCGTAACATCTCTCTTCTAAGTTCTACGGAAGTGCGAAGCTCTCTGTAAGAGAGCTTCTCAATCTAGTCCTAACAGGACTAGTGCCCTGTGCACGTGCTACGCAGGAACCATTCACTTTAACATGAATATCTGATACTCATAATACTATATCTTTGATAAAAAAGCTTCTTGATTTTTAAAAATATCATGTTTTGATAATATATGAGAAATGATTAAATAGGTTGATATTCTTAACGATTTGTGGTGATGAGAGATATATTCATTAACTGATAGTGATAGGATGATCAAAAGTAATACTTCGCAGAATTCCGGGGTTTGGTGGGGCTTGTCGTTATGCTCACGCGATTACCTTGGCAGCCCGATAATGACTGTAATGCTTCATAATAAGCTTCGGTTACAAAAAGCTAGGACACTCCTGGTTCCATCAAATCTTTATCTTTGTTCACATCTCGACAATACCACATCGAATATTCATCCCTCCTTCGAGCTTTCAACTCTTCGCATCAACTTTATCTCAGTCAAAAGAACCTGCAAAGTGGTATGCATTCGTTCATACATGTCTGCTAATATCGCTAATTGTGTAGCAGTCAAATCGAACAACCCCATTACGAGCCTTCGAACTTTGCGCAAAGTTCGATCTTAAGCTTCCTCTGTTACATTTCTACCACTTCGCTACACCCAGAAGAATCCGTACGAGCGTTGGATTTGATAACCGCCGAGAACTTAGCTTATTACAATGCCTGATGTGAGGTTATTCTGACTTGTATCTATCCATATTCTTACAAATTCTAATGCGAAGATCGTAGGCCGAACAAACTGTCGACGGCAACTACGAAGTACTCGAGAAACATACCTTTGAGGCAGTTGATTACAAGAGATATATGTCATGGAGGAAAGGAAAAGGCTTCGTAACTTTGGGTGAAAGAACAGAAGAGGAGAATCTGGTTAGAAGAAAACTTGAGGCAGATACAGACGAGGAAAATCACGATGTTTATCCAGGGTGGTATGTAACGGTGGAAAATGTGGAATTCAAATTGGTGAAAACCATCACTTGGTGATGGAATTACAAATCTCCAGGAAATACACGTTTATAAAAGTTCCATCCGAATTCATAACCCAATACTACTTCCAGCTTGCAATCGTCGTCAATATCTCCACCGGGAAAAGAGAGCCTAAGAACACGGGAAAAATCTTGTATCCAATCCCTCTCCTGTTCCTTCCACCTATTACTAGTTTTAATAGCCTCAAAAATATGAGTACCAAGCATGTCCCTCAATTCTTCCCCTGATCCCCTCATTGCTTGCGAAATACCGATTGCGGCCAACTTAGATAGGCAGATCTCAAGCTTGAAATCTTCACCTTCCCAAGGAAGTTTTAAACGCACAGCGCCGGTATATTTATCCCGTCGCATCTTCTTCTCCTGTTTTCTCAAATCGCTTGCTTCTATACCTGCGAAAAAATATTGTCCAAGAGTATTGTTTAGCTCGTAGACATTAGCCATTACTGCCATATTCTTTTCAATTTTTTCAACCCAGTAAGCGCTTGACGGCTGGGAGAGACATGAATCACCCATCATAGCTTGCAACTCTAAACTGCTTTCAATTTCTGTCTGTTCATAGGCCGTAGAATCCTGTCCATGGCCACTAGCAATTTGAACTGATGAATTTCCGACGACTGCAGCTGGATTCAACAATGCATTTATCGGGTTTGTGCCAGGTATTGTGCTACGAAGGCTGTTTGTGTTATCCCCATCGTTGTCAATGCAACTTGGAATGTCTTTTTTGCCGCGTTTTCGTTTTTTTGGTCGAATATTACCAGAACTATATTTCCGTTAATTAACTTTCCATGGTCTTTTATATCAAAGAGGCCACCTGCCCGTCGACATTAGAGTCAGATAGAATATCTCTAGCACTTTGATTATATTGATCGAGACGGAAATTTCCTGACTCGATAATCACATCTAATTCTTCATCTGTAATATTTTCATCATCTACTAAGGCCTGTTTGAGTTTCACCACTAGGGCGCTGTAATCTGGTGGACATTGCGTTTTGGCGAGGTACTTTTGAATCTCCGAGTATACGCTTGTATTGGATCTCTCACTTGAAATCAACATTAGCAAATGCTAGGCTAGACAGATATTATACTTGCATGAAGTCTCCCGGCAGTCCGCCCAGTATCAGGAGCATACCATCTTCCAGTTGAGCATATCGTTCGCCCACGCGTATTGCCCGGTTTACATTTCCTCCGGTCGTGAATTTGGCTTTTTCGGAGGCAGTTCCTGGGTTGTAAATGTTTTCGACGATGATAGTTTTCACCAATGATCGGGGATCTACCCCGCTTGGCAGTTTTCTTTTATCATCAGTGATTAGCTTTCGAATCCTTGTTTTGATTTGTTCTTGAAGGCGATAGAATAAAACAAAAGAAATACGTCGCCGTATTAGATTTAAACTATCTGCGACTTTGATATCACCGATGCATCTCCAAAGCTGGGAAATGCTTGTCGATGTCAAGCCTGTTGAACAGTTGGCATTCTCCCAAAAACTAGAAGAATCTTCGCCCCATTTCAAACGTTGCTTTTCGATAAATGCTTTTGTTATGACTTGTTGCTGGTTGAATTGAGAAATGAAGTTTGAAATAACATTGTAGCCCCTTTCCCGACGTGACGTTCGATTTAGGCCAAAATCCTGTAAAATATTTTCCATTTGCAACTCTAGTACTTCTTCACTGTTCAATTGCGTAAACCGTTGTTGAATCAGTTCCGCCAATTCCTACACAACATCGATAGTTAGTTCGTAGCTTAAACTGAAGAACTTAATGACTTACGACATTTTGCTGTTGTACTATGCATACCAAATCTTCAACACTTCGACGAAAGATCTCTTTTTGCTATAGAATTCGTGAGTTCACAATACAATGCAAATGAAAGATAATGTTACTAACCTCGGTATCAAGTCGGCTCCATAGTGCACCCATATTGATTAGGATTGATACAGTTTGAGATGATTGAGTGATATTAGTAAAGAGTTGGGAAGATTCTATCGTTTTGTAGGTCTCTTATTCTTATTAGATAATCAATCAATATTGCTTAATGCTAAAGGTCGACAAGGGTGGTATTGATCTTCTTCTTTTGTAAACCTGTGCTGCTCTAGTGCCTCGTTGCAGGTCTTGTTCTTCAAATCAGATAGTGAAAGATCGGTAGGTCAACAGGGGGCTTACACTCAACCGACTCAAACTAGCCCCTGGCAACCGGATAACTCCCTAACTCCAGTCTTCCCATCCCCCCCACAATTTTCATAAGATGATGCAATGTGATGCTACAAAGATAAAGGGTCGAACCAAGGCAACCGGCTTGTAATTACGTTCTATTCTTCAAAAGTTCAATCTAGTTGATATTAATGGCTCTACTAAATTTATTAACTTTACCTAAGTATATTCTACCTCCCATTAATCTCTAGATATTGCTTCCAAAACTTAACAAATACTATCTATTACGATTCACAGATACATACGATCGACGTTTCGTTTAGCTCCTTCTTCTCCTATACCCTCTTTACCTTCTTCAACGTTCTCATCATTTATTGTTTCTTGACTTCTATCTCAATCCAGTATCTGAACGAAAGGATGTTTGGTTCAAGGCATGGTCTAATCGATTTGGTGCTACAATGTAATTATGTCGGAAAGACATGGTTTTTCGTACAATGTGGTTGTACACCGAGTGGCCCATGTCAGCGAACGGCCCACTTAGTATTACCCTACCACCTTAAAACCTCAAAAAATCGACCACAACGCGAAAAAATAATAATGCTCTATTCGGAATCTAATATTCTATTATCATTGTATCACTTTGACCAGTCTCCCCACAAATACTACAGCTTGATTGGGTAGGCAGCCCCCCAACCGTACCCCTCTCTTCAATATGCTTGTCACATCGAACCTGTTCCTTTACATCCCTTTGTGATATAATATCCATTGTCTCTTCCATATTTAAGGTACCTCCTTGGCTTATTCGAGTCTTTTTAGCTCTACAGCGTTTGCTAAGTGCCTCATTTGCTTGACGAAGTGTACGGTTCTCAGTCTCTATTAAAGTCATCTTATATGCCATAATTTCTGTACCCTTTGCAAATGACGCGATTGCGTCAAATATCGATGTTGGTGAGCTTGATTGCTGCCTAGCAATTCGGCTTTTAACTAGAGTTGATTGTGAAAGGGTGTCCCTAGGGTTGCGAGGGGTCTGTGAGACCCAAAGATTGACATCGGCAGTAAAGGGTAAAGAAGGTGACAGGGTCCGTAACCTGATATCTAGCTTTGATATAACCATTTCCGGATCAAAGGGCACTAAGCCAGATCCACGAAAGCCAGCTCTTGCGTTTTCGGGTATAAAGGTGCGTGTAAACGCTGCGCGGAAGGCAATAAAGAGCTCGATTTTGGTGATATGGTGGATCCGGGCCTTCATATAAAGCTCAATCTCTCGGCCATATATTCGTTTGAGAATGCTGAAGCATCCAACATCTAATGGCTGGGTTATTGTGAGGAATGTGGTGGTAAGCAAAGAGGGATGATGTTATTAGCTTTGCAATACTCTTGGAATTCGACCGACTCATGGCTCTCATGCCCATCAAGTACTAGCATCCGGTATACCCCCTTTGTACGGCCTTTAGTGTGTTTATCAAAGTATTTGATCCATTCTAGCCCTGTCTCATTATTCGTCCATCCATTACCAGTAGGTGTGATTGCCCATTCCATTGGTAGGTCGCTCTCAGTATACCAGCTCATAAGGTGGCATTTCCCCTGCACTATTAAGAAAGGAGGTATTGGGTTTCTTGAGACCAGAAAGAGCATCAGATTGAATTGATTGATTCTCTAGCTAAGCAGTTAAGCTGCGAGTATATATTCAAAAAATGAAGGAATAAGGTTAGGTATTCAGCCTTCGGAATTAAAGTGCTTTGAAATCAAAATATTGAAAGCAAACAAACAGTATACCAAAAAGGAAAGAATGAATTAAAAGTTGAGTTTCGTTTGCCCCTCATATGCATCATGCAATATATATGCATATGCTGCCAAGATCCCAGGAGGTCAACATATACTGATTGATAAGTTCATTACCGTGAATTTCGGCCGTGGAAGATTCTGGGTAAGATGAAAAGATATATAAGGATATTCATTGATGTCTGTAGACCCTCCAATGGACAAGAAGATACTTAGTCAGCTATCGTTTCTACAACAATCATACAACCAATTTCTTATTCAACGTCAAAATACTGAATATTAGAAATATATTCTAAATGTAGATGATAGGCACACAGAACAATAGTAGGATTAACTATACAGATTGAGTTGAACTAACCAACTTAAAACTACAGAAACGGAAGTGAGATTAAGCTGTTTATGAGCTCGACAGTGAAAAAGCATCGAAAAGTTCTAATGATGCTATTATATTAGAATTCTTTCTCCTCTTCTTTGCCTTGTTTATATGTATCTTACTGCTCCCAAATTTTGAACAGGAACGAGTATTTTGCTTTTTTTGCCACATTTTTCAAGAGTAGAAATGCTAACTTATATGATTTGAAATCGGCAATATACGAATTTAATTAAGGTGTCCGGATGAACAAAAACAATTCAGTGAAAAACCTCCATACAATCTTCCATTTTATAGAGCACTCCTTATACTGCGAAGCCTACTTAACTCAAGAACCTTTTTCTTATGTTCCTTCTTAACATTCTGTAGTAACCAAAAGTTATAAATCAGAAATGAAGCTAATAGAAATACTGTACAGCATCCTGTTACAGTAATAGTGATAATCGCTGTAACCGACCAAGCTCCACTTCGAGCCGTATATATATTTATAATTGTTGTAAGGAGTCCAGTAATGGAGTGAAGAAAGCCTGGTCTGAGTCACATATCAGCAAAGATACTGCTATACTTTTGTGAAGGTGAGAATTACTTACAAAATGATCCGATTCAGAATCCATACATAGTTCCTCTTCCACATCCACCACAGCCAGCTCATACCAGATGCTCCAATAGCGCAGAAGATTGCAGCTATCCATAATAATGGCAGGTTTTGATATGTCTTTAAAACTAGCTTCCCAGCTTTGCTTACTTCTGATGCAATGGTGCGAGAATTCTGAAGTGATGTGAATGTGGCCGGTAATACCATGTATCCAGCGAGCAGTAGCCAGGTAAAAAGGCCGGCTAGAATGTTGTAAGTTTCGGGTATACTATCAAGTTGAAGTAGCATGTTGATGTAATTAGTCTCTCCGTGTTCGTGTCTAGGGTCACGAGCATCTTCGCCATAAGGTGCATCTAGGCGGAACATTTCCTCATTGAGCCTAGTGAATTCTTCATTGCTGGATATTGAAGAACTATTACGATGCTGGACGGAATTTGAACGTATTCTTCGAACGTGTGCCATGGAAGGCACTCTTAATTGAAATGATTCTGATGGGTGGAAGGAGCCCGGCATAACTGTGCTCATTGTTATATTATAGTAGACATCATGGAGAAGTTCATCTTTTATATATTTATATTCGTAATGCTAATTAGGCGATGGCTTAGATTAGCCTAGGGAAATTAGGAAATGTCTAAATAGAATCTTCATCAATAAACCTATAGAATTTCTCTCGATTGATTGATTGATTGATTGATTGATTGATTAAATTAACGTCTACACTGAGTCTATGACTATCTAAGACGGCTAGGAGCTTTGTAGGCTTCTAACAATAATAAATGGAGGGTAGCTGGCCTTATTCGACGGTAGCTAATACAGGTTGGGGAGATTGAGAGCCCCAATCTTTTAACGTTTGAATGGGGGAAGTGAAAACTAATCCCAGGGAACCATGCCCGCCTTACAGATACTCTCGTATTCAAATAAAGGGAATAACAAATGAAATTTGACATTGGGGTGATTGCCCAAATTGACCAAATTGCCCGAATTGACCAAATTGATCAAATTGACCAGAATTGATCAATTCAATCACAATATTCCTAGGTATACTAAGCATGCTATGGCAGTCTTCCTAGGCTTGAATTTGTCCTCGCATATTTGTCCTAGGGCAAATGGAGGTTCAGAACAGATAATCTAGGCCACACAACCACCTGGGGCGTATATGATTTTAGGAGCAGTGTCCTGTATACCTTGTCCCATGTATTATATCCTACGGCGATATCACTCCTAAGATCTTAAAAATCCTGAGATGTTCTAAAAGCTAGGCCAGACATCCTGGATAAGAATTTAAGTTGGAATTCCTTAGCCAGGACAACCTTACATTTAGGAAAAGTTCTCTAGAACTCTCAAACACCTAGTATTCCTAAAATCATAGGAAGTTTGTCCTAGCCAGAGTTACGTGCTAGGATAGTTCATCTGGGTTGAGTATTTGTTGATCTCCCAGATTCCTAATAGCATCAACTTCTTTTCGATATCATAACTTTCTCACTGATTTTGATCCTGGCAGCGCATGTTTATATAACTCATATAGCGAGGAAACAACCTCAACTTTCAACTCCTTCCATTATTGATTATAAATACAAGTCGACCTGTGATTTCTTATTATACTACCTCAAGAAGGTTGAAGGAATCAACTAAAAGTTATAAACACAACCCCAAATCATAATCCTATATAGAGAGAAGAATGTCATATCCTTTTTTTTCTCATTTCTATACAGGCTGATAATCAAGTTCAAAATATTTCACGTCATCTGCCAATTTATCCCGTATGGCACTTCGTAGCTCATCTCGAACTTCTGCAGTACCAGAGACTCCAAAATTGTTAGTAACCTTCAAATAGTAGATTATTGAGCGTACCTGTGACAATCATCTTTCCATCAGATCTCCTAGACTCGAGTTCTTTCTCGTATACCAATGACTCATTATTCCAGTCCATTTCTTTAACCGGCTTTGTCTCCATCTGCCTCTTCGAAATTTCTTCCTGGATAATATCATGTATTGGAGCCTTGCCAGGATAGACGCTTGCTCGCTTCCCGAAGGATACGGTGGTGTCCCTTGATTCACAATAAATCGAAATGTCGAGAATCTACAATTTGTTCTCAGAAACCGATGACGATATTAGGGTCACAATACATACCCAACCATCGTCAAGTGTATCCTCGCTCAATGCACCATTGAGTAGCGGTTGCACAGCTATTGTAACGTCTGTTCTTGTCAGATACTTATTTTGATAAACATATTGCGCTTTAAATACTCACCAATATCTCGGACCTGCCAAACCAGATGGATACGTTGAGCACGTAGCTTACGGGTATTATAGCCATGGATCAGCTGCTTGAGATATGGTAATTGCGCTGCGATCCCAAAGTCGCTGGCTACCATGAGGATATTTTCACCGTCGTCCATGCGGATACTATTTCCATGGGGACCACTAAACAACACCAAGGAGTGCATAGAACGCCCATTCTTGGCATGATGCAAAAGCTTGCGAGTTATTCCTCTGCGAGGCTCGATGAAGAGCTCCAAATGATCCTGTGGTTGTTCTGTCCAAGAGATCACAACGAATGGGTGACTTTGCAGGAAGGACCAGAAGCTGACCCCAGGTATCCAGAGATTAATGTACTGCCCGGCTTTGATTGCTAGTGGCTTTCGACATTGTAAGCGGAGCCGGACAGCACCAGATACATGCGTGATATGAGCTTGTGTAAGACCAGACCGACAGAAACCGTTTCGATAGAAGAAAATCAAGCATTGAGTTACACACATGAAAAGAAAAATACCTGCTAAGATATACAAGTAAAGAAGGGGAAATAGTGAATCGGATGATAAGTGTTGCCAGATGGCATAAACAGAAAGTGCTGATAACGCATGGTGTACACGAAGGAAAATTTCATAGGAAGGTTTACGAAAGACAGGCAGAGAAAGCAGGATAATGCATCCTAATGATGATGCTCCCTACTGACTGTTAGAGGGAGAAGGTGGCGAAGCGATTGCGGACTCACTATAATCGCAAACAAGTTGTGGTGCAGGTTTAAAGCGAAAGGTAATTGCGCCGAGACTGCCATAAGAACATGAAGGATGGCAAGTAGGACTGTCATTACACCTGCTGATCGATGAATTTGCCGAAATGTGTCGAGGGTCAGACCTAGTAGATCCGCAACAGTGCTAAGGTGAGGACCAGCGAATAGTGGGATGAGGTTGACGAGGGAGAGGGTCCCGGCTCGAAGACTGGCTTGTGAGAGAGGGGAAAATTGGAGGCTAGATTCATTTATTTCTAGACTAAAGCAAGCTATATTTCCAGCGATGTAGACTAGGTGTACCAATATGCTCGCTCGGCTCCAAGGGCCTATGTAACGATGTCGACGAAGAGCATAGCTATAGATTAGATGCTTCGAGATAATAATAGAAAGAAATCGCACAATATGAGTAATCCAACGGCGGCTATTGATAAGTAGGAGTACGCAGAAGATACTAGCTATAACAATAGCATACACTTGATTTGCATTCATAATAATTGAATAATGAAATAATGAGTCGGGAATAAAATATAGAAATTGATGTAAATTTAAGATTGATGATTATGGAGAATAAAGGGAGTGATACAGCCTCAAGTCAGTGTTGAGAATAAAGTGAGAAGAAAAATGTGGGAGAAGCAGAGTGAATAGAAGGCACGGCTAAGGGTGAGGTTAAGAGAACCCATGTGAGAGGATGATGTGGAAATCATGAAATTTAGCGGGAGCCTGAACTAGATATTGACATTTTATAATGTAAAAGTGGCTTGGTAAATGCTTATACTTAGGGAGAGCAAAATTATGTGTTTTAAATCCATATTAAGAGAGACTTTGATGAGGATTTTCTTATTTTAGCATATGTCATTTCAAGGTCGATGTATGAGGTTGCGCACTTTTGTGGAGACAGGTGGGGCTGGGGCTCAGGATGGAGTGGGGCTGATGATTTTTTGAAAATCCCATTGGCGAGAATGGATAAATTTCAGGAGTAAGGAGGGACACGGTAACATTTGAGCAGGCACTTTTCAAAAGAATTCTGTTGAATACATTTATGAATATGAATCAACCTCGTAAATTTTATTATTTAATAAAAATAGAATAGAAGATATTTTTTGGTCTGAATTCGTAGACTATTGTAAGGCAAAGTATAACAGTTTAAAGTTACATCAACATAGTTACACTTTTGGTGTATACTTGTAACGACCACGTAAACAAACTTGAGCTAAAGATATCAAACCAAGGAGAGATTCCTTGCGCCAAGGACTAGTCAGAAGGGGATGCTATTAAGTTAAAATTAGAATTGAACTTTGAAATAATAAATTGATGTACCTTGAGCAATTCCACAGTCGAAGTTGCGGATGTTGTAGCAGAAAGGAATCCGACGGCATTTGAGTTGGGATGCCAGCGGTGTAGGTCGTCGATACCGATAGCACCATCTTCTTTGACATACTTTTGCATCAACTCCATCACAATTGGAGAAAGGGCCCTCAGATCACAAGGGTCACCTGTGGTTTCTGCTAAGTGACAACACTCTTGATTTGCTATAAACTCATATTAGATTAGGGATTTATTGGAAGAGAATCTGTTTACCAATCTTGACTTCTCCATTTGTGTTTAAGAAGATATTTGAGCAGCACAGAGATCCGTGTTCAAATCCTTCCGCCGAGAGGTAGGCCACACCATTGAGAATCTATTATAATTAGCGACTGCTTATATGTAAGTGAGAGACCTTACTTGTCCGAGGATAGCAGCGAGTTGTTGCTCATCAGGGTAGGCTGGGGAGCTGACGATTCGGTCGAGAGATATAGGCATATGCTCGAGAATGATAAAGAGGCCCTCGTCAGTGGTAAAAGCATCTAGGGCAGCAATAATATTATGATGCTGAAGTTGTCGGAACATATGAAGTGCCTTCTCGGCCACCGGTTTCAAAAATGCCCTCACATGAACGAGCTCTATTGGAGGCACTTTTCGGACCGCTACTGCAACGGGACCACCAAGTTCAAGATCATAGATCTTTTCATACTTGTCCCACGGGGATTTCCACGCTGCCCTGAGTTGAAGGGCAGAGCTTTTCAGTGTCGGTCTCACCTTTTTCACCTTGGGCGATGGCGGTGGCTTCAAGCCATATCGTCCTATGGGCTGAGGCTTCTTATTGTTTTGAGTATCCTTTGTAGATAGTACTGTCGATTTGTCACCCGTTAACTCGAACATATCAATTTGTGTGTGCCGATTTTTGGGTGGAATCGCCATCCTAGATAGCTGTTTGTGTGGTAATTGTTAAGTATTGGTTAATTGAGTAGTAATGGAGGTATAGAAGTTAGAAAATAATTGGGGAAATATAATGGGAAGGACAGGCTCCAAAAACAGTTCAGAAGTAACAACGCATTTGGAATTAAAAAATTCAAGTAAAAGAAACAAAAAGATTGAAGAGAATAAAAAGAGCTTTTTTAAGCACAATTTATTTTAGTCAACCCGCCCTTGCTCTGCCGCAAGTAGCCAAGTAAATGAATGTACCACCCTCTACTCCCCCACCTGCTACTTCCGATCACTCATCCCCCCACCTTTCATTCAGTCTCGCTTTTAAATTCCTTCTCTTTTAGTGTTAAAAAATAGTTAACTTCTAATATTATAAGAAGTATTTTTTAGATGTATCGATCACGGTTAACTAAAGACGAGTTGAAACTCGAGGCAGAAAGACATCTCAAGTATAGGGGTATCGCATGCGTCAGGTTGGAGAATCTCCATTTTCCATTGGAAGAGTCAAGGGAGCTCAATCAGGAGAATGTTGAAAGGCTGAAGGAGTTGTTTCAAAAAGATATAACTCGTCGGCTAGATCCTAAAAATCGGATCGCCGCTGAGATTAATGAAATCGACCTTAACGAGGCGATCCGAACCTCCAACACCTCTGCTGAATTATTGATGAATATCCATGATGAGAATCCCCCATTTCTAATATTTCCTTCAAATTATCAATTGACCTGTCTTCATGGACGTCATCGCATCCTAGCTGCCCGAGAGATTCTGCCGCCGGCGAATGCCTGGTGGACGGTTGATCTATATCTTACAGGTATAAAACCTTTTTGCTCAAAAGGTAAAACGATATATGCTAAAATTTCTGTAGACACTAACCCAGAGGTTCGAAGGACCCTAATTGAAGAATATTCGAACGAGAAAAAACCATCGGATGGAGAGATATATCGTAAAGTCCGGCAATATGAGCGAGAGGGTAATATCCTCTTCAAGAAGCGGTGGATAGCTCGTCTATCTGATCATGGCCGCCGAAGTCTTCGACAACTCTTCGATCATGAAGATGGAGAGCTCACAGCGGCTTTCGACAAGCTTCTAGATATTCCCGGGCTCTGGAGCGGTATGAGAATTAGTACACTTCACAAGCTGCTAGATATGAAATGTTATGAAGTGAGTTTGCTGCTGTTACAGAATTGACCCGCTCTCCTTATGCGATGATGAAACATTCTCACATATTCAATAGGAAGCTCTACACTATCTCGAACACATTAGACAATTTTGGCATAGCCTTTTCCGTGGGGATAAGAACGCTCTCCGGAGGGTGAATAACGTCGATGTAAAATCCTTAGAGCTCAAAGCTCCAAAGTACTCCAAACAGGACGCTCAAATCTTACAAGTTCAACTACTTAGTGGACAGATCTTCAGTGCGTTCAGTCAACAAGAGCGTGAAGCTATCTGGAGTGAGCTACAATCTATTGAATATCTCATCCCTTCACTCTTTACTTTCTTCGAAGATTTAAAGTATCTCAATGCTTGTGCCGGAAGTCTAAAGCGGCTGGTAAAACTATCGCGCAGAGACACGGTATTTTCCGCTTTCCAGCGAAAATTTCGTCTTACGAACGAGTCAAATGATCAGTACGCTATTGAGATTGCCGAATCTACCTTTATTGATAAATCAATACCAGCTATACATTGTTTTGATGTAGGATATCGGCAGTTGTGGGCTTTTGCAATGCGGAACTACAAAGAGATACCGCCTGATACCAAGAAGAAGAAGAAAGATCTCCTTGCAAAATCTGGAGTGGAGAAAGCGGACGAAATGATTCTATTTGAATTTGCTGCTCTCGCCGACCGTTTAGGTTTTTCATCACCCGAAATTCAAACCTTGAGGCGAAATTCATCGGATAGAGAGATCGCTTTGTATGCCTTACTAAAGGCGCGAAAGCCCGATCGGTATCAATACGACGACATTACCTTGGAATCCAACGTGACACAAATTGTGAAATTATTTTCAACAGCTTCCGTAATCTCTCACCATAATACATCCCCAGCTCTCATTTCTGATAATATTGATTCATCGGGAAATCGTTGCGGGTTCCCGCACCAGGATGCTCATCGACAAGATAGGAAAGCACTTTTCCTACCTTACTTAAACGATGAGAACTTTGAAAAGGGGAAGTATATTACATCATTCTTTATACGTCGGTCCGTATATTATGCTTTTTTCGGGAAACCTATAGATCTAGAAATACTTGAAAGCTCCAACTCCCCACAGACATTTTCTCACAATACCCAATATACGGAAATTTCAGGGCTAGAAACAGGCGATATTGATATTTCTGGATTGCAGATGCCGGTTAGCGAATTTGAGAGGGTTGAATTACAAAGACAAGAAAGGGAGAGATTGAATGAGGAGAGATTGAATGAGGAGAGATTGAATGAGGAGAGATTGAATGAGGAGAGATTGAATGAGGAGAGATTGAATGAGGAGAGATTGAATGAGGAGAGATTGAATGAGGAGAGATTGAATGAGGAGAGATTGAATGAGGAGGAGAAGAGATTAAAAGAAGAGAAGAGATTGAGGAAGGAGGAGAGATTGAAAAAAAAAGAGAGATTGAAAAGGGAAAAGAGATTGAAAGAGGAGGAAAGATTGAAGGAGGAGGAAAGATTGAAGGAGGAGGAAAGATTGAAGGAGGAGGAAAGATTGAAGGAGGAGGAGAGATTGAAGAAGGAGGAGGAAAGATTGAAAGAGGAGGAGAGATTGAAGGAGGAGGAGAGATTGAAGAGGGAGGAGAAAAGATTGAAGGAGGAGAGATTGAAGAAGGAGGAGGAAAGATTGAAGGAGGAGGAGAGATTGAAGAAGGAGGAGGAAAGATTGAAGAAGGAGGAGGAGAAATTGAAAGAGGAGGAGAGATTGAAGAAGGAGGAGAAAAGATTGAAGGAGGAGGAGAAAAGATTGAAGGAGGAGGAGAGATTGAAGAAGGAGGAGAGATTGAAGAAGGAGGAGGAGAGATTGAAGAAGGAGGAGAAAAGATTGAAGGAGGAGGAGAAAAGATTGAAGGAGGAGGAGAGATTGAAGAAGGAGGAGAGATTGAAGAAGGAGGAGGAAAGATTGAAGAAGGAGGAGGAAAGATTGAAAGAGGAGGAGAGATTGAAGGAGGAGGAGAGATTGAAGAAGGAGGAGGAAAGATTGAAGGAGGAGAAGAGATTGAAGGAGGAAAGATTGAAAGAGGAGAGATTGAAGAAGGAGGAGGAAAGATTGAAGAAGGAGGAGGAAAGATTGAAGAAGGAGGAGGAAAGATTGAAGAAGGAGGAGGAAAGATTGAAAGAGGAGGAAAGATTGAAAGATTTAGAGTTAACCAGAAAACGTCATACGCGAATTGATATGGAGAGTCTTGTCCCTGATAGGATTACGGGAGACGAAAGTGGACTTCTAATAGCTGATCAAGCAAAAGAACGCCCAGAAACACAAACAGATAATCACGGTATAAGACAGGAAACGCCTACATTGGATATACAATCAAGACGGGAACTATCAATAGGAAGTTCCGCTCGAGAACAGCCACATTTAGTCCACATCACATTTACGATTTGGGATGGAAAAAAGTGGGAACCCTCATTTTATATTGATATAGATCCTTCTAATCCCTCCGATTCATTGAAAGTTAGACGAATGGCAATAAAACATATGAGGAAGGGTATGAGGCTTTTTGATTACAGAGCAGATATATTAACCCCATACAACTGTCTCGCGGCAACGATCGCTAACGGAGGCAACACAATTTTTATCATCCGGGAGGAAGAGATTAACATCAATAAAGAGTTAGAGGATGCCATGTTCAATCTAAACTCAGATGAGGATACTACTTTAAACTCATATGAGGATACTCTAAACTCAGATGAGGATAATATAATACAGGTTCGAAAACGGGGACGTCATGAATGAAATTTCAATGGGATACTAAATCGGAAACAATATGAATAAAATATGAAGAGGTTTTTTGAAAAAATAAGTAGGGAATACTATAGATTCTATCATCTTTCTTTTTTCTTTTTTCAATCAAGGAGTTCAGATGAGCCTGTAGAAAAAAGAAGCAGGGCGTACTCGATCACAGTCATTTTGTATGGACACAACTCCCTATGTAGCGTAGCGATGAATGTTCTTGATGAAAGCGATAATCTGTAATATATGGTTTAAATTACCAGTCATTCTTATAATGGGATATCCAGTTATAATTGTTTGAATGATCATCAAATCTGCCTCTTTTCTTTTTACTTTAATAAAAAGATAGATATCTATTTCAAGCATTTATAAATGAGTTTGTAATATTCATCTATACATAGAGTATTTTAACTTCCGTTCTGTTTACCACTGGATTTTTAAGATCTTATGATAGAAATAACTAAGAGTTTCGATGACACAACAAATCCCTGCTCATACAGAACGTAACAGGACTATTCTCGATGCCAATTTTAGCTCCGAATGAGCTGCCAATATAGGGGAATAATTTTTCATTTTTCATTGTGAGTGGGGTGCCAACAATTTGTATTATTTAAGCTAGTTGGAGAGTTAATTATGAAGATAGAACTATCGTTTCTCGATACATCTACATTGTACTCAGTTTCAATATGTCAAGAATGACCGACAGAATGACACCAAGCCTACATCGAACACCCGCTAGGTTAGGTAATAATTCAGCTCAGTCTTCAGCAAAGCTCGCAACAACATCCAACGATCGAGCGAAACAAGGAAATCTCTTGAGGGTTTGGCTCACCAGCCCATGGGGCGACTATCAGTCTATAGCACCTATAACGGCAAAGGGATGCTTGTTGGCTTGTCGCAAGGGAGATTACTTTGAAAAAGTGACAATTGGAGTTTACGAAGGGGATGATACCCTTCAATTCCTCCAAGCACTATCTGTAATTCAACATGCGAACATATCTAAGATTCTTGACATCTACTGTGACGAAAACAAAATATTTATTGCATCAGAGTATTTTGAACTTTCGTTAGTCGATCTAGACTTTCAGATGTTCGAATTTGATGAATGGGAGATTGCAACCATCATTACCGAGGTAAGTAATCATTCCTGTGGAGTTCACTATATCAATACTGATGAAACTCAGGTCCTGAAAGGTTCGGAGTACCTTCTCTGCCAAGGTGTCTCATGTAAAGAATTGTCGATGTTGAATATTCGTCTATCAATAAATGGAGATGTTAAGATTGGTGGGTTACAGAATCTATATATGAAATATCTCTAAAATTTCTTTCAGCTTTGAATTTCAAACAGTATATATACGAAAAAAAGCATCCGAACTTGAACCTTCTACATAGCTTTCTAGATTTACCATTCCTAGCTGAGATCGTCGAAAAGATGATGCTTCCACGATATCATTTGATTGGTAAAAAAGATGCGTGGTCTAACGAAGCTCTAAAATTCCTTTCATGTTGTATATCAAGCTCGATCGAAAGTATGCGTAAGGTAACGACCCTCTCTCTCTCTCTTATATTTAGTATTCACGCTTAAATGTAAACAGCATCCATTTCTTCAGCAGGCCATTTCACCAAGCAAGCTAGCCCCTCGTGTTAGGTTTGCAATGGAAGTCTCAAGGTTAAAAGATATCAAGCAATAATAGGGCAATGCATTGAAACTAAATTTTGCTAGTCTAAATGTTGACAAGTGAGGCTTCTACAGCCAGCCAGATTATGTATTTCTACCTCCCTCTTTTATGTAGCCATCATCGCGGGAATATTCGGCGTCGGGAGATATTTGGCGGGGAACAATTCGATTGATATCGAGTGAAGTAGATGGAGAATTGTGTTCGAATGTGCTGGCAGCTGTTGTGAGGTGTGGGAGGTCGATTTTTCTTATTGGTCGAGGAGCAACAATCTGAGAGGGTGATAATGAACGTTCTTCGACGGTATTCTTTGAAGAAATCACAGAGACAATTTCGAAATCACACTCAAAATAGTTGAGCTTTTCATTTGTTGTACTTATCGGCTCCCATGGCAATTTCGGATCATAAGGATGCTTCGCCCCATCCACTGAGTACTAAATATAAAGTCGTTAGAGAATCGATGAAAACATACAAAATCAGAGGGACAAACAAAGTAATAGTATCTATGACGGCTATTATGATTGACTAACAACTTCAAATCAAGTCTCCAATTGTTACTATCTGTTCTTCGAAGAGGGTAACCTTCCCATTCTTTAGATAAGGCGATAAAAAATGTTGTAGCTTTCGCCTGAGGCTCGACATGGCGTACATCAACGAACATTGGTATTTCAACCGCCATCACCAATATAGTAAAAAATAAATAAGCACAAGACAGTAAGAGGATATATCGAGTATATATCACGGAATAAAGATTTTAGACAACTACCAACTTAAAAACAGAGCGAACTTTATAATACGAAATGGCACAACCGTCCTATATGCTTTCAAAGATCTATCCTAAGTTCCCATGCCGTTGGAATAGATGAAGATATTTGGAAAGAAATTTCTTAATTTGTGTATCCTTTTCAGTTGAGGGTCTGTTTAAGCGCGGTTACTTTAAGGTTTCAATCCTTGGACTTTGGCTCTGAACCTTAACTTTGGTCGTTGATTTGACGCTCGTTGATTTGACGCTCGATAGTGAACCCTGTACATTGTGTGACATAAAATGCGGATCAAATCTTCGGAATTTATTATAGGTCAATATAGGTGAAGGAAGTCCTTTGGGGAGATGTTTATCAAGTATTTTCTCGCCTATACTTATCTTTCTATCAGCTCTTTAACAAACATTCATATTAGTATTTCCTATAGTAGCATTTCTTGTTATAGCATTTCTTATTATAGCATTTCTTATTGTAGCATTTCTTATTGTGGTAATTCTTATTAAAATATTTCTTATCGTTTTATTTATTACCCTATCTATTATTTTAGTATCAAAGTGAAAGAATATGTATATGAAAAAGGGTTGTACTGGGTATGGAATGTAGTTGGAAAGAGACAAAGATGAGGTTATCCCTATAGTCGCCAAGAAGCTTCTTGCATTCACGTAAGTGAACCTGTGATAGTTGATATTTATTATTCTAGCATTTCTTATTTTCGCATCTCGTCGCGGCTGTACCGTATGCGGTTCCGGGCTGTACATGGACTATGAAGCTACTTTTATCAATCAAGCAAGATCCTGGTCGCCTCCCGAAACCCTTGGTAGAAAACTCTTATTTAAGCATATCTTATTTTAACCTCTTTTATTTTGATCTTTCTTATTTTAACCTCACTTATTCAAACATTGTTTATTTAGACATTTTTGTATTGAATATTCTATCTTAATAATTTTTATATTATTATTTAAATCTCGGCATCTTTGTGGGGAAAGATTTACAGAATAAAATGATTACGGTAATTCAATCATCCCAAATGAAACAGCAGGTGGTTGAGCAGAGCCATCGGGGCCCTGGTATACTGCCACATTTTCACAGATCTTCAAAATTTCCATTTCGAACTCCTCTTTTGCTGCTACTAATCTCGGTCTCAATGCTTCAGTGAAAACTTTTGATATTTTCATACGATGTAGCTCGTCAGATTGGCGTATGGCGTCGGTAGTTTTCTCGTCGGTGACCATGATGCAAAATTCATCAACTTGTTCATCCCCTAATACTATATGACACCATGACATCCGTTTAATCACACAACCCATCCATAAGAACATCCTGCCGCGGTATTCGGCCGACGCCCCACGTGAGATGAGAACTTTCACATCAAAAGCCCATCGCCTTGGTCGAACACCAGCACAGTAGGGGAGGTAATTATCATCAAGAAATGTACACATCTTATGAAACATCTTTTCGTTGACAGGTGATAATCCATTGGGAGTGAGAAAATAGCAAATATCGTTATCGGGATTTATGTGTGTAGTTTGTGTCTTCGATGCTGTGTTGTGTGGGCGGCATATAAATTGTTTGTAGTATCCCGATGCGTAATGCCTTGATTCTTGATTGACATAGAGAAGAGCGGGCTCTGGCGTCAAGCGTAGCCACATCTTGAGATTTGCTTTGAAATCAAACACGATAACGCGGTCGTGAGTCAAGGCTTCCATCCATATCATTTCACGAACTTCAGCGGATAGTTTTTGAAATGGATGAAAGGATGAAGACATTCTATACGCAGTGCCAGCTTTTATTGGGAGTTTGAAAGGATTGCAAGATAGTATGGCAAAGAAGTCGGAGGTAAAGATTTATGACATACAAGCGTACATTCTTATTGAAAAGGAACTTCAATCGAGAATGAATTTCAGATATCTTTCAAAGAAATGAAGACAAGAAGATCAGGCAGAATCAAAATAGGATAAGCTCAAGGGGGTGATACTAATCTGCATCTAGCGAAACTAGATATACCAAAACAGAAGATGCTAATATAAGGAAATACCAAAGGACGGATGCCACATCTTACTTTTTACATCAATTCTAGCCAACTAGCCTGAGTCATTGCTGCTTGGATTTGAGCTCTTCTAGGTATAAACTGAACCTCACAAGTTGTAACATATTGGAGCAAGTTCACATTAGTCTAAGAACAAGTTCGTATCAATATTTTGTGTAACTGTAATTATTTGTAAATCGGCGCACAATCCACTCGTTTATTATTAAGATATACATAAGCCTAAAGTTCTCACGAGAATCCTGATCCCATCATAAACTTAACATAAGATCTGGAAAGAGATCCGATACACCATGAGTCCATGCATATTTGACTCGCGCCGCAGTCCATCTGCTGCTATGCATTACCATTAATGCAGCGATTCGCTCCCAACATCCGTCATAATCCGCCTGCCTCATATGTAGCTCCATGATTGACTCCCCCAAACGCTCACACGTCTTTACAATATCTGCCTGGACCGCCTCTTTGAAGTAACTCATCTGAGTAAATGTTAGACGGTTATTTATACAGGTTGAACATAAGAATTCTGACCTCCTTTAAAGTTCTATTGTAGTATGAGTACCAACATTGCATATTGTTCTTCCTGATACCCCTCTTGCCGAATTCATTTATTATAAAGTCCCATTTTCTATTTTCCCTCTTCCAATGTATCAATTGAATTTTTGATTGAAACTTCTCCGCCCAGTGAACAAATGAGGTATCCGTTTTGAATGGTGGATATGGAGACGAGGGTAACATCACATCAGATGGCTCTAGAGGAAGTGAAGATATCGTACCTGGTGAAGGAAGAGATGGAGTAGATATTGTATCAGATAAAGAGATAGAAAGTGAAGATATTGTATCAAATGAAGGAAGAGGGGAAGTAGGTGTTATATCAAATAAAGGTAAAGAAAGTGAAGATATTGTATTTGGTGAAGGAAGAGGTGAAGTAGGTGTTGTATCAAATAAAGGTAAAGAAAGTGAAGATATTGTATTTGGTGAAGGAAGAGGTGAAGTAGGTGTTGTATCAAATAAAGGTAAAGAAAGTGAGGATATTGTATCTGGTGAAGATAATGAAGATGTTGTATCAAATAAAGGTAAAGAAAGTGAGGATATTGTATCTGGTGAAGATAATGAAGATGTTGTATTTGGTGAAGGAAGAGGTGAAGTAGGTGTTGTATCAAATAAAGGTAAAGAAAGTGAGGATATTGTATCCGGTGAAGATAATGAAGATTTTCTATCAATGTCAAAAGCCCTGTGAATGAGTTCTTGTTGAAGGGCTATATATTGGGGGATGAAGTAGGAGGGATCGTATTGAGCTTGTGAAGGATAGAAGAACTCTGAAGGAAAGTCTGTGGAAGGGAAGTATGTATCGTCCATTGTGTGAATATAAATTGTAATTTTACAGAATTTCTCAAATCTCTGATATTTGAGTATGTGAAAATGATGATGAAGGATCTTAGAACTAAGAACGAACACTTTATACTCACAGAGCCTTCTAGCATAATATAATTGGTATCCAGGGCTGGGCACCCGTACCCTAGCGGGGGTATTTGGGCTCTACAGAATGATTACCCTACTCTATAGAGATTTCACAGAATGGTTATCCGGAAAATATCAGAGGGTACGCAGGGTAAATATCATGTGATCGTCCGATATCACATAACATGAATATCATGTGATAGGAGTCATACATTCACATTGTGACACCTCATGTGATATATTCCCACGGATACCTGTTATCCAGGGCCTATAGAGCTACAGCAAGGTGAATTTTTGGCCGAGGTTACCCCTGGCTACCCTACCCTTTGCCCAGCCCTGTTTGTATCTAGTCTTATAGTAAATGCAGAATAGACAACCTTTCATACCATATCGGCACAACAGGTATACAGAAATAGGTTCGTAGAAATAGGTTCGATACTATTCTTGTGCTTACGGAACTCTATATATTGAAAAATCCTTAGAAATTTGAGATGTTACGAGGTAAACAACTCATGTGGGAGACATGACAGAAAAGATCCCGGTGCTGTCAACGGATATCTTCGGATCTTTGGGCTTACTATCGTATAGCCATCGTTATACATGACAAGGCTGGAATATCGGAGGACGGGTAATCATACGACCCCGGTAGCTTCGACATACCTCGCCTCCGCAATGCATGTTATAGCTTCCTGCAGCTAAAAGACACCAACCGTTGAAAAATGGGGTACTTTTCATCGTAGCTTGTCACATCTATCCGGTCCGCTTGCGTCCAAACTTAAGACAGATAATCCTTCATAACTTGAATAATTTTGCAGCACTAAAAGGATTTAAAAAACCTGCATCACAGATACGTACATCAACATACTGTAATTGTAACTGTCGAATCAAAACATTTCACTAAAGCTATACATAGTCGATGAAATACTTCACCAATCAAATCATCCTAAAGTTCTAGAGCTTAAAAGATCGGCAAAGTTTGATGCCCTGCAGCCGGAATCTGTGCGTTATTTGATCCTACCCTTAAAACAAGGTTGTCGCCGGAAAATCCTCGGGGTTTCCGCCGAAAAGAGTTATCCAAATTAGGAATGAAAAATGTCCCGGTGTTCTGGTACCGAGACAGGTGTAAGAAAAGTGGAGTATCATAATGATAAAGCTATCCACTGTACTATACCATACCCCTAAGGGTATGAAAATCCATTTATTTATAAGCTATATACCATTTCCGTACTAGCCTCCGTTTCTGGTTATGAGCATTATTTGAATGCACTTTGCGTAACTTCCACTTTTCACATGGCTCAAAACTACTCGTGCGGCCAGTGAGTATATGACTATCCACTTCTGAGCACATACCACAAAATGGTAAACTACAAGAGGAATAGTGGCCCATATTTAAGTGGACAGTCATATACCTTCTGGCAGCACGAGTACTCGGTCCAGGCGGCAAAGTAGAAAGATAGCATAGCACAAAGATTCATTTGGCCAGACTTAGGAGGATAGAAACCGCCCGGCTCCAACCATCCGGAGGCAGTGGGTAAAAAGTATCCGAGCCACCCCCGCACATCATACCAGTACAAGACTATACTAGAAATGGAACGATGTACAGGGGACTATTAAATTACAACTCCAACGCTCAAAAATAAAGGCAAGATAAGGATATATTCGTGAATGACTGAGCGCCTTAGGTATTGTGTATATGTGAGGCTCTAAAATGTTTCAATGCTAATGTAGGAAATGTCGAAACCAAAAACAGTGGATTCTAGAATCAGCTTTTCTAGTTCTAAATGATTGGCAACATAGCCCCAGTTTTAGGATCTTCTCTTTTTTGGGGTATAGTCATCCCACATTTTCATATTTAAATGAGTTTTAGAGCTGGTGAAATGAATTTCCGACGCATATCCACACCAGAAACTATTGGTCAAGCACAAGATGCTTAAATAAGAATGGGAGATGCTTATGAGTAAGAGTTGCTGGCAGGCAGCAAGCGTCATGCGTGGCTGGAGCTCGCCTCATGGCATGTGCTAACTTACATGGCCGCGACAACACGCCAATCAAGTTATGTGGGAGAAAAGACTAGGCTAAGCAGGGGGAAAGCAGGGAAGGTGGATAAACATAAATCAAGTAACAGGTAGATAATAGAGATGACGCTGAAATTATGTACCAGCACGGCGCGGGTCACATACTTCCTAAGCAGTTATCCTCTTTTGATTATTGGTGATGCGTTACATGTAGTATTGAGGTTCTTTACAAAGATAATGTTCACTTTATGTTTAAAATTTCTACAAATGTTTTAAGGTTTTTGGTGGTCAACAATTATTGAGTAGGTAGATAGTAGAATTATACTGGCTAATATAAGCAGGCTTTAATAATAAAACAACTGAGATCGATATTGATGTTCTAGTTAAATGATAAGCACTCTGTATAATGTTGGTGTACTTGAATATGCTGGCTTGTTGTAGCGATAGAGAACGACATTTTCTATAAAATAATAGCAATTGTTTTTGACCGAGGGATTTCTCAACCGCACCAGGACCATCGTGTGTTGACTCACCTCATCCATCAATGCGCCAATGATGATAATTAGTGAGGGGTCTTATTGTGTAGTATCAAGAATGCCGAGAAATTTTTTATTTAGATATATGCTTCAATAATTTTTGTAAAGAGTTTAAAGACAATCAGAATCAATACCAATGCAACACCCTTCTATCTATCTCGAGCCCAGCCATACATCGATCCGATAATCCGTGCCAAACAATCTGTTCCCTCCAACCACCCTCAAAATGTCATCTTGTTGATCGAATCCCCTAGAATTTCTTGATCGACTTAATATTTCCAGAAACTTACTCAAAGCTTTGGAGATTCATAAGTCGGTGATGGCGCTAATCATGCCATCTTATCAAATGTTGACTCCTCAAAAATTCCGGCAAATCTGGTATGGGTGGTAGCGATAATGAATCTTTTAGCTCCTGCTCGCGCAAAGTGGAATGTGGTTCAGATGAGCTTGGATCACTAGAGGATCGACAAAGGGAAACGTGTGACATAGGATAAGGTGGATCTTGTGTAAAATAATCCAATTCACCTTCCGGAGCTACCACCGCGGAGAGCAGGCGGCAAGACGAGTTATCCGATGCTTTACGAGACGACCCAAGAGCAGGAGGTAGTTGATGTGGTTGCCCGACGCCAGCACAATCCGGTGAATCCAGTCTGTTTCTAATATCCAAAGATCCAAATTGTCCCTCTAACATCATTGAAGCAGGCGGCGTATCTCCGACGGATTCATCCAATTCCTCGACGAATGATCTTGGAGTAACGAGAGATGTTTCATGTGATATTTCAGTCTTCTCATGATGTTGTGGTGATGGGTTAGATCCGTGTCCTGCATCAAAATTTTCGGTCTTCGCCTTTTTCCGCTTCAGAGAGATGTCAGGAATTTTGTTTCGTCGCTTCTTCCCAGGACACGGATCTTCGTCGACTGAAGTTGCATTGCTGTCTTTCACTTCGAAATCTCCAGGCAAGTAGTTGATTGAGATGCTCAAATTTTTCTGAAGTTAATTAATCGACTAAATTTTTCATGACGGAGCAGAACATATACGTACAATTTCCATTATTGGAGGCGGCCAAGAATCATCATCCTTTGATCTATAGATACAATATTGTTGAGAATCTGGATCGAATATAATCATGGCTACATCTAATTTCGCCACCTTTCGAAGTTGCTCTGCTTTTTTCAGCAATCCGTATTGCCGCTTCTTAGACGATTGTCGAGCTCGCATAAGATCTTGAGACGCTTTGAATCGTTGAAGCTCGAGAAGTTTGCCTTCAGACATTTCGTTAAAACTTGATTTTGCCTTGAAAGTCTATCGGTGAAAATGTAAGAGATATTATCTGCGCACTTTTGGTTAAGTTTGTTTAATCTCGAGAGACATCTGTAGGCCATTCACACTGACTTAAGAATAGTCTTATTTAGCATGTCTCTTATTTAGCATGTCTCTTATTTAGCATGTCTCTTATTTAGCATGTCTCTTATCTAGCATCTCTCTTATTTAGCATGTCTCTTATTTAGCATGTCTCTTATTTAGCATGTCTCTTATTTAGCATGTCTCTTATCTAGCATCTCTCTTATTTAGCATGTCTCTTATTTAGCATGTCTCTTATTTAGCATGTCTCTTATTTAGCATGTCTCTTATCTAGCATCTCTCTTATTTAGCATCTCTCTTATTGAAGTTCATGTACTCGTGCTGTCATCAATACATTTGTCATAATCCACTTTTAAGTACATACCACAAAAGGGTAAAATATAGGGGATAATGGCCCATATTTAAGTGGAGTGTGATATACTTTCTGGCCGCAGGAGTATCAGGGGATATACATTGTACCCAAACAGTCGGGATTTGATGGACACAATACAAACAATACAAGGGCAGATCATTTGACCGCTGCTGATGTGGACTCTAACTCAAAGTGTCTCTGAACTAACTTATGTGCCTGCATACATCAATAATTTACTGCATGATAACCTTTACTACCAACATCAATTAAAACACCATTAGAATAACTAATCAAATTCTCCCTGTGCATTGCACCAATCATTCTCGGCATCCCTCTGAACTTTGATAAATCCTTTAATCGTCTTATCCACTCGTTCTGAGATGAATGTTGTATCATCAAAAAGTGCTTGCATTGCATCTCTCATTCGTTGGTAATAACGTATTTCCAATCGCAATTGACCATTCTCTTTCGTCAGCTCCTCAATCCTCTGAGCTGTACTCGGGGATGGCATTTGCTTTGTTGCTTGCAAACGTTCAGGGGTCACTTCTAGTGCAGCGGTGGAGCCCCTCTGAAGTCCTATTTGAAGATCAATAGCCGTTGGCGCCTGCGGCTTATCCGATAAACCTTCGGGGAATCTATTGATTCTATCCATGGTGTTTGATATGTATTTTTGGGTTATTGACACAATAGAAATTGTGCAATAGTAATAGATACTTGGATATTCTTTATATATTGCTAGGATATGCAATACCAAGGATGATGTTGAATCCTGTTTAACAAGATCTTAATTTATCATGATTTTAATTATCTCAGTAATAATAAAGACTAAAATTGAATTCAAAAATTAAATATTGTTAACGCACTAGTAAGGAAAGCCTGTATTCATCTATATCCAACCCAGTATAATCGATGGTTGGCCAACCGTACTCTTTTTCGAAGACTCAGCCTCACCCCGCAAAACCACTTCAACTCAACCTAGTTTAGAATAAAATGCGCAACCTAATTATTATAATTTTGATACCATTTTCATGCTTTTTACTGGTGACCTACGCAGGGATGTCACTTTAGTTCGCCAAACGTTCCTCGCTAGTTTAAAAATCATATGCTGCGGGGGCGCAGCGTCTACAAAGTGGGGACTTGTTACCCGTTTGATATATTATACTACCATTTAGGTTCAATGCCTAACGCCGGCTTCCTGGTGGAGTGGTAGCATTACAGTTTCCCATTTTGTGTAGTTTTAATGGATCCGACCCTAACTATACCATCCAATTAAAGGGCCAAAGCGAACCATAGTTAACCGTACCCAACCAAACCGCGCGCCGACTACACCGAGATTCCAATTGTCAAACCTACATCGTTCTCTGACTTCTTCAGAACTGAATCATCTATATCTGCCTCTCCCACTGATCTTTTCGAGTCGTTTAATTTCCACCGTATTGATTGCAAATATTCGAGAACCTTTTCCGCGTTTTCATCGTATGAAGATATCTTGTCAGCTAAAGAATTGATAATACGCTGGTTATGAATAATTTCGGCTTGATTGTGCATGGCTTGATGATGTAATTTGTTGGTTTCGCCTCGCAATTTATCGTTACATGTTGTTATCGCAGATATGATATCTAAAGAGTGGGTTTGCAGGCTTGTATAATCTCCCGTCATCTTGTGCAAGTACTCTTGCAAATTTCTCACCTCTTGAGCGAATTCCAAAGATTTCTTTTGTTCAATGTCGAGGTGGCATTGTACCCGGAGTCGAGCAGATACCTCAATTTTCCGAGTTCTCTCACTGTCATATAAACGTTTCTGTAACAAATCACGTTCACGAAGATGCGATTCCTGATCTTGAAGCTTCAACTCAAGATACCTGATTCGTTCACTAGCGGCTTCAAGTTCCCCCTTGTATAATTTGTGAATTTCCGCGTCATGTTTGAATAGGGCAAAGTGACTCTCGGAGCTAAGGTAAACATTCTGAGAGGAGGTCAATACAAATCTTCGTTAAGGCTTCTATAATGTTCACTTGCTCTTGGAATACCTCCGTTGTTCATATTTGTAATCATGTAATCGAAGGTTTGGAAATGATATGCTTGTACAGTTCCAAAAGGATTCTAGTTTTTATAATAATTTTCATAATGCATGATCTGACGATGAAACTAAAAGAAGCAAAGGTCTTTTTTAGAAAGTAAAATGAGGTTGAGTGGCTATTCATATCCACATTCTTGCATATGGTCCCAGCCTCTCATATTATTGTCCTTGTCCGTGTCCTTGTCCGTGTCCATGTCCGTGTCCATGTCCCTCTATCTCTCCGCATGTTTCCCCAGACTCTTGGGATTGTCCTAGGTATATAAGGACAGATAGTTGAGCTTGAATATGTAGTAAAATAATTCTCAATATTTCATTAAGCATGGACTCCGGTGCCTTCCCAAGTGTTATGATCCCAGACCAATGGTTCACAAATACCGGGACAGACCAAACCCCATCATTTTATTCTCAAGATTCATCTTCTAATCAGGAGAAGTTATCCGCTCAACAACACAATATTGCAAACAACAATAATCCTACTTTGAGCCTCGGTCACATGTCAAACAACCCACCGCAGTCAAACCCAACGGAATTTTCGCATCTCAACGAATCAAGCTTCACATTTGACCAGTATGATCTCCCCCCCATCAATACCCTCCCACCGTCTCAATTCAACACTCGTCCATCGTTGCCACCGTCAGCCTCTGATCCTTCAACAATATCTCGGTCTCACAAACGTACACATAGCTCCTTCCAATCGGGTACTGTAAAAAAGGACACCGAAGAGCAAAAGGATTCTGAGAACACGTCACTTTTTCATGATGTCAATGATAAGCAGCACGTAGATGAGCATGGCAAGCAGACAGTTTCCGGGCTGAGATCAGAGGTCCGGCAATACGCGTTCAAAGTGACGGAGCAGTTCAACATAGTTAGAAAAGTAACAAAGGACTTGCAGGATAGAGTAACCCCTCGCATAAACGAGTAAGTACATTTCCTATTACGATTGCTAAACAGAACATTAATATTTAGAATGTAGGTTGTGCAACCACTTCGAAATTTTTGGTGTGGAGACAAAGAAGACGTGGGAGTATGTAGCACAGAGCATTCCAGCGATGAGAACAAGACTCGAATCTTGTGAACGTGACTTAAAGTTGCTAGATAGGCAGCTATCAGAACTAAAGAAAGTTATGGCTGAGATGAAGCAGAGTAGATCGTGAAAGTTATTCTTGAATCATATTCTTCTTTCGTTATTTTTCAAATCCAATTATTTTCATGTGATGATTCAACGATACCCCAGAATGCCAACCAAGCAGCCTTGGCTTCCGTGATCTTGTCATTACAATCCTTTAAAGTACTTCTGATCAACAAATTTGAATCCATCAACTCGTCTAGCAAATGCATCAAAGCATCCCATTCTCGCCGATAAAATGTAACATTTTGATACAAAGTTTGGTTTTCCCTTACTAAATGTGCAAGTGTGTTTGATTCTGAGGATTTCTCGAATTCATTCACTTTATCAGCGAGATCTTCCAAGGAGAAGTTGTCCCCAAAAGGATTCTCATCTTGACTATAGACGCTTGAGCAGGGACGTGGACCCGGTAAAGGAAGCGGATGTAAATCCCATGCATTTTGCTGACTCATCACGAATATCGACCTAAATTAGACTTTTCTTAAATTAGAGATTGTATAAAGAGGATGTTATAAGATTAGGAGTCCCACGTTGGACTAATGACACGGGCTCTCCTTGAAAGACGCAGCTGTGGGGATAATCACAAACGAAGTTGTTGCAATATATGGAGACGTCTGTTTCTGTAGCGACGTGAGAACTTATGGGATAATCTGGGATAAATTGAATTTATACAATTGAATAACAAATTAAGCACACTTATAAAGATTCAATTGAATACAATTTAGTGAACCTCTTACTTTGGCTTCGGAGATCACCATCATCAAGCCGCGTCTAAACACATTTAAGCATCATATTTCCTTATCATAATTCTTATTATTAAATCTATTATCTATTTTTCAGGTCTTTTTCGAGACCAGACTTCTCACAATGGAAAACACAAAGGAGATGGAAGATGATCTTCATAAATTCACTGCATATGTCTCATCCTTCCATCAATCCTATGGCGAGGATAATGATCAACTACATCTCGATTTATCCAAGGTAATCAATCATTCCACTTCAGACTAGGAGAAAACTGACTAATCTCCTAGCATATCATATGGTCTAAAGAGGTTGTCAAGTGCATCTCATGGTATATGCATACCTATGATCAATATCAAGTTCCAGCCAAGATGCGGAAAAGGAGCAGGAACTCGATAGTGTTCGACGTCGCAAATTTCCTTCTATCCAAGACTGCATGTCGTGCCAGACCTTGGGTTGTAGGCTATGTGAGAAAGCGATGCCATAGCTTGATGAAGGACTTGGTAATTACCTGGCACGCTCAAAGGTATCTCACAAAAACCCAAAATGTTTTCCGGAAGTCTTTCATGTTCAAGGAGTGTTGGGAGCGCGCGCGAGAACGACTTCATCGTGGATCAGACAAGAGCAACACTTTGGATAACGAGGAACCACTCACAAAGGTCAGTCCTGTTAGATATAGTAATCTTTATTACAACATCGCTAACCTAATGTTCATTAGAGACAGGCCGGTAATCTTGGCCCTGTAGATGGAAAATACCAGAAGGTTCGACGATCTCTGGCTGCCGATCACACGATTGCTGTTAAAACATTCGATCTAGATTTAGTGGAGGATTTGGTATGTAAGTAGTTCTCGAAATCACCTTGATCGCTTTTCGAAATACTGATTTGACGAGGATTTAGACCAGAAGAGTTTATCGGGCACCGAAGCAGAAATCCATATTCCTCATCCGATCACCGCCAACAAATCAATGAAAATTGGTCCCGAACCACAAAGATCAACATCCCAACAAAGGAATCCATTTCCAATTCCAAGCAAAAAAAATGGGTCTGTTGTTGATGTTACTTCGGGTAACGAATGGCGCGTAGATATGAAGGATGCGCTCGATAGGCCACCCCGTAATGTTGTCTCAGGGGACGAACCCTCTCCCCATTCAACAACAACGATCGCGCCGAGAATTTCGCAGACTCCAATCATCTATCCAGCCCTTCCACAAACGCCACCTTCGCAATTGATCCTTGACGAATCTCCGTCTCGCGTCGCCCAAGCATCTCGTGATGCAAATACAGAGTCACCACCATGTATTGAAATTCATGATATTATCTCTCATACTGAGAAGATCGCGGCTTTGCCTATAGAGAGCATTATGGGGAATCGCACGATTTTTGAACGCTTTGGAGCTATCGCAACAATTATAACTCCAGAACGTGGTTTCTGGGTCGGGATGCCTGCTGGGCCAGTCCTTGATGATTTCAATTTTCACTCATGGTATAGTCGCGAATTTGGACTTGATGAAATTCAGGGGCTAAGATTTCACTATATGGATTCATGGCTCAATCCATTATCCTGCCCAGTGGATGTAGGTCGGTCAGAACTCGAAAACACCAAATTGAAGCAACATCTGTTTTTCGATTTCGTCGAAACCTATAACCATTTCAAAGGGAATCTCCGCACGTATAGAATACTCATAATCCCCGAGAATATGGTTCGTCTCTCTGTATCCTGCCAGAAATACCCTTCCTACAATAAGGAAAAGCTATTCGAATTCTATCACGACTGCGACCAACAGCTACGTCTTTTTTCTGGAACTAAATCACTGAACTCGCAAATCAAGGCCGTGTCAGGATCACAAATGTACTATAAAAAGGGAAAAAGGCTCGAATCGTCATCGCTGCTTAATGTTATGGGACCCCCCAACTCTTCTTCCGCAGAATCCGCGACCTCTCGTATCCGTGGTACAGAACCCTCAATTCAACTTCCCTCTCTTCTCCCACCCATTAACCTTCCACTCCGCAAACTTCCTTCACTTGGTGAGATGGATATCGGAAGATTTGTCAATCATCCCCAACCAGCTGGCGAGCCAGAAATTGTGATTCGTGTCCAAAAGCCAGATGGTAAATTCACTGGTCCTTTACGTAAGGCACCTTTTGGACCTGGTGTCACAACCCAAGAATTTTTTACTTGGTTCATGCGAGTTTCTAGCCAGCCTGCCATCGCCATCCCCAACATTTTACAATTTTGCTTCAAGGATGCCATCCCAGCTATTGAATACAAGATCTGTCGAGGAGATGAGAGACAGTTTACACAGATGAAGCGTAATATTCTCCCTCAGTGTCGTCACACCGTAGCAATGATGTCATCAGTCAGTGAATTTGCCATAATTATTCGGGAGCTACATCGGCATGCCGGGCTGTCCTAGCCTTTATTTATTATTTCAGTCACCCTCCACGTCCTGAAAGGGACGGGGGTCGTCTGGTGTTTTTGGATTTCTTTTTAGGTTATGTTCTGTATCTCGTTATCTATTTTCATCAATAACTTAAATTATATGTCCCAAAATTTGACTGATGCCAAAACAGGCATTTGAATTTTTTCTTAAACCTAAAGGCCTTTATTGATTTTGTTTTAAGTTTATTGTAGTTTAGTCTAGCATACATACACACACACATACATATATATACATACAATATACAAAGTGCAATGCATCATACTTGATACTTCAACATATTCACTTGTATGTAAAGACTTAAAAGTCACTGCATCCCTCGTACGAATAATTTGTTCAAGATTGTGCACAACCTTGGAATGATTGGTAAGTTCAATACTGCTTTTGATTAAAATCTCTAACAAGAAGCTAAGGAACTATGCATCGCGCTTCTCTCTGTTGTATCTCTGAATCATCGAAACCCAAGGATAGCGACGCTCCCGATGAAGCTCCTCGAATGACCACTCATTCAACAAACAAGCCCCAAGTTAGAAGTAGTCTCAACAGTAACCACCAACCCCTTGTATATCACATCAATCATGGAAATTTTACTAAAGCGCCCCAAATCGTCATTCATCTTGCCAGTCCGGAGAGCATCATTAAAGATGCAACCCCTCAGCCATATCATTTACACCCTTTCTACCATTCACAGCATCGTGTCTCTTTTGCAGGGAAGAAGTTCCAAGATACTTTAGGAACTTTACCAGAAGAAGATGAGGAGGCCATTTAACAAGTGACGTAGCAACCTTTTGTTAAGAATTTTAGGAATATCTTTCTGGGGAATATTCAAGCTAGAAAATATGAAACATCAATATATCCTAGTTTGAAATCTATTCTATTGTTTATGTGACTCTCTCCCTTTTATATCTCTCATACAATTCCAATCAATACTAGCTTAAATAGGTCTAAAAATCGGAACACCTAAATGCCAAGCTCGAACAAACATTACAAGGAAAGTGATAGTGTACTCATAATGAGGTAATGAGCCTAGAGAGCTCGACAAGCTCGTCGTGTTTAGGATTGATGGTATAGGGACAGGGCTATGATCGATTATCAACGAGGTGCCCACCGCTATAGAAGGTGAAATTGTCTCTGTTGACAATCCGATTGAAGTAAATGTTGAAATAATAGGTGAAGTAGCGATAAGAGTTTCGAGATTGAGTATTGTTTCCATTGTATCGTAAATTTAGATGATAGATTTATTACTAAAAGCTTTCAGACTTTGATTAATATCTTAGCAGTATACTTATATCGAAAAGGAATCAAGAATTATTTAAGCATATACCATTTAGTGGTAGCGATTATAAAAGATTCTGCGGTTTTAAGTACATCTGTAGAATGCCTAATTAAGAGCCCACGCTTTCCTATAACCAATAAAAACAATATATAATCAATCTCATTGACACATTTCTAAGACTACAACAGCAACTTTGTTTCAAAGGTTGGCAACATGTCTGTTCTTTTAAACCAGGCGCGAGTCGAAGATGACCCTATGGAACTCGACCAAAATAGTTCTGTAACTCATCCCAATTTGGACCCTTCGCAGAATTCCCTAGAGCATGCAAGTCCAGTATCTCCGCTCTCACCAAAAGTCCCATCAGCATCCCCACTCTCACCAAAAGTTCCATCTGAGCCTATAGAAAAGCCTACAAATGAAGAGCCCCTCAAAAAACCTGCAAAAGGTCTCCGTCGAGCGATAAGAAAAATTCTTAACTCCGCACCCAATGATCTTTACGGAATAGCGAATTCAACTAAATATGATTCACCAGTGACCATTAAAAAGAACTTTAACAAAATCTCCAAACTTGTTCATCCTGACAGAGTCCTCGAAAAATTCAAAATTCGGGCTACTATAGCTCAAGCGAGTAAGTACCTATAACTAATGAGTGTATCAAATAGAATATTAATCATCTTTGAAGGAATTAACAATGCCCGTGAAGTGCTACTGGATCCATCCAGGAGGGCTAAGTTTGATACTGAAGGTGTTTACACAGCTCCTCAGGCAGAGGAAGATAGAAACAATCCAGACTTTGCGCCCAATGCTTGGGACGACGATTCTGATTTGGATTCAGACTCAGATTCAGATGATGGAGATGAAGATGAAGATGAAGGTGAAGATGAAGGATCCCAAGATCCACCAGATGAATATATCAAAAGCGTTTATGCTGAAGCAACAACATGGGTCCAGCAGGTTTTGAAAAAGGGTCAGACTTTTAATCGGAATCCAACAGGAGAAAAGGAGATCCAATTCTCGGAATCAAAGGAGTTCGAAGATATCAAAACCAAGCAAAAGGAGTTCAACGAAAAAATTAAAGCTCACAACGAATCAAAAAAAGTGGAAAAAACCCGGCACACTTTTGATATCACAACAGTCCATCTGTCCAACAGTGAAATGGCAAAGAAATATGTAGAAATTTGGACCAAGAACAAGTCCGATCTTCCTGCCTTTGAGTTTATTGTCTATTACAGCAATAATATCAAGCGTGTCAATAAAGAAGAAGGATATCCACTTGAATGGAATTTTTATTCATTCAAAGATCCAGCTCCTTCAAATATCCCCAATGAATCTGTGAAAGATCAGGATCAATCAAAAAAAAAGGGAAAATCTAGTGGCGCCGGAAAGGATGCGGGTACTAACGGATCATCTGGAAGTCAAGGTTCACAGAGCCAAGAGATCAAACCATTGAAACCCGGGTTCACAACAGATGGTGAAAAGATAGTTGGCAAGTTGCCTAAGACCGTTTACAGTGGCTACACTGATACATCGATCATTACTGAATGCAAATTCTTTGTGGAGGTTTATTTGCAGAATCAGAAAAACCAATCAATATTTGATATTGAGCTCCGGACTGAAGCCGATATTGGCTTTGAAGCAGCACGAAGTTATTTGTATGATCTCCCTGAGGAAGAACAAGTAGAACTTTTGGAGATATCTAAAAATAAAAAGGGGGAATATAGGAGAAAATTTCAGGTTATTACAGGAGTTACAGCTCAAGAGTATGGAACCCTAAGTTATAAAAGGCTTCCTCCCACATATGTTCGTGGTAAATTCAAAGATGGACGGGCTACTAAGGAATATTTCATGACCCGAACAACTCTTCGAACAATCTTAGGCCACGATACCGCCGATCAATTGATTCAACAACATTACAACCAGTATGATATTGAAGTAAAAGAACCACCTTGGCCCAAATGCATGGATTGGAAACCAACACGGAAGGCAATCCGTGGTGGTAGATCTCTACGGGAGCAAGAGCAATCCGATTCCGAATCCGAGGAAAACCATACATCTAAAATCAACAAGGGACGAAATCGAATAGCACGATCCGAAACCCCGAATGAAATAGAAACTCTGACACAAACAGTAGAGAAATTGAAGCAAGATTCTCAACAAAATGACGAGGAAAGAAACCGTTTGATGACCGAAACAGTATCAAAAGAAGTAGCTAAAGCGGTGGCTCAGATGATGATGCAGATACAGCAAGAGTTCCAAATTATGAGCATAAAAAATCAAACTTCCGGTTAAATCGGATGAGAAGTTCCTCTTTCTTATGTCTTCCTTTCCTTCCCTCTTTCCTCCCTTTCCTTTCTTTCATTATATCTCCTGTTTATTTGGTTTTTTTTCCTTGATAAAGAAGAACTGATATAATTATCTTACTTCAGTATTCTGTTTGGCTCACTTATTTTCACTATAAAATTCATGTTACTTGTTGCAGTTTATATAGATACATCGTCGAAGTTTAGTCTTTCTCATTGTAGATAATCAAATTAAAAATGATACTCGTTCTATTCATCTAAAAGTCATAAAAGCGCGGCCTTACATTGACAGAAGTTGTTGACCTGAAGAATGACTATATGAGCCCGATTAACCACTTCTCAGAAGTGGCGTCACTTTTAGGCAATAGAAGTAATATGTTACGAGGTTTGCCGTCTAGATCACGTGGAAGTACTCTAGGCTCTCGAGGTGGTTTATAACTAGGTGTCAAGCAAGGACTTAAGTAATGACAATAATGATATGCAATTCGTAACTAATAGTAGAGTATACCAAATGATTGATCTTGAGCACGAAGCTCTACAAAAGGAATAATCTTCTAGCTATATAGATCCTCGTATCTAGGAGCTATTGGAGTTTTTCGAATCTCCAGGCTCCATTGGAGCTATAGGAGCCTTCGAACCTCCAAAGCTCCTTCGATCATAGGGTTCTGTAGTTATTTACTGAAATGGATCGTAGCTTAACAAGGCCTGCGCACATCGGATCCCCACACCACCTTAATCCCATACTAAATTGATCGAATCGCATCTCGTAAGCACACAATCGGTTATTGTAAGATCCGTGATCGTAACATAATAATCGTATGAGGAGGTATACGATGCTGAAGCAGTAGCAGCACTCGAGGGCCTCAGAGCAGCAATAACCTCGATAGAGGCGAGAATAGCAATGGATATATAGATTTGCCTAGACAACATCGAAGTGGCGGTTAGACTGCTCTCAAACTCCACTGGATCCTCCCAGGAGACCTTCACGACCTTCCGCCAGCTAGCATCAAGCTGGCCCAATGGCACGGTCCGCATTCGATGGGTCCCCGGGCACAAGGATGTAGCAGGGAACGAAGCCGCAAACAAAGCAGCCAAGGCAGGCGCAGCCCTTCCACAACCCAAAGGAGCCTACTCATATGCGGGACTCAGAAGAGAGACCAAAGGCCTCAGGCAAAAAGCAATCAACAAACTATGGTCGACGGTGATCCCCCAATCATACAAAGAACTGGAGATACTCACATCACCAAAAAACCCCAAGGAACTCTCCCTACCGAGGAGCTTTCTAGGACAACTATTAGCGATCCGCTCAGGACATGGCGATTTTGCAGCTTACCACGAACGATTCCACCATCAAGACGCCCACCTAATCTGCAGATGCGGAGCCCGAAAATCCCCACTCCACTTCTTCTTTTGTCACATAGCCAAGAGAAAACACCCCCGGCCGAAAGGTAAACCGGCTGATCTAATACCATACCTCTGCGGCACATACGAAGGAGCGGAGGTGCTGGCAAGATGGACGAAAGCCAATGGCTTTTTCACTGACATATGCCCTCGACAATACCCTCTCCCCGGCCCTGAGGGCCCCATATCAGACTACGAACCCCCTGGGGACAACGACAACCCCGAACGCTAATAAATTGCCAGATAAAGCTACTGTTTCCTTTGTAAAACCCTTCCTTTGTAACTCTCCCTTGTAATGTTTCAAAAAAAACAAAATTTATTTGTGGGAGCGCTAAGGAGGTCTATTATAATATAATATATTCAATTACAAATGTCTTTAATATTAAATTTAGTTTCACTTTCTCTATCTCGACTTGTCACACTCAAGAATACTGAGTAAAGTATCTTGTATTAGAAAATACTAAGCTAAGGAGAAAAGAAGAAGGAAAACAAGACTAGAGAGTTTTTGATTAAATACAAACGAGGCATGCCACGTGACCCGGAGGTGGGAGGCGTCACAGAGAACGTCTGAAATGGCAGTGGAATGTCAAGATTACCCAATTAAACAAGGTCTGATATTACCGAAATCCTTTATATATTTCACCCCTATCAGAATTGGAGACTTGGAACTTTTTCTCCTTTGTAATAGTCGGCTACTTGAAAGGCCGACTACTTCGTTGTTAGGGAAAGTGTGACGGAAAAGTCGTAAACGGAGTCAATTCAATTACTTAGAATCTAAAACTAAAGAACTAAGAAGATTCTAAGTAAGAAGGTCTTTATATACAGGGCTAGTGCACGTGAGCCACTAGTGGGTAACAACTGTCACGTAACAGAAAGCGAATCTCCCATTTCAATCTTATAATATCAAATACAAGGTTTTGATATTGAAAAGCGAGGGGGACAATTCGCTTTCTGATAACATTCGGTTTCTCCTATATTATTAATTTACAGACTGCAAACTACTCAGTCTGAATTTTCAAGGTTATAGGGCTTTCGGGGATCTTCAAACTGTTACCAGAAATGGTTTGAGTTAAAGATGGAGTGCTTGGCGTTCTATCCAAAAGCGGGGTAGGTCGTATGATCTTCACGGTTTTTGATATCTTGGCATCTGGTTTTACTTCAGCCGATAAATATTAAGCTCGCTCTGATAGCTTCACTAATTGGCCAGATTATTGTAGCTACAGAATTCTATACCGCATCTATTGTTACGACGGCGTAACATAACCCGCATCAGGTGACCAATTAGTTAACAGGATCATGTGACAAGTGTCATCTGATCCGAAAGCCGACCGACTTCGTAGGAATCGATCGGCCCTGAGAATCGACCGGCCCTTCAAGAGTCGATCGACTTTTAGAACACGAAGGTCTATATAATTAAGATGGATTTACTTTGTATAGAGCTTCGTGCTCAAGATCAATCATTTAGTATACTCTACTATTAGTTATGAATTGCAACCATTGATATTACCTTAAGCCCCTGCTTGACGCCTAGTTATAAACCCTTCGAGGATCCAGGCCACTTCCACGTGATCTAGATCGCAAACCTCGTAACATCTATCAACACTATATTTTATCATAGATATAAAAAGTCTTTCAACTTTTGGTCTTGAGGAGAGAACCTCGAATGCTTTAAGGGAAATGCTTTGAAGATTTCAAGAGCCTAAGGAAAAGCAAATGCTCTGCGAAAGTATTAGAAGAGACACAATGCTTTTGCATATGGGAGTTTATGAATTTGATACAAAGCGTGGTTCTGATTACACTGATTGTGGATTTATTACTTATGACCTGAAGATTTACCTATGAATGGTGATTTTGGTGTTGATACAAACTTATAATTTCTGAATAACCTATAGCCTAAATGTATAACATACGATTAATATCATGTGCCCAATTATTATCGTAACACAACATTATAGTTCTACCCATACATACGTAGTACAGTGAATCATGGCTTAAAATATGACTTTGTTTACGAGGCTTTCATCAATTCATAACAATCACTCCCGCTCCCCCGCTATCAAATTTCTCGCTTTCCTCAGCTTACAATCTCAACTCCCTCAATCTCTTTACCCTTCTCCCAACCTTTTTAATCACAATTCAGAACCAAGCTTCAAAGATTTATATTACACTTTCCTCATTGTACACAAAGTTCATCATCCTTCGCTTGTTGAACTCGGCATTTTCACATCATATCAAGCATCTGTTTATACTTCGAGCTTCGAGACTTTATCATTGACTTAATATCAATAAGAAGATTACCCGAAGTAATGTATGATCATTTGTGAATACCTATCAATCTAGCTAACTAACAGCTGTAGCAAGCGGATTTAACCTAGCAGACCCTCTAGTATTCTTGCAATCGTGCATCTATCCTTATATCGAGCAAAGAATAGTATAAAATTTGAGAAATTCGCGACAGATTCTTCAATCAAAATCATCAGTTCTTGATACAATGCCTGAGGTGGGTTGCTTGAGTCATCCAGATTTTTGCGCATTCTAAGAAAGACATCACAGGCCGAACAAACCACGAACGGGGATTACGAGTATATCCCAGGTAATCACACTTTTGAGGCAGTCGACTATTTCCGGGTTATATCATGGACAAAAGGAGATGGCAAAATAGTTATAAGGGGCAAGAAGACGATGACAAGAACTATCTTGACAGATTCAAGCGAAGCGAACCTTACTCTTGATGCATGGGACAATATAGAGGTAGAAAACACAAATTTCAGATTGGTAAGAGCCAGTGCCAACTGAGACGACTAAGAACTCATAAACACATGTACAAAAATTTCATAGGCCAGCAAATAATTCAACGTTATTGCCACCTCACAATCACTTTCATGATGATCATCATCCTCGAAAGACACAGTGACAGCGCTCTTGAACCCTGGTATTCCCTCCCGCTTCGCTTGGAACATCGTCTTGCTATCATTCATAGCTTTGAAAATAAAAGCACCGAGCAGTTTGTGCAAATCTTGTGCCACATTTATTACTTGCAAAACCGTTTTTCCGAACGATTTAGAGAGCGTGACCTTCAAGGTAAAGTCCTTGCCTTCGATAATAGGAACGAACAAGCTCACAGTTTTGGAAAATCTGAGAATCGAACCTGCTTTTTCCTTTTTTCTCATTCTGGATTCATCTATACCTTCCAAAAGGCGGGTTCCAAGGTAATACTTTAGCTTGTCCATCTCAGGGTATTTCCCTTCCTTCGCGTCATAAGTCTGTCGCTCGTCGATATTATGTTTCATGCTATAGATAGGGCCGAAAATAACACTTTCTCGCTTATGTGAAATTCCCTTTGATAGTTGAAAGGGGTTTGAATCAATTCCAGAAATTGATGAGCAAGTATCTTTAGTTGACGGCCATTGCTTTTCTAGCGTAGACTCTACACTATAGTCTTCTCCGTTCAACTTTGTCTTCAATACACAGGATATACTGGAAGCAGGTAGTGTTACCGCGGCCTCATCTTGGAATTGATCGATTACAGGATAGTGGATTTGATCTGCGAAGTTTGCAATATGATTCGGGAAATCCGCGGCGTTCGGCTGGGCTTTGACACCATCTCCCTTATCATACACAAAATTCATTGTAGTTAGATTCTTGTTCCTCTTATTTGTCCCGTTCAAATGGTGATCTGACTTCCGTTTTGGAGACAATATGGATCGGGAATTTGGCACCACTGAAATGTTAGCGAATGTTTCGCACGTCTTTTTTTCACTTACAATTTTGAATGCTGCTGTTTATTCTCTCGGCAATTTTCTCGTACAGTTTTCCCATAGGAATTGTATCTTTTTCTTTCAAATGTTCCATCACAATCTCGAAATGTGGACCTTCTAATGGTAACCATCCTTCCCAGCTATACAATGATCAGAGTTGTCTTCCAAACCTGGATAGGATTGGTATACTCACATTTTTCTTGCGACAGAGTTTCCGAGGAGAAACAAGCTTCCAAAACCTAACACTTGTGCTATGAGTTTGTATCTCACGCCTGCATCGAGAAGGACCGAAATCTTAGTTTCAAGCTCTGTTCTGTTTATTGTGGTATTTTTTATTATGTTCGAAGGCATCATATGTGCGAGAACACCCGCTTGATAATGTTGCTCATGAAATTCCCGATAGGAAAGCAGTGCAAAGCAAAGAAGTCGCCGTAAAATTCCTTTGTGGATATTATCGGCATTTTTGTTTTCAAGCTGCAGACAGATGAGAATGATTGCTGATTGCGGGTCTACTTCTTGATAACATATAAGTGTTTGAGGAATTTGCAATAACCGTCGTATTTTCGCTTCCCAAGCATCGAAGTCAAAGTGGAGGAGAGTTTCCATATGATATTCATTAGGATCGTATTCGCGAATGTCTCTTAAACATTGATGCGATGTCAATTCGGTATTCTCACACATGTTGTTGATGAATCAGAAAACGAAAATGGAGAAAAGTAGACGGATGTGAGAAATGAGTTGGTAATTGTTGATCCCTAGTGAACTATGCCAGAGTTAAGCACGAAGCTTCTGCTTATGAAGAAAATATAATACTGTATAACCTTGTCGCCCCGCTTTGACCTAATCAACAAGCAGACTTGATAGACTCATATAAAACTCTGTATTTACAGGGATATATCCTTTAAGTATACATCTAACATAGTACAACCACTCTGCTATGTTGTTACGTCATCTAGCTTCTTAGACAATTAAGACCCCCTTCTTTTGGCAGCTGCGGAATAAACGTTTTTACCTGACAACCCATGAATCTCCTACATTTCAACATCATATGGACGATCTCGTCTGATATATCAGGGGATATCAGACTACGTTGATTATGCTTATCCAATCAATCTGGCTGAAATTACACTTTTTGTCGGCGATCATTGTCGATAAGTAAGTATCTGTTAGCGCGGTATAAACTTATACTCAACCCGGTCCGATCCATCAATTCTTGAAACTTGGGTCGCGCTTCCGTAAGTCTCATTTTCGTCTATTCGGTTCCTCCTCTCGTTTTTAATGCCATGATAATGGTACCATATACAGGAACATCAAGTGTAGGTTGTAATGCGCGTCTCGGGGATGGTGGTTTGGACCATCTCATCTTCCGTAATGGACTAATGTCGGAATTGAGCAGGGTTTTCTGCTCGGCAACGTGACACATAATTTTATTCTGCTCGGTTGGCCATAGGAGAAATAATATAATCATATGGTTTTCATTAAACTTACTGATCAAAGATTGGAACTATATTGTTGATTGCCTACTAGAATACTAAAGGATGGTTTAACAATGATCTCTTGTGAAAATTATCATCCGCACTTTTTTTTTTACAAGCCTCCCCCCTTAGCTGTAAAATTGAAAAATACTGATTAAATACTCCAACAGGTCTGAACTTGTAGTACTTGAGATGTAAGGATCCCTTTTCTTTCCCTTCATGTCGAGTGTACAGAACTTTATTGAGGGAGCTGAGTAGACTTGACCTATCATTGAATATTGTGGCATCCCTAGTATCGACCCATCCTCCTGCAGCTTCGCCCAATTATGAACAGCGTTGCGAATATACATAGTCGATGAATTCCCCGAAGGTGTCAATGATCTAATAATAGAGATGTGCATAATCAATCGCAAGGTTCTTCACCTTTCTTTGTTAAACAAGAGTTGGACAGCCTTTCTCATTGTATTATCACGATCCCAAATTCGTGTAAGTTGAAGGTCGATAATATACTCTGCAGTAATATAATTCTGCCCCATCATATACCATGTTTCAACTTGGAGCCTATAGTGTGCTAAGAAATATCGTATCACAATCACAATTGATGCATGCATTGCTTCGCCCCGTTGTTATCGAGAAACAAGAGCTGATAGGTACCTTGAGCTTTCCCTATCATGTAAAATAGGAGGGCCCGTTCGAGCTAGTCCTTTGATTTGATTTCCCGGAGCTTAGTAATTTGCAGATTGATATGTTTCCATTAAGATCTTGGCAATCTTCCAATTGGTAGAGTGATGGTGGAGTAGTTACCATCATTCGTGGAAAGTCCGTTTCAAATCAACGAACTCGCTGTCGAATTATAAGTGGGAGTTTTGACAACGAAGGAAAGCTCCGAGGATAAATTGGGGACGATGTAGGTGTAGGAGCTAGACTTATTCTCACTGGCAACTTAGTTATCATAGGATCTTCATTACTGATCAAAGAATTACAACTCGCCATTGTAGTGAATAGTGTATTGAAGTATCTGGCTTGATATATACTAAAGCGTGTGTAGTGAGGTGAGGGTACCCTGCCATGACATTTCTTTCGGTATGCCAAGAAAGATTAATACGAGGGCTTTATTAAAAATATGCTCTACTTTACTATATTGCAGAAGTTCTGGAACTAAGATGGAAAACTTTTTGTGGGATCTTTCTCGGATCAGTACCGCGAAGCCACTATAACGTAGCATCATATAAAGATCTAAATGACTTTGATCTCATACATTATTAGACCTAGATGTTAATGTAATAGTAAATGAAAGTCCAATCAAGAGGAAAGTGAACGAATATATTAATGCGAGGAGAGCCTCTTGAACGGTATCTCTACGCTTTTGACCATCTTGCCGATGCCATCTCGAGCAGGATTGCATTTGGCTAATCGCCGACCATTCTTTGAAGCAATCTTGGTCACAGCTTCCTTAATGTTAATGCTGTAGAGCTGATACGAAGCTAAGCAATGATCAAGGAAAGACAAAGTCTAGCTGCTGAGATTGGATGGGCAGAATGATATGATTGATGGGTATCATGTCACATAGCACTGCTTACTGATGCAGGAGAAGTTTCTCCAGCTTTAGATGTGGTGTGGTGAGACTCCGATTGGATGGCTGTAAAAGTGTATGTATATGCAAGTCTCAAGGATAAGAGTAGTGTGAAATAGTATTATAATGGCTGATATCGACCAGTATGTATAAAATGTGGTAATATATACTGTAGTGCATGTTTTCCTTATTTCATACGACTTCCCACATGCTGAAACACTGGAATTTGTTGGAATTTATTTAATTCCTTTCCGCAGTACCTTGCCATTTCGGAAGGAATCCATTAAATTCCAGTATTTCCTTATATTTTTAGAAATATACAATATTCTATAGCATACTTAAGATCGTCAGTGGTATATAATTCGATACCATACACTCTATATGTGTCGAAAAATGCATTACGTTTCAATATAGTTGGGGGCCTAGGGATTACACCGTATACTACTTCCATCACTAGCGAGTCTTGATCAAATAAACCTAAGATTCTTTTTCCAGGGTAGTATAGTTAGCGCATATTGATTCATATCAGTGTGTAAAATATCTTTGAATCCCGAATATTTGTGATACAAAGGCTAGAGTGTGTAAAAATTTGAGTTCGAATTTCTAGCTTCTTTTTGTTTTCTTCCCAATCGATTTACTAGCTTACTGTATGCTCTTTGAAATACTACCATGCCACAGTATAACGCTAGAACATTTTTTCTGAGAAAGTGGTGAGTAGTTTTGAATTTGAAACATGGAGAGGCTGCTGCTTTGTTATCGTTTTTTTGGTCTTTATTCAGTTACTCCGTCTTTTGCCCTAGAATAATCCAAAAGTATGTGTGAAGACCTCTGTAGAATTTCTCTAATTTCGCACAGGTAGAGGGCCTTAAAGCTCTTGTATTAGCATTAAGTTTACCAAGTACTGATATTGCCTCTTCCCCAATTGCTTAGATGATCAAAAAACCTTGTAACAATATTATGGAAATAATTAATAACTAACAACAAATAACTTGTATTATATCCTAATTGAACATAAGCCAAAACTTCCAGGGTTGAGCCTCGATCATAAATTCTGGATCAATGTTGAATGATTCCAGATGAACAAGATCCTTTAACCTTCATACCTTTCACCCACAACTCTTAGTGCATTTCAAGAACTCGTCCCATATTGGAGCCCCGATATTCAAGATTCCAACCAATACCAAAATCACATATGCGGAGCCAGAATCCGTACGAAAACCTATCTCCTTTAATATCCAAAAATACCGAACCACCTAGCCCTGCCCAAACGCCCCTCAACTTCCCAGCAGCAGCTCTAACATTGCAATTGAAAGATTCAGAGTAGACCACATTCTTGTTGAAGAAAGATACAATATTAATTAAATTAAGGTCTGTCGAAGTGACTTGTTCCTCCAACTCTTTTACATCGTCGGCGAAGCTTGAAATTGTCTCTTGTATCTTGTTGACCAATAATTGTCCTTTAATTGTATTTTTGTGCTTTTCTAACTCCATGTTGCAAACTGTAAGGAAGGCGCATCTGTCGAGAGTATATCGTGCAATACCTTAGCGCTGATGTGATGAGATCGATCTCTGTGTACTACTACTATCAACGCTGTAGCTGTAGCGACACAGCAATATCGAGACAACATATCCGCACTTATAGTAGTGAGAGAATCAGTTCAAGTCACTCCGTAGAAGACTGATAGCGATGCGAGAATGCTTGTTATCGTCATTGGTATATGTCTGTGGAACAGAGAGGTTAACCTTGGCGTAATGGGTAGCCTTTTTACCCAATCCTAGTTGCGATGGAGGAGGAAGTGATGGCTCAAGTGATGGTGGACGTGATGGTGGTAGTAATGGTGAGAGTGATGGTGAGAGTGATGGTGAAAATGATGGCCTTCGTGATAAATTTGACACTTCATTGGTGAGGAAGCTTGACCATATTTGAAGGAAGTCGAGTAGCTTAAGTTCTTGCAATTCCCTGTTCTCATTGTAGACCTTAACAATACGACCAACGATAGATCTGTCTCGAAGCTTGTTGGAGATAGTGTATTCCAAGATTCTTGCTACACAGTCTGGCTCGGTGTGATTTCGCGTTCTGAGAAAGAGGATTATTATCATCAAGTCCTCCACTGTATCGAGTTTCTTGAAATCGGGTAATGTCAAGCTGATCGTAGACCCAAATGGATCAATATGCTGTGCTTGGACATTTCCAATCAGCTTGATTGCACGGGTATAGCATTCCGCGCCATTCGATGACAACTTGAGTCTGACTAGCATGGTGATGTTGCGCTAGGTTATCAGATGGATTGATGAAATATCAAAGATATTTTGAATGCAACAGGTAAAAGATATGAAATACTGCCCTGTCTTTGAGCGGATTGGAAGGGCAGCGATATCTGATTAAGGGAAAAGAGAACGGAAGGAGCAACGCTATTGTGCGAGGGAGGCAGGAATCCTCCACGGATATAGCCTAGAAAAAACAGGACCGGGACTTTCAAGTCAATAACACGATGAAGATGTGAGAAAATAAACGTAGGGAATGTTAGAAGCCCGTAGCTACACCTAGTCTTTTGCTTAATAGATTCAATAAATGAGGATTACCAATATTATGGATGCGCGATGGGGGCTTTCCGTTCCCTACGCACTAACAAAGCCATAAAGGAACTCATTCCAGCCCGGAGCTAAGTCGACATGCTCTTAGCACAACGAGATCACACTCTAAAAAATGCAATCAGGAGACTTTGGATGGTTGCACTACAGGGCCCAGCTGTGACAATTTCACTTCTATCCATTATATAAACTTGGCACATAACTGATACTTGGTATGCCAACTAAAGAAGCAAAACTTGAAGATTATACAGGTCTGCAGATCCCGAGATATTCACCGAAAAAAATAATATAACGCGAATAGCGATAAATATTAAATAGAAATCGGTAAGCCATTCCGCAAGCATCAAAGCAGAGTACGTCCCAAGCAACAACGTCGGATAAAAATGGTCGCTGCATGATCAAAGGCTCTAAAATTTTCTTCATTAGATTATTTAATCTTCTTTACTGTAATACTAGTTCTATTTGAGCAGTACTTGAACTGGAGATCTTGGATCTCACTATTTTTGGGAACTATCATTGTGTAGAATTAAGCGAGAAAGTGGCAAGAATCAACATCAGATTAGTGAATATCCCAAATCGCCAAAGGAAATGGTGTATTTAATCATTTCTTATCATCGTGAATATTATCAAGTCATGTTAGGATAGTATGTATTGACAATATTCTGTAATAATTGATGATGTAGTTGGAAACTAAAGTATATTCTCCTAGAATGGATACATGGTTCGCTAAAGGCGAGAGTTCCACAAGAATCACCCTCCAGGATATGGCTGTGATGATCCGCAATGGCCTACTCGGCAAGCGGCAGGCGGATGCTATATGACTAGTGGAGATTCATATGTTGAGTGAGTCTTAGTGTTTGCTCGTCAGCACTCTTGAAGCCTTGATTCGGCAATTTTCGGTAGGATCGAGAGATATGTAAATTCACTTGAAACAGGACTGAATAATTGTAACATATTGATGCTTGGCGTTCTTGTGAAGGATGTTATCATTAACTTATAGCATAAAACTCTCTAGGGCCCCGCTGTATTTTGAAGCGTAGCGTTTCATAGGGGTATCAAGGATACTATTTACCATTATACACCTTTAAACCTTCATATTCGCACCTATCGAACTTTTACTCCAAGAAGTATTTCCAGCTCAAACTCAACCATGGCTAACTCTACGTCGGATCAATCTTTTGGGCTTTTACAAAGTCCAATATCCGCCCTTTTACTAAGATCATATCATGAGTTTTATATATATCTTGATATAGCTCTCTTTATACATAAACATACCTTGAACTGGACAGCAACGAAACATCAAATCATAATATTTCTTGCATGCTTTACTGCTTTCTACATCTACCCACTATATAGCACAAGTCGTATTGATGAAGGGAGATAAGCTATTCGGCCTCGTTTCCATATGGATCACCAAGAGAATTCCGTTGAACTCCTACAATATCACAACTTCCTATACTGGATGAGAAAATATCTAGAAAGATTGGAACCGCTACGGATCCGACCTTGAATTATCACCTTGGCTATGGAAGCCACACCTTTCGATACAAATTTTGGATTTTTCAGGTACTTCATGCTGAATCGACAAGCGGTTCGCAGACCGCCGGGTCTTATGGTCAATCAGGCAAGGCGAAGAATTTGGTTATAAAATGCTATGGAATCTTTCCAAAACTGGGAACACGAAGATTTCTATACAATACTGGTCTCGCCAAAATCAACCCCGAAACGAAGTTTGTGCATATTTTTGAGCCAGAAGACCCCTTCAACCGTCGTTTCAAAGCGGCAACATGTTGGAGAGAAATAGAAACAGTCCGAGCGCGTTCCCTAGAGCATGTATTGATGGATGAAATGCAAAAAGATGAAATCAATAGGGAATTCAACCTCTTTTATTCAGATACAGAAAAGGAGGAAGAATACCTCGCAAAACTAGGACTCAAACACAAGCGGGCATATCTCTTCCACGGGATATGTGGTACGGGGAAAAGTAGTTTGGCGATAGCTTTGGCTACTTCTTACAATCTGAATGTATGCAGCGTCGACTTGAAGAGATATGACCCGGAGGATTTGAAGGTAGTTTTGCGTGGGGTTCCTAAGCGCTCTGTGGTCATTTATGAAGACATCAGACCCAGCACTTTTCGAGAGTACGGTTCGCAGGAAGAAGGATTCCCGCTATCTACCTTCTTGAACTTGCTTGATGGTGTCGCATCTCCCGAAGGACATATCAGCATCATCACGACCAACTACCTGAAAGAGCTTGATGAATTCTCCCATGAGCTGCTCCGGGAAGGCCGAATCAATAGGAAGATCAATTTCACTTGGATTACTCAAGATCAGGCAGCAACAATGTTCATTATTGCTATGTGGATTCCCGAGGCCCATTACAACAGGGAAGATATCTCCAAGCTTGCTAGTGAATTTGGACAGCTCATTCCAGAAGGAAAAATAACCCATTCTGCGGTACTGGAGTACCTTGTTTCTTATAGAGGAGATCCTCAAGGTGTAGTGAATAATGCCGGAAAATGGATACAAGAGTCCGTGAATCAAGAACAGAAAGGAACCGACGACCAGCAAAAATTTGACGATCAGCAAAACACTGGAGAAAATCATGGAAAGAGGCGGAAAAGGAAGAAGAGAAAAGGCAGGCGAAATTGAGAGGAAAGAAAGTCGAGGATTCCGATGGGGATAGAGGGAAGCGTAGAAGAAAACCAAAGACAAGTGGTAAGGATAGTGTTATAAGAACGAGGAGTTTTGTGGCGGTAAGGAGAAGGATGAGGATAGGGCTTGCGAGATTCAATTTCATCCTTATGTCTATTCCAATTAGTTGAAATATGATCAGAGGTCGTCCAAATTTACATTAGTTCCAGTGATTGTGTCTCAAAATTTCCTTCTTTCCCACATCTATGTCTAGCTGCCACCATCACACAATGTAGTAATTGCTAGTTTTTGATATCAACTTGCATCATACTCGATAGCAGGATCAGAAGAGCAACAATAGTTGAGAAAGTTGCTACCAATGGGTAAAAGAAGTATTTCGACTGGCTATAGAGAAGGGCTTCTTACCCAGGCTAAAACCTCATTCTACCGAATGGCTAGACTTGCTAATTCTGAAAAAGGCCTTAGTCCCAAGGCAATGAGACAGCTCTATATGGCATGCGTCACCAGTATAGCTGACTACGGTTCAATTTTATGGTGGAAAGGGCAAAACCAATTCAAGAAAATCCTTCAATCCTTGCAAAACCTCGCCCTTCGAAAAATCCTAGGAGTATTCAAAACCTCACCAATAAAACCAATGGAAATAGAAGCCGCATTGTGCCCTCCAGAAGTAAGGCTAAATGCTGGAATCAAACAATACGCCTTCAGATTATTGAAAATCTCCCCTTCTCATCCTGTCAATTTAATAGCTACAAAGCTGGCTACAGAAAAGGAGAATCAAGATGTAGTTGCAACCCCTCAAAGAAAGCAATTAAAACCTACTCAACTCGAAAAGATCAAAAATTCAATTCAGAAAGACTTCGATCCTCTCACTTTAGAAGGAATCCATCACTTCTACTTTCCTCCTTGGAAGAAAGAAGTTCCATATAAAGTCAATATCAGCAAATTAGGAAAAGAAGAAGCTGCGATGATCCACAATCTGGCTTTCAAATATAGGTGCAAAAATACCATTGCAATATACACCGATGCCTCATCCACTTTAGAGGGAATAGGGATTGGGATCGGGATAGCGGTTATCTTACCAAATGGCCGAATTTCACATCAAGAGACTATCAATATAGGTGTGAATCAGCTTGTCTATAATGGCGAGCTCCTAGGAGTTACTAAAGCGATCGAATACGCAAATTCAATAGCCCAACCAGGAAACAAGTTCAAGATATACTCAGATAATCAAGCAGGATTATTCCGGTTGAAAACCCCCTCCGATTTACCTGGTCAATCATGCCTAATCAAAGCTATAAAAGTTGCGGAAGCTATTCAAAATAAAGGAGCCGAAATCTCTCTCAATTGGGTCCCCGGACATACATCTGTACAAGGAAATGAGCTAGCTGATTCTCTTGCAAAAGAGGCGACCAAAATACCATCCTCATCTCACGAAACCAGTTATGCCTTTATTGGAATGGATATAAAAAGAATGAAATCAGAGAACTGGATAGCCATCCTTAACACTAACAACTTTCATCAACCATCGTCAACATATTCAAGAAACTACCCCTGGAAGATCAGCTCAAAAATCAGAGTTCCAGGAAACATCAAAAGAAGCACAATCTGTGCTCAGTTCCAACTCAAAATTGGACACGGATACTTCAAATCTTATTTGAAACGATTCGGAATCTCCTCTAATGACAGTTGTAGATGTGGGGGAAAGGAATCTCCTGATCATCTTCTACTCAATTGTCCTATATACAAAACGGTAAGGAAAACCCTCAATAAGGATAACCCCACAATCCGACCTACCATGAAATATCTGCTTCATACCAAAGCAGGAATCATCAAAACCCTCGAATTTATCGAGGCGACGAGAATAGCCACCAGATCATGGCATCTCAATAGAATGCATGAAGAAGAAGAGGAAGAAGGCGGAGAAGAAGGGGGTGGACCGGAAGATTGTGATTGAATTGATCAATTATGGTCAATTTGGTCAATTTAGTCAATTTGGTCAATTTGGGCAATCACCCCAATATCAAATTTCATTACATTTCATTTGTTATTCCTCTTATTTGAATACGAGAGTATCTGTAAGGCGGGCTTGGTTCCCTAGTATTAGTTTTCACTTCCCCCATTCAAACATTAGAAGATTGGGGCTTTCAATCTCCCCAACCTGTATTAGCTACGGTCGAATAAGGCCAGCCACCCTCCATTTATTATTGTTAGAAGCCTACAAAGCTCCTAGCCGTCTTAGATAGTCATAAACTCAGTGTAGACGTTAATTTAATCAATCAATCAATCCATTTCAACAAATTTCTTTGTTATAGAAATATCAAAGACACCGAAGGAGATAGAGAAATCTTTATGTTTTGACTCTAGAGTTGACCAATTGTTTTATAATTGTATACGTTTAAGATTATGATAATTACTAGCAATAATAAATAACGACTTACCTTTTGATACTTTAGCCGGGGATTCTCTCTACTACGCGAACGCACAGCCCCAAGGAAGATTGGCTGCCCAGTTTCTTCTAGTCCTTGGCAAATAATTCCACTGATATCCCTCGAGAAAAAACCTTTGCTACCCTTCACATTGTAGAAGGATACCCAATGTCAATACATCAGTCAATCTTCTTTTATCCTCAAACAGGATTCTATATTTCACCTACGATTATCTTGGGAGGAGTACTGCATACCAATGAATTTCTCAAGACTAGACTTGACTTCTCTGTACCATGTATAAGGTTAGTTTTCTTTATGGACAATTCAGATTTCAAAGGGTAGATCATAAATCATATACGAATATAAAGCATGTCAAATTCAACTTAATCACTTATTATGTACCTAAATGATAGTAGTCTAATGTTGTCTATATTCAAATCTCGAACCATCTTTCATAGTATAATATATATACACTATCAGGGACCAATATATCTGTGTGAATAAGACAAAAAATCGAAAAAAGATTAAGGTCTGATTGAATGAAGAGATAACCAGACTATTTATACAGTATAGTCAAGCATAATAAAACTATTGGGTTTCTTGAGACCAGAAAGAGCACCAGATTGAATTGATTGATTCTCTAGCTAAGCAGTTAAGCTGCGAGTATATATTCAAAAAAAAATGAAGGAATAAGGTTAGGTATTCAGCCTTCGGAATTAAAAGTGCTTTGAAATCAAAATATTGAAAGCAAACAAACAGTATACCAAAAAGGAAAGAATGAATTAAAAGTTGAGTTTTGTTTGCTCCTTATATGCATCATGCAATATATATGCATATGCTGCCAAGATCCCAGGAGGTCAACAAAAACATACTCTTGTTATTTTCGGGGGTCTTTTAAAGGCTGCCAATCTTGCTATTCTAAAGATACTGCGACCATTACTACTTTCTTCTTTCATCTTAATTCTAATTTTAGTTTGAGTCCAAGCATCCGGCTTTCAATTGTGCGCAATGCCGAGATGTGCATGTGGAATCGTTCGCAGTACAAGGACAACAATCAAAGATGCATGCTTCTCCTTGAGCACAGTCTCCGTTGGTTGTGCAAGACTGTGTATGTAAACAAATAAAATCCCCAATACATACTGGATCATTATTTGTATCTGTTGTACATATCAAACCCGTAGGTGAGTATCCAGGCCCTACGATACTAGTGCTACTCGTGTAACATTCCAGATTTGGATTGCATCCAGATCTTCGTTTTGGAGATAATATTGTTGTCGTTGTTATTGCAGTGATAGTTTCTGCAGTTGGTATTGGTAGCATTGTCGTCGTCGTAGTAGAGATAGGTAATTTTCCGTTGATAATCTTCGTGAAACCAGCAGGAACCGATATAGTATTACCGCAATAAGTAGTAGTACTTGCACCTGATACAGCAGTACGAACATCAAAAAAACAACTATTACATATACAAAGTGTTGCAGAGTCTGTTGAAATAGAAAAGGATGTACTAGTTGTTCCGGATAGAGTTATAGGTGTTGATGTTGAATAAGAAAAGAGTGTTGTAACGATAGAACAATCGCTGACAAGTGAACAGACATTAGTAACAGAGGAACTATCTGAGACGGTTGTGGTTCCTTGAGATGAAGCAACGGCTGTGGTTTTTTGAGATGAAGCAACGGCTGTGGTTTTTTGAGATGAAGCAACGGCTGTGGTTTTTTTAGATGAAGCAACGGCTGTGGTTTTTTTAGATGAACCAGCGGTTGTGGTTCCTTGAGATGAACCAACGGCGGTTGTGACCTCCATAGGTGAACTGGTAGTAGTGATGCCTAAAAGACTGGGTGGAATATCCGAGCCCGAACTTGTGTACGCTTTCGTTGAATAGCAAGTGCTGATTTTCGGGCTCGTAATATTTAATAACGGCAACTTTGAAAATCCAGGCATACCGTTTCTAATATTGGCGTACGTGGAGTTTGGAAATGATAGCTGGTTTGTTACGTTTTGCATATGACCTCCAAGAACACTCATAACACTCCCGATGAGACTTCTGGAACCTTGTCCATCAGCACTACTTTCCCACCACATAGCGCCACCAAGGTTCATGGATTGAATCCATTGGGCTTTTTGAATAGCAACCATAGGATTATCGTAGCTGATAATTTCTCTTTTTGAAGTATCCCAGCTATAACTAGCGCCGATCTTTTTATCGTATACCTCCGTAGCCCCTGCCAAAGGTAATGCTTTATAATCATAGACTCCAGAAGCCCATGTTCCCTGTCCGACACCTTGAAAGCTTTGATCCAATCCATTCGTTTGCTCGAATGATCTTCCATATATAGGCATCCCTAGAACAATCTTGGCTGAAGTAATACCGTGAGCAATGTAATAGCTGATGCCCGTTTGTGTATTAAATGGAGTGGATCCATTTCCGGAAGGAGATAGGTTTGCTTGATGAGCGGAAACAGTGCTCCAAGGACCAGAGTAGTCATAGGCCATGAAGTTCCAGAAATCCACATACTGATCCATTTCCGATAGTTTCCAATTTTGACATACAGCAGGACTAGCTGGACTTGCAACAGTAAGGAGAAAATGATAAGGGCTCTGTAACGAGTCACCAAATCTATCAAGAGCATCTCTAACTTCTTGGAGCAGTAATACGAAATCATTTGCCTCAGTATCATCCGAGGGATATTCCCAATCAACATCAATGCCATCTAAACCTAGATTTTGAACTAGAGAAACTACGGATGACGCAAATGTAGCTCTTTTGGAAATAGTAGATGCGGCTGCAGGAAAGTTTGAAGAGTATGTCCAACCTCCTATAGATAGTAGTACCTTGAGATTCCTATTCTGTTTCTTCAAGATATACATCTGCTGAAGACAGCCATAGAGATTAGCATTGGAGCTTTGTGATGAACCCCCTAGCAACGGTGCATTGATATCTGCCCAGAGATCCGACAAATATCTAGTATCGGTTAGCGACCATTATACGGTGAAGATTTAATTGCCTACACAGCTCCAGATTCTGGATCAATATTGGCAAAAGCATATAGCACATGTGTGAGGTTTGCGACAGGCAACTCTTGTGGGAAGAATTGTCTTCCATAGATAGCCCTACAAGTAAATTAATATCCCGGCGTTTGTATGAGGTAGGAAGGCTTAACCAATTAACATAATAAGCAACACTCCGGTATTCATTGATTGTAGTCCCCAACGAGTTAACTCTATACAAGCAATGTATGAAGAGAAGATGATATATAATAAATGACTTCATATTATATAATATTAAATGATTGTATTGATATAATGAAATTAAACAGATAAAAAAATTTCATCTCTAATTCTTTCTCTGCCGTTTATATGAAGGAAATCTTAAGTTAATTTTACTCCTCCCAAGGATAAGGTGCTTAAAAAGCATAAAGACTAAATAGAGGATAGGTTAAATAAGATAGCCGCTTTTTTTTATTGGTGAAAACAGCCGAGAATCATCGCTAAGATGATTATAAATTCCTATTCAGAGGATGCGTTTTATCTTGAATCTTAATTGAGCATCTTTTTACAGTGCATTCGATATCTGTTACTTCCGACGTCGACCTCAATCCACAATCTAATATTCACAAACGCCGCTGGTCCGCGAGGATGTGTGATTCGGAACCCGATACTGATTCACTTACTAAACCGTACAAACGCCGTCGATATTTCCAAGCTCTCGACTTGACAACAGATACTATATATTGTACAGGTTGTCCACAAGCTTTAGGGGAAGGGGACGATAATGAGAATATGATATATACCCTGGATGGTTGTGGTTGTGTAGGTAGATGCTCAGCTGCTTTGTATATTTCAGAATTAATCATAATTATCTATAGATGTTCTGTGGTGATTGCATTCCTTGTATATACAAGAGCCCAGATACAAATGAAGCGCCTAAAAAGTCATTTAAAGTTGCTGGAGTCTTCTGTTCGAGGGAAGATCACTTTAATACAGAGGTACAAACGGCGTATAGGACCTGGGGACTCGAATGCGCGATATGTTCCAAATCGTTAGCCGATCTCTATGGCACTGAAAAGCCACGTTTGAACTGTGGTAAGGATAAAATTCAAAATGAGACGTGTGATATTAGACTTATTATATTTAGGGCACTGGTTCTGTAATGATTGCATTCAAGAACATATCAAGTGGGATAAGAGGCAAAAATATGATCAATTACGATGTCCAATGTGTCGGAAAGCTATGGTGGGAGAAGTGCCGGTTATATTTCTAAGAGCTATTCCGCGAACAATCAAGATAAATCTAGATGATGATGAGGTGTAGCTTTTTATAGCGGAAGTTTTTAGCGTTGCTATACTCAAGGCTCTCAGTTAAATGACTCATTGTATTGTACTTTGCAACCAGTTGCTTCTCGTTTCCTTTTGGCTTTAGTACTCTGGAAATTAAATCATATCTCTTTACGCCGGTCTATTACATAGGGGGTATGCTTGTTAAATTCAAACTTATGTTTGCGTACTATATTCAAGGGGTAATACTATCCAAAATATTAATCTCAATTGTGACGTGATAATAGTAACGAATTATTCTTTTTTTTCCTAAACCTATATTGATTGTAATGACGAGGCCGATCGAGCACCTGCAGAGTATTCATAGACGTTTAAGATAAGTGAACTTTTTTGATTGGATCAAAAAAATAACATTGGCCGATGACTTTCCAAGATCATGTCCTAACCACCTCTTTCATCATCGTCCTTCGCTTTTCGATATTTTTTCTTCAATATTTTTTCTTCGATATGTTGTGGTAGCATATTTTTTGGGAGTGGATATGAGTTTTCCTAGTAATTAAATTATTAGTAGAAAGGTAGTTTTCAAAGGTATTTACTTACGATTTCATTCATGGATGGGGGCCAGGACTTGTTGTCTAAAGATCTGAATGTGTAATATTTCCCGCGTTGGCAAATAATTACAGCAACGTCGACATTGTATTCTTTCCCAAGATCATACGCCTTTTTGAAAAGAGTCAATTTTCGCCTCCTTAACCTTTCACTTCGTCGTTTGCTAGTATTCAATACCATTCTTGTTATCCTTCGTGTTATAAGCCAGTAAAACAAAATTATAATAAGTATCTAGCAATGTATTTCATGTGTCACAATTCACCACAGGATTGTATAGTAAATTGGTTTTAAAATTTCTGAAATTACTGATATAAAATAAGAATATATACTCGTCTAGAAAGTATCTTACACTTTACTTAAACATGATTCCCTTTTACTTTACCATTCTGTAGTATATCCTTAAAAGTGACGTTACAAACTTACTAACAATAGGTACAGGACAAGGTAACTTGAATCTTTCGCCAAAATGAGCTTGATACAAATTAAACCTTTTGTCTAAATAAGCGGGAATGTCTGAAATAGCAGCCAACCGATATCCCGATAATCATTCAAATATTACCCCTGTCGGAATCGAGGGCTTTGAAAAAAAAAAGTCCTTGTACTAAGGTTACATAATCACACAGGCTACAGGCTACAGGCTCTGATTCACTAAAATTATAGGCTTTCAGGCCTGATTATCTAACTTTCAATTGAACTTTCCACCAATCTGTTACGAGGTTTGCCGCCTAGATCACGTGGAAGTGCTCTAGGCTCTCGAGGTGGTTTATAACTAGGCGTCAAGCAGGGACTTAAGTAATGACAATAATGACATGCAATTCGTGATTAATAGTAGAGTATACTAAATGATTGATCTTGAGCACGAAGCTCTATACAAAGGAAACCCATCTTGATTATATAGACCTTCGTGCCGTATGTCCCACCGTTCCCCTCGATATAAATCAGTGGGATCGGTGGGAGGCCTTCCCACTGTTCCCCTCGATTTAAATCGGTGGGGCGAGTGGTAACACGTGACCCCTTGCTTAGTCATGTGATGCGGGGTTTAGTCATAACTGAATACCGTCGTAACACAATCACGATATTTTCAAAATTCTGAATATAGTAACCAATTAGAAATAATGGAAAGTACACTACCCGGAACTTCAATAATGATTTCCAAATGTGGTTGGTTGAAATAAGCCACCGTGACATTTTACTAATTGCTGGTAAAGGCACTGTGACTTTTGCCCAGTAGAATCAAATTATATAAGCCGACGTGACGCTTACTCGTGATGCTCCGTAACGTGGTTAGGCTTTTATGAGCCTAGTTTATAAGGCAACAATAATTATCTATATAGTCCGTGTTACGTAGTAACAGTCAACCTGTCCATATGAGCTCAGACCCCGTGGAAAAGCAAACCGATTCGCATACAAAATTGTATGGTAATTGGTTCGTAGAGTCTCCCCACCTTCAGCAAGCACAGACATATGTTCTGATCGAAATCACGTGATGGATCTAAGGATCTAGAGGATCTAGATAATTAAACTCTAGATCCAATAGATCCAAGGGATCCAAAGGAACACAGTAGAATATGAAGTTCTATATAAAGGGATAGGTTTTCATCTGTAGAGCTTCGTACTCAAGATCAATCATTTAGTATACTCTACTATTAGTTACGAATTTCATTATTGTCATTACTTTAAGTCCCTGCTTGACGCCTAGTTATAAATCACCTCGAGAGCCTAGAGCACTTCCACGTGATCTAGACGGCAAACCTCGTAACAGTCCGCAGGTCCGAACCTAGCTTTAAGAAGAATAGCCCTCAATGAATATTAAGACCTTCGACATGAATCTTTTTACAACGTTGCTTATAGAATTCGACTGCTACCGTAAATAGCTTAAGTTGAGTATAGACGTCTTTGCGTTTCGCGCGATTTTAGATGTTCTTAAATAAGCTTGATATAAATTAAGCCTCTCGCCTAAATATACTTGATACAAATTAATTCTTTTGCCTAAATAAGCTTGACACAGATTAAACCTTCTGTTTAAATAAGCTCGATACAAATTAAATCTTTCTTCTTTAGTTTGGTGCTACCCTAATTGGATTAAGATTAGTCTCATCCCTGATGACAATGTTGAAGCATTCAACACAGGATGCCACTCTAACGGTATTCATTGTATTAGTTGATCACCTTTCTAGCAAAAGCTGATTATGGAGGGATTCTTGTGGTAAGGTAGAAACTGTGCGAAGGGTTGACAAAGATCTTTCTCCAGGTCACGCCTTTGTCGTGCGACCAAATGGTCATATGAGTCTCACGTGATCCAGATAATATCCATCCCAATCGATTGATTGATTGATTAAATTAACGTCTACACTGAGTCTATGACTATCTAAGACGGCTAGGAGCTTTGTAGGCTTCTAACAATAATAAATGGAGGGTAGCTGGCCTTATTCGACCGTAGCTAATACAGGTTGGGGAGATTGAAAGCCCCAATCTTCTAATGTTTGAATGGGGGAAGTGAAAACTAACCCTAGGGAATCATGCCCGCCTTACAGATACTCTTCGTATATAATAAGGAAAATGACAAATAAAATAAGTAATATTCAAATTGGGATGGTAAAACCTCACGATTGAGAATGAATTGACCAGATGGATAGACCGAATTGATCAGATTGACCAAATGAATTGACCAAATTGACCAAATTGACCAAATTGACCAAATTGACCAAATTGACCAAATCGACCAAATTGACCAAATTGACCAAATTGATCAAGGTGATCAGGTATAGTCTGAAGTTATGTATCAACAACTTTATTTCATTTACCTTTATACTATATTTTAAATTGTCTAACTATTTATCTAGTATTCAAGGATATCTATCTTCTCAGATCAAGCTCCAAATTCCACATATACCCATCCGACAAAATCTCATCTCAATAATGCAACTAAGCCACTGTTTCAATCTCTAATTTCTGTTAAACTTTTGCTATCTTGTATCGCTATCTACCCACTATTACTCAAACAGCCAAAATCTTCTTTCCCGTCCCATATTCAATATCAAAAACTGGTAATGTTGTCAGTGGCACCTGTAGCCCCAACTGATGAGGACAAGTAGGTTGGTTTGAGACTGTTAAATTCAATATACATTCCTCGTCGATCCCATATGTGCATGCTGACGTCGCAATATTCCATAATCCATAATTAGATGCGACCCATGAGGTATTTTGGACAAGGCAGTTTGCAACGTAGTCCATGGAATTCGCTGCAGTAAGAGGGAGCTTCTTGTCTGGAGAAGTGATGAGATTTGTGCATTCTGAAATAGGCAAGATAGTATAGGTTGCAGCAATACCTCCACCATATTGAGGATCTTGAGTGGCGGACTTTCCGGTATAAAGATAGTTCCATGCATCATAAGATATATCGTAAGCCCCGCCGGACCGATCGATATGAAGAAGGTTCACGGATCGACTATTATAAGATACTCTAACACACATTGTGGCACCGCAGTCGGGAGACGATGGCCAGTATGCAACACGATTTGTATCGATCATACATCCCAAGACCCCTATCGAGCTTGAGAATTGCTGATGAGGAGTAACAGAGATAAAAGATTCAGATACTGAAACTGCAGATGTTGCAGCAATGGGTAAGATAACAGCAGATACAGTTGTTATGATTGTGATGAGATAGCCAAGGTAGTGTAGCATTTGGAATATTTGGACTGGTTGTTTATGGTATATCATGTTTCTAGATAAGCAATTCTCATAGATGAGTTTTGTAGAAATGAGCGTTTAGAAGGAGTGAATGTGTAGAAAGAACGATTAGAAACTTCCAAGGAAGCAAAAATGATGTGAAAGTTATTTTTAACTTGAATGTGAAGAGAAGAAAGTGAAGGAGATTCAAAAAATAAAAACGTCGTGTATTTTTTGGGCAGCATCCTAGGCTCAGTAATCACGTCATTGTGTTGTTGCTTTGATTACATACCTATATAAGAGAATCCTATCTATCTAGCCTTTGGGTGTCTAGTTCCTGAACTGACGTAACACACTAACCTATATCTCATAGTTCTAGATTCAACATCTATGCTTGTACATGTCTGTGTAGCGGGGCGCGTGCTAGGTTGGTGAGGTCCCTTAGATCGATATAACCGGAGGAATCTGATGATCGCACTCCTAGGCTCTAGATAACTTTTCACGACTTCTCATCCATTTCTTCTGTCTTTTACCGCTCTTCAAATATCAATCTATGATTGTTCGTCTAAAGTAATGAATAGATTAGAAAAAACCTGTGTAACTTTTAAATCTTACGAAGACGAGACCAATTGAAGCTGTGTCAGGAAGGCTGAACGACCCGATCCAAGCCAATTCTGGTTATGCGATCTTTGAGATAATATATTCTCTTGGACCTTCCGTTTTTGCTATCGTATCTAGCATTTTTATTACAAATATCATATCATACATATCTCCAATCTGATGCGGAGCGCGAGAAATTTTCACAAATATCCGATAGGCCTTCTTCTAACAAAGTGTGTTAGATGAGCCCTCCTTTGCTAAAAGTAATCTAGGGCGCCAGTCATCAGGTGATATGCGAGATCGACCAGATAGTTATAAAAAGGCCGTTACTCCTCACTTCTAAAGTGAAAACTTCTGTTCTTTTTCCTCATTCTTCTTATACTTTCAAAATCATAATCGAAGATGACCTCATCAACTTGTACCTCACCAACATTCATTAACTGGGAAGAATGGGATGATTCTTTGACTTCATCCTCTTCTGACGAGACTATAATACTCGATACTAAAATCGACGAGTTTTATTCAACTTTCGAAGCCTCAAATGCTGAATCTTGTACACCAACTTGTGCCTCACCACGCCCTATCACTCCGAGTAGCGAGGTCGTCTGGAGAGATTGGGTCTATACTTTCGATCCATACTCCCCTGATGAGACTGTGACAACTGAGTCCAATATCAGCAAGCCTGACTCAAAATTTGAAGCTTCGAGCACAGAAACTTCTGGCGAAGATATCCAGTTGGAGATCGAGTCATTGCCCGTTCTTGATCCCAGCGACGCCTCTCCGATTACACCTCACCTTGCACATAATCTGAATCGAATATGCTCAAAACAATCTGGACAGATTGTCACGGAGATTGCATATGAACAAGAGCCAATTGTTGACACAAACAGAGACCAGATAGAGGTATATTGCAATCATTGCTCAAAATTCATTTTAAAAAGCTAAACAGATCACTAGGATCAACTTCGAAAATTGCGACGAGATTTACAAAATGGGCTATTAACCAAAGGTGAACCAGCAAAGAAAGACATTATGGACGAGATGTCCTCTCGTCTATCTGTTCTCGAAAACCTGAAGCCCCCAGCAATCTCTATTTCTGTCGTAAGGATCCCAAAATTACTTGGAGCCATTCTGAGACTCGAGGAAATACCTAAAGACGTTGAATTGCGATTTAAGGAACGAACACAGACTTTGCTCAATAGTTTGAATATTATTTTGGAGGATGAGGATCCTGTCAAGAAGTCAAATTTACAGCCTGAAGGATCACAAAATTTGGTAGTGGATATCAATGGACCCGCGGAAATATCTCTTACCGAAAAGGCTCAGCCTGCGAGTCTCTCGGAAAAATTGATGGAAGATAGAATAAAGGTGTGTTGGTAAAACTGGAGATTATAATTGATACTCTAAAACTAACAAGTTATCAGGCTCCATCACCACAACCATTAGTAATTGATCTAACTGAGACCGATGATGAACCAGAAACGCCCTCTCAGATGAATGTTCATGAGCTTAATGTAGTCGCAATGGAGCCGAAAAAAAGAAAGCGGAAACATCCCGATACATCAATTTCAAGCCTAGGTAAATGGCAACTACTGAATTCTGATGATATTGATAACTAATACATCTCCAGGTACAAAACTATCTCCACGGCAATCAAAGCGGGTGAAAAAAGTTCAAGACTATCTACCTCAAGAGAATATATGGATCAGTACAGCATTGAAATGGATAGAAAATATCGTCAAGGAGAGTGATGGAGATACAATTCAGATAAAGAGAACTGATTTGTTGGGGCTAAAGGGTGAACTGGAAGTCTGGCGTATGGAGGATATGAATGTGACAAGAGAATTGGAGTTGTTAGAGTAATAAGTCCCTAACGACGTATACATAAATCGTGCAAGTTGTAGATATCAAATCTTCTGTTGCAGCCTAATTTCTATTTTCACAATCATTCTATAGGTATTCAGGCTACTCTTTTTTTTTCTAGTGACCGAGTATCGAGAATGGCCATTCCACGGTACTCTAAAACACACCATAATTGGGAACGATACCACATGATGAAAATGATTAATGACATAAGATAATCAATAATTGAAAATGATTAATAATCAAAATGAATAGCTTCGCCTTTGCTGAATTAGGAATGAAACTATTTTTACTTCCTATACGAACTGTACTTCAGATTTTAGGAATCCCATTTTTAAGCATTTGCCTAACAAATCTATGTATGTAATGTGCTTCACTGAAAAGTATTTAAGTCTTCCAGGAAATACTTATATATCCTTATAGAAAGTACATTTTGCTTTCGGCGTCCGCCCTCCCGCATAGGATGCAAACAGCGGTTCAAGTATAGTATTCTATAACGGCACACACATGAAAGCGAGCCACAGATATGAACTCGAACAGACTCATCAACGCAATAGCGAACGTGGCGGGATTCAAAACGCTGATCCTGAGGTCGTTGAATACCAAGGACATATATTCGCTTAGGAAGGCAGTTGGGCCAGTACTCGCGCTCACGGACATGGAGAGATTCAGATACTGCAGCTTGTACTCGGCCATAGGCGTGAGCACAGACTGGGTCTTGGACATGAATAAGCGTGGATTCGCAGTTGTGGTCATGGGCACAGGGTTGCTTAAGATCCTCAGATGGATCACGGGCTCACGCAATGCTTGCAGGGATCGGCACACGGCTTCAGCCATACACACGGCACCAGTCGTCAAGATCATGTGCGTGACTATGTCCAAGTCCACCTTCCACGATGAGTACGACAGCAGAACCAGTATTCGCCACACCGACGTACTCGGTATACCTGAAGGCGAAGAGTGTGAGTATTGGTTAATGGCCTGGGGCCCCAGGGATACATTCAGGTTATCCACACCGCCTCTTAGCAACATGGTCGTGAACCTCGACGGGTGTGGTATGAGATACGGACTCATGATCGAGAACGAGGTTCAAGGCACGGTCTTGCCTATAGGTGTGCTCGACTCTGAGCTCGATAGGCTGATCGAGACGAGGGACAGGGGTACCTGCTATACGGGCATGATGGGCACGTCTCGATACAGGACGATGTACATGTGGACCGACATGTCAATGGAAAAGCCTGAGGTTGGGAGGATGAGATGGACATCGTCGGTGTGCATGGCCACGCTTGACTGCTCATGCCAGACCTTCGTCAGGGACACCGCTAGACTTCTGCTGTCCACGCGCTATGACAAGTCGATATACGAGTGGTCTACAATCCTGCTTTGGGAGCCCAATGTGAGCCTGGTTCAGGTCGGGGACAAGGTCTTCAGCACAGCCGTCGACTGGAGTACAGGTAGATGGAACCATATATGCTAGGACACACAAGGCTACTGACAGGATGGGCGTGATCTACACGAACACGAAACCTGGGCAGGCATATTCGACGAGTCCAGTCATCAACGACAACGCAATAATCGCCATGACAGTGTACATCCTCAAGGGCAAGTCCAGTTTCGTGTATATGTTCTGTATGGTATGCCATGACGTGGCCGTTGTTACCCCTTTAATATATACTACCATCTAGGTTCAACTCCTAACGCCGGCTTCCTGGTGGAGTGGTAGTATTTTCGTTTCCCATTTTGTGTAGCTTTACTGCCTTAGTGACCCTAGGAGGTGATAACCACATTTCATACTACTTTTCTCTATAGTAAAAATCCTTCCATGATCTTTCCAGCTGAGGTGATTTTCGAATTATGTAAGATAAATAAGTATGATGCCAACCCTCATTACAGCCTGCTCTGCCCGCCTATTACCACTAGGAACTTAATACTTAGCCACTTATATTTGCCTTGTTTTCTAATCAGCTAGCAAAGAAAGCATTGTTCAACCCCTCCCTTGTCCCAACACGATACCATCTTGTTGACCTCCTAAGATCTTGGCAGCATATGCATCTATATTGCATGATGTATATAAGGAGCAAACAAAACTCAACTTTTAAATTCATTCTTTCCTTTTTGGTATACTGTTTGTTTGCTTTCAATATTTTGATTTCAAAGCACTTTTAATTCCGAAGGCCGAATACCTAAGCCTATTCCTTCATTTTTTTTTTGAATATATACTCGCAGCTTAACTGCTTAGCTAAATAATCAATCAATTCAATCTGATGCTCTTTCTGGTCTCAATAAACCCAATACATCTTCTTCTCGTCAACCTGAATATGCCAAGTTCCAAAGCCTAACAATATATCAGAGGGGTAATAAATCAGGCTTTTCTAACTATACCTGCTTTTTTCCATCCTTTTCCTTATTTCCTCTTCTTCTGTTTTCATTGCCTCTTCTTTTCTCCGCCTTTCCTCCTCCTCGTATTGACGATTCAGTTGAAGCTGATGCATTAGGTATCCCGCATTACCTTTATTGGTACTTTCTTCCCATTCCATCTCCTCGGTTCTTGATTGTTCCAAATCAACAATCATTATGCGATCCCCAACATCGATTGCATTGTGTAAAGCAGGATCTCTATGGGTTATTCCGTATAGAGTTAACGCTTTGTAAACCTCTTCTAACTTTCTTTCAAATTCGTCATTTTCTCCATATTTCATTGTGAGATCATATAATCTTCGGCCGATGATTTCGTATAAGACCAATGCTGGTGATCCATCGTATATTGCTTCTCCGTAAAAACAAGGTATGAATCTTCCTTGAAGAGGCTAAAGGTGACGATACATCCGTTTTTCAATCTCAAACTCGTCATCCCAATCAAGCTTGCCAAAGGTACAGGATGATTAGATGGTCAACAGTGTTTGGGGAGCTGATCTGTTTTTTTGTCTCTTGCACTCTAGGAGAAACCCTTATCGCTAACTTTTGATGGAGTAAATTTAAAAACGTTATACAAATTATCTTTGTGCCTTCACCACACACCAAACAGTAATTGATAAAAAGCTATTCTTCAACTTGCTTAGATAACTTAATCACTACCGTCATATGATGATAAACTACAAGAGGAATAATGACCTAATGGAGCGTGACATACTTACTGACCAGTGACCGCACGGGTGGTACTCGTACCCCGCATTATTTTACCGACATACTTACTGGCCGCATAGGTGGTACCCCGCATTATTTTACCCCGCAATTACTCTAGCTCTTTGTACTCAATTAAATCTACAAAAATAGCCATTCTTCATTTTCCAACTCCCCGAATCGACTTCTTTTGGTGTCCGAATGTTTGAATGCTAACTGATCTCTATATGGCCTAGCATCAATTAATATCCGCAACTCTTTCTCCTGTAAATCTAAAGTATCATCTCTTAAAGTCAACCAGTATCAATTTTGATCCTCTTGCAAAACCTTATATATACATAATATGCTTATTAAAGGAAAAAAATGCTAATGATTGCTCCTTTTTATATTTTACTATATATTTATTATCGATATTCCCTATTCATCTATTGATTCATTTATTTATACCATCCTCGTCTTTCTAATCGATATAGCCATAGATTAAAACTGCAATTAACACTTGGCCATCAATAATGCCAAATGATCAAGGTATATCATTTATCCTTACTGCTGCAGACTCTGATTATTAATGGGAAATCGTGCAACCTGCAAACATACTATATCTCTTTAATTATAAATATAATACATTATCGAATTGTTAAGGTTTTAGAACATATTAGTTATTTGACAACAATGAGGGGAAAAGTGTATGTCTATTTGGAGTAGTTTCTTTTTCGGCTTAAGTTTGCCCAATTACCCTATATAAGGATATAATTAATTTGGCATAAATCAAAAAATGGTTTCTTATTATTGAAAATATATATTAATATGATTATCAGGATCCTGTATAAATCAGATTTAAGTCAAAAATAACCAAAGTCATTTATAAGAGTTTAATGACTATTTATTATTTGAGTTATGTTGATGAATTCTGACATATGTATAGTCCTGATAAACCATATTAATATATACCTATATACTCTCATCACCGAACCCTACTCGAGGTTTGCACTGCACTTTATAATCATAAAAGCCATGTTGATTAAAGCCCAGATTCTTGCTTTGTTATTGGCAGGCATAGTGTCTGGAAGCGGAGTTGGGCAAGCTATTATTTTGAACAAGTGTAGTTATCCAATATATTACGCATCCGTAGGTAGCTATACCCCGCCACTTCAAGTCCTTCCCCCAAATAGCATCTATAGTGAGCAATGGAGAATCCGTACTCTCGACAATGCAGCAACACCGAATATAACACTATACGGCGGAATATCACTCAAGATCTCGCCAAATCAAAGCATAGGAACTGCTTCCGACAAAATGACAGCCTTTGAAAAGAGTACTATTATACAATTCGAATATACTTACTTACCCACCACGGCGCCTGGTTTATGGTATGATATTTCAAATGTAAACGGATATCTTGATGGTACTGCGGATGCTTGGGACGGTAAATCCCCATGGCCATTTCAGAAAGAGGGTCTGGTTCTTCAAGCAACAAATAAAAATTCGAACTGCGAGATGGTGGTCTGTCCTGGAGGGAATCCTGATGGAAATTCATCTTGCAATCAAGCATATACGCATCCTAACGACAATTGGGCTACACATGGTTGCGATGTTTCCAACTCTTTGATGTTGACTCTTTGTACATCCTAGCAGGGCATTTGCAATCGCACATGAGCATTATTTGTGGTTTGAGACTCACTCGTTTCTTCTTTGATTGATTGATCTAGAGGGCCTCATTAAATAAGTCATATTTCATTTTGATATTCCTTCAATTTAAGCCTGACTGTTCCCGCGCTGATTAACATAGACATTTCTTTTTTACTTTAGCTTTGAATCAAGTATACTGCCTGGCTTATCCAGCACTAATAAGAATTTTTATCTCATTTTCCCGACAAAAGTCACTGAACCAATAATACATCTACGCATTCATCTCATCAAATTTGAGGTCAAGATTTATCTACATGCCTTCATTTTGCTTTCTTTCCCAGTCCATGATCCACTGAAAATCTGAGCCCGGCCCCTTTTGTTCATCGGTGAGATTCTTCTCTAAGCATTGTACCCTAAATTGTAGCACTTTGTGTCGGAATTGGGACCAATCTATATTTGATTTGTATCTCATTAGCTAGGAGCACAAAAAAGGATTAGATATAGCTTGCCTTCTACTTGTTTCACGTTGGCTTCCACTTCTTTCAGCTTGCCTTCCACCTCTTTCAGCTTGCCTTCCATTTTTTCCTGAAAATTTTCTTGAGTTTGGAGCTCAGCGTCCCTCATTAATGCTAGCGATTAAAATGAGCTTAGAAACTACTAACTAAGGGTGATTGGTCAACTCTACCTTTCAAACCTCGTAATGTACGTGGCAGAAACTGGAGGACTTCGAGTGGAAGCCTCTCAGGTGTAGGGTTTGCTGGCATTTGTCTGAGTATTTGATCGATTTCTTTAAAGTCAATATTTTCCCTAGCAGAACGGTTTAGAAACTCACTTCGTAGCTGAGTAACTCGAGCATCTTCCCCGATGTATGGAGCTTGTACTAGGTTCTAAAGGTACTGTTAGGCTATGACGAGATCATACAGGGTCTAGCAATATCGATTACATTGTGTTGTAGTGATACCTTCTCACTATTCCGCTTACTGTAACCCAATATCGTCAATATTACTTCTAATAAATAAAAGAAGTGTTTTTCAAACAACTTACTCTGCCGTTTCCTCCCCTGCTCTTGATGCATACGCAGTGTCTACAGTATTGAAGCGATCTTGAAGTCCAAGGGCTCCTTGGCTTACGGAGTAAGGTCGAACCATGCACTCATCGAGATCAGGAAGTGGTCGACGATTGAACTCGACGATATCAGGATGTAGTGTGGACATCTTGATTCGCTTGACAAAGAGAAAATGATAAATGAAGTAAGTATAATTATGATAGAATGTAGAGTAATTCGACCGGATCAAGTCCCATTCTTACTTATCAAGTATTTGTATTGATAAGGCGAAGTCGGCCTCGCCGTTTGTGCTAGTACTCCGAAATCCGATACTTCCGTCCAGTGTAGTTGATAGGTTGGGTACAGTTAACAACAGTTATAAGCAGGGTGGCTTGGAATTTTGGTTTACCTATCAATCATAAGTTGGTTATAGGTTTTGAACCAATAAACCAACAGTCCAAGCGTGCATATAACAGGTGCTCATGCTGTCAGAAAGTATGTCACACTCCACTTTTAGGCACGTACCACAGGATGGTAAACTAAAAGCGGAATAGTGGCCCATATTTAAGTGGATAGTCTTATACTTTCTAGCCGCACGAGTACTTTATCCCCTTGTACTTTATAATTTTTTGGACTTACAACCAACACGAGTGCAGTCTAGAGCTGCATGTCCTAGAACCTCATAAGAGGGGAGCGTCTGAAATGGCTGTGGAACGCCGAGGCGCTTACCCAATTAAGCAAAGTCCATTATTCCGATATCCTTTCGAGTATTACCCCTGTCAGAATCGAGGGCTTCGGACCTTTTTCTAAATGAGAGATGTTAAAATAAGAAGTGTTAGAGTAAGAACTGCTTAAATAAGAACTGCTTAAATGAGAGGTGTTAAAATAAGAAGTGTTAGAGTAAGAACTGCTTGAATAAGAACTGCTTAAATAAGAACTTCTTAAATAAGAACTGCTTAAATAAGGATCGCTTAAATAAGAACTGCTTAAATAAGGATCGCTTAAATAAGAACTGCTTAAATAAGAGCAGGCATGGACACCCGTACCCTACCTGGGGTATTTGACCTCTATAGGGTAATTACTCTATTATATAGAGGTTTTACAGAGTGGATTACCCGGCAATATCGAAAAGTGATTACCCTATCCTATAGAGATAAAGCAGGGTGATATACCAACAGGTTTCACTCCGGATCACCCCGGTTTATCCTACCTTTTATCCATCCCTGAATAAGAGTTGCTTAAATAAGAACTGCGTAAATAAGAGCAGTTATGGACACCCGTGCCCTACCTGGGGTATTTGACCTCTATGAGGTGGTTATTCTATCATGTAGAGGTTTTAGAAAGCAGATTACCCAGTAATATCGATAGATGGTTACTCTACCCTACAAAGATAAAGCAGGGTAGTATATCAGCGGGTTTTACCCCGGATCACCCCGGTCTTACCTTACCTTTTGTCCATCCTTGAATAAGAGCTGCTTGAATAAGAGCTGCTTGAATAAGAGCTGCTTGAATAAGAGCTGCTTGAATAAGAGCTGCTTAAATAAGAGCTGCTTAAATAAGAGATCAACAGGATGTTAAAATAGGAGTTGTCTATCAGGGCGGCTCGCAGACAATACCACACTCCCCAATCAAGCCCAACCCCACATTATATACCACAAAGTCCCATAAATGACATAGCATCAAGTAAGCCAGTATCAGCATAGTATAGCTTAAGTAAAATTGTACAGAGTAAAAAACTAAACTCTGATTCGCGGCCCTGTTTGTAAGCACCCGGGTTTTAAACTGGAACCCTACCGTTACTCTACAACTTTGACTGCACAAATCAGAATATCTATAGGAGCACACGTGTGTAAAGATTTTTTGAATCAAGTGAATCTGAAAATATGAATTTTATGATTTTGGCATCAACACTAAGCAAGCATATTATGAGAGCCAGCTATACACCCCGGAATTAACCCGAACACCCACTAGTCACAACATTAGATCTGGGGTAATAAGGTTGGTGGTTCGAAGCTACATACCCATCTAACCTTAAGCCTATTTCGAAAAAAGATCGTCCGTGGGCCAGGGTTCGGAATATTCAAGTTCCGACGCTTTTTCAACCTCTTTTTTATTATATTTTAACTTCAAATTATATTATTATTTGAATTGATATCGAACAAACTTACAATTTATGGGATATTAAATTCAGATGAAAGCGAGATAACAAACTGAAAGGAAAAGTAGTAAAAGGTATATGAACAGGACCATCTTATAACAAAGCATTTTTGAGCATTGTTTATTATTGTTATGATAATATTATAAATGAAAGTAATAATCATTCAGTTCTAGCTGTTAAAGCCTTTTAAACCCAATCCTGAGACTCATCGAAACTCTCATCAATGACAAGTGTAATTGATCTTCAGTTGAAGAATGCTTTTAGTGGCAGCAACTCAACCTAGTATCTGTCGTTGATATGATCAAGAAGAGCTTTCGGAATGCAACTCGGCATATAGTACCGAATCTCTATTCGCAACCTCCTTTTTACATTGACAGCAGTGATGATAATGATGTACCTCGTAGATTACTGATGAGGATGGTAGTGATGACTGTGGTGGATGAGATGAAGGATGTAAAGCGGGTGATTCAATGCTTGCTTTCAATTTGTGAAAGGGCGGCTCTCGTGATCTATTTTTCGAGCACCTAGTACAGATGCTAGAAGTAGGTGATGTCCCAGATGTGATTGGATGTTGCAGATGATACCTCCAGGATCGGCGTCGATGACAGACATCGCAGAAATGCTCCATTGTTAATTTTGAGAGGTGAGTGAGAATCTTTTTTGGATTTGAAAAGAATTGAGAGCGCGTCGATGAAGTACTGAAAAGGCGGAATCATGTAGGGTACGGAATTTTGAAAAAAAAAAAAAAAAAAAAAAAAAAAAAGCAATCTTATTGATTAAAATACACTTTCCTAGAAAGGGGTTGTGCTTAAAAAAAGTTCGGTCTAAATTGGAATATCACAGTATTACAGGTTATCTTAATTTTATATAAAACATAACAATGTATAACCTTATAGTATAAAATACAACAATATCATCCATATTTTAAAATTTCAGATACTTTACTTTATTTATATTTGTTATATAATTTACTTGCAATCATTCACCTATTCACTCACTCATTCCTTATCCTCCACACATTCGTTTATTCACTTTATTCATTCTCTCCTTCAATTCACTTTCCATTAGTTCATTATATCATACAAGATATCCCCTTTCAGTATGAGGAAATGCAATCACAGTTATTGGCTTGCTCTACTATCTAGTAGAAATGAAATCATCTTTAAAGTATCTAATCGAGCTACAAACTTACTTCAAGGCCTCCCCCACATTCACGTTCAAACGCCAACCTTATTTGTCTTCATTGGAAACAAATCCAAAACTCTAGCACTTCAAGAATTAATATCATCAAATACCAAAAAAAGGATTACAAGTAAAAGGAGCAATGGAGAGATTCATCTTCATATCGATTCGTCAAGCATATTCAGCGACAGGCCTATACTCATAGCAGACAGTGATTTTCCTTTTGATAAAAGGTCAGTGCCTCCGCTTTTAGCGGAGAACTGTCATGAAGTCATCAGTACCGTACTTCCAGGCCCGAGAAGTGGTGTTGGTGGAGCCTCTGGTATAGTAAAGGCTGCGGATAATCTTCATCTTAAACTTCTATCGCCATTCGCTGATGTATTCTGTTTCTTTGCTGCCGATTTGGGAGGCTTGCAACCGATTGCTCAGCGTTTGGCATCCTGGTTAGAGAACGACCAGGCTTCAACATTGCCTCCAGCCACTCATGCCCATATTATTATCGTAGTTGAGTCTTCTGCCCTTGAGTTCCGCATACTGGAAGAATTTTTTCAGCTATTACACAACGAAACTGAAAAGGACCTGTTTACTCATTTTGGCAATATTCGAATTGTCACCTTACTTCCCCAAAGCTCTGTCTCATCAGAAGCTCAACACAGGCGACTCAAAGAATATTTAATGGATATTTCGGATCAAGTTCGTTTAGCAAGAATTAAGTCTAATATGTTGTTTTCAGGACAACATTTTTTAGCATTTTTGAGCCAGGCTAGCTCACATTTTGGAGCAGGCTCTAGAACTCCCTTTGACTTTATTCAGGAATCGCGGATCGGCAATCAAGTAGCCCCTGATCTCAAAGATCATTTAGTAAACTTCTTATCACAGATCAAAAATAATGAGCAATTACGAGAGCTGGCGGTTCCACTCATCACATCCAGTCTCCTTTTGGATCATTATCCTCCAGATATGCATTGTAGGTACTACATAATGCTCGATTTTATTTGCTAACTGAGTATAGTATTCGATCCTTCTGATGTTTTCCGTGTTCTTTACAAAGGATTATGCTATCAGGCATACCTTGAGTGGATGAATAGTAGCAGCTTCTCAGATCTCATATCACCATCTGGTTTTCTAAGGATGGTTGAAGAGTTGTTGCAAAGCTTTTTTGTGAAACTACAACGTTCTGCAATAAATATGACGGTAGATTCTCATCGTCAAGTCTTGCTCAAAACAGTCACGAACTGCCTTTTTACTCATTTAGACAATACCTGTGTTGTCTGTATACGGAGAACACCTCAGTATGGCTTGCCATGTGGTCATATAATTTGCGAGAACTGTGTTCGGGTGTTTGGGAGGCGGAGCCCTCTTGATCCTTGGCTATTTGAAGTTGATAGCTGCTTCTTTTGTGGGCTGAGTACATCTGGAGTGGTGGTACGGACTCTGCCCCCAACGGCTGGAATTCGTGTCTTGACCTTCGATGGTGGCGGCATCCGCGGTGTGGCAAGCCTCCAATATCTTCAGGTCCTACAGGAAAGGATTGGCTTACCTTACCCAGTTCAAGAAAATTTTGACATGGTATATGGTACAAGTATTGGTAATGGCTCCTCCCCTTGGATATCTACAAAGCTTATTGTCTTAGGTGCAATCGTTGCACTCAAGCTTTGTGTCATGGGTTGGTCAATTGAAAAGTGTATCGAGAGAGCTGAGCATTTTGCCAAATTCGCTTTTCAACCACGATTGATGTCGCATATTCCCGCATTCATCCGAAGCATTCCTGGGTTCTCGGCATTTGTATCCTTTTTAGTTTCCTACTTCGCTGATGGATGTTACTCAGCTGATTATCTCGAAGAGATATTACAAGAAGAATTTGGCACAGAAAGATCCATTCTAGATTGTTCAAATGCAACAGCAACAGGCACCCGCATTGGAATTCCTGTAACCACAATCCAAGATACCTCCACTTGCATATTCACAAATTATAATGCAATTGGAACCAGGCCTTCAAAATGTGGTGAGTCATTATTTGGGTTAAGACCACGAACGGGGGAGAGCATTGATTCATTGTTAGGTTACCACGCACTTCGACCAAAATGTGGCCTGGGGCAGGTGCCCCTTTGGAAAATGTATGTACCTGTGTCCTCATTTTTGATTGTAAATAACACAAATATAGAGCAAGATGCGGTTCGGCAGCGCCATGGTCAGTAGTTTCTCTAATGGAACTTTCTCTTACCAAAATGCTGATGTAAGTGTCAGGTACTTTGAGCCAAAATACATACCCGGCATAGGAACTTTTCAAGATGGTGGAGTTCGACAGAATGATCCTGGAAATATTGCATTGCAGGAAGTAGCGGCTGTTTTTCCAAATTCCGCGGAGCCTAGCCTTGTCGTATCATTAGGTACTGGTGCAGCTCGAGTAAACGATGTACCAGAGATGGGCCCTAGCCGTGGGCTCCTCAAGGATGGATTCATTCCACGTCTCATACGTGCCTTCAAGCTTTCTTTTGGGAGCACCATTGCCCACAAGCATCGAAGCCTCCGCAGGCAAGGCTCTCGGGAGCAATACTTTCGATTCGATATTGAATTTGATCACCCTGAACCCGAGTTGGATGATACAACTAGGATGCAAGAAGTGAAAGAACGAGCTCGGTCAGCGATATACGAATCAAAGGAACTCGACCATTTAGCTAGATGTGTAGTTGCGGAGCTTTTTCTTTTCGAGTTAGATAGTATACCTAAGAAGGAGCGTGGAAGATACTTTTGCCAAGGACGTATCATCTGTCGCCTTCGCGCACATCATACTGCTTTGCAAGTTCTCCTAGAACAGTTAGACAGATCCTCGGCAGTATTTATGATTCAAGGAAATCATTTGAAAGGTTCTTTTGGGGACGACTCGAATGAAGATAAAGATGGGAACTTCAGCAAGGCTGTTTCTTTCGAGGTTTCTGACAAGCGCACCCCATTTACCATCCAGCTCAAGGAGGGATTATCACAGCCATGTAGTATCAGCGGGTCTCCGTTTTCAGTCGATTCGCTGGTCACTGCGCAGCACCTTGAATGCCATTTCGGTACTATGGACCATGCTAAAAGGAAAAGGGTGGATTCAGTAGATTTGTCTTCACGAAAACGCCCCCGACGGTTGGTCTAGCGGCTAAGTGAAAGCAGAAATTTATACTGGCATTTCGTAATGTAAGAATAGACCTTTTTTTATCTTGATCGCCTAACTCCTCTACTGTACCCGCGTTTGACGACCACCTAAAACAAAAGCTCTAGGTGGTCGCTGTAGATCTTCGGAAATAGGATATTCATTGACCACCTCATCATTGCCCCTCGTTACGACGATTACCCGATCTCTTGACGCTATCGTATGTATTAAATCTGGATATACCAGGCGATTATTATTCACACTCCCCAATTGACCTTGCATAATATCGTTTGCCCCTTGGTTTCCGATAAATACACCACCCCGATCCCTGACCTTCCATAGCCGCCAGAGTTCGCCTAGTATTCCGCGGACAAGGAGAAGACCAGCAAGCAGAATGTAAGCCTATAAAGTTAGTTAATTCATAGCCAACTTTTTTAGTTATTCACTTATCTTACTTGTATGGATGTTAAGCTCCCTGGACCATTCCGCTGGTCGGAATAGTCAATGATAACGCTAGCGATGCTACCACCACATGCTAGTATATTCGTGATAATATCAAGGATTAGGCCAGGTAAAACAGTATTGTGAGATCCTCTGTTTCTCCAATATCGTTTGTTGTAGGAAGTGAGAAGAAGCCATGACTTTGCAACTGCAAGGAAGAAAAATTCTCCTGGCAATGACCAACAACTTGTACCTAACACAGAGAGTATAATATACACAATTGTGAACCATACGAAAATAGTGTTGAATATCATTTTATACCATATCCCATCTTTCAAAACTAAGGATACAGGTATCTGGTTGATGGCGTACACCTATAAATTCAGTTTTAGCCACAAAACTAACCCCGCAACATCAATATACCTACCTGAATAAGTATAATAACCTTATTGAGCAACGGAGAAAGGATAGAAAGAACTTTTGTATTTGATGTTGATGAAGAGACTGTGATGGAGATGCTGAACCCAACAATGATAGCCCATATCATCTTTATTCGCCAAAGTTCTCGCCAGTCGCGGGGAGGGGATCTGAGAGCTTGTCGTTTCAAAATTCTATATTTATTGAGATCGAGAATACAACATATTAAAGAAAGAAATAAGAGGAATGAAGAGAGCAAAAGAATGGATCTAAACATTTTGACGAAAAAGATAGCTAAATTCTTCTACTAGAATAATGAGGATTGTTGTGTAAGAAAGAGGGGATGTTCTAGCTTTATAGTTTCAATGGTGCTTTAGTGTATGACGTTTTGCTTCCAATACGTCGTTCCCATACATCGAATCACAACACTCTAACCGCTTTGAGTATGTTCATGCAATGGTAGTAACCAAAGTATGTCCTCGACACTCCTCTTGTTGCTTTCGAAGTAAGAGGTTGTAGCAAAAACCATTTGTTCGTAACCTGATACGTACTCTTTTTTCAAACATCAATGATCATCTCAGATTCTGGTTCGCAGCTACGATTTCCCGTCTTCTCATCACCTCAGGCTTTGGCTAGGAGAAGCCAACATAATATTCTAAATCTAATGAAGAGGATGGCCTGAGGAAGTTTACATTTGGGATAGGAAAGAATGAGAATAAAAATTGGTGATATTTAAGTTTTAGCTGAGCTCTGCGGAGTTGATCACACTGGCTGCATACTTGAAAGCTGAGATCTTGAGGTGATCTAGAATACACAAACCAGTCTAAGTGCTTCAGAATGATAAATTTTATGGCACATACAATCGCTAGGCATATGCAAGTGCCTCGAGATCGGGTTGGAAGCCGTGGTGGTTTCTACTAAAGGTCAAGCAGGGACTGTGATTCTTCACAAATAACAAATGTATTGTATAGTAAGTATAATATTTAAACTAATGATTGATCTTGAGTACAAAGCTCTACACTAAAGAAACCCAATCCTGACTACATAGACCTTCGTAGCATTTGAACCTTTTGACACCTCCTGCCGATCCTATCGATCCATCACATAACCCTAATCACACGACTGCTAGCCATCGAGCCTAAACATCCCACTAATCATTTAAACTATGGCTACCATTGTAACGCTAGTTTCTTTCACTTCTTCACTTCTTGACTATTATCAATTAGTAGTCGCTAGCGAATGTGAAGGATCGAGACTCCAACTCCGCATCACTACTCTGAACAGAAAATTCTGGCTTGGAAACATTGAAGTTGATCCATGGGCCGGCATCAGCAATACGGCAAGCTAGCCATAATATACGTTCCTTTCGTTGGTCGATCATAGACGGAAGCTCATGGTATTTCTCCTCTTCATCAGTCTTCTCGTTGAGAAACCATTCTTCAGGGAAGTATTTTTCTGCCCATAGTAACCCGCGCATTCCAAAGTCTTCTGGAAAGGGGCGAACATCATCTTTCTCTGGCAATGGAAACTTGTTATCTTCAATGCGGCTTAGAGACTTGTAGGACTTAAGTAACGTATTGAGCATAATAGCCAGAGATTGCCATGGAAATGCTGGTGCCAAAAGGTCCATCGCGCCTGAAAAATGGGACATACGGAACATAAAAACAAGAGAGATATGAATGAAAGGAAGAACATTGGGATCGCCTATTCTTTGCAATACAATCTCCAAGGCAGCATTGCTAAGGTTCTGTGCATGTTTGAATGTCGTCATGGAGGGAGAAGATTCGTCCAGAGCCTCATCCATATCAACGTCAGCTGCTTTTTCTTCTGAAGAAGGTGCGATAGCTTTCATAAGTGGATTCTCTTTAGATGCAAATCCAAGCATTGCAACGTTATTAGAGACTGCAATATAACAGCCTTGCTCTATAAACTTCTTCGTTACTTGGCCGATGTGGCTATCAAGTAGTTCAAGAAACTCTTTAGCTGCGGGTTCAAACCTTTCCATGGTTCTGTTTGTAAACAAATGCCCGTGAGCTCGGATAAATGCAGTATCCAAAGGCGGTAATCGATGCTGACCTTGCCCATTTTCAGCATTGAGGACAGGATCGAAAAGGTTAAGTATCGATTCTCGTGCAAACGTAAAGGGCACTACAACACACAACGACTTTGCATAGTAATACAGTTGTTGGAGAGCATTCGGGCGTGCTAGAATAGCAAGATGATGATACAGCCTACCGGTTGTAGGGGCTTTGTCGGAAGCCTTTGAATACCAATGACGCGCTATACCAGTCCAAACCGCTCTGTCCGTGATATCGTCCGTGTCAATGACCATTCTATACCGTCCTAGATCTCCCAAGCACTCGATCCAAGTATCTTCGAAAGCGGGTACAGTCTCATACAACAAAGCCATCATCGAGTACGCCAAGTATATGAATACAAGCATATGATCAAGTGAGGCAGGAAGTTGATGTCTGAGAAGTTCCAGCAAGGAATAAATACCATGACGCCACATCCTAGCAGGCATAGCATACTTTAATGCTAAGCGACGAAGAGGCGCGCTAGCCGATGGATGCTGGGAAGCTAAAAAGAAGTCGTGATGCTCGTGGAGTAAAGTACGGTGCAAAGCGATGAGAGCTTGCCATTGTTCATTGTTGAGCTTCGGTTGGGTTGGAGGATTACCTTGTGTAAGTGTAGCTTGCTTATTATCAACTTCAATGCATTTGGCTTCGACCATTACAAGACCAGCATATATGCCTTTAATCTCTGTGACGAATTGCTCGTGAGAGATAGACCTTATCTCTGGCTGAAGAATGATGTTGTACTTCTGGGTTTGAGATGAGATTACAGCCGAAGCACCGGGCCGAGTATGAAGGAGATGGTGATGTTGCTGAGGTTGGTTTCCTTGAGGTTTTGGCTGGGATGTAGTTTGAGGCGAGGATTTCTTCGAGGACCCTCGATTATCTCGCTCGAAATCATGAGCAGAAGGTTCCCGGAATAGTGATACTGAACCTGCTGATACACCATCTTCGACAGCTGCTCTCTTAAAAGACTGATCTGTTGTTTTCTCTTTGTTCTGCATAGATCTTGCAGGTTGGGGAGAGTTGAGGGATTGTTTGGATTGTGTGTGTGGAGATGGGGTGTCTGCTGGAGCAATGACAGCCTTATTGCATGAGGGTTTTGGTGGGCCATGATCGTCTTTTGACAATGGGGATCGGGGTGGAGAGTCATCTTTTGTCGTTCTTTGTACTTTTGGGTTAGCCTTACTGTTCTATAAAGGATGTACATAATTGACTCGGATCACTAACATTTTCAGTGCACTATTGCTCCCATAAGATTTTTGAAATCGTTCAAGTTCATCTCTGCCAGATGGTATCATATCCTGATGGTCCTCTTTCGCATGGTTCCACAAGTCGCTTTCTGAAAGGCGTATCTTCTGCTCTGAACAATAAATACAGGTCCAAAATTGAGTTGTGTTTGTATTTCGGCGCATCCGTAGGTCGGATACATCGCCTTCGGTAGGATTCATCTTTAGCCGTAATTTTCCAAAACTTGAAGAGTATAATGAGCATACATTAAAGAATGATAACTTAGATACATAAATTCTTATGGAGAAACATAGTTTTATATAACATCAGGTATACCATCTTATCATCCCTATACAAAAGCTCTCACCGAGAACCTTGCTAGTTCATTACTTTTTTTGTATACCAATGCATACAAAAGCTCTCACAGAACCTTGCTAGTTAATTACTCTTTTTTGTACACCGATATCTGAACTCAAGTATTGGTTGATTGGTTTTCTATTGTTTGCTTGCCTTTATAAAATTTCAAGGACATTGATACAAGGTCTAAAACAAGAATATATTCTACCCTTAACTATATATAGCAACTTATTTATTCTGACAGAATTAGGATAAGAGAGGCAAGTCCAGCCATGATCTCCTACAGCTTAATATATTAAATTGATTTACGGATAGGCAACTGATACTGTTGATATTGCTCTGGAGCAAGAGACTACCACTCTGACTTATATGAATGGCTACATTCATATTTATAGTGTATGAATTGATATAATAAGTAAGATTTAGATGAAAGAAGAGAATATTTTGAAGAAATCTGGGATATGGGCCCTTACGACACTACACCCCCTCCAACGTATCCACATATTCCTCTCACTCCTCTAATGTGATTTACTATTAATAATCTGTATACAAAAAACCATATCCTTCCGACCCCACAAACCTCTTTTTTACTGGCGGTTGCTCGATTGCCAACTTGCAACATAATTACATTGTAGCACCAAATCCATTGGACCATGTTAAATGCTTGAACCAAACAAGCGACCATCCTTTCGTTCAGATACTGGATTGAGATAGCTGCCAAGAAACAATAAATGATGAGAAATTTGAAGAAGGTAAAGAGGGTGTAGGAGAGGAAGGAGCTAAAGGAAAACGTCGATCGTATGTATCTGTGAATCGTAATAAATAGTATTTGTTGAAGCTTGGAGGTAATATCTAGAGATGATGGGAGGCAGGATATACTCAGGCAAAGTTAATGTACTTGCTCGTGCTGCCAGTAAGTATATGGCTATCCACTTTTAAGCACATAACACATAATGGTAACCTACAAGAGGAATAGTGGCCCATATTTAAGTAGACAGCCATATACTTCCTGGCAGCACGAGTAGTCGAGCCAACGTAAATTTCGAGCCGGCTGCCTTTGTTCGACCCTCTATCTTTTGTAGCATCACATTACATCATCTTATGGAAATTCTGGGTGGAACTAGGAAGACTGGTGTTAGGAAGGTGATAAATTCTGCAGGTGCATGACACTAGAGCGACAGTAATTGGCGGTTATATGCTCACCTGATAATGTCGCATCTTTCTGAGTACTTACCCCTGGTCAAATTAAGCGAGGAAATCGGCAGATTTAAAATCACAGCCTACTTGATGCTCAGTAAAATTTTTCTAAATCTTTGAGTTTCAATGTCATCATCCCACATATCCCCCCTTGTGAATTAGTCCAAGCCTGTATTTAAAAATTGAACAGAAAATATTACTTAATCAGTAAAAGCCTACAAATGTAACGAATCTCATGAGATAGTACAATATAATGTCATTTATCGTTAAGGGGGTAGATAGAGCCCATTTGCAATCTCAAAAGTAGTCACGATAGGAATCAGTTATTTGAAAAGTATTTATATAAGAAAACTTTCTCTAAATCTTCCTTAAATTCTCAAGCTTAACTATCTCTATATGATTCAAGTTTGAACTTTTTAAAAAGAACTCGAATTTCAACCTTTCTTGTCTATCTACACAATGACTACGAATATCAGATTGTTTTTGTTGAGTTCATTCTCATCACTCCCCATACTTCAGAATGAACCGCTTCATTCACCAATTAGTTCCGGTTCTTTGAAGGATTATTCTATGTTTGGGCCACAGACTTTGAAGAGCCACCCATCCCGCACTATCGTTGAAAATATCCCTAGACCATCCAACCATAGCGAGAAGTTCATTCTCGAAATCCATGAGAAACAAGGAACAAAGGCAGAAGAATTTGATATTTTTCTTGCTGATTTCTTCGAAAAATACAACGGTCCATCCAATAGAGATGCTGTTCTTATATGGGGCTTCGAGAAGGAACTGGCTCAGAAAATTTATAATATAGCTCAAAGACACTCATCCCCTCCTACGCTTGTCTACTCGCCCACGTATGCCACTATTCCCATCTGCAATAAATGTGTTCAACCGTTCTGCCGACATCGTCAATACAATTCCGAGTTTCTGTCGAAGTATCGGGGGTTATTAATAAGTGTTAAAGAGAAGGTCAATGATCAGTTGGAAATCTTGGATATATCGAAGTGGAAAACACAAGTCGAAAAATTGGAGAAAAATGTTGGGATCTTCGGGATTACGGTCAAAGTCCTTGGGAAATTTATTGGTGCAGCTGCCCGCGCAGCATTCGCATTTGCTTGTATACTGGTAGAGGGCAGGACTGTGTGTACGAAAGGTTGGACGTGATGAAAGCCAATAGCTAGAATGTTTACTTTAACAACCCAGGCTATTATGCCAATGTGTTTAAGACTATGTATTCGCGAATAAAATGCCATTTATACGGGAAGTTCAGCTAAATCTTTTGATGCCTGTAGTACGCGTCGAAGGTAGTATCGGCTCTTCATAAGGGTCATGGATATGAGGTGATGTTTGGCTTCTTCGAAACACTCTATATATCTTGCTGTATTATACTATATAATCAACAATCTTAGATGGGTATTTACGATAGGAGAGATGAATAAAGAACATATTGGTTGGTATTGATGTGGAGTGCTGCCAATATTAGCAATCAAATTTTGTTGGGTAGATTGATCTTGAAAGAAGTCATAATTTATTTTGGATGATATATTATCAAAGCATCAATTGAAGATGTTGCCGAGGATGGAAAGAGCCTAAGCATTCAAGAAACAGGAATCCTAAACGATTATTATTTCCTTGCCAGTGGCCATGGTTAGGTGCATAACTGAAATGAAAAGCAAGCAAGGGGACTTTTACAGGATGTTTGTATCCAAATGAAGAAGCTTTCTAGATGCTGTATACCACGCTTTGATGATATTAACTGCAGATTTTCCGCAGTTTCCGCCAGGCCATTGAATGATTCGTATAGCTTCATACCCACGTATGCCTTCTTATGCAATTAGGCGTTTTAGGAGAATAAGAGACCTTACCAATCAACCCGAATGCAAAAGAAGGAATGAATTTTAATGATACGGAGGATAGTACTAATCAGGGATTGAAGACCAATGAAGTGTCTCGGAGCATATGCAGACGTATCCCAGATTATTGATTTGGTGGCAAAGAGAACTCAAATAACAATATCATCCTCCGGAGAATACTTGTCGATCATAATCTTATTCCACAAATCCTGTATACATCTGCTGATATCGTTCTTAGCTTTATTTTAAGGTGTAATCCCTACAATTTCCTATACTTTAAAGAAACCAATCAGCTATCTGAATTATATACAAAGTTTGTGGAGAGATGGACTCATCGGAGGTTCGAGAACCTCGATATGGCTATCTCAGAATTGGAGGAAATGGCCAATGAGTGTATTATTAATGGATCTATATTTCACTAAGAACCTTTACATTGGAGATAAAAATGAAGAGAGAATGATTCCTTTTGCAGATTCCACATTCCTTACTAACATAAAAGCAACCATTCATTGTCATTATATAAAAATCACAACTGTAAATGATTAACATCTTTTCCACATGCACATTCCATTTACCATCTTGCCTGCCCATATCATCGCCTGCTCATACCATCCCCTGCCAATATCATCCGGCTTGCCCACACCACCCTGCTTGCCCACACCATCCTGCTTGCCCATACCATCCGGCTTGACTATGTCATCCGGCTTGCCCACACCACCCTGCTTTTCCACACCACCCTGCTTGTCCACACCACCCTGCTTGCCCATACCATCCGGCTTGACTATGTCATCCGGCTTGCCCACACCACCCTGCTTGTCCACACCACCCTGCTTGTCCACACCACCCTGCTTGTCCACAACATCCTGCTTGCCCATACCATCCGGCTTGTCCACACCATCTTCACGCCACATCTTCTGAAACTTCGGCATTTGAGGACCAAATACCCAATAACACCCAGGAGATAGGCGTTTTTTTATAACACAATCATATCCACAATAATGGCATAAATATACGATCGTTGATTCCTTATAATCTCGTTCAAAACTTGTCCTTTTACACTTGGATATATCCATTAATGACTGTAAATTAAAATAGAGACTTTGTTTGAATTCACCTTGTAACACTGAAATCCAATGATTGTCTCACAGGAACCATTTCCCGAAGTCTCTGTTGAATTTTTGATAGACATAGTCAGGTGTATAATGAGGATGGGAATTTTGTTGAAGGAAATAATGCAAGAAAGAAATGAAGTATCTTGTCTCTGAATTGGTTTGAATAAGTGCAGTCATCTGTTCTTTTTATATTCATTCATTTCGAGAAATATTTCTTCCAAATTCAAATTTAGTCCTTCACTCGAGCCAATGCATCCATCCTCCTATCGTCCTATCTTAGAAATAAAAAGAAACAATATCATCATTTGTCTCTAATCTAGCGAATATTCTCTATAACGAGTATTGTATCCCGGTAAAGGCACAGCCCTAAGATGATATCTTCCAGATGTAAAACAGCCTATGGTATCTTGCAAGAAATGCTGAATTCATCCAATGTTAATTCCCTATGATAATGCGAAGATATCCATTGTAGGTATATTAGGTAGACAAGGATATAAAGTGAAATGGGAAATAATCAAAGACCCTGACGATGTGGATGAAGGAACTGAGGTCGATAATAGGCCTGGTCCTAACTTCCCCCGTAGCCGAGACCAATTCGTTGGACATTAGCCACTAGGAATGATCGAGGATCTGTATTAAGCCTTGAAATACTTTCTGATCATACGAACAGTACTTTTTTGAGTACGATTAGTCGTCGTAACGAGGGGCGATGATGAGGTGGCCAATGACTATCTTATTTCCGAAGATCTACAATGAACACCTAGGGCTTTTGCTCTAGGTGGTCATCAAATGCGGGTACAATAGAGGAGTTGGGTTACCAAAATAAAAAAAAGGTCTATTCTCACAATACAAAATGCGAGGGTAAATTTCTGCTTTCACTTAATCGCTAGACCAACCGTCGGGGAATTTTCCGCGAAGGAAAATCCATTTACTCAACTCTCTTCGTTTTAGCATGAGTCATAGTACCGAAGAGGCATTCCAGATGTTGTACTGTGACCAGTGAGCCGGCTGAAAGCAGCAACCGCTGATACCCATGGCTGTACCGGTTCTCCTTGAGATGGATGGTAAATATGGTGCGCTTATCAAAAGCCTCGAAAGAAACAGCCTTGCTGAAGTTCCCATTCGTGTACGTGAAGGCCACAGATGATACATCCTTGAAAAACATACCTTCCACACTCGGCATTTCCGACGGATAACCCTGGATCCTGTAGATTAGGCAGCGATAATAGTGAGAGGTACATTCAGTGTGTTCCATCATCTATCATCAATCAGTTCACACTAGGAAGGTATCCACTACCCACCGTCAGAAGGTTGTGTAAATCCATGTTGAATCTCTGAGCATAAACACATTTTGGTGATGATTAGAAAATGAATAACAAGAAAGTAGAAGTAGGAGAAGACTAAAAGTGGATAATTGTGAGCTGCTGACGTACACGCGCTTTGCCACATTTGGGCATCTCAATTTTCCATGGGAAAATTGAGATGCCCAATACGGTATAACTTTGGTAAGACGCTTTGACGTATCTGAGGAAAGCGAGGGTGCCGCAAACAAGCTTGATCTATGTTCGATGTCAATAACATTGTCGCTACGGTTGGATGTCGGTATTATACTACTTACAAAACCCTGTTCGAAGATAAATACAGTGAAGAAAGATGCTGGAGGTCTAGTAAGGTTAACTCCTCATAATACAATTATTCCTCTCGAAACTACTTGCAGCAAGCAACATCACTTTTTCAGGGAATCCTTGCTTTTGGAGTGTGGAAGTTCGATTTGATATGTGTGGTCTTGATCAATATCGTTGTTTATTTTTGAGCAAAAGAAATAGAAAAGATTTTTAACTTCGTATTTTCATCGTGTGGTAATATTGAAATAACAAGGTTTACTGGAGGAAGATGCTCGGCTTACTCAGCTTCGTAGTGAGTTTTTAGGCCATTCTGTTCCGAAAGATATTGACTTTAGAGAAATGGACCAAATGTTCAGAAGAATGGCAGATGATCCTGCAAATGCGAGTTTTCCATTTGGAGCTCTCGAGTTTCTGCCCGGCATAACACGAGGCTTGATACGTAAGATTGATCGATTACACTCAGGTTGCAGATCCTTAGCTAATCTTAATCACTAGAATATATTGGTAGTCTACAAGAAAATATTGGTGAGATAAAAATGAAGAACGCTGAACTCCAAACGATCCAAAACAAATTCCAGGGGGAAACGGAAAGTAAGATATATCTATTCGCTTTTTTTGCCCCTAGCTAATGAGATGCAAAGCAAATATAAATTGGCTCCAAGATGAGAACAAGTCTCCAAAAATGGACACAGAGGCTTCCCTGGATATCATACGTAGGCTTCAGAAGAAGAATGATAAACTAGAAGGTAAGGTATTATACTTCATTTGATTTTCTCATTAATTAATATCGTATAGACGAAATTGAGGATCTAAGAAGGGATTTTATCAAGAAGAAGCAATTGTACACAAGTATGAAAGCAGAGAAAGAGAGTTTAGAGAACCAGCTCAATGTTGTCAAAAGTGGGATGGCTGGAGATTCCGATGATCAGAATCCCAGAAAGAAACACAGTCGTATAGAATGAACAACTGGTTATGTAATTTAGCCCAATGCTAGATAATCTCACAGCACATCAAATACCGCTATGGTATTCATATAAACGCAATCGGTTTCATACTTTAAAACATCTCGCGATTTATGTAAATATCAAAAACCAACAATTCGCCGTACAAGGGCTCTAAACGATCATTGTCCTCTTGGCACATCCATATGACCAGAGATTGTGAGAAGTCATAGCAAGCGTTTTGAATTTGGCATGTAGATTATTGTTCTACACAGCTTACTGGTTGCCACTGTGACTATTTATAATTAATCGCAGGCTAAGTCAAATGTTGAAATTTACCATCTCGGTAAAATTAAGGAGCAGAGCTAATATGATTTTTGGTGTAGAAATATACTTCGCTAAGCACCGGCCCTCATTAAAGACTAGGCCGAACACAACTTTAATGATAAACGAAAATATTATAGTTTTTTAGTAAGTCTTACTATCATATATCCATTACTTATTAGAGATTGAGTATCACGACAATAACCATGATAATAATGAATAATTATCGACTCCATTACTACCAAATAAACAAACCTGCTTTTTTTATTAAACAAAAGAATTCCAAATATTTGAAGGTTGAGCCTCAATCATGCAATCCATGAACAATGTTGAATGATTCCAGATGAACAAGATCCTCCAAGGTCCTCCAAGGTCTCATAATTTCTTGAACCTTCAAGTACATTCCTACTCAGCCATAACCACTTTCAAAACCGCACACTAACTTGCACCCTTGAGACTCCAACTAATATTGTGTTCATATACACTCAGCCATCGCAGATATGGCCCACAATCTCCACGGATATCCAAAAATATCTTCCCATCTTGTCCTATCCAAATTCCTATTAGTCGTCCCTTCACACAGGTATTATGGACACCATCAATGGTTTGTTGTAAAATTGTAATCTCTCGCAAAAAGAAGGTTGAGATCCATAGGAAGAGAGACTCTGATGACGCGACACTATCTTCGAATATGCCATGTTGTTTGTAAAAGCTTTCTGTTGTTGCCTTTATTATATTTCCGAGAAGATCTGCTTCTTCTGATTGCTTCAACCTCTCCAAAGAAGATTGTTTTTGATAACATACTGTAAGGAATGCGAGCCTATCAAGAGTGATTGGTTCATTAGATCCCTCGACCAAAGGGAAAATACCAATGAGAGTTTGGATTTCTGATGGTAACACTACCATCAAACGACTTCGACTTCGGTAAAACAAGTTGCTATTGCAATTATTCATACTAGTATCGTATATGAAATTCAATCCAGAAGCTTCATGATAGTCCTCGTTCAATCCAGGATACTTAGTGTAATCTGAAGGAACTAGATACTTGTTTTCGAAAAAAACTTGATACCATTCTAAGAAACCTTCCGAATTATTGGAGTCATTTGTCAATGGAACGGAAATAGATGTGTAATGTGTGGGTTTATAATATGGTTGTGATGAAGATGCCAACGATTGAGGTGTCGGTGGTGGAGATGCCAAAGATTGAGGTGTTGGTGGTGGAGATGCCAAAGATTGAGGTGTTGGTGGTGGAGATGCCAACGATTGAGGTGCCGGTGTATAATATGGTTGTGAAGAAGATGCCAACGATTGAGGTGCCGGGGACGGAGATGCAAGTGATGGCGGTGGAGGTGCTGGTAAAGTTAAAGTTGATGGTATTGCATGTGATGGTATTGCACATGATGGTAGTGGATATAATTGTATTCTGCGTGATATCATTAAAGATGATGGTATTGTAGGTGATGACAGAGGACGTGATGTCGGTGGACGTAATGTTGGTGGACGTGATAGCAATGAACGTAGTCGCGGTTTGAGTGATGGTATTGTAGGTGATGGTATTGTAGGTGATGATAATGGACGTGATCGCGGTATGAGTGATGGTATTGCAGATGATGGTATTGTAGGTGATGATAATGGACGTGATCGCGGTATGAGTGATGGTATTGCAGGTAATGGTATTGTAGGTGATGACAATGGAAGTGATCGCGGTATGAGTGATGTCAATGAACGTGGTGATAATGAACCTAATGCTTTCTCATAATCCTCAGTACGCATCCATATCCCCTGATAAACAATCAAGGGAGTTTTTCTAGAATTCTTGTAGTACTCGTTATAGAATTTCTCGACATCGTAGACTGTAGAACTGCTTTGAAGGCTTTCGCAAAGACATGAATTTAAAATCTTTGGTACAAGTTTCTCCTCAAGGCCATTGTCAACAAGGAGAGAGATGGTTATCATCAGATCCTCAACTTTGTTGAATTTAGGAACCAATGGAAACACTTTCCGGCCGACATAAGAAGCATAAAACTCCATGTTTCGCTTTGGAAACTTGAATTGAACTGTTTTAATCAGCAACTTCAAAATTTCACAGATAGTTAACAGTCTATCTGGTATATTTGTAGGATTGAAAGGCATTTTTTTCGATGTAAGGATTGAGGAAGTATTCAAAAAGTTTAGGGTGCAAAACTAATTTTGTGATGAAGAGGGGGGCTACTATTATACACAAGCAACTAATATAATGATGCTGTAAGAGGAAATGTGACAGTTATTCATAGGCTCATGAAGTGGAGATAATTCTTTGTCTAGCAGATTATATTTTCAAGCGAAACAAGCGATAAAAATTATGCAAGTAAATGAGGGCTGATGAAGAGGATCAACATCTATGCCCTCATCATACGACGGAAAGCCGATATCTACTAATACAAGCAAAATAAAGCAATAGACAAGGCTTTATTGATTGATTAATTGACAAAGTTAGTGTCTAGATCAAGTCTAAGATTACTCAAGAAAGCCTTCGTGAAGCCTTAGTAGATGATCTAATGGGAAATCTAGTTTATTAAACTATAATGATATACAAATTTGGGATATAGCGCTAGATTTAATCTCCAAGAATTAAATAGGAGAAAAGGAAAAAAGTTTGAAAGAGTAGCCCCTCTCCTAGGCTTATAATGAAATGCCTTCTTCACACCAAAGCAGGAATCATTGAAACCTTCAAGTTTACCGAGTCAATAAGAATAGCGTCTAAGTCGTAGCACCTTATGAGAATATAGAAATAAGAAAATGAAATGAGTATAAAAGAGAAAGAGGGGGATCAGAGAAGAAGCGTTAGGCTTCTGACATAACATACAAACCAGGGCAACAAGTAACATGAAAAGAAAGCTATACTGTATTTGGGTCTCGGATGGCCATGGTCACCCGAAGCACCCAAATAAGAAAATCCACGTAAAAATGGGTTACCCTGTTCCTTTCGGCTATATTAGTAATGTCTCAAGAGAGGGAAAAGAGGGGGGTAGAGGGGCAATAACGAATATCAATATCCGAATTTTACTCAACTAGAATTAAATTCTGCATGGTTATCGCACTAGAACTATTGACACAATACCTGCAGGCTCAAACAATTGGATACTAACTATGAATACGAGATTAATTCGGAGCTTTTGGTGCATGTGGGAGAAGATTTTGAATGGTTGACCGAAGTTCGAAAATCACTGCAGTCAAACTCGGACTTTGAGTCCGATTTGTGTTCGCAGGGAAAATTATCACCCCATGCTCAAGATCCATACACTCACCAAGTAATCATACCCCTGTTGCAGTCTGTATCATGACGGTGAAGTCAATGACCCTGGTATAATTAATTACTCGTGTTGACAGAAAGTACAGACTATCCACTTTATTAGCTTGCAGTTTGCAGTTTGCAGCATACTAAAAGTGGATAGTCCTACATTTGGTGATTGCATAAATAAAGCTTCCTCATTCACTTCTTGTTCTCGCAATTTCTTATCATATTCATCGAGACAAATAACAACCAAGAATCGCTTTACAAGATGAATTTTTCTCAAGAACTATCGGAAGGCGTGGAAAAGTTTTTGGTCGATGCATCGGTGAAGCATCTTCCTACTCTTCAGCATCTTCCTACTCTTCAAGATCTCATTCCCTTACTCTCTCCTTTGGAGATAGAGAAACACACACCATCAGTCGAATACAATTTGGATCGCTGGCTCGAGCACGACGCAAAGTACAACGTGTACGATGGCAGCTATTTTGAGGGATTCGGCGAACAGGCAGAAGACTATCGCGTGGTACCACGTGCAAGACGTAGAGTACGACTTCCCTTTTACAAAGAACAAGTCTCCAGCTTTGATCTCTGTTTAAATACAGATCACAGAGACTATTGCGGTCGCAAAGATACTGAGATGGGCATCCTGAGTCGACCTGTATCCGATGCGCTTGAACTACCTCTAGACCTCGAATGGGATTTTTCGGTTTCTTCGGTTTCTTTCTTGGAGTACCATGTTTCGTTCTTCAAGGAAAAATTGGTCAAATTCAAAATTGTGCGTAAACTTGTACACTCGTTGGAAGATATGTATGAGAGGGAGTTCGATTTGTTAAAGGACGACTATATTTTTGCACGTTCAAGAATGTCAACGCTGAAAGAAGTTCATCGACGTCGATCGACTCTGAGAAGTCGTAAAGGATGGGCTCATCGCTCATACAACGAAAATTACAAAGACTTGAAGGATCTGTCCAAGCAAGGGGTAGAAAGAGCTAAGACGATTCAAACTCGGCAGATATATCTGCGGAGATTGGTACGCTATGCTAATTATGCTGAATCATGCTTATTGTCGCCCTTGTTGTCATTCATCAGACGATTGCGATTGTATGTAGTTTCGAGAAGTGAAAAAATGTAACGAGCTAATCATTTGTTGTAGTGCACGAGAACGAGTGATTCTCGGGAAGCCATGGCGAGAAATTCCCCTCCCAGCAGAGGTTTGGTCTAATATTCTCGAATACGTTATGCCGAACATACAGATCATCAACTATGATAATCGGAAATTGGACCCTGCACTTGAGAGATGGATGATATCGACAGTCCTGTTTAAAACGGCAGTCTCGATTTACTACAAAAGGGCTATCTTCTTTTTCAAAATAGATTCGTTCGTGCTCTCTCCTGTTGTCAAAATGATGAAGAAAATCACCATAGATATAAGTTCGCATCAATGGCGTGAGCACACAATGCACACAGAATGCACTTGCGATTTACCAAAGACAACGAGGGCAATTGAAGCTCATACTTTACAGAAGCAATTGAAGGAATGTACTGCGTTGGTGGAACTCCGGTTTATAATTCAGCCTTGTGTAAGAAGAATTGGAGATCGTACTGCCGGCCTCGAGGACTGTGTTTCTTTATCCAAAGATGATCTCTTCGATCTTCAAAGATGGAAAGGGGGTTGTGATTGTTGTATCTTGAGCAAAAAGTCAGCCTTATGCTCTTTGCCCACTTTGCTACCAGTTGAGATTATTTAGATAGGTGGATGTATATAGTGTATCGAGTCAAAACAAGCAAACATTTTACCTTGCATAACGTTTGAAGTAGGAAGGTCTGAGGTCTACGACTCTGTATTTTTACTGAAGAATTAAAAACAAGAGACTTCCTCTTTTCCCACTCAATCATCAAATCCTCTTTCAAATGAATCAAAGTAGCCCGATCATACTTTGTGATTCTTGGGATTCGGTGTGAACAAAGTTGACAAAGCTCAATTAATTCTCATCATAATTCAAGACTTGCAACATCCAGAGGATGACTAGGAAATCCGGTCCGGACCTATAATTACATATATTTTCTTAAAAAAAAGAAAGTATCCGGTGTAGAATTTCCTTCGATAATTAATACCTTCCTTATTTTACTCCTTCATTTATAAACTCAACTCAATACTCCACTCGTTCATGTAATATAATCAACCCTGAATTCCGGTCCCTCGTGATAAAAATAACCCAACTCCAACCTCATATTCTCTCCTTCTTCACCTCAAAATTGTCCATCACATATCGTATAATCAGGCTTCCCGACAGTAAATTGGAAAAGCAAAGCTTCTATCAATATTATTTTCCGTCATCTGTTTTGCTAAAAGAGGATTAGTGAGCTAATCAGAAAAGCTCGAATTAGTATTTACCTTCGAATCCTAACCCCGCTCGATTTGAAATGGTTTTTAAGTTAACCAAGCATGCACGATTGAACTTGAGACTCATGAATGACGGACGTCCATGATATTTCCAAGCAAGTCTTTCGTCGCAAAGTGCATTCCACTCGTATGCAATATTTCCCGGCTCGAAATGTTCCAATCTTAAACATCTGCGACGATATCGTAGTTGAAGCCCATAAGTGATGGTGTACCAAGAATACCCATGCCCATTCATTACATCTCTCAGTTCTTCGAAGACTTGATCGTCCGATAAAAGATTTATTCTTGATACTTGTCGAATTTCCCAGTCAATGTAGGAACACATTTTCACGATGAATCTATCAGAGAATATTGATCGTCTTGGAATTCATCTCATTTAATATATGCTTTGAAGGCATCAATCCCAATTGTTGTTACCCACCATCCGTGAACGGACTTACAACGCAAGTCAAGTCTGAATGACCGAACAAGGAGGTGTTGGAAGAGAACTAAAGAGACAGAAGATCAAAGAGAGGGGAATGCGATTCTCATAGATGTTGAAAGCGGCGTCTGGCTCGTGCACGCACGTTGTCTGATGCGGCGGCCACTAAACTCGGGGGGGCAAGCACCACGACTGAGATAATAATTTAAGTTTTTACTTTAATTATTATTTAATTTTAATAACTTTTATTTTAATAAATAAAAAAATTTATAAGATATCAAGTTGTACAAGATACGAAGATCTCGGCTACGAAAAAAACCATCTTATCCCTTACCGCCCGAGCAGATCCGCAATTGATTTCATGCACCTCTTAAACCCCAGTCAACTATTCATGCTTCTATGACAAATAATGATAAATCGGGAATTTACGCTAGACACATAACAGGGGTAATATCAATCACAACACAACTTCAATCAGCTTCGGTAAGGTCTCCTAGGTACTTAAAATACAATTCTTGAAGGATGGATGACTTTCTGCATTATGACAACACAACGATACCTCCTGATCGCGCTAAACTCATTGAAACAATGCTATCAGTTGATCACAACTATCAGTATAAGCAATGGGTTGAAAATCAAGACGTCATTGTACAGACAGTCCAACATACTCTAAGGGATATACCTCGAGATTTGTCCTCATTTGATCTTTTCTGTCGTTTATTTCGGACTTATTATGAATTATGCAAACAAAAACATCAAGAATGGATGACCTCTGCCGAAACTATTGTCATCGGGTGGTTGATAAGTATGATGATGCAACAGATCATTGCAAACGAGACTAGAACTTCCCATGGACATGGCCGAGCGACGGCTGCCTACAAACGGATCGCCAACTCTACTGGTTTAACACCATCTCAGATCAAAGCATTGCGCAGAAGTTTCAGATTTTATAGTTTCTGGCTTGGAATGTTCATCTTCTTTAATCCAAGAGATTTGCGAAAGTAAGTCAGGCGAATTATATGTATCCTTTGATGATTTGAGTGCTGACCTAATCACAGATGGACGTCCCACAACGGCCTACAGAATCCCGATATATCAATAATATTTCATGGGGTAGAAAAGGGTACAACATACGAGCAGCGACAATCCTCGGACGAAATAGCATTTTCAATCTACTCGGAGATTTTGAAACACCTGGGATATTGTTCAAACGAGGTTCAGAGACTTGGAGTATATCAATCGAAATATAGTTCACAGCTCGCAACTTGTAATACTATATATGAAAGGAAAAAACCATTAGGTAAACTATTGATTCATAGGTATATACCCTTTGGCTATAGCATTGACTAGTGAATAGTACTTCAACAATCAATCAACATCGCGGAGAAAATGATTTTCGGTCCTCAGCTGTTCTTCTTCCCCACCCCGACCATTGCACGATGCGAAAACGTGGCTTCCTTGATGATGGACACGGCTCAGATGGATGACTTCTTTAAATCATTTCATTTTAAAGAGAAAGAATATGAAGGCAGTCTTTCCACATCCATCTGAGGCCAAGGAAGAATCTCCCTGCATGTATATCATAGCACCAATTTTCCAATCGACCGTAACGACCTGCCCTTCACAATAATACTCGATGAGCGGGTCCATCTCTTTGATAATTGGTATCGCTACAGCTACAGTTCCCGGGGGCATACCAAATGAGCCTTCAAACATAACGAAGATCTGAGGAACCCAACCATTTACATCAACTCGAGCAGGATCCAAAATTTGAGCGGCGGCTGAACTGTTCCCATGACGAACCTGTACAGTAGCGAAGAGGTTAATAGATATATAATATACATTATAAATAATATACATTATGAAAGATAACATACAAGGCGTTGATGGTTATTTCTGAATTCTCTTTGGATTTCTTTACAGCTTTCCCGGGGTGGAAGTGCTGTTAGTGGTATTTCAGTAGCAGCGTTTACATCGTTCCAAATATCCATTGCAGCTATATGAATTAGATTCAGTATCTCCTGGGTCGGGGGTGATATGATTAATCTGGTCTCCCGTATAGCTGCCATCCTGAAGCTTGTTGGTTTGTGATTTAGGATCTCCGTATATAAAGTTGTTTTTAACAACGCATTATCAATTTACCGATTTTTCACATGATCTTTAATTATCCTTCCTACAGTCCTAGGATCGATATCGATTGTGTCCAGTTGTGCGAACCGCGTTAGTGCTTCTGGACCGTGCGCATTTGGCACCTCATCCATCTTTTGTTATCTTGACATACTCTTTGAACCACCATCCCATACGATTTTCTATCAGAACACATAATGAATAATCTTCTCAATATTATTGCGGGCATTATAACAGTCGCTGGCCTTGTTTATTCTAACAGCAACACATTCTGCGGGTCTCAACAAACCAGGATGATCCCTAAGTGTTCCAAGATATGAATCAGTATATCCCGATCCTCGGTCAAATTTTGAAACAAATGAAAACGAATCTTGACGGTCGTGGTACGAGGCTATCCGAAAGCCAGGTCGTATACTTTTAGCAAGCGAAACCAACTCTCGAGGGGCGTGATCTTGCGATAAGAACTTTAAGAACAAGATGGAGAGACTTTCTAAACACTCTCAAGATGGCGGAAGGAGCTTTAGGGATAGCATCAAACTACATTTCAAAACAAGGGTATCACGATTCTCGGACGAGGCTAGTTGGTTGGAAAGAGAGTCTTCCTCTTGCATTAGACATGGCATTACTGTAAGGCATGGGCAATTTCCAAAAAGATTATCAGCTAATGAATTATGCAGTATGTCTATGTCCACCAACACAAAACCATTCAAAGCGCTTGAAGCCAAGATGGCGGCGGTCGAGGGCAAGATATCTATCGACCTTCAGGTTGTGAACACACGTCTGAAGGAGTTGTTAACGCCTGAGCCAGTGAATGGGAAGGACACACAAATCATAACCCAAAAAGAAGAGTAGCAAATGGCAATTTTTTTTTTCAATTTCTCTCATTCTCCCAGACAGCAACGAATGGAGCAATACAGATAACAGGTTATTCGGCGAAGCAAAAGCAATCTATGGTAATATTGGACAGATACCGACTAATACTGATAGTGCTAGTCATTCCTCGATGGCAATAGTGTAAGCGGCAGAGCAAGAATAGTTATGGGAAATATGAATGGCTCTAACTTTCTTGCTTTTTTGAAGAAGATATTTGGCCAATGTGCAACGTGTTCTTATCAATCAAACCACTTCGACTACTTTTGCTATATATTGTGATAGGATGCGAAGGCTACTTGATGTCTACTAGCAGATGGTAGGTTATCTTTTCTATTGCGCCAAGAATACGACGAAAACTAGCTAATATACAGTGGCTAGTCGCAATGCCTGCCTCGAGGAGCCTATTCAAACGCAGGGATGGAGCAACAACTTCCTACTCCATCTGTAGCAATCTATTTTCTACAATCTGTGCTTTAGATCATCAATATCATTGGTACCCTCATGGCTCTGGCGCTTCGATCATCTGTGACATTTCTGACTTAAACTCGAGCTCATTTGCCTCTAGCGCAGCACTCTTACATTCCCGAACACGTGTTCCTTTACCCTTGATGACCTCTTTCACAGAACACTCCACTTTTGGCTCTGGCTTATCTGCCTCTAGTATAGCACTCAAAGACCTACCGTTTGCACTAATGTATTCGATGGCGGTTATCATCGTATGCTTGATGCCGGCGCCTCCACTTTCACTTCTGGCCCTCAAGAGTCAGGAGGAACCCACAATCATTGGTGGTAGTCGAGGATGAATACGATGAGTACCGCATAGAGAAAAATATGGCCGAAGGCAAAGCTAAGGATGGGGGAAGGTCGCCTGAAGTCTTAGCAACACAAGCACGAAAGAAAGATCGGCTACAGAAGGCTTTAAATCCGCCTTCCCCTCCCCTTTTCTCTCTCTTTTTAGCGCCAAAACAAATGTAGGAGGGAGATATGGTTTCGTAGACCCAGAACCTCCCCCGCGCCAAAACAAGTATGAGAGCGAAAGCCCCGCGCAAGGGACTCTAGAGCTCCCTCAGAGATTTCGATGCAAGCGCGGAGAATGGGTCGACCTATATAAAACATAGGTCTAGTAAAATCTAATACTGCTTTGTTTTTGTTTACTTCAGACTTCTCTGTCTTATTCGCCCTTCCTCAGTCTGCAGAGTCGTCGTCCGCACCCCTTTCAATCCTCGTTCAAGTTCCCAGAAGCGAATATGCCACGGGCGGTGCGAGGCACAGGCATAAGCTGTGGGCCATCTTGCTGGCTGACCCTGCCCCGTTGCTGGACGTACTTTTAGTTGCCACAACAGTTGTCACAGTGGTCAGGGGAGTAGCAACAAATCAAAAAAGGTCCTGTACAGCTAACTTTGATCAGCTCCGCACATCATGTGCAGAGACGGCTGGCGCGGGTGATATTCGCGGCCTGGAGAATGATAACTGCATGATGGGATGACCAATAGGTGGCTTTCAACTTGAAGATGCGGTTCGGTGTAATGACACTAGGGAAGAACTCCGGATCAACGACAACGGCGGTGTTCACACCTTTAAAATGACTCGACGATAGGAAAGGATCCTGCGTGTCGTCGATGACGAATACGAAGCATAGAACATTGTGCTGAGAGAACAAGTTTGTATTTATGCGACAAAGGCCATTCTATCCACGTTTCCCGACAACATACCCAATGGACGGACTGGCGCAGCGACTCTCGGTGACTTTATATGAAGCATAGGAACAAGGTTAAGGAGTGCAAAATTGTACTGGACAGGCATTTATGATAAGATAAGTCTGCCTAGCTGACAGTCTCTTCATGCTCTATGCAAGAGGCGCGCCAACATGCATATTTTCCCTGCTTGTGCTCAAACTAAAGATCCTGGACCACTTTTCGCCATCCTATCATCATTCTAGACAGTAGCATATTGGGAGGAGTGTGTTGCACACTGCCTCAACAAAGATTAAGGAGATCATGATATGAACCCCCGATGATCAATGATCCCTGAGAGAGAACGGGTATAAGAAGGCGACTTGTATCCAGTTCTAAGGTTGTTCATCCATCTTTCTTTTCAATCAAATCATTTTCCATCTCAACTCACTTTTCCATCTCAACTCACCAACTTATCATTATGACTTCAACAGTTGAACTCTTGGAGCTCAAAGACAACATCAATGATGTAGCCGACTTCTGCCAACCTGACGAGTTCTTAGACATCTTTAATTTTGACAGGTACTATACGGATACAGGTATGGACATGTCATATGAGGAATTTTCTCATTTAGAGCCCTTTGACGAAGAGGATGTCCAACCAGTGAAAGAAGCATCGCCAGACCTTGATCAGCCTTCTACACCTGACGTGCTTGATCCAACCATGAAAGTACCTTCGGACTTATCGGCGGAAACCCCTTCAAAACTCTCTGTCCCGATATGCATGATAGCTATTGGGACTGTTGATAATGATGGTGTTTGTGAATCTGAGCCTCTCCCCAATCTTTTGAAGGCTCCGATCTCGGGGGTGTTGGATGGGACTGCCTGCGAGTCAGTGCTTGCTTTGAAGGATTCAGAAACTTCAGAAGTGGTTGACGACAAGGTTGTCGTGCCCAAACCTTCCGAAGTAAAGACAGAGCAATCGACCATTTATGTGCAGCAACCATTGGATCTTGCTATCATCGATTTAACCGAGTCGAGTGGCGAGGAATCAGCCCCACCAATGACTCTTCGGAAGGTGAAAAAGGATCAAAACTTGCCATCCTCCAGTAAGTCATCGAACCCTATCTTAATCTTTTTAATCTAACATATAGTAGAAAGCTCGACCGCATTATTAAGTAAGAAGCGTAAGCGTAAGCATTGTAAAGCATCTTATTCAATTCCCAGTAAGCTCTTTCTAATTGCACTTTGTAATTCCTTACTTACCTATAACAGCGTCTGAAAGCCAAGATAATGTATTACGGACTGGTCGATGTACAAGACGAAAAACCTCATTCCGCAAACACCTCAGCGATGAGAATGTATTCTTGGTTTCTTCGGTAGAAGATATTGAAAAGCTGCTTGAGAATAGGCAAGAGATGGCGTTGGCGGAAAATACGAGGGTAGGATTGATTGAATTGAAGAATAAATTTCTGGCTTGGGGTGTTCATGACCAGAGGGTGACGGAAGAATGGGAGGAAGTGACGAACTGGTATTAGGATAAGAATTTTTTGTATTTAGCCCCAAGTTCCCTTGCAGCCACACTAGCCACAATACATCAGCCTTATATTACCCCGCATTTCATGTGATGAGATCGCGATTTACTCTTCTCGCCAGAAAGTATGTCACACTCCACTTTTAAGCACATACCATATAACGGTAAACTAGAAGGGCAATCTCGGGAGGCTAATACTAGGGAGAAGGATATGAGCGAGATCAGGAATCTCTTGAAAGAAATGATGGGGAGATAGAAGAGAAGGTATACCAGAGGCTCATTTAGGATTTTCTGTCCATTGACCCAATTTAGTAACCTTAATATTTTTATATGATAAGATACATCCACGCCTGTATTATACCTGTACGACCCAGTTTGCGACGACATTTCTGATCTTGTCATTCATAATTAAATAGTTCAGATCGATGGGTAAAAAGAAGAATGAAGGATTACAAACATAATCGAAATTCGTATGGTTCTATCTCCCTTGCTATACATAACTCCCCTCTTGGTCATCTGTTGATTTTTATCGTTGCTACAATCGCAATTTTCCTCCAAAGCCCACCTTTCTTTATATCAATAATCAGCTAGTTATACCATAGTGAAGGCACTCCCAAAATAAAACTGAAAATCCCCCTTCCAAATATTACCCTACAGTATCAAGAATTCATCATGAACCCAAGGCAATCTGCATAAGCCTTGCAGAGCCCACCTATACCCGAATAGCTCCAAAACCCCATTGCGCCTATATCTGATTGTCTTGAATCTTAACTTGCTCAAGGTAATATGTGGATAGCTTCCAGTGATCCTACTTTTTCTCTTGTATTCAACAGCCCCTGTGCGAGATCCTTCAGCTCAGCGTCATTATATCCAGCTACTGAAATCGATTTGATATGGACATGTAATTTGCTGGAGCTGGGTGGACTATCCTTCTCTAATGAATTGAAATATTCTTCTGTGAAGATCGTGTTTAGGATTCGGATATTTTGATTATGAATAGAGATAAGTCGGATCTGGCATTTGAAAGTTAGCTTAAACCTCATATAGATATACTTTTAACTAACAGGTAATCTTCGTGGAGAAGGCCGAGATGCACACAATTGCGGCGATTGTTTTTCCATCATTTCTTTCTCCATCTGCTGTTGAACGCTATCATCATTCTTCCAAGCAATAAAAGCAATTCTATAAATTGCAACAAATTCGGTCGTTAGGATTTCATTATTCATCGCAGAGCGCGAATGAATTGTGAGAGCAAGCGCTGTTAAATCGCCAGTCGTCCAAGTATCTGTGAAGCCCCAACGCAAATTGTGGGTTTCATACATATCTCTATGTTAGTTGTCAAGCGTTAGCAGAATGTAGAGATATAATAAAACGGATTAGCTATAACATACGACCATCCGTCAAGCCTTCCGAATCCTGCCAACTCCAATTCTTGCATATCGTTGTGGAGTCCAGCGGCGACATCCCGACTGTTGAACCACAGATCGGTATGCGATAGAGGGGTCTCGGCACGGTCAGTTGAGGTTTTCTGAATCATAGGTATATCTTCAACTGAATCAATGATGATACCAAAGACATCGCTGAATTCTTTCCTCAAGATTTCGCTTTCCCTATATTTAGACTTCCTCCAAATAAACTTGCAAATCTTGATTAGAGCTTGTCGGCGAGGCGTAGTGGAGAGCGACATAGTAAACTCCAATCGATCGATAATTATGTTGTGATTCTGTGATTTATTTACAATGTATTTGTAGGTTTGTTTATTTGCGTTATCAAATACTGCCTATCAAGGTACTTTGCTTAACATATATTGGCAAATACATGAGGGGTAACTGTTAGTAATGTTATAAAGTTTAGTCTATCTCTCATTGATGTTTTTTTAAACGTGTACAATCCCAGCATGCTGATTTAAACCAGGCCGATGTCTAATCTTCCACATACTATTGAAGCGTGGCAACGCTCCTATACCAGTATCAATAATAAAGATTTTAAAATGCGAACTTTGAGAGTGGGAGTAAATTCAAATTCGAAAGCGCTATTCTTCTGCGGGTCCTTCACATTAAGGCCCGAATCAAATCTTTATCTTCAATGCGCTGGATCAATGATAATCAAATATTTCCAGCAGCGCAACGGTCACAAGCCGAAGTGGCAGTTAGGGGTCAGCACTTTGAGCCACTACTTCAAATAGTGAAGAATTTTTCCAAAGATGTAGGGTGGTGGACTTCGAAGGACTTCATAGATTCAGGATGCTTCGGACCATTTTTGTCTCTTTTGGCACTCATTGAACGCAACGATACAAAAGAAGAAGACGAAGAATCTGCAGTGCAATATGTCACCACCCCCATTGCTGCACGAACTCGACTTCAACAATCGCAAAGAGACCTTTATATAATACCAATCAAGAAATCAACTGGACAATTAGACCTTCTTGGTGCATTGGTCGATAGGATGGACTTGGATACGCCCAGCACTACCGAATCGATTGAGCTACCACCGTCCGGTGAAGGATCCGTCGCAAAATACGAAAAGGCCAGAATAAAGGTGCAGGATGAACAAATAGGCAATTAGTGTCTTGTCAACTTGCTGTTGCCCATCTCTTGGCCTCTAGGAATATCTGGCAATGTCGACCCACAGCAAAAGGCTTAAATATTTGTTTTACAAGGCTACAAAAGTCTACGAAGCTCGGGTTGATGGTATAGTTACACATCCCAACCGTAATACCGATGTCCTAGGTTTCTTGGAAGTGAAACGTGGTCATCGAACAGATGAAGTTCGTATACAAGAGGTGGCTCAAATGGTGGCATTCATGAATTCGAAGAACAACAACCCACTTCGCATGAATGATAATACTTCGGCTTTGTAATGGTACTTTATTTCTGTTACTCGCCTATTTTGCTAATATGCTCTGTACCTTGTGGCTCATATCCATGTGCGTCAACGAGCTATTTATCACAATAGCAAGCTATAATCGACCATGGACAGAATTCCTAGGCACGGGAGAAGGATTGAAGGAAGGCATGCCGGAATTGAAATCAGAAGATTTTCTTCATATGAAAGAGTATGGTCCATACACTTTAAACGCATATCATGATTTGGTTGCAGCGTTGGAGCATCTTTATGTATTATTGTCAGATGTATAACTTTGTTCCTAGAATTGTTGAGAGATCATTAAATCCTCTAGCTCGATTTGGTCCTGTCCTAGCGTCGTGTTCGACAGCAGTTGGAGAAGGGTAGAATGAGTTCCAACGATCGAACAAACCATAAGGGGAGCAGAACAAATGTTCTTCATTACAGTTGTACTGTTTTCTCGTGCCTGAATGCATCAACTACACATCCAAGTCTCACATATTTGAAGCATTGCAGACTGTGTCATCGAGTTCGGTATGTATGGATAGATTTCTCTTTATCGAATAGACGGTAGCGATGGAGATCCCTGGAGATGATGTTGCTATGGTTCAAGTTCGTCTTGCTTCTCAGGCATAACACAGTGTATGAAACCCTTAAGCATTAAGACAAATTGATGGAGCAGGACAATCCCTCGTGTTCTTCAAATGCTTCAGCTTGAAGTATGCATCCTCACATAGAACAACAAAACACCACTGCAATCCTTTCATTGGAAGGCTCCGCCATATCCAGTTCTCGCTGATCTCTGCTGGAGTACGATATTGTCAACTCGGTACTTATTTGCTATTGGAGGAATGCGAATTCATGTCGACAACTTCCATTATCAATCATATCGGTACACTCTACCACCTCCACTATTTTCCTTTTCATACGGAACAAGCTAAATTTCCTCATCATTTCCGCATGAATTCGCCTAGTTAGTGACAAAATATCTAAACTCAACTCCTGTGAGACTTTAATACCTTTTTATTCGTCTTTTCAATTTCTTCCTGAACTTTTAATCATCCACCTTTTTCGGCGCTCTTTTTTAATTGCTCGCTGAGTACTATGCTCGCTTTATTCAAACTTATAGCGTGATCTTCAATCTTGACTTCGATCGTGTGCTCTGTGGATTTGCTGCCGGCTCTGTTCTGGATTCCGTGTCTGACTCTACTGGTGATGTTGCTTTGGTCCCTGTTGCAGACTTTGGATCCGACTCCGCTGGTGATTTTGGTTTGCGATCAAGGTACAGCCTTCATCAAACGTCGAGTCTTCTAGAACCCTTGACTAAATAATAAGTATTTGAGAAAGGGCTATCTGGTTCGTGCCTCTTTCAGCTCTCCTCCATGTAAAAAACTGTATCAAACCTCTCTTGAATGCAGCGCTCGCCGACAATCCCGACGATATTCTCACCTAGGATCAAATCTACAGAGCAGTCACCGAATCGATTTATACATGACCTCGAATCAACTTTCTGGGTGCTTTTCTGGATCTGCATTCACTATGATGGACCAAATCGGGGAAGGGTTATTAAAGAGTTCGACAACTGGAACTACGCGGATATGAAAGTTTTGGCTAGGGCGAAATTAGGTACTTGTAACGTTCCGGTATTCTCTAGCAACTGATGCCTTACGTTCGTCGGTTGGCAATTATGGCTTAAGACTTTATCACTGGTATTCACTTGGAAGTGAAGTTGTTGCTAGATCAAGTAGAATGTAAGTAAACTAATTGATAACTTAGTTGAGCACAAAGCTCCTAAACTACGAAATAACGAAGGTTTATATGGATCACGAAACGAGGAGGATAGCATGGATAGCGGCTATCTAGTCTATCCATCACATGATAGATGACTAGTCACGTGTTATTGGATTCGTGACAATGAACTATGATACAAGACTGGAAACAGAATCGAGAATTTACATCTTTCTCTTTATGCTTTCAGACCTTTAATTCTAATAATGATTAGCTCGAAGGTGCATCAAATAAAATATTTCTTTATATTTCTTTGTACCAATAAAACTACCACATCACTACACTAGAACATACTGGAATCAATGTGGCAAATAGAAAGTCTATATAATCATAGACTTCCCCCAACCTCTCTGTTAAAGAGAGAAAAAAAAAAAAAAAAGGATATTATATTCAAGACATAAATAAGTTAGTCATTAATAGATATATTGAAACTGATTTTTACTTAGATAATATGAAATTTTCACTCAAATTTTAGAAAGAAAATGCCACCGGTGGAAAATGCCATGACCATAACACCGTTACAAAAATATGTACTAGTTGGCCGATAGTCTGGAGGAAGCCAAAAAATATTTCGCACTTCTTTATCTAATCTTTCAGCTACCCAATGATTTGATATAAAGTACCGTTCAAAGGCTGAGGATGCCTGTAAACTTGAATGACCCTCGAGCGTTTGAAGCGATTCGCCCGTCATTGCATCCCAAAGCCGAATTGTATTATCGTAAGAGCCCGAAGCTACTTTTGTACCATCTGGTGAGAAGGCAACTGACGTAACCGAACCCAAATGACCCTCGAGCGTTTGAAGCGATTCGCCCGTCATTGCATCCCAAAGCCGAATTGTTTTATCGTGAGAGCCCGAAGCTACTTTTGTACCATCTGGTGAGAAGGCAACTGACAAAACCGAATTCGAATGACCCTCGAGCGTTTGAAGCGATTCGCCCGTCATTGCATCCCAAAGCCGGATTGTTTTATCGTGAGAGCCCGAAGCTACTTTTGTACCATCTGGTGAGAAGGCAACTGACCAAACCGAACCCGAATGACCCTCGAGCGTTTGAAGCGATTCGCCCGTCATTGCATCCCAAAGCCGGATTGTTTTATCTTGAGAGCCCGAAGCTACTTTTGTACCATCTGGTGAGAAGGCAACTGACGTAACCGAATCCGAATGATCCTCGAGCGTTTGAAGCGATTCGCCCGTCATTGCATCCCAAAGCCGGATTGTTTTATCGTAAGAGCCCGAAGCTACTTTTGTACCATCTGGTGAGAAGGCAACTGACCAAACCCAATCCGAATGACCCTCGAGCGTTTGAAGCGATTCGCCCGTCATTGCATCCCAAAGCCGGATTGTATCATCGTAAGAGCCCGAAGCTACTTTTGTACCATCTGGTGAGAAGGCAACTGAATTAACCCAATCCGAATGACCCTCGAGCGTTTGAAGCGATTCGCCCGTCATTGCATCCCAAAGCCGGATTGTATTATCGTGAGAGCCCGAAGCTACTTTTGTACCATCTGGTGAGAAGGCAACTGAATTAACCCAACTCGAATGATCCTCGAGCGTTTGAAGCGATTCGCCCGTCACTGCATCCCAAAGCCGGATTGTTTTATCGTAAGAGCCCGAAGCTACTTTTGTACCATCTGGTGAGAAGGCAACTGACCAAACCGAACCCGAATGACCCTCGAGCGTTTGAAGCGATTCGCCCGTCATTGCATCCCAAAGCCGGATTGTTTTATCGTAAGAGCCCGAAGCTACTTTTGTACCATCTGGTGAGAAGGCAACTGACCAAACCGAATTCGAATGACCCTCGAGCGTTTGAAGCGATTCGCCCGTCACTGCATCCCAAAGCCGGATTGTATTATCGTGAGAGCCCGAAGCTACTTTTGTACCATCTGGTGAGAAGGCAACTGACCAAACCGAACCCGAATGACCCTCGAGCGTTTGAAGCGATTCGCCCGTCACTGCATCCCAAAGCCGGATTGTATTATCGTGAGAGCCCGAAGCTACTTTTGTACCATCTGGTGAGAAGGCAACTGAATTAACCCAACTCGAATGACCCTCGAGCGTTTGGAGGGCGGCACTCCAATTTGATCGTGTCCTTGATATTTTGTAAATCCAACTTGGAATATATTCTTGAAATGTTTTTCGAATGATACTATTCTCTGGAGCAAAGAAAAGAGCTGAATAATAGATTTGAAGAGGAGCTTGTTCAATTCCTATTCGATTGTAAAGGACGAAGCGTTTAGCGTCATGTATGAGAGTATAGAGTTCAGAACCTTTGTTAGCCTTTATTATCTATTAGCTGAATTCCTAAAAGAACTACCAAAATAGTATTGACACACTAGAATATAAGACTCTAAAGAACTTATTGCGTTGATGCCCTCTGAAGTTTTCTCCATCAAGTTCATAACCTCCAGCCAATGTAGCAAATGATTTTTCAGGAATTCATAAATATTGCCGTTATCTTGAATGTATTCTCTATTTTGTTCAGGATCTCCATCTCTTAAATGGTTAATCCAGTAAATACAGGAATACCGTATAGAAGCTAATGTATCGGGATAGGGCTGTTTGACTTTATCAATAGGAAAGCCGGGATAACCCAAACCGTATATATCGCGTTTTAGAGTTTTTCTCATAACTGTTATCGAATTTAGAAGTGCTTTGTTATGAACTTTCCCAATTCCATCAGGAAATATTGTTTTAATAGCCTTTTTAGAAAGGAAATCCTTTGCTGATTGGTGAACAAAGAATACATTCCTATAACGAACAACCAGAAAGGAACCACAAAGTTGTATTATTTCCTCTAGCGGAATCTCATTATTCATCTCCATCAGGGACATTAGTTCGTCAAGCGTAAGAGGCCGATATGCTATTACTACAATAGCCAGGATCTGAAGGCATATCTGAGCCGCCTCGATATCTTCCATATCTACTATCTGTTCCATCATACGATTATATAAAGGATCAAGTTCGGAAGGGTAATCTTGTAGCTTTGAATTCGTGAATAATCGAGCTTTTTCAAGATTTTGACAAACTAAAGCCACCCAAAGAAAAGTTCCATTTGCATGTTCTAGGAGATAACGTTCGATAGTATCCTTTGTCTTCGTTGTGTATTTTTTTGTTCTCGCAAGATATTTCACCTTTTCTCGGATATACCATCTGACAGCAGCAGATACTGATTCAGCATTCAACTCGAGACTGAGCCGGGTTCCCTGCTCGGCTTGTTGTAACTGCTCTTCGATTTCGGGCCAGTTTCGACTAGAGACAAGCCATTTAACACGAGAAGAAATGGATAAGCCCGAAACAATTAGGCGAAGTAATTGTGGCAGGTCTTTTTGGCATTCGTCAAGTGCATCAATAATCAAGATCGTCGGCTTCAAATTCTTATCATGCAAGATATCCTTCAAAATCTCAGAGAGTGCTATAAAGGTATTAGCATCTTTGAACAACTGTTCCCCTGCCTTCTCATATCTCTTTTGTAAATGCGAGAGAAGGGCAGGCTGCCGATCTAGGAGCATATAGATAAGGCCACGTAGAACAGCTACAGCACTATTAATGCGTACATCAGTGCCTTGGCAAAAGAAATAGGCTAAGGCAGTCTCATCCGATCTCTGCAGCTCATTTATTATACCACAGAGCAACATGGTCTTGCCCTTACCAGGATCTCCTTTAATCCAAAGTAGGCGATTATCTCGGTTAAAGTGCCATTGTTGAAAATCACTATTATCGAAAATCCAATTATATACATTATCGAGTAGTCCTCCTTTAGTCTCTTCGATACGTCTCTTGTCCAATCGTGGATCGGTGGTTCGTAGGTCGATTAGGCAGCGGTTTTCCAAGGTGTGAGTATTGATATTAATAGACCCTCCTCCAGAATTAAGGTTTGATGCAATGAATTGTGATCCGCCCGCGTTTGTAAAATTGCCTTGTCGATTAATTCTCTGTCGTTTAGACTGTGTTTCAGGTAGATATCGGGATTTATCATCTTGATACTGCGAGTTGAAAGTTGTATCATGATTTGTATAATATCGTTTATGAAGGTTTGTATTCTGGTTATATAAGATATTAGCCTACATATATCATTTAGGGAGTAGACCTTACCTCGATATCACGAATAGGGAGTGTATTACCGTGGATATCCGTCGAAGGTGCAACATAGTTATTCCTCAAAGCCAAAGATAGTAAGGATCTCTGCTTTGTAACAAATCGGAAGAGTTCCTCTGCTTCATTCTGCTTGAAATCCAATGGAAGAACCCTAACATCTATGGTAGAAGCTGTATCCTCGAATTTCGTAGTTAATTCCTGGAGTGCTGTCTTTAAGAGGTTTAATGGGCCATCGAAGCCTTCAAGTCTTTGAGAAATTGTTGACCAATCTTCATTATTGATTGAATTGTTTTGTATATTAGCTTGTAAAGTAGAAAGGATTTCATATATAGAGTTGATCTCGTTGATGATATTGTTGTGATCTGTGATTGGGTCTTTGATATTACTTAGATATTGATGGACTGTGCTACCAAGGTGGAGTACAGCTTCGATTCTAGTAACGATTCTAGCGGTAACACTATCAAGTGGATCAGGCATTGTGATAAATATACTTGAAGTAATTGGACTCGAAAGCTTCCAAGTTACTCGAACTGTTTATTGCGTTTTCGGGTGGAATAGACGCTTTTACTGTGTAGATTGTCATTGTTGTTTTTACGTCCGGGGCTGAGCGCAGAGCGCCTAACCACAGGGGACGCTTTTGGAGACATTGAGGCGGTTTGTCACGTGAAAGAGATTCAAAGTAACTAATCAATGGGGTGTGGATCGAGTAGGGGACCAACAGGGCTTGGAGGCATACGATGTTAGGCCTAATATGGCAAGTACGATAATGAGTAGGTCTATATGTCACGATTCACCATTAGGATTGATGGTGTTACGATGGTAGCAAACTGATTAATTAGGGGAGCTTAGGCCTTGTGCAAACACGATCAGATTTCATCGAATTAGTATGTGATCTTGGTCACCTGAAGATCGTGTATGCACGCACCATCAGAAATCACGTGATAAGGAGCCCTGAGGAGCCAGAAAGCTCCTGGGGGCTCCCTTTATCGATCATTATATAATCAGAGTAGTTTCATAGTTTAGGAGCTTCGTGCTCAACTTAGTTATCAATTAGTTTACGAACATTCTACTTGCCTAGTCAGACCGGATCGTTACACATAGCTCTGAGCTGGTGCCGATTGATCGTAACCATCCGATTGATCTGTCCGCTATGTCCTATAGCATTCAGTTACCGTCCTTAATCTATTTAGTCAGTTTAGTCGATCGTCTTTTTGTCTTCCTCGTATCTTGCACGTCGTAGTGTTACGAGGGTTGCCGTCTAGATCACGTGGAAGTGCTCTAGGCTCTCGAGGTGGTTTATAACTAGGCGTCAAGCAGGAACTTAAGTAACGATGGTAATGATTGCAATTCGTAACTAATAATAGTATACTAGATGATTGATCTTGAGCACAAAGTACTATAGTAAGGGAATCCATCCTGATTAAATAGACCTTCGTGTCCCGGAAGTCGATCGACTCTTGGGGAGCCGATCGATCTCAAAGTCCGTCGGCTTCGGATCAGGTGACACCTATCACATGATTATATTAGCTAATCGGTCACATGATGTAGGGTATGTTACGCCGTCGTAACACTTCATATTAAGTCATGCCTCAATAAAGGTCTAGCTTGTCCATCTACTAAAATAAACCTTTGTCATCACTTCATGTATAGTTGGACGAAGGGGTGCGATGTTGAGAGAGAAGGATCCTGTCCTCAATAACCCAGGAATTTGTCTATTATAGAAATTTGATAAATATGAATAATAAATTAAAAATAGGTTCAAAGTAAAATCTCAACCTGATGTCCTAAGCTGCCACAATACTCTTGCCTCCATCAGCAATCAATCTTATCCTAACTCGAATCTTCAAGAAACCATCACCAAGCCTCCCCACCACCACTTTACCGTTACTACCTACTTCAACGTCTATCATAGCACTAGGGGAAAACAACAACGCTTCGCCAACACTTAGCTTTACAATTTCGGCAAACAATCTTTTCGCACCATCCCCGTTTCCTCTTGAACTCGCAAGAACATCTGAATCTGTATTGTCATCATCAAGCAAATTAGAAGTAGCACCTGCAAGGTGGCGTTTCAAGCTGTTCAACCATTTGGGTGAAGTGAATCGATGCACAATAACAATTGAAGATAGATCCAAAAGCGAAGGAGAAATTGTTGGTTCCTGCGTAGAGATAATAACACGAGCGCCAAGGTGACGTTGTAGTCGAACAGTAGAGAGGAGGGTATTCGTCAAAGTTGATGCTTCAGCTGAGGTGTTCATATACTATAAGCCCTGGTCAAGTTACTTTTCCGATGGACTGTTAATCCTTTCAAGTTGTCACATCAATCCCTAACACCTTATTCGATAGTTTTAGGGTCGAAGGCTGATGCCATGCACAGTTTGTACATGATTCTTGAAGTGCTGTAAGTGTTTAAGAATAAGCCCTTCCGATTGGCAAACAGGATGAGTACAGGATATTCTCTGGAATTTCGGAACTTCTTTCAAATGGCTATCCACATGGTTCATCATTTTGTGTGAAGTGGCATAAGTACGTGTCCGATACTCATAAGTACTTCGATTGTCTCCGATACATATAATGCATTGGGTCTTTTTACAAAGAAGGGGAAAGGGGTCCTCGCACAAAGGTTGTTCCTCAGAAAACTCTGAAGATTCCCTACTTGAGTGGTTGCTATGTTGAACTTCTTGTTCCTGTCGATAGGAGAGTGCTACCATTAAGTCAATGGTACGGATCCGGCGGCTGACGATATCGCTTGGGCTCATGTCCCTCGAGAGATCACAAAGCACCTCTTGGAGTCGAGTTCGTTCTGGAAGCTGATGATGGACGACAGGCTCAACATATTCGTTTGTAGGGACCTTTTTGAGTTGCCTCTCTAATTCTTCATCATGGATACGATCGAAATAATCTCGCCGGAACTCTATCTTGATTGCTCGATCACGTTGTTTCTGTAAAGAATCAATCTGCCGACGGAGTTGTTCACATTCTTTGCGGATTTCAGGTGGAGCTCGATTGTAGGATCTATATTGCCTTTTGTATTCCTCGCGTTCTCTTTTAAGTTCCATTATCTCTGGATCCGGAGGGAGGGCTTTCAAAATCTCTTCGGGCACATCGATTGGGGCACGCGGATCACATGTGAGACTCATATGTGTAAAGGCACGAAGAAATCCGATATTCGTTGGCTGGTCTAATACCGCATCTTGAACGATAAACCGGACCTTTTCGTTGATGTAGGATCCGCAAAAGACTCCTGTCTGAGGGTTATGCCTCATCACCTGGTCACGCACAGCAGTTGTAGCTGCCCCTAGAAGATGTCAACAAGAATACAAAGTATTTGCAAAAATCTCTTACCGTCTACAGCATTCCCAGTACCTCGACGGAAACAATAGCTAGTTAGCTTCTGTGCAAATCCGGCAGCCCAACCAAGACGGTCAAGGTAATATGCAAAGGTCGAGTAACGGAGGGCCTTATGTTCTGATGTTGATAGACCATCAAATGTCCATACCGCCTGCCGAAAGATCGGTACTTTGAGTTTCTCTGGCTTCCAATGCACCAGAACTGCTTTTGTAGGGTCTTGTAGGTTGCTTGTAAAAAAAGGTTTGGCGTGAGTAAATCCGTCTACCTTGATTGCATTATCCCTGATGGCAATGGCTAAGATATGGCTAACAGGACAAAGAATTGGTAAAGCTTCTTCGTGAAAAAGGAACGTAGTCCTACGAATATTACATTAGCAAGATCAAAACACATCAAATCAAGAACGTACGGTTTGGGGTTTCTATTAGCTCCTTTGTGATGAGCAAGAGTGATCTCCATTCCAAGGAGATCGCGTTCTCCAGGGGTAGGATTTCGGACAATCCAAAGACGGATATCTTCATAACAGAGAGCTTTATATTCTCGTGTAAGAATATCCTCATCATCCTTATCATCATAATCGGAGATCTTTGGATCAACCCAAGGCTCTGGATTCTCATATATAGGATCATCATCTTTCGTCTCATCCAAGCCCTCACATTCATTATCCCAATTGTCGTCTTCATATGTTTGATCGCGACCAATAGCAATTTTCCCTTTGGCTGCATCAACCAGCTCGGCGGGTCGACAGCCGGTATAGATAAGGAGGAGCATGATTGTTGCAAGTGCCAAACGCTGATCTTCGGTTGGAAAAATAGATGTGTCCCGGGCCCAATGATGGGTGAGGAGGAGGATAAGGTCGTCTGCTCCCAACACTGGCTTTGCCGTCTTTTCTCGTCTTAAAGTGAACTCTTTGGTTAAGATAGTGTCGAGATACTATGATTATGTAATTAGTAATCTATCTCAGAAAATAGCAACAAAGCATGTTAACATACCTTTAAAACTTCTTTCGCATCATTTGTGTCCATATGCCGTCCGTTGACTCGGTTGTAAAGCTGCTTGAACTGAAGCAGATATTGATGTACAGAACTGAATGTGCGTATCCTATAATTCTCACAGATATATCGGAGGAACATCATAGTAGTCCCTTTATTACACTTTTGAATAGCTGCCCGCCAGTATTGCTCGTTTCTGAATTCGCAGAACCTGATGTTATGTGTTAGCTTCGCAAGATGAAACTCGAGGTAGGCGATTGTTTTCTTACCTTTTCCACTTGCGGCATATGCCAGTGATGTTTTCCTTTGTGGCGTCTGCATCTTTTGATGCCAGAGGACCATCTCCATTCAGCTTTTGAATATTGATTTCGCAGTCCTTTGGTGTGAGCTTAGGTTTTTTTGGCCGTTGCTGAAGATTGCTACGCCGTACAAGGAATTTCTGGAGGTTGATATTCTCTGGGGCATCGTCACAAAGGCGGCGCTTTTTCGAAGTATTAGCCATAATCAATGCTAGAAGATTTGAAAGATAAAGGGAAAAGATAAATTGAAAATAGTTTGCATGTAAATGAAGGTATGTTGCTGGTTGAGGTAGAAAGGTGTCGAGGAAATGAGAAGTGGGAAGACCACGGTTTAAATAACTTGAATACAGCCATTTTGGCTCTGTCTTAATTAGGATGGTGTTGTTGAAAATGGGAGACGGGAAATGGTGATGGATGAGGATCATGAATTTTGGTGGGGTTGGAGTTCGCGCTGATGCACGTGAACGATGCTATTAGCGCGTGCTGAGGCTGCGTAAAACAGCGACGAAGCCCGCCGAATGTAGCGGCCAAAACACCAAGAACTCGCTTTATATTATAAAACTAAAGAGAGAGATAAATAGATTTTATAAATAAAGATTAATTAATTAAAGTGTAGAAATGAATGTGGAATTTTGAGATATTAAGATATAATATATAATAAGTGTTAAAGTGAATGGTTCCTGCGTAGCACGTGCACAGGGCACTAGTCCTATTAGGACTAGATTGAGAAGCTCTCTGTAGGAGAGCTTCGCACTTCCGTAGAACTTAGATAATGAGTGATTTATATACAAGACCAATATAGCCTCAGTTCTGCCCTATCAGCTTCCCACTATTCCCTGTGTAAGGTCATTCCTTTTAACAATAAGTATAAAAAAAATGATTTGAAATGGATGAGAAAACCATGGTGAATAACAATTTTCGGGGAGGAGAGATAGGAATAGGAATAGGAATTAAACAGCTAGTTATAATTATATCAAATATTCAAAATAAAAAATAGAATAAAAGAATAAAGAATAAAGTGGAGTTGGGCACCTGATAATTAAATGAAAAAGGAAATAAAGAATTCGAGATCACTAAAGATAGATTTATAATCATAGTTCTAGGTATAGTATAGAGTTAGTATATAAGAATTGAAAACAGGGCTAGAAGAATCTACAAGAAGAGGTGTATAAAAAGTAAAGGGGACGTTATATATATAATTCTTTAATTGAAGATACAAGCTTGTTTGATGGATGGATGGGTAGATATATTAAATATATAGATTTATTTATTTATAAACCCAGTGCTTAAATATTTAATCACTAACTTCATCAAGATCCTCTTCATCTTCAAATTCAAATTCAATTAAAATCATAAGATTCATAAATCATAAAATCATTATTCATCAACTATCTACTTTTCTATACCTACCTACTTTGTTTGTTTTTCCTCTTTTCCTTATTTCCAACTTTTCCTTCCTTATATATATTCCCAAAACTTCAAATCCTCCTCCCTGCTTGAATCCAACAAACTCAACTCAGCAAACCCACAAATAAAAATTAACAATCAATATCTTTCCTCCCCTTTCCCTTCCTTTCCATTCCCTTATGATATCATATCAAATAATATCATATCATATCATACCCATCCTAAACATATCATCTCTCTACCTATCCACCTTCACATCTCCATTCCCTTTCCCTTTCACTTTCGCATCTACAACCTCCTTCACACCCAAATCCACATTTAAATCAACATTCAAATCCACATCCACATCCAAATCTAAATCCAACTCCTCACCTACTAAATCCACTTCTTCCATATGAATTCGTAATCCCTCTGTAAAAGTTTCATCTTCGTCTGAGCTGTGAAGTGCGAAATTTTCAGGTGGAGATATATTTGCTTTTGAGTCATTTAACTCTTTCTTCCCGAGATCCGGATTAGTGTTCTTATTACTCGTATTCATATTCCCCAATTTCTCCTTCTCCTTCTCCTTCTTCTCCCCCTCCTTCCCCCTCTCCCTCTCCTTCCCCTCCCCAACCCCCCTCAACATCCCCTCCATAATCCTCCTCTCAACCTCCTCCTTCTCCTCACTCATCTCCAACAAACTCTTCCTCTTCGCCCTCCCCCCCTTCTCCACCTTCCTCTCCAAAAAACAACTCCTCGGCACCGCCCCCAACTCCTTCCAAATCGCATAATCCGACACCACCCCACTCAACCTCTTATGTCCCTCATCCGGATCCCTCAACATTTCCATCCCCATAACATCGATAAATCCCTGTCGACTTAACATGGGCATATTGGCCCCCAGACTGATGGATCTTCGGATTCTCTCTCCTGCTGTGGGGGATGGAGATGGAGGGGGTAGATTCGAGGCGTGTCTCACTGAGAGGGTGTGAGAAATCTCATTACATTTGAAAAAGATGCCGAGTTCCAAGTCGGCGATTTCTTGATTTTGTGGTCCACCTGTTGTGTATAATGTTTTTTGCCCTATAAATTCCCATTAGTATGATTCCAGAAGTTCCATAAAACCACCTCCTCTTTCACAAATTACATCCCCCCTTCCCTCTCTCTTTCCTAAAAATAATCAAAACCTACAAATATTATTCTCCATCTCCACCCCCTGCATTTCCAAAAAAGCACTCCAAACCTCCGGCCTCAACTCATTCGTCTCTTCAACATCCAAACACAAAAATATCGTCGTCATCAAATCAACAAAAATCCCATTTGCCGTTCCATCTTTCTGAAAAAATGGACCCCACTCCGAAGGCACCGGTGGCGCCATTGATGCATACGGATTGGTAAAAGCTTCTAATTCAATTTTCACCGGTCTAATAGGTAAATCGGGTCTTAATTTTGTAATGGGCGAATTGGAATAACTCAAATTGTTATTATCACATAAAGGACCCGCGGTAAAAGCATCCTCATTTACAGGCAGCTGAATGGAGATGAGATCACCCAGGCCAGCACCGGAAGCGGAACCTTTTTGCGAGCCGGAGCTACCTTTTGAGGCTTTCCTACTGGGTTTTACGATATCCCACAGGGCGCCCCAGTTTGCGGTTGGGAGATCGACTTTTTTGGGCGGGGTGGTGAGGGTATCTTTTCGAGGAGGGAGAAGCGGGACGGGACGAGGGGGAAAGGGAGGCGGGATGGCCGGGGTCGTGGTTCCGCTCGTTTTGAAGATGGCGGTGGGATGACTGCTCTGGTGCGTTTGGCTTATGTTTTGAATGACGAAACAGTTGGCGCAAAGATTGTAGTCGGTACATATGTGGCATTGGATGCGAGCCTTGTCGGGACGAATGGACTCGGTACAACCGGAGCATTCATATAGAGACATTATTTTGTACTACGGGACATGTGTAGGTATCCTAGGCTATGTGAAAATGAATCTTCGTATATGAGAGATATGAGAGAGGAGAGGAGAGAGGTGTCTATGAGAGGTGTGTATATGATGAGAGGAATATGAAAGAAAGAAGATGTGAATAATTCGGCACGAAGTATTTTCTAGGGAGAAGCTTTCTTTACATAAGAGGTTATCGAAGGAGAAGAAGAAGAAGAGGAAGAAGAAGAAGAGGAAGAAGGTTCTTTAAGGGACCGGGATCTAATGAAGCAGCTCTAGAATCTATCGATTTTATTAATTAACCATTAATACTCGTGGTAAGCAGTCTGTGGTGAGGACGGCAACCTGGTGACCTTACCGTAGAGTAAGTAAGTAGTCCAGGGAGTCTATGTATGGTAAGCAGTCTCGAGGTAATGTTGAGAGTTTCATAAACGTCTTGAAAGTTGGTAGGGTACAGCTGTAGTGAGTGAGAGAGTGAGTGAGTGAAGGAGTGAGTGGTATTTGTTAATTATTTACTCGGTGGTAAGGTAAGGTTAGGTACGCTTTGATGTCGATGATCGGACTGCTGGGGGGCTGCTGGGGGATGCTGGGGGCTTTATTCACTAAAACTAGATTCTGGAACAGCAAAAAGAAAAGGCTGAAAATGAAAAGGCCGAGGCGGTCAAAAAGGACTTTCATTGAACATTCCAATAGAATGAATGAATGGAATGATAGTACCTGCTTTAGATATGATTGGGATTTCACAATAAAAAGAATCAAAATGTTAATATACCTTGAGAACACATAAAATCAAAGAAGATTCTTTGTTATAATCATTCCCTTCTGACTCCCACAATCTCCCAGTACCACTTCACCACCTTTATTGTCCAGCTTCGACTCGCACATACCTTATAGCGTTCAAATTCAACTCAGACATTCCACTGATGCACCCGAACATTCCATGTTCCCTTCGTTTTATAATATATCCATTGACTTTCCCAGTCTCCCTTCCCCTATTCCTGAACCATGGTATTGGTAATGTTTTTTCCATCGATCATTTTTTTGGGTGGAATCGGACTTCAGTTATGAACGAAATTGCCGATAAAATGTGAGATGTAGGTCAGACTATTGGATTTAATCTTACTGTAGGTCTTATATGCCCAGCGTAGGTAAATAGGAGGTTTGTTGGATTGTGTGCGAGTGTATAGGCATACTCAGGAACACCCTTCTTTCAATAGCATTTCGCTCTCGACAATCGATTGACGACCTTTTGGTGCAGTGAAAAGAATGAGTACGAGTATTTGGTAGGTATACTCCGCACCTTTAGTATTGATTGACCCTGATTGTGAAAAACTGCTGTATTAATGGTTTAAAGATCATCAATTGCCTCCGCAAAATGAATTTTGGTAGCAAGATGCTCAAGTCATAAAGAAGTAAACAGTCTACCATCCTACCTCGACGCAGCGAATCATATCTATGGCGTCGAAGCACAATATACCTTTCCGAACGAATCCTCCTGAACCACAAACCTTTCTCCCCTTTCTGCTAACAATTGATGTATTTGGAATGAGACCCACAGCCTGATGGGAATATGGAGATCGGGAAGCGGGGCCACACATAAATAAAGTCAACATGTCCTACTATCTCGGAGGTATCCCACTGTTCTAATTGAATCTTCTTGAAATAGATAAATGGTAATGTCTCGAAGACTGGTGTTTTCATGCCACTGTACCGTGCAATCGGGCATCTCCATAGACGACGATAAGGTTCCGATACCTCCAGATTCTGAACATCCATCTATCTACTTAGGTAACACATAAACGCTAGACGCTGCGAGATCCACAAGAAGTGGACGGCGTCAAATTACCAACAAGAGATCGAGCCGCATTTACGAGATCGGCCAAAGGTTTTTCTTTCCTTTCTCAGTCATCAAAACGATACATGAGACGTTGATCTTAGTTTTTCACTCGCAGATCGCAGTTCATCGTATAATATTCTGCGGGATTGGTCAGAAATACAGTTTAAGAATCGGAGTGGATACCGAATATGCAGACTTTGCCGAACTAACGGTGGCCGGCGAGAGTTTATGGATTCGCCGACGCTATTCTCACTACTGTACTATTCCGTAGAGCCTCGGATAACCGTATGGCAATTCAAGGCAAGATTAGAAGGTAGATCAGTTTATACCTAAATATGTTGATGCAACTTGGTGAAGAGATTTTTTGGTGATTGACTTGCAAACTTAGGTAAGCGGCGGCGAGAAGATAGAAGATAACTGAATCATTCATAGATGCCTGGCAGGTACAACATTGCCAGGCAGTAGGTAGCTTCCTGACTCTGATGGGTCGTCATCTTTCAGGAACCGGTCAAGTGGGTTTGACTCAAGGTACTGAAGATACTGAAATAGAAGTAAGGTATAAAGCCATAATGAGTTGCAACTCATCCTTGATCCGGCAATCATCTATTTCGACTCGACCAAGTCGTTAGATGATTGAAAACAAGACTAGACTCAGTCCCTCAGGGAATGAGGACAAGCAAGATAAAGTCTTGGGCATGTCATGGGCATGAAATATCAACACAAAATGAACTCTCACACGTGATCATATATCTTTTGCTTCTTCTTTCTACCCCGCCAGTTTGAAATCCAAGGGACCAGCTGATCAATTAATGTTCCTACAATACTCCATCCTGTCTAACACGGCCCATATTCTGGTCTTTTCCTCTGATGTCCTGCTGTTCTTTTGTAGAAGAAGAAATACGACATAAACTTCGTATTTATACAATACTCGCCTATTCTTTACTTATCATACTTTTATACTCAAAACCAATATCATATCTATCGACGTCGGCATGTTGATACATACTTGTTTCATGTGAGATTTGAAGGATACCGACATAAAAGCATAATAAAGTAACTGACATATGAAGAATCGTAAAAATTGGATCGTACAGCTAGCTAAGCAATTTTCCCTTCCCCTGGATGTTCCCTATAGCCTGCTGGATATCTCCGAGATCATCAGCCTTACCCAACAGTGTGTTTCATGTTCAGCGTACGATCCAATAGTTTTGATTATGCGTTGTAGTTCAAAATGTTGTGTATGAGGTCGAGAAGATATGATGTGAGCAATGTGTGAAAACCAGACGCTTCAAGAGTCAAGACTCAAGTCTCAGACTCAAGAATCAGAACTCAATGAATCAAGCCTCAAGAATCAAGACTCAAAACCAAGGCCCTTCTTCACAATGACAGCGGCACATACCAACCATTCATCTCGGAAGGGCAAAATTACCGAAATGCTTAACAACAAAATATCCCTTGACCTAGCTTGGAACTCTCGATGTGATAACACGGACTGTCTATCAGCCATGTGGCATGAGTGTATTTCGACAATGCGTCAGAAGAGTATGAATGTCTTCAAGATTGCTACGAACTAGAAGAAGATTATCTGAGTAAAACATGGACCGATTCAATACTTGATTGGGTGGAAAAGGAAATTTCAGCTTCTTTTGGTTATTGTGATCTCCACCGCGGCCAAGACTAAAATCACCATCTGGCAAATGTTGCAGGCATGGTGTGATGATGATGATGATGATATTGATGATGATGAGGGTTTTTTTCTCTACCTACCATGCAGGAATTTGATGAAGCCATCAAACAATCACTCAAATGGTCCCAATATTAATATTCACATGCATGCAATCTAAACACAATATTGCATGGATGACTTTCCTCGGACCCTTTCTCTGGCATTGAGCATTGAAACCTCTGAGTTGTATCTTCTTCTAGTGGAGAAGAATGAAGCCGTTTCCGAACGATTGGTCGTCCGAATGGAAAGGCGGTTAAATACGATTCATTCATCCCGTCTGTAAATCCCCTATCTTACTCGGGCAACTGCACGAACCTTGGGTGTATTGATCAGATAATTAATTTGCGAGTAATTACCGTGAATGCACGATTGGGTATTCTGATTGGATTTGGTATTTCGCACCGGTATACGCAGTTGCAAACCTGTTCAAAGCAGATGTGTTTTTAGATATGATACCGTGTTACCGTGTTACCGTGTAGCTTTGAGTGGGTCGGATAGCTGATGCTAAGATGATTTTAAAGGGCGGAATTTGAGCGGTCTGACTTTATGAAGTGTAAAGTACATTTTAACATCCAACCGACATTTTACACATTTTACTAAGATTATTGAGCTGAACGGTAGAGGGTCCCTTGATTTTTGATTCTGTACACTTTCTTTGCTTGGGTCCCTTTTTTTGGAGGGTCCCTTCGGAGGGATCGTTAGCGAAAGCGACCAAATTCGCCATATTATGGATATTATGGATACAATGACGTAGAAACCCTTTATGGTGGGAATCCCTCATGCACTGCAACCATGGGTTATTCTTTCAGAAGATTAATAATTAATTTTTACTTTTTTAAGTGTACCGATGCAAGTAAAATATGCATAGAATGTCAAAATAGGCTTCCACGGTGTAAATCTTCTCTTTTTGAACACCTTAAATCTTGATTTTCAAAGAGATCTTCATTCGCATCTACACATTTCTACATTTTTCTCATGATTTCAAGACAGAAAAACATACATACGACCGGACTATGCACAGTAGATGAGCATGTGAAATTTCTTCCTCTGTCGTGATGTTTCAGTATCTTGTCCATTTATGTATTGTCCCTTGGTGCATTTTCACCCCCTTCATTTGTGCAGTGGTGCGGAGTTGGGCGAATAACGTGAGAGTGTCAGAAGTGGTGCGAGAAGAAGCCGGAAGGATAAGCGGACCCCTAATTCTCTAGTACTGCTGGTATCAAACTAAATCAAGTAGTATGATAATACAGTGGAGTCGAATTGATAAGATGGCATCGGTAGTCCCTGGTATGTTGTGTCCAGTTAACCCTACTCTGTACATATTTCCGACTTTTGGAAGAAAAATTCGTTTACCGAGTGGATTCGTCTCATTATCAATGACTTATCTTTCGGTCGATGCGCTTCACAACTCAACTGGTCGTTAGGGTAACATGTGGATTAACCGCTCGTTTTTCCAATTTCATTTGAATCCTATTGGACACTAATGCATTGAAAGTATAAACTGCCTGCGATTCAAAACACCAGGTGGGTCCTACCTTAACAGAGAAATGTAATGGAGACAAACTACGGCAGTGCTCTCTCTATCATCATCCATATATATCAGACCTCCTCCCTTCATCCTCTATCTCTCCATCAGTCAAGATTAGTTTCACGTCCTTTCATCTGAGGAAAGTCTTCGTATCCATTGTGATAAGTTCATATCACAATCACATCAAAGGTCATTCAGAGTTGTAAGCCACCACGGCCCGAATGACACCTCACAAGAAATCATCATATCACGATTATTCAAGAGGCTTCTTTAAGCTTCACGGACGTCCATTCTGTCAATCTCTGGCACCAACTTGATTCATCATTTACCCTCGATATTGTTTAACTTTTCGAATATATATCAACCTCACAAACACAACCTTTCAAACTCCTAACAATCTATTCTCCACCAAAGGCAGTAAAAACTTCTTCAAATACCTTTACAACACATACAGTCAACATGGCGATCCCATTCGGTTTCAGTTTCGGCGAGGTTATTCATGGAGTTGGGATCCTTAGAAATGCATTCACATCAATCAGCGAATCCGGAAAGGCAAACCCAGTTTTCGGAGATGTCGCACAAGTCCTATCTAGTCTTCACAAGCGTCTCGACGGTCTCGAGAGATTTTTGAGTGATCCATCATTTGGACCTCAGCGTGGTTTGATGATGCAAGTCATCAGTGCGTGCCAGCACTGTATAGAAAGATTTGTTCATCAAAGTTGCAGATTGAACGGTGTCACCACCAAGGGATCTTTATGGTCTCACGAAGAATTTTCCAACATTATCGAAAAGGTCGATTGGCTAGCTTGCAAGAAATGGGATGTCTCGCAGTTCAGGAAAGAACTTTCAATTCACGATGATGCAGTATCGAGTTTATTATCGACGATGCTTAGTACTCGTGATATGGAAAAGGGACAACTCACCCGCCAAATCAACGAGATCGTAACCACTCAACACAGAATGGTTCGAGGAGGTGGTAAAGCTTCTTCTCGAGATGCGGCAGTTAGCAATAAGGTTTTGAACGCACTGGCTGTCATCAATCCGCTCATCGGAAGAAAGGAGATTGAAGCTCGTACTGATCGTCTCTTCAGTAAATCGTGTGACTGGATTCTCAACAACAAGAGTTACAAGTCCATGATTGAAAGCGATCAATCCGATTTACTTTGGATTCATGGACAAGCAGGAAAGGGTAAAACCATGCTTTCCATGTATCTCGTCGATATTCTCTCCAAGCAAGTTGCTCAAAACCCTTGTGATCAAGTGGCATACTTTTTCTGCGACAACAACACGGATCAGAGAAATTCTACATTACATGCTCTCAAGACCGTCCTTCATCAGGTTTTGAAACAAAGTTCCCAGAATGTGTTGTTGGAAGATTTCAAACGTCATGGACCTCAAATGTTCGCTACCATCGAGGGTGTTTGGACTGCTTTGACACGAGTACTTGAAGCATCGACCACACGAAATCTTTATCTGATCATTGATGGTCTCGATGAATGCACCGAGGAATCTTTGGATGTCTTCCTCAAACTCGCTAGTACATATATTGCATCTAACGTTGATGGACTTTGCAATGTGAAATGGATTTTCACAAGTAGAAACGAAACAAGAATTGAAGAATACTTAAAATTATCCTGGGTGGTGGATTTGGAAGAAACCGCCACCGAAGTCAGCGGAGCCGTTGACTCGTTTATCGCTCACAAGGTTGATGCCTTGGCTACTAAGAAGAGATTCGATGCACCTTTAAAACAATTCGTGGCCGATAAATTGAGGCAAAAAGCTGGAGGAAATTTCCTCTTCATCTCTCTTGCTTGCAAGGAACTCTTGAAGAAGAATGTCTCTTTCATTAATGTTAAACTTGTCCTTGGAAAATTCCCTACTGGACTTGATGCATTGTACGCGAGAATTCTCGAGGGAGTTTTGAAATTGACTGAGGAAGATCAACAAACAGCCTTCTCAGTTCTTCGTGCAGTAGGAATTGCTTTCAGACCTCTCAGTCTTCGAGAATTGGCTGTGATGGCCGCTTTCCCAGCAGCAGCTATGGATGATGAAGATGTGGTATTGGATGCTGTTGAATTATGTGGATCATTCCTTTCATTACATCGCGATCACCCATACTTTGTTCACCGATCCGCAAAAGAATATCTCCTCAACCACGAAACCGCCGGTATCTTCTCCTCAGACCTCGAATTTGAACACGAGAAAGCTGCTTTCAGAGCCCTCAAATATACAACCAGAGACTGGAAATACTACCTCGAAAGTCTCGAAGATGTTCCTCTTTCCTCGTTACAAGATCAACCTTCTTCAGAAGACAGTCTTCAATATCCTCTCATCTACTGGATTAACCACAGCAACATCGCCGGTGCTCGCATGATGAAATCCTACGCCCTGGATCGCCATTTCTTCCGTCGCAATTGCGATCTCCGCCGAACCTGGCTCCTCTACTTCAAAAAACATCGCCACATGACTAATTTCTCCGCCATCCAAAATGTTCATTTCTCAGCCCTTCACATTTCAGCCGTATGCGATACCTGGTGGGTAGCTGAGATCCTCCTCAAAAACAGCAGCACCTACATCGACGTCGAAGATTCCTTCGGTCTCACCGCTCTCCACTGGGCCGTCCACTGCGGAAATGCCTCCGTAGCCAAAATCCTCCTTCAAAAAGGCGCCGATCCAAATAACAAGGGTGGAGTAACGGATTTCAAAAATGGTCCCAGAGAAGGTACACCACTTGGATTAGCAATCTCATACAATAATCTCGAAATGTCCAAACTTCTCCTCGCTCACGGCGCCGATATCGATTGTCCCGATCATCACTGCACCACACCACTCGTATGGACCATCCGACAAAATCTTCCCAAATCCACCAAATTTCTTCTGCAGCGGGGTGCGGATCCCGTTTTGAGGGATGAGGAGGGAAAGACTCCTCTTCATGATGCTTGTGCGAGGGGTTATGAGAACATTGCTAAGATTTTGTTGAATCATGGTGCGGCGCCGGATGCGAAGGATGATAGGGATATTAGTCCGGCAGGGGATGCGTGGAGTGGTGGTCATAAGGGTTGTATTAAGTTGTTGGATGCTTATGGGGTTAAGACTCCTGAGGGAGAAATGGAGGATGAGAGTAAATGGGGTAAGGGGGGTGATTTATTAGCCGCGTAGTTTGCGGGCGATGCGATGTGATGTCATATAATTGGGAGTTTTGGTTGAAAAGAATCGTAACATCGATCTTGTTTCTTGTATGATGGGATAGATGGATGGATGGGGTTTGGCGAATTTTTTATGTGTGTCTTTCTGATTGGGTTGGATTGGGTTTAATGGCATTGCTTGCAATTGGGGATGCAATGGATGGAATTTGGGATACAATTCTTGATAAATAAATCAATGGGAAAAATGGATCGGTTGCTATTTATTTACTTATACTTATATTATACTCATAAGATCTTACATATATACATATATACATACATAGGATTGATCGATGGGTTTATGCGAAAGATACCATATAGAATAAGTTGTATCCCGGGTTTGGGATTATATTATTATATTACTTTATCATTTTATTGTTTTCGGAAAGTGAGAGATTGAATGATAGAATGAATTTGAATTTGGATTGGATTGATTTAATTTGACAGTTGTCGAATAGAGAGAGTTTATACTACCCGAGTGTATACAGTATATATGTAGTCTAGATTGATTTCATCTCATTTATATGTTTAAATCCCTAGATAGATAATATTCTTAGAGAGATATATATTGAATATAAGGTTATTAATGATCCGCTCAGTATATATATATATATATATCAGTACTCAAGCTCTAGATTGAGTAATTATTAATACGAGATACAGTTAAGATATATCCTCGAGTATTAAAGATTGAGTTGGATGAATTTAGATATTGATTGATATAAATATTAAATATTAAATATATATATTAATTAGACTAACACATAATTAGAAATGAATATAAATATTAGACTTAATATAACTTATACAAATCTAAATAGTAGATAAGTAATTTCCATCTTATATCTTTGAATTTCTAGACTTAGAGCTCGAGGTATTCTTTATTTCTACCTCGAGATTATAAAGTTATATATAAGTCAATTAGACCTGACATTAATATTTCTGATCAATCATACTTTAACTCTAATAAAACTCTCGAGATATAAAAATCAAATATAAAAAGGCATGACGAAACCCTTACATTTCCAGTAGGTCACAGTTACAATAAACAAACAGACAGATAAACTCCAAAATCACACATCATATCAGAAATCCCAATCCAAATCTCCGCATCCCCATCCCCATACTCTCCCACACTCAACTCAACCCTATAAACCGGTACCAACCCCCCCCTTCCTCCTCAAAAATCGTCCACCCCATCTCCAATTCCTCCATTCACCTTTTCTAAACCCTCCTTCTCCCCATTTCTCTTCTCCAGCTTTCGAATCTGTCGACATTCCCACACTACTCTGATCAGAGAAACTAGATTTTCCAGAAGAATATACTCTTTCTCTATCAGATTCGGATTCATATACATGGTCCGGAAATGGCGATATAGATGCAGATAAATTTATTGGTGGTTGGGTGAGAGTTTCTATTGATGATGATGATTTTTCGTATTTGTATTTGCTTTTGCTAATTCTAGATCTTGGCGTTGGAGGTAGATTTGGTGAGGGAGAGGGGGAATATGTTTCTGGATTTGTGGGGTTGGGATTGTGTTGGAGATGGTGATGTTGATGGTTTCGGGTGCGAGATTTATGTTTGTGGTTGGGTGGTACAGGAGATGGTGTTGGTGTTGAGAGGGCGCGAATGGAAAATGATCGGGTTGTGAAGGCCATTGGTTGTTGGGCGTTTTATTGTTTGGATGTATGGATGTATAGATAGATATGTAGATTAATAGATGAAAGGATGGAAGGATAGTTGTATTTAGGTAGCTAAATATGGAGAGGAGAGTGAGTTCGAGAACTTTGAGATATCTATAATATTTCAACTTATAATAGAGAATAGACAATACTAATAAAATATCGCTGACGAAGAGATATGTGAAAAAAGATAAAGATTTAACGTAGGATGAATGAGGAGATGGATAATAATGTATACAAATATACAAACAGATCCGAGCCTCACTTACCCAATTTCTCGCTAAGTCGATCCGAATTCCATGTTTGAACCCCCGAAGTCATATTCGTACCGACCCGACACCTTCCTTGCATCATGCATTAACCTTATTAGGGATGCATCGTTGAGCTTCCTCCAACTTCCTCCAATTTAAGTTTTCAAGCAATCGAGTTAACTCAGTATAACTAGCATAAAATCCTCTAATATCAAATAACCAAATCCAAATAACTCCTACTCTCCCCATCAAACTACAAACCTCCCCATAGCCCACCCAACAACACATAGATATACAATCACTAATCACACCTGCCCCGAAACCTAACCCAAATCACCCATCTATATAAAAATGTGCTACTTCTAGGTCGGCGATGTAATTGAATAAGACTCTTATTTCGGGTATAAATCTATTTTAGTATCACAAAACACAAAATACAAACACGATCAATATGTCGTGGTCGAAACGTGGCGGTGAAAACGACCGATATAGTTGTGTCACTTGTGTGATGTGTTACGGCGAGGTCGGAGATGGGGTTGTTGAGGTGTTTAGTTTTTGTTTTTCGTTTGTGGTTTGGATGAGTGGAATATTGGGAGATGAGTGATGGAGGATGGAGGATGAAATCTATATGTATTTAATTTCTTAGGTGACTCTTTGAAGTTCTATACACCAGATACTTTGATATTGGGAACTTGGAGATCTCAAGTCTCAAATGAAATACTCGCTTGTTAGATCGTCACTATTTCGATTCGTATCTTCCAACTCGTCCCCTTTCTACAAACTCTCAACTCCCGACTCCCAGTTTCCACATATATGTATACATATATAGTGACCCAGAACAATCGCTTCACCATATCTCACCTCGTCCCCTCATCAATTCATCACTACTCTCTTTTAATCAGAAATCAAAACTTGCCTGAATAAGCAAGAATAAAAACATAAAAGACCAAACATCTATTCCTTCCTAACAGCCCATCCCTACTTCCGAATGATATCGAATTCCAAAAAGAAACAAGAGGGAAACGAAATTACCATCTTACACGAAGCCATAAACAAACCAGATACCTTCCGGACCAACTTCCTAGAATTTGTTTCTTTAAGAGGACAAGTAACAGCCATCTCAGCCATTGAACCAATATATTACATCCAAGAAAGTATATTTACTAAAAGCTTGAAAGACACACAATGAAGAAAAGAATATAAGATCATAGTATCCAAGTACTTATATCAATCTCAATTCCTCCATATAATCTCAGAAAAAAAACATATTAGCCGCTGATCCAAGTACTATTGGATGAATTGGGCGGCTGAATGTAAATCTTAGGTATGTGAAGTAGAAACTGAGTTTAAGTCTGAAAAAGGATTTTTACAATAGAGTAATGGGATGATCTAGTACTTCCTACTTAATACCTAGTATATAGTATTGAGGACCTCTCATCATGAGTGACTGAACTCAAAAGGATGGACTGTGCCCAAGGTGTTCAAAATTCCCAAGATTTCCGCCAACTTGACGATTCAAACTTTAATACCGGATCGATACATAATAGATAGAAAGAGTAAAGTGCAAAAAGTGTAAAATAAAGCCATAGAAGAGGTATAAAAGAGGTGTAAAGAGGATGATTCAAACAAAATCTTTCAATCTGTAGTCGTAGTTGACTTTAAGTTTAACTTCCAAGGTAAATATCCTCAAATCCTAACATCTCATCTCATCATCTCATCATATTTCGTAACCTCATCAATTCATCCATCCGTCCATTTTAGTCAAGCCCCGATATTTTTCGTTCCATTTCTACTCCCATTTCACAGCCTCCTTTTCGCCTTTCATGTTGGTTATTTTGAAACTCTCCTCTTTCCTTTTCTCTCCTAGAATATATTTCAACCCCTCCTCAATATAACTCCACATGTACCACACACCAGAAGCCAACAAAACCGTACCACCTATCCTATCGCACTCTCAAACCAATCAAAGTCATCAAAGAATGAAAATGATCCTCACCCCAGACTTTCCCTCGGTGGTAAAGCTTCCGGTCCAAAGGACATTGGTAGGAGCTATATACATAAAATCGTTAGCTATACAACCAATTCTCTTATATCCCTATTCAAAAACTCTATCCATTATAAAGAAAATGACACTCACCTCTTCTAATTTCGCAACGACAAATTTCCCATCATTATCAAACATAAAGATTGGCATATCCAAATCGCAAAATTCGCGTATACTATATTTCCCAAACAAATTAGCACATTAAATCCTCTGCAATATCAATCAATCCCCCTTCTCACCCCCTTCCTCCCCTCTAATCCCCCCAACCAAACCCCAATCATCCAGCACCCGCCCTTTCCTTCAATAAACCCCCCCCAAAAAACAAAAAACCTACAACTGTCTACACATCCCACACGGACTAGCCGGCACATCCCCACTCCCATCCGTACTCAACCCCAAAGCCTTAAACCCCACCTCCCTCGAACCCCCCGTAACCGCCTTTCCAAACGCTACCCTCTCCGCACAAGTTCCTACAGGATACGCTGCATTTTCCACATTAGCTCCATCTATGTATTCACCGTTTTTCGTGAGAATCGTGGCACCCACGCGGAATCGTGAGTAGGGACAGTAGGCTGTGAGTTTTGCGGCCGAGGAGCGCGTTTGGAGGGTTGTGAGTTCGGTGGGGGTGAGGGGGTGGGTATTGCAGGTGGTGGTTATGTCGGTTGGGGAGTTGAGGGAGAGGAGGCTGGGCGTGGACATTTTTGGGGGCGCGGTGATTTATGATTTGTGCTTGTTTATTGTGTGAGGGAATCAATCGTGTTGTGTATGTTGTATTGAGTTGTGAGAGAGATGGGTTTTAATCCCAAGAGCTGTGAGGTCATATGTGCTACGTAGGTATCTATCTGTCTTTCTTATCGCGATACAATATGCAGATAACATATTAAGGTTAACAATAAAGGGAAGGTGATTTCATTCTCCTTACAACTTATTACCTAATATATCCATCGATATCTGTTTAACAACTCATAAATATAAAAACTATTTGAATTATAATTATATTCATATTGAAATTATAATACGTACACATACACATACACGTACATCTACCACTATTTCATTCAGGACATCCCGCATCAAGTCCTCATATACTCACAAAACCCAAGACAATCTACTCACTCACTACTTATCTAACATCAACTAATATCCAATGCCATCCAACTAAATAGAATGACGCTCCGCTGGCCCTCCGGGAGCCACTGCCGTGGAGGCAGACCACTAGACTTAAATTGATGATCTTACTAGGCCTTTAAAATATAAGATGTCAATATCAAGCAGCAAAACCAGTGATATATTTGTAACTTTAATTTATCAATTTCTTCTCCCTGCGCCCTTTCATCCATCCATCCATCCACTCTCCATTCCCATCAGTCACCTATCTACATCACCAATATCACATCCATCACATCACATCCCATCCTATTCCGTTCGCCATTCCACTCAGCCTTTACCCTCACCATAATCTGAATATCAAACATCAAATCACAATCGAAAGATTGAAATGATAGCTCAGATCAGCTCAATTCATCCCACACCACACTACATATAGCCTCTCCAACACCTTCCGGCATCAGAATCCCAAGCATAATCTAATCCTTGGTGACTTGAATTGGGGTAACAGCGTATGTAGGTCTGACGTATCTATTGATCAAAGTGATTAACATTATTTTCATTTCCCCGTCCATTTCAAACCTCCTCATCTTATTTTAACCCTTCTCACCCATTTCCCTTCCCCTAAACCCACAATAGAAAACAAAACAGAATAAAAACATACCTATCACTGTTATAAGGACTAGTCTCACTACCCAATAATTCCTTTTCTCTCTTCAAATCCGCCCAATGTCTTCTAACCAAATCACGATCGGTTTCTGCTGTCAAAAGTGGAATGAGATGGATTCTAGACCACATTTTTTCACGGGCAAGTTCACTATCCATTTAGTTAGCAAATTATTCAATACCCTTTCCTCTCCTGATGTCTGAAAGTGAAGCCATATATCATCCAAATCCTTCACATAGCGTATCCAAGCGATTGCATATGATAGCAAAACCACACAAAACTCAGCTCCAGATCTCTCTCAAAAACTCAACAGTATAAAATTCAATGTAGGGAGTGTGAAGTAAATCCAAAGCCATCTAAACAAAAGAAATAAAAAACATACTTCTGTTCACGAATTCCCTTTCCCACCTTCCAAAATCCATATGTCATAATTCCAGCCATAGCCAGAAGCATAACCGAGGGTCTGAAACCGCGTGCTGGAAGATTTCTCTAAAAAATTTAAACGTAAAATGTTAGCTTTCTGTTCCTTTCCAGTTCTTGTGCGTTGTCCTTTCCATCTGCCCATCTGCTCATCTGTCCACCCGACTAATGCACTATTGACTATCTAACTATGTAAATATCTATTTATCGGACTATCTGGCTTTCGGAGTATCTAAATGATATTCGTGAAAGCTGCGTCGGAGCTGTGTCCATTGGAGAACGAGGAGAAAGATGAGGAGGAGAAGGGGGTAACATGGTATGTGTATCGATATTAAAAGTCGTATGACGTCTCTCGAAAATCCTACAGGCTTGTTAAATGACGCTCCGCTGGCCCCCCGGGGGCCACTGCCGTGGAGGCAGACTATTTCCATAATACCATCTCTTTAAAACCCTACTCCGGATCACATCCTGTCTCCCTCTTGTAGGCTTGCATCCCTCACTTCTCTCTCTGTCACTCAGACCATATCATCTACTCCTCCACCGCACCGCACATTTGCAAATTCCGCCGTATCTTGTCCCTTGATCATCTTATGCCATTGCAGAGATCTCGTGCCATCTTATCTCTTTTATTCTTTCCATCCCATTCTCCGCTCCCCATCGATCCGTTGTAGCACATCAGACCATCCCACCATCCACCCGAAGCCCCCTCGTAATTCTCTCATCCTTAATCATGTAATTTTCATCTCTCCTCGTTTTCCACTCCTCGTCATCCTAATTCCGTCTTCATCTTGTCCTCGTCCTCGTCTTCGTCTTCGCCATGTTCGTGCTCATCTCCATTGATCTCCAATTTCAACCATCCAACCATCCAATCATACCAATCAATCCTCGGCCACTTCCCCTCCACCCTCAATTCCCATAACCCATCTTCCTCAATCCCTCTGTCACATCCCAGTACCTCTTCCTCAACCCCGCTCCCCTCCCTCTCCTCCATCACCCCATCCCGCAAGCTTTTCCCCCCCTTCCTCCCAAAAAACCCGTCCCCAATCCCCCAGAATAAAAAAAAGAAAAGAAAGAATCCCACACACCTTATACTGCACAGCCTCATACCCCCCCACGGGCGGCATATCCTGCGGCATCTTTACAATGTCTCTTTTTTTTCCGATCTACGAAAACCGTATCTGTATATATGTACTTAAATTCTCCAACCTTAATCTTCGTAGAGTTCGTCGAATAAAGCGTAGATTGTAGAGTGGAGGGCAACAATTCAATGATTAAACTTAAACTTCGGGCGGAAAGCGAGGTTGGTTCGTGTTAAAAGTCAGGTAAGGTCGAGTTGGAGAATTGTGGCCTGTGAGTTAAGGTTTGGATCATAGCAACTTTGTAAGGGTGAGGTCCGAGCGTGGGAGGTGGATCAGACCAGAGATATGACCGAGGGGTCACTAACATGCTGTAACGAGTATTAATCACTATACTAGATAGATATATACTAATTCATATTCCCATCATAACTTAAATAGAGAAGAAAGAAGAATAGAGCGAGTAAGATTTTTATTAATTAAAGTTAAAGTTAACTAACTAGGTAACTAATATAAACATCAACAGATACATAAACCAATACCCATCGTTCATCTTCCCATCCGTCCATGCTCAAGAGTTCCTTCTCCTAGGTATTTTTTCCCCTTCACTCTCTTCCCCATCTCCACTCTCCCACTCTCCCCCTCTCATCTCCATCCCCATCACTCTCCATTCCCACCCGCAATACACTTCTCACCCAGCGCTTCACCTCTCATATAAACATACATATATACACACACACACATCTCGTCGACATCCCATCCCCTCATCAAGCCCATCAAAAACTTTCAAACAACATACACACTTCCCTAGACATATATATTCACACACTCTCAAAAAGAATTCATAAAATATCTCCCACAACAACTCGATAAACTCGAACAAAAAAAGGTTAGGCTTAAAAACGCCCACTAAATGCATAAGACGAATTCCACCCATTCAATTCCATTTCATTCCATTCAATCAATCATTCCAATCCCTTCATGCAAACCGCCACCCAAACCCAACCCAACCCAAACCAAACCAAACCAAACTCATCCCATCTTATTCCATCCTATTTCACCCAAAAAGATCCGAATCTCAAATCCCACTCCCGAGCCCCTAAATGCCAAATCCCAATTTCCCATCCCTAAAACACCTTAAAAGTAATAAACGAGCAAGCACGCTTCAAATATGAGTTGAGATGATATGATTACAGACACAAGATTTCTCGTTTGTTCGTAATGCTCTTTCATGTGCAATTCTCCCTCAGATAATAGCAAAGATTCTTGATAAAGTTTCCACCCTCAACCCAAGTATTTTAGATGCAATGCAGACAGTAGGATAAACCAGCACTAGCACCAGAAATATGCAGACCATAAAATTAACCAGCAGCAGCAGCAGCTTCATCCTCAAATTGCTGATCAAAAGCAGCCTGCATTTCCGCTTCTAAATCATCCTCAAAACTATGATCACTCTCTTGTGTCGACAATTGATCTACCTCATCAGTCTCATCACCCGTTACACCCGGTGTAAGAAGACTTGATTCCGATGCACTAGTAGGCGTCTTTACTGTTTTTAAACTTGTCGTCCTCGAATTGGCTACTCGTTGTTTCTTCGCCATTGTGCTCTCTTCTTCACTATCATCTTCATCTGTGGCATCGTCAAACGTTCGTTTCTGTCCTCTCCTTGAACTTGTTCGCGAAGTTCGACTGTTATTACTAGTGAAACTCGTATCACTTTCTGTACCGGATTCGTCATCACCCATGAATTCGGCCAATTCATCATCTATTGAAGACCAATTGAGATCCTTTGTCGGAGATATGTCACCTCGTGGTTCATCTGGCATGACCCCTTCTCCATCTAGCTCAGATTTCATGTCATCGTCATCATAATCATCACTCTCAGTATAATCGGAAGATTCTTCACTATCATCACCAGGAGATGAAACATTTGTCATATCACCACTAGGTCTTCTATCGGCCGGGCTGATATCAACCTGATTCATGAGATTAGTAATGTCCAGGATAAGAAAAGTCGGGTGTTCAACCTACTAAATAATCTGATTCATCCTCTTTCTTCCACTTACTCATTGATTGAGTGAGCCATTGTTGTGTCACGATCTTAATATGAGGATATTTTGCCGCTTCTCGAACTTTTTGTGTACGAGTTTTTTGTGAAGATGCAACGACATGAGTGACTCTTTTTGAAACCCTATAATATGTGTTAGTGACTCATCTTTAAGACTACATGATAAAAACATACTTTTTATGAATTTTGCCACCAAAACTGTCTATTTGTTGAGCGATTTCAGACCTAAGTCTGGTTAGCCTGGCTTTCCCATTTTCCAAACCCCACACGCTAGAGAATATACGCAATAAAAATTTTTGCGAAATAAATTCATAGGTGGTATCAACTTGCCTCATAAGATCAACTCCTAAAGGAACCAATCCCGACATAACAATTATACAGCCATCTAAAACTCGAGACCTAGAAGCATGTTAGAAAATTTTTCCTAATATCATGACGTTGCTAGTGTGGCAATCATACTTAAGACGTGGCATCACAACCGCGATATTAGGTACTACTTTGAGGTCGGCAGCTTCATTCTTGACGTTAACTTTTCTTTGATGTCCAGGCTTCAATTGCGCAACTCTTCCACCTGGAACATTCACCAGAGCTTTATCGTATTCCTCATAGAACGCTCTGTGTAAATCTGTGAGATGTTGTTGAAGATAAGTTAATTCGACATCATCATCCTTGAGAACACCATGTCGGTGTGTATGATGTTCCATTGTGCCGTCTTCAACCTCCTTTCCTGCTTCTTCCTGTTTTTTATCCGCTTCATCAATCGCTTCCTGCTTATGAAGTAAAGGTCGATCCAGTAATTGTTGCTCCAAGAATTTCTCCTGTTCTGCTGCTTGTTCTTGTAACGAAGATTCATCGTCTAGTGTGTTGAGTTTTGGTAATACTGGCTTTTCGCTCGATGATTCCTCCTGGGCTCCTTCAGTGAATTTGTTCTCGCCTTGATGCTCCGTAGGTTTTGCGACTTCTCCTGTAGGTGTTTCGATTGCTATTTCAGATGTGCTAGTTTCTGACTTTGAATGGTGTTTCTTCTTGGGCGTTGGTACTTTCGGAAGTCCTTCCCTCTTCGGCAGGAAACTCGAATTGATATCACCGATACCAGTGAAGAAATCATAAGGAACGACTTTGATAAGGTTAGGACGATTCATTGGCCAAACGTCTGCGCGATCATCAATGATTGCCACCATATGCGTGCTCTGAGGAAATAGTCTAGCCAAACTCTTTGCGGTAACGTTGCCGTTCTCATCTCGACTGATGATGCGATCACCAAATAATTTCTTTCCAGGATCGACAATCTTTGCGATGCTTAATGCGTATGCTCGAGTACCCATGGTATAAACATGAAGCTCATACATTTCGGAGATTTTTGTCAGAAACTCTGCAAGACCCGGTCGCATTTTAATATAGTACCAACAACCGGATGCGAGACCGCGAGGACCATCATCATTAAGTTGGAATGATCGCACATCTTTGACGGCCTCGTAATTTGGCGAGTTGACATCGCGCTGCCACTCTCCAACAGTAGGCTCAATACAAGCATGGATAATGGTCTGGTCTAGATCTACCACCAACGAAAGTTTTCGATTTTTAAGTAACCGCCGTTGTAATTCTTCTTCTGCTTTGGAAGCTTCGTCGTGACTAACTGTGAGGTGCGTTTGGTCGTGAATCATGTTGATTCTAGCTCGGTCTGTATCGAGCGCATTGCTGGCCCAGGAGACCTCAGTCATATCCTTTCCACACATTCCACAAAGCCCCGCAAACTGAACCGCATGCGAACAACTTTCTTCAACATCGACGACAGGTCCGTCCCTCTCAATTGTCATTCCTTCTTTGATCAACCATTTCTCGAGAGTACCTTCAGCAGGGCTATCCCATTCTCCATATGATGTTTGTTCCTCCTCCCATTGGTCGCCCAATGGATCGCCGACCATCAATTTCCACTTAAACTTATATTCAAGAAGCGAATCTTGTTTCGAGATTTGATCGCCATGTTTCTTCAAGAATTTGGTAATGGTAATCGGGTACCTTAGATTCGGACCCAAGCTCAATGACTTTCCCATTTTGATATCCTCCTTCACAAATTTGGCCTTTATTTTTGTGATCATGAAATCGCAGATGGTCGCTCCTATTTGTCAAGATAGATTGTCAGTAATTGAACTTGAAAGATAAAAGAAATCGAATGCGCGCGGAGGTGAAAGGAAGGTTGATAGGTTTGGTATAGTTGAAGCGCATATGACAAGAGGCAAGCCACAGTCGATGAAAGGCCGTAGCAGAGCGCAAGACTTTTCCGGAGAAGTCGAAGAAGCTTAAAGCAAGCTGCAAGAATACATGCGATGGATATCTACAAGCTGTTAAAAGACCTACGATTTCAATTTAAGCTGTTTTAAAGCTCTCATAATATCGCGTGGGGTTCAGCGTTGTGAGATTCCATGTGCAACTTCTTTTCCAAGCTTCCAAGCCACAAAGATTTGGAGAAGCCACCTAGATGGGGGGGAATGGATGGATTTCTTGAATTTCTTCGTTTTCTTGTGTAATATATAGTAACTTTTTGCGATTTTTGAATATTCACCTTTTTCCAATTAAAAATTCGAAGATTTTCGATTTAATATATCTTCTTCTTGTTGATGTGAAGCCATATAATTTCTGCGAAATATTTCAAAGTTGTAGAGGTTGAGTTTTGGAGGAATCGAAGGTAAACCAGTATTGTAGTTTGGGGAATGGATTGTTGACTTTATATGGTAGGATTTGGAGTACGAAAGGCGATTACTGTGGAGAAAAAGCTTAAAAGGCGTAGGTAGATGTGAATGGATTGAAAATAAGTGCAGTGCGGTGCGGTGCGATGCGATCCAGTGCTATTCGGTTTGATGCGGTGATGGAATAGAGGTAAAAAATAAGGCAATAAATAAGGCAGAGAAATAATAAAGAGGCTGATGTTGGTCGAGCTTTATTAGAGCTTTGGAGCTTTGTAACCCCAAGTAAACTTTTTTTTCTACTGCTAAGACACCTAAATGGTGAATTTGACAAAGGAGGAGATGGAGCGTTTTATAGGTGTGATCAGCTTGTTCCCCTGCTAAATGAAATGATGAGCGTTGATTGGTCAAATGAAAGCGGGACAGAAGATAGTGTAGTAAAGCGTTCAAAAAATAGAGACAGGGATTAAGAATGAATGAGGAGACATGGTTAAAATATCATCATCGCTCCACAACTTCTTTCATCAGTGACTCAGTAGGTATAAAATAAATAAAAATCTCGTGATCGATGATTCTGTCTGAAGAGAAGGTTGAAGGTTGATATAGTAGATAATAATATATAACAGTACTCTGAAGAATAGCAAACCGCAATATATTCATCCTAACACTATCATTAAAATCCTTTTCTTCCCTCATCCACTTTCCTTTTCACCTCTACCATCTCTATAACAAGCATCATCACCATCAACTACCATCATTATCACAAGCTTACATTACAAGCAGCTTACAAGTTTTCCAAGCCTCCATAACCTTACACTAACTATCTAGGTAGGTACCTAACTAACTAGCTAACCAACTTAAAAACCAGCCCTGCAAACAAACAACCCCAAGCCACTTATCCAAAGCCAGTAAATACTCATACCACATCAATTACTACTATTCAAGTAAACATACGTTACACAAAACCCGTTTATAATCCTACCTTCTCCTCAGTATACATACCCCACTACAATAATAAAACCAAGTCCAAGTCATAAGGCAGGTAGGTAACTAACTCATACACTACTAGTAGCAACAGCGTATCTATCTAGATATCCATCTATCAAACCCATCTAAATCCCAAGTAACCTTAACCTTAACCGTTTGCAGTCATAATCACAACACCACAATCACCGACTAAAAATTCCATTCATTCATTCATTCATCCATTCATTCATCCATTCATTCATCCATTCATCCATCCATCCATCCATCCATTCATTCATTCATTTATTTAATCATCCATTCATTGATCATGAATACCTAGATAAATCCACTCACTCAAAGATATATCTTGTATGGAAAATAGAGGGAGGTACCTAGATAGGTAGTCTTTGAAAGGATAGATAAAGAAGTATCTACTCGGTATACGTTATATAACAAGGAAACAAGATAGAGCAAAGAAAGGGAATAGAGAGGAAGCAACAGTGGATGCAGAAATTCCGTAAACACTTTTTCAATCCTCATCAAAATCAATGAAATATTAACAATTTTAGAAAATAATTATAAATTCAAATTATAATATTATATAATCAAAACTTATATCAAATATTTAAATTTATTTAAATTGTTTAATAAAGTATTAATAAATAAATTCTGATATAAATATATCTTAAAATTATTAATTAGTTATTATAAAATATGTTAAAAGGAATGACCTTACACAGGGAATAGTGGGAAGCTGATAGGGCAGAACTGAGGCTATATTGGTCTTGTATATTAATCACTCACTATCTAAGTTCTAGTGAAGTGCAAAGCTCTCCTATAGAGAGCTTTGTTACGAGGTTTGCCGTCTAGATCACGTGGAAGTGCTCTAGGCTCTCGAGGTGGTTTATAACTAGGCGTCAAGCAGGGACTTAAGTAATGACAATAATGATATATAATTCGTAACTAATAGTAGAGTATACTAAATGATTGATCTTGATCTTGAACACAAAGCTCTATACAAAGGGAATCCATCTTGATTATATAGACCTTCGTGCCTCGTTAAAAATCGATGGCTATAAACCTGACAATTCGATCACCGCAAAACCGATCTCGATTTGTCGGTTTCTTGATCATATGATCAAGAACGTGACCTATGTTACTGTCCGACGTAACAATAATATAAAATTGAAAATATTAAGTTTTGATATTTCAATTAATTATACTTACGGAATTTCTACACCCACTGTTGAAGGTATAAATGAGTAAAGAAATGGTTTGGGTGAGTCTGAGGGACTATCGGGTATGGAGGTAGGAATACGAGTATGGCATGATATGTTCACCATCCATTCAAGTAAGATCTTACTTTACTTTACTCTACCTCTATTATAGAAATCAAGAACAAGAAAAACAATAAAAAAACAATGAAATAACATAAAACAACAAAAGAAACACAGTAAGCATATACTTTCGATACTTAACTACCTATCTCCTTATCACCAATCGATCTACCATTGGTACCAGTAATCCGCTGTGCTGTGCTGCGCTGCGCCGCCCTTCTCGAGAGTAAATAATCTTAATACTGTCTAATAGAGAATTACATAGTAGATATCAATCTACATCTGTTACATTATCCCATTTTAGCATTTTGACTCTACTCATCAATATAAATCTAGCTAGTATAACTCTATAATATTCTCCATCACACCAAAGAGCAAACACTGACAAATAAACCAAAGAATAAAAGAATAGACAATAATATATCTCATCAACCTGTAAGCTGTCTAATGTCTATGTTTATATAAAATCATCGTTCGGCATCCTCCACTTCTCTTCTGTTCTAAATACAAATAAAGCGGAGTATTGTTATTATCATCCGTGTCTTCTGTAGCCATCATCCATCGCCATCCGTTCATTACCTCATCACCATGATATCAGCAAACCGTGTAAAGTCCCCTACCTAACCTCCAACACCCTGACAAATAAAACCAAACTAACCCAACCCAATCCATCCCATCCAATATCCCACCCGCTGTCCACACCGCTATGTATAACCAAAAAACCCTCAAGCCGCCTTTCTGGTCGGCGACAACGCCGCAGATGCCACATCCGAGCCCGACCAAGCCATCATATTCTTGTCACTTAAAGTCCCTGAGTGCGCCATCGATTCCCAATCATAAAATCGTTTAATTAGTTCCGGGTCGGTATCGTCCCCGATGAATGTCCAGCTTTCTTCCGAATCTTCCAGCGTATCATCATCCGACTTTCCTTCTTTGCACTTAATCAGTGATTTCGCGTACTCCATGTCTCGATATATGCTCTGAATCGCAGTATCGACTCCATTCTCCTAATATTCGTTAGTCGAAACTCTTGTTTCATATGTGAGTGTTGACATACTTTTCTGATTTGTTCGCCCAAAACTCTAGCCTTTGTAATTATCCTCTCACTATGTGTGGCCTCCCAGAGAGCCCGCGAAAAGACGCTGACGTTGATCTTCTTGATCAGCACGCCAACACCTAAATCCTCAACACGTTGACCAAAGAAAAATTGATCTCCAAAGAACGGCCTGATGATCGTTGGAATACCGGCTCGCAAGCTAGCTCCAGTAGTGCCGGCGCCCCCATGATGGGCTGCTGCATCGACCTGAGAAAAGAGCCAGTCGTGCGGTGCAGATTTGATCTGAAATATCTCCGGTGGAAGTGGTATTTCAACATTATTAGCGCCTTTCTTCTCTAAGCGGTCTGACCATCCTTTTGACAGAATGCATCGTACATCGGCTTTAAGAACAGACGCCACAACTGTTTTGGTCAAAACTGCAGAATCTGCCACAACGATTGATCCAAACCCAACATACACAAGCCGTTTGCCATCTGCGCGCGCGTTTGCTATGAAATCAGTGAGATCTTTGGGTGGTGTGTAGTTTGCTCCTTCATCCAAAAACCAGTAACCTGTGACTCTAATCCAATCGCTGTAATCAAGAGGTGGTACCACGACTGAAGGACTGAAATTATACAAGAATGGAACCTTATTAGGCTGCATCTTCTCCAGACCAGTGGCTTGCAGATTTAGCTCCTTCTGTCTCCAACGATTCACCTGCCCGGAAATAGCTCTCCAAAAGACGGTGTCAAACATAAGGTAAGTGACATAGTTGTAAGAACCACCCAGCTTGTGCTCAGGAACAGCAAATGCGTGAGGATAAGCTCTTGTTCTTGTCCATGGCATGGTGAAAGCTCGGAAATATGGGATTCGAAGGGCTTCCGCGATATGGATTCCAGCCATTGCGCTGGGACTCTCAATCAGAATATCAGAATTTTGGCAGGCTCGCCATGATGAACTGAGCAGATCATCTATCCAACCACGAAACTTCGAAGAAGCTTCTTTTAAGAACGAGACAGTGAACATTCCGTTTTCGACACAAATCCGCATCAATTCGGCTGGATCACCATCAACTGGCGCAAATTCAATACCGTGTGACTCAATCCACTCCTTGAATTCCAAGTGAGTAGCTATCTTTGTTTGATGACCTTCTGCCATCAAACCCTTACATAGAGCAATGTAAGGCTGAACATCACCACGAGAGCCGATGGTCAAGCAAGTGATACGGAGAGGTTCCGTTGGCTTAAAGTTCAATATTGACGCTCTCGGATCATCGAAGGATATTGACTGTGATCCACCGTCGGCTGCTTTGTGCATATCAATATCATGCTCAGAACGGATCCCGCGTCGTGCCTGTATTAAAGCTCTGTGTTCAGCACCGGCCATCTCCGCGCTTTCGCGCTCATACATAGTCAAAAGGCCGGAGTCTTGCATATACTGCATTGTCTCCACATTCTGCAAGAGAGTTATTGCACAATCATCTCGGTTCTCGGCTTGATTGAACTCGAAGAAAATTTCTTCGTGCCCTCGGATAGTGATGACAAGTCCCGAGTATCCAAAACGAAATCCTTTCTCTTTATCGACGTTCTCGATATCTTTCAAAGGAAGAATAAATTTAGTTCGGGTGCCTGGTAGTAGACTGCGGAAGCAAAAAGATCGGTCACTAATATAGATTTTGCCATATAGCGGAAGGACCCGCTGCAAGTAGCCAAAGTATGTGGCATGAAGCTTCTCGTCTGGAGGTAAGGCAAAATGATCACGAAATCTGTCGGCGGGTGTAGCACCATCCCGGTTATCATCATCGTCTCCAATGCTGGGCATTTCATTGTCACGTGGTATTCCGTGGGGTTCCTCATAGTGCTTTTTGCCCCCTTTCCACATGCCTGAGACCTTTTCCACGTAACCCATTGACTCACTTGCCAGTAAAGTGCTCATTCTTTTGGAGTGTCTATTGAGATAGCCAGCAAACCCTGCGGCTCTTTGTAAAGGATACGATCCAGCCTTAACGATACTTTGTAAAGAAGGGCCAGATGAGATCTCCGCTTGCCCAACATTCGAGTCGCTCACCGAACCTGTGGTTGCAGCGTGTTTTGGATGCTGTGGCCGCTGAGTTCGTGTCGGGGAAACATCAGCGGACTTTATCGGGGAGGTGAGGGAACGAGACTTTGGGCCCTGAATCTCGTCTTTGTTTCTGTTGCACGCCACTGAGGGAGAGTGCTGTATGGTAGGGGATAAGAATACATCGCTGCCTCGCAGTATCTGACTAGCCGATGCTTGAGTCTCGTCACTTGCTGATGGTAAAGCCTCGGATGACCCCGGTTCCTCCAAGGAATGCACATATGAATCCGATGATCCTTGCTTAGAAGTACGTTTTTCTTGATCTAAGCGATTGGTGCTCAAGCTACGTCTTGTGCTGATGCTATTTGCACTATTACTTCTGTGATGTTCCGTAGTTAATCGGTTCAGGTCGATACTGCGTCGGCCGTGCTTATTGATATCCAGACTCCTACGAAAGATATCTGAGCTTGAGAGGCTCATGTCAGTGCTGGCGCGAGGACTTCCAGCCCCTGGAGCAAGCAATGGAGATAAAGTTGCTCGGACGGTTTCCTCCAAGGCTGGTGCGTTGGGTTGTACAGAAGGACCATGGAGCTTCCGGTCACGGCTCACTTGAAATGACGTCCGCTTGGAGCTACCACGGCTATCATCAGCTGTTGAAAGTGGGGACAAAAGTTCCTCTGGTATTTTCTGCGCGGCCGTATCCCCAACAAGGATTTTCAGTACGCTCAATGCTAATTTGCCATTGGTAAAGAAAGAGAAAAAGTACTAGACAATTCGTTAGCAGTCTGCTTCCTTTGGTTCAAAGTTACTAACCTCGTCAATAGCATAAGTCTCATCGTTGTCAATGATCCGTATCTTGCAGGTATCGGCGAAATCAATTATTCGACTGTCCTCAATGTCGATGATATTCTCGATAGGTAACGATATTTTGACACTGTCGCCATCGTTGTGAGACCTGAATATGATTTTTTGCAAGGCTTTAACCCATTCTTTTGCGCTAGGGGCGCTATCCGCATTGAAGTTGTATTTACGTTGATGTGTTTCGACGGTGAAATGTGTAGAGTCTTTCCCTTTCTCTTTTTCCACAATACTTGCCGAAATCCCGTACCTCAAGTCAATATTACCACTTGGAAAATATAAGTCCGATGGGTTGGTGTAGTATGAAAGAACGTCATCTTTTAGCCGGAACCAATATCTATTGTATTTTGGGTTGTGTCGACCAGATTTTGAAAGGTAGCCTGATTTGACGACTTCATTCTATGTAATTGTTAGTTTGCAAACCGCAGATCAGGATAATAACATACGGCTTTCTTTGGTAGATATGCATAGAAGCAAATATGCTTAGTAGTAATGTACATATAACCTTGTAGCAAAACACTCTTCATCAGCCAGCAAGGATATTCTATAGTAGTTAGCATATGCGTTTGAGAGGGAAAAAAAAAGGTAGAATCTACCCTCTAGTACGTCTTCGGGCGTTTCAAACTTGAAGATCTCCATCAACCTCTCTGCTAAACTATCCGGTGATGTTCTCTCATCATCAACTTCTGCAGGATCTTTTGATTTTCGAGGCATTTCAAAACTAGGTCGCAAAGATAATTCTGCTCGGGCTTCCAACATTCTGCTCATGACCGGTGTGTCTTTTGGTTGAAGTGGTGAATATCTTATCTCAGGCGAGGTAGGTTCCTGGCGAGATTCACGCAGTGGTGATGGCGTACGGCTACCTCTAGCGATGGTGTTTGATGATTTAGACTTGGACCTAGAACTGAACCGCGAAAAGGACCGAAGTATCTTGCTTTCGGAAAGTAGTCGTCTATGTCCTTCAAATTTCCCCATCTTTTGATCTATACTGCTTCGATTTATGTGTGATTCGGAGCTTTGCCGGGTTGGCTTTCCCAAATCATATTCTTCGTCGCTAGATTGCGCATCGAATCTGGCATTGAAATCAACAATTGAGCTGGCTGCAGCGATCATACCAAACACAGATTTATTCAGCGCATGACCGGCGGTGCAATCCTCGTCCTCATCATCGCCTTCCCGGAAGCGCTCAGGAATTTCCGTGGCTACTTGATGTTCTTCTTTCCATCGCTTCGTCGACTTCCTAGTGGCCCTCTTTTTCGACTCATCGTCCGGAGCCATATTGATAATGACTTCTGGTTGTTGGTATTTTATACAGACAACGTAAGTTGTTCTGATGTTGTCTCTTCCGGTTCAAGCATTCAGCGACGTCAAGATCTCTCGTGGTATCGATAAGGATGGGTTAAGCTGCTTTAGAGTAAGTACCCTGGAACGTTAATCACATGCGAATTAATAAATCTGATCATCCGCTCTTCTGTGCTAGACAGAAACATGTGGATGATAGAAGAATCCAAAAATTCAGAAGTTTAAAAGGTTGGATAAGTAATGAATCACAAGTTGTCTAAGGGCTGGGTTCTTGAGTAGGAACGTACACGAATTATTACTGAAGGGCGGATAACTGAAGGGCGGGCAGTAATCCTGCCTTGAGCACGGGCTTCAATGTCTGTGGAGAAGAGAACGATCAAGGCCCCAAGTAGATGACTAACCACATAGGCAGGTAGTTTGACTCTGTGCGGATGATGATCCCTTAGGTGAGTGATATGACTGCATTAGGTAATCGTGAATAGAGGCAGCCCTGGGTAAATAGTTCAGATAGTGTGAATATTGAACAGGCACATTGTATTATCATTAGTTATTTCTTGTTGTTTTATTGGCTTTCGTTTTCTTTTGTTTGTGTTGATAGTCGGCTTTCAAAGGCAACTCATGGAGAGCGAATTGTAACGATACTGTGCTGGAGGCAGCGGCTGCCTAAGGTTTCGTCTGGTTGGTAGTTATGGGTTAAGGCTTTATCATTGGTATTCACTTGGAAGTGAATTCGTTACTAGATCAAGTAGAATGTAGGTAAACTAATTGATAACTAATTTGAGCACGAAGCTCTTAAACTATGAAACTATTCTAACTATATACTAAACGTTTCTCTGAAGGCTAGCTGTGCTAGCTAGCAGAGCTATCACGTCACGTGATCTCCTATTGGCCTCAGGACACTGATCCTGGGACGATTCTCATCCTAGGATAATATTAGACGTGGTTCGTGACATCCATTTACACCAAAATCGGTAAAGGAATAATTCGCTTTCCGGAGGCATTCGCTTTCCCCGACTTCTAAGTTACTAATCGGCTGTTTGTGAAAGTCGACTTATCCAAAGCTATATACACCTAGGTATACTTGACTCGTATATGAGAATAAAGTCCGAAATATGAGTTGGAACTCAAAATATTCGTATCATACAATAATCTAACAATATCTAAACATTCCCAATCCAATAATTCATTACATCCAAAGGCACAATTTCCCTGCCGCCGTCCCACCTGCAACCCAGTCCTTCGTAGGATGAAACTGTGCAGCGGCTGGGACAGCTGTTATAAGACCATCACCCCCTAATTGTGCTAACTGTTCCCCATCCGCCGAATAAACATCGCAGAACCGGTTCATATTTCCAATCACGAATTTCTGAATACCATCCTCTGGCTTCTCTTGCCAATGGGGTTTCAATATAGTTACCCAACGTCCGGTTTGGTTGTTGTGTTTAATAACAGTTGTCGGCTTCATTGCAGCATCATCGAGTGAATGTCCTGTTTTGAAAGAACCGGCGTCAAGAAACGAATGAATCTTAATAGTGTCATCGTATGAAGAAGTTGCCACATGACCAGCAGGGGACCATGAAGCATGAGATACTGAAAGCCTAGACTCATGCTCACCCAGTAAAACTGGATGCCTCGAGCTACCTGTCCCTGTTATTTTCCGCAGATCCCAGATCTTTAACATCCTATCTAATGATGCTGTAGCCACAAGATGGGGATGCAATGGGTGTAAAGAAAATCCACCTATCTTTTTGTCCGAGAGGTACCAGATTTCACTGTTGGATGGAGTTCGCATATCATGTCGTCCAAATCGGCCATCGAGGGTAGAAAAGCATAAGAGATTCGGATTGGTAGACGGTATGGCGATACTAGATATAGGCATGTCTTCATCTATAGAATCTGGGGCGAATGCCTCAACAGCTACTCCTTTCTGTAGATCAAGTTTGCGAACTGAAGAATCATATGAAGCTGAATAAAGCGTGTTTCCGTCTGCACCAAATACAAAAGAAGAAATTGATCTAGAATGTATCTTGAATGCAGTGATAGCGGGCTCTGCGGTATCTTGGTCATCTTCATCGTCTTCCATCTTAACTTCCGGACCTCCTTGTGATGCATCGAACAGTCCAACATTCCCTAGTTTATCTCCAGCAAATATTAGAGGTTTGTCCACCGTTGGGTGAAATCCTAGAGCGTATATTCGTTCAGGAGTGATTTTGATTTCTGGGCTTGAAGTTAATGAAACATTCACCGGGAATAGTTCAAGACTTACGATTAGGCTCGTATAGTTTATATAGTTCTAATCCGCTCATTTTCTCTCTCAAAGCCTTCAATCCTTCATCCGTCGTCTCTTTAATATCATCTTCGGTAAAGGTCCTCAGATTGGGCTGGGCGCCACGCATGACACCAGATAAAAAGTCGTTTTCCTGCTTCCATTTCCTCCCTTCGACAACAATGTCATTAATATTTAAATCTCCAACAACTCGCTGCCTATTGGCTTGCGAGACCTCCTTTGCAAATTCCAGTTCGACCTCCGCTTTACGTTTCGCAGTCTCGCTATCAGCTTCAATACCAGCCAGACGTGAACTTGTACGGGTTGGCCTAAAGGCCACTTTTTGGACTCGAGCCGCTTTCTTTCCAGTTGTTGATTTTCGTTTCGGTGGCGGTTTTGGGACAATTTTCTGTGCTGTCGTGCTAAGGTCTTTTAACATTGCTTGATTTGCCGCAATGTTTTCGAGTCTCCGACGCTCAAAAGCACTCATTTCTGGTTTTGCCTTCCTACTTGGAGCCATCTTGATTATTTCTTGTGGTTTGTGGAGTTTTTTTTTTAAAAAAAAATCAATTGCAAAAAAATGGTCTATCAAATACCAATGTTGAAGTCAATCGCATTTCAATTTATGAAGTCATTTCAATTAACGCGCTTCCATTGAAGAAACCGCGTCGCGACTTGACTTGGTCTGTGCACTTCGATAATTTCTTAGCTCTGGAAAACTTGCGAAAAAAATTAACGAGGGGTGGGTGGAATTCAAATGTTCAACATACTCACTCCCTTCCTCTCCATCTTAGCTTCTAGATTTACCTTTCGAAATTAAAGACTCGGCGTATGTCATAGCATTGATTACTCTACATGCGACAAAATGGCATCTATAAAAGTTGCTGAAGCTATTCCGATCGCATATTCAACTATGTCCTCCACAATGATGCCATTTCTATATCAAACCAGGACAATTGCCAGCCTGCATAAATCCATCTGCAATAGGGGATACCGAAACAGCACCCTGCCTTCGATCCACAGAACAGGTCTTCATACTTCCTTATCCCGAGCTAGCTACGAACCACAAGACGGAACCTATACTGGGGGTGATACTGGTCCTCGAATCATTAGGAGAGCTCCTACGTCTAGGGGCAGCGACTTTAGTCGACATAGACCTCGTCCAAGGATGGCATTTGATGAGTACAAACTCAATCTTGAGAAGAGTGAACTAGAATCAGAAGGCAACATTGCGGAATCTGTGGTTATTGGTTTCGAGGATGACGACCAGTCATTGATAGAATATGGCACGGAAATCGATGCATTGGCAAGTCCAAATTATCCGAAGCGCGAGTCTACCATTACAGATTCGGAGAGGCACACTTTCAATCAAATATTTACAGATATTTTCAAGCGGACTCAAATAACATCTCTATACGACGTTGAAGATGACGGCACGCAAATCCCACCCACCACGAATAGGGAAAGTGCGCGGAACAAGCTTGATAACATAATGGAACATTCGCTGTCGAACAAACGGCATCGGACCACGAAGGAACGGGAAGTCGAAATCAATAGATACCCACCAGCTCTTCGTGCTGCAGCTGCTAGGGCGATTGGTCTTACTCTAAAGGAGGAAGTAAAAACTGAAGTGGAGACCGTGGAACCAGAGCTTGACTCTCAGGCACAATTGCGAGAACCTGAGCGTATACGAGTGGAAGAATTGCTGCGCAATGCCAATACAGATTTTGAGCTCTGGGATGTCCTCGAAAAAGAAGTATTTCCCCTCATTGCAAAAATGGGTCTAGGAGAGACAAGAGAGAGCCGAGATCAGCAAAGAAGAGGGATAGAAGGGTCTGACATTCTTCCTGTCAAAGAAGATTCCACTACTGTAACCGATGATGAGCCTGAGATTTCCCCTCTAGCTCTTTATGGCCCTCTCTATCCATCACACCTCCTTCTTGGCTTACGTCTCCTCGACCGGGGTTTCAGTAGACCCTCTCAGCTATCCGTCTCGATTCTCCCGCGCATTAAATCCTTCGGCCTCCTCTCCCATGTTCTTGGCGCCTCCACACCTCTCTATAACGAGCTTCTACGCATTTACTGGATACGATACGACGATTACCGAACTTGTATAGATCTACTCAACGAGATGGAACACGCAGGTCTGGACTTCGACTCAGAGACATATGATATTGTCACCGACATCCTAAAAATCAGGGCTCTCGTGTGGAAGGGAGAAGCAGGTCGAAATAAAACAGCATTATGGTCTTTACCAGAGTTTAAAAGGTCTCGCCACCTCGAGTTTTGGCAGGAAAAAATCGAAAGACTTTTAACAACGAAGAGGATGAAAGAAAGGGTATAGCTTAGTGAATTGGAATCTGGATTTACTCAGTCCAACTGAGTATATCATGTGCAATAAATTACAGATCTGTTAGCTACTGGTCATTCCCCTAGCTGACTTTGTTTTAATGGCCTTTTCCTTTTTCATCATTTGAGATACACTACCCAGGTACACTACAATTGTGAAGTGATTGATACCTAGGCAGTTATCTTTCATGAAGTTGCAACGGGTGAAGTGGAAGGTCATTGGTAATAACGTGTGTATGTATGTATGTGGCTAGTCGCGCTGACTAAGAAACGCGTAAATAAATACGGACTCTTATTTCGATCCTAACTGGAATGTACCGTATAATTTATCAATCAGTGTCAGAATACACTTCGAGACTAAAAATCGAATTTAGACTTAGTCCAGAAAATATATTTTAATTGCTTTCTTGCAGAACTTTCCTGTATAATTTGGTTCCTCGGTATATATTTACGTTGGCTTTATTCCTTTATACAAAGCTAACCGCGTCCTGCTGCAGTTCCTTTTCCTTCCTTTATATAGAACGAACTAACTGTCATTATCTATTTGAAGCTCATCAATGCCATTGACTACAAGGCTGTCAGAAATTATCCTGTGTGCCATTGCCAATATTTGATACAGAACAGAAACAATTAGACAAAACCCCCAATTATCATCATACAGTTTTGGCATTCTGTGAGGTAACCCTTCAATACATGGTCAAGTCCTTGTGGTAGATATCTTTACCACAAGGTTAGTCATGTCCTCATAGTCAAAAATACTTAAATTGAATGCTGAGCAAATTCTTAGAAATTGAGACCTCAATTCAACAAACAACAGCTCAAGATCCTGTTCGGGGCATCCGAGTCTTGTTGAAATACATGAAGATCGTCGGTCCTTAACTACAAACGGAGATCACCACTTGAAGCACTATCGAAGTCTTCAATTTTAGTGATTAACTTGAGTCCTTTGCAAGTAATGCCTCGCTCTGGTAACTTCAGTAGGGATCCATCAACCTCTACTGATAACTCCAAACTCGTACACCAACAAATTTTAGCCCAGCAGCTTGACCTCGATCAAACGACATCTTCAGATGTTGACAGTACTACACCGCCTCTATTCCAAAAGAGAAATATCTCCATCTACCCGCCAGAGCTCATATATCCCAAGTCACGGTACTTTGGCTACATTCCCCCACTGCCAACAAGCAAAGAGTATCAGGCATATGCGGTTCTATCACAGGAAGTTAACAACCAAAATTTGGTGAGGCCACCGTCGACACAGGAAGATTTTGTGGAATTCGAGTTGACCGATTTCTCAATTTACATGCCTGATACCCCTCTCTATGGGCATGAAATGCGGGGCCTTCAAGATCTCGCAAGCAAGGCCAGCCATTCATGCTTGCTCTTCGACAGAATCCTCAGTGTTGGAAGCTTACGTCATTACGTTCAAGGTGTACCATTCAAAATATGTTCTATAGGAAACTATGGTGAAGAAGTTGACGACGTTGATGGTGCTATCTGGCTTCAGTCTGATCTGAATGCAAAGGCAAATATTTACTATCGGCTAGGGAAACCAACCCCAGAATATTCTCGTTTTCACCTTGGCTTTTTATGGTTGTCGAATCTGTCAAAGCATTTTGTTGATTATTCTCTGGCATGTCAGGAGCAAAAGAAAAAAGTATCAATTTGCAACTTCCGGACAGAATTTGCGCAATGGTGTAGGAAAGTCCACGCAAAATCATCAAAGTTCCAATCTTGGTATCTCGAATATGGCCGAGATGATTTAAGACAAACCGTCTCGGCAAACATTAACTTTCTGTTCAAGGAATCGATTGGTGTTATGGAAAAGCTTCGCTCGTTGGACATTTGGAAGGAAGTCTTGGAAAAGTCAAGCATCAAGCAACATCCAATAGTAGAGAATATGACGATTGTCACACCATATGTCTACGATTGTTTCAGCCATTTAAGATTTGGACACATTCTCAAACCTCTGGTACCAACTGTCTTTTCAAAAAATACACAAGGATCAGAGGTGCATTCACCACTGTCACTTTCGCCTAGGAGAGCACGCATTACTTGGGATCCCAACTCTTCGATAAGGCATCAACTTATGTCTCTCTTTGGTGCCAAGGATAACTTGGGGGTTGAAATAAGCAAATGGGAAGCAGCCAAACGACAAAAAATGCTTGATGCTATCAAAGTAGGGGATGTATTATCAGTCACCAAGGATGGTCCGGATTCTGTTTGGAAAGATGAGACAAGCCGGTGGAAAGCAGAAGACCATTGCTGGTATCTATACGTACAAACCAAGCACACAAGTCCCCGTGGTAAATACTCTTTTGATGGAATTTGGCTCTACAAGCCTTCAGACACTAGTTGTGCAAAAATGAAGTATCCATACCCCAAGGAGTTGTTATTTAGCGATAACTGTACTTGAGGGTCTGCTGACTCTCGGATACCTCAGGAAGAAGTCATTGGTACTGTCTTCGTCGTTTGGCATGGCCTACCATCAGAGACGGATATTTTCATTCGTCAAACATATCTGGACAATGAGAACTTTGTAACGTTAACAGATTCACACAAAATATGTAAGCATCTACGAACGTCCAAGGATGATTCCTCATTGTCATCCACGATAATTGATCGCTTCCCTATTGGACAGACAATACTTGCATTACCTCCTCGGCGCAGATCAGAGAATGGTCTCGAGCCTTATGAGGTTGTGAAATACGATGAGGAAAACTCTAAGTTATACGTCACATTGAGGAGACTTGTAAGAAGATCAGACTTTGAAAAAGCTGTGTCTTGTCGACCAAATGAGCTTATATACACTGATATAAAAGATAAGATGTCAGCTGCTAAACTCGAGAAAACATGCTTGATACGGTTTTATACCGAAAAACAAATCTTAGCCGACGATGTCCCAGCACCCTATTGTAGAGATGGAGGCTCAAATGCTTTTATCATCACGAAACGGCTGCGGGAGGGTGGCCAGAAATTAATACCGATAGAGGACGACACGCCGCAAGGTCTCATTCAAGGGTTTGATCCCGAAGCACCACTCGAACGGAGGGTTCTGAACGGGCTCGATCTTTTCTGTGGTGGTGGCAATTTTGGTCGTGGCTTGGAAGAAGGTGGAGCAGTACATAACAAGTGGGCTGTTGATTTATTCTCAGCGGCAGTACAAACATATTCTACTAATTTAAAAGACCCGGAGGGAACTGACATGTTCTTTGGTTCGGTGAACGATTTACTAGTGCAGGCTTTTGAAGGCAATCCGCAAAAATTTAGAATTCCTTCACCAGGTGATGTTGACGTTATCTTGGCGGGTAGTCCTTGTCAAGGTTTTAGCAGAATGAATATGAATAAGGGCAATGATCAAAGCCTGCGGAACCAATCACTCGTCGCATCTGTTGCGGCTTATATTGATTTCTATCGGCCTAAGTATGGGTTATTAGAAAATGTCTTGACCATGGCTCAAAAAGGCTTGGGACGTGAGGAAGATATTCTTTCCCAACTCATATGCACCATTGTTGGTCTTGGGTACCAAGTACAACTTTTCCTACTTGATTCATGGAGTTTTGGTAGTTCCCAAGCACGAAGTCGAATATTTGTCTCATTCGCTGCCCCTGGTTTCGTTCCACTCAAGCATCCCGAACTTTCACATTCTCACCCTCCTCACGTTGGTGAACGTGGACTGGGTAAATTGGCAAATGGACAATCTTTCGGTAGTCGAATTCATTGCCCCACTCCTTTCAACTATCTCACCGCTGAAGACTCCATAGCTGATCTTCCTTACATTGGAGATGGAGCGACGTCTCAATGTACAAAGTATCCGGATCATGTCACACCACAAACTTTGTCTAAAATGTATAGATTCCAAGTTGCTTGCATACCGACCCACCCAAGGGGTATGAATTTTTCGAAGACGTGGAATAACGGAAATGGCATTATGACCAAAGCAGAACGAAACATCTTCCCATATTTCACAAAGTCTGGGAAAGTTCGGGAAAGCGTTACTTCAAATTCCAGGGCCTGGGGGAGGGTGAAACCTCGTGGATTATTTCCAACCATCTTAGTGACGATAAACTTGGAGGATTCCCGTATGGGGAATAGTTTACATTGGGATCAGCAACGACGCTTGACAATTATGGAACTACGTCGTGCACAAAGCTTTCCGGACGATGAGGTGTTGGTAGGAACAAGAGGAGAACAAATGAAAATAATCGGGAATAGTGTTGATAGGTCTGTTTCCATGGCATTGGGCATTTCTCTATGCAACGCCTGGCTCGAGTGTTCTCCGGAAGATGATAGCCAAGGGACACTTATGGAAGCTCAATCATCTATGACGGTGATGGAATCTTTAAACGAAATTCCAAAAAGTACAACTTCTATAGCTATCGAAGTTGTTCTGAGTCAACGGCCGAAGCCGATGCCACATATTGTCGGAACTCTAAGTAGCGTATCGGATGGCATTGAAACATCAACTCCCACATCATCAAACTCGATAGGCTCAAATTTGTCCGGCTTTGACGAATCAAGTTCATCAGAAAGTGTCAAAAATCTACGAGACGCTTTATCTAAAATACAAAAGAGGAGACGTTTGATCCATCCTGACGACGAACCTGCTCTCAAATCTCCAAGATTGAGCCCAGCAATTAATCTTACATCAAAAGCAATAGAGCCTTTTGCGAGATCGATATGCAATTCGAGTCCAGCCTCAGGGTTCGATTCCGCAAGACGTCCGGCTCCAAGAAGTAACTTGACACAAAAAGTTGTTAAAGTCAGACCAGAGCAAGCTTCTCCTGGCATATATTCGGCATCACCATTTTCAACAGCCATTTCTCCTGATCAAGCAACCACACATCGCGCTAAAAATCTCACAAATGGAAAGCCACATTCTTCGCGAGGCAAACCCTTCATCATTAACGATAGTGAAACTGAGAGCGGAAACACTCTATGGGGAGAATCTGGACCACGCACCTCAAATCTTTTATACCGAACTTCCCACTCCCACAAATCATCAACCAAAACCGGTAACCTCAAAAGTCCCTCAACAAAATCTTCTCACCACAAAAAATCTCCATTTGTCATCAATCTTACAGAATCTGATAGTGAGGATTATGTTAGTAACATCTCTTCAACTTTACCACAATCCTCATTCGAAGTCGTGATTCCAATGCCCAGCTCCAGAATTAGATTAGAGGAACAAAATAATATTACTTCATCTAGCTTTCAATCTAGCGACCAAACATTAGGGGGGAATAGACACAAATCTGCATCGAAGAGAAAGTATGTCCCGGTTGATAATAGTTAGTTCAATGCGTATGCACAAACTAATCGCATGATGAGAGACATGGATAGAATCTAGAAGTGACGAGTGAGTCGCAGACGGATTGTAGAGTTTGGGCAATAGTAGGAGAGTTGATGGTTTGGTGAGGATGAGGCAAATGGAGGATGTGTGACCAGTATGAGATTGAGCTGGGATGCGTACTATGTGAGATTGTGTATGTAAGGTTTGAATTTGTAAATGTAATGGGTGTAGTTTGGTTATAGCTAGCTTCTTACATTACATTACCATTTCGTGGTATGATCTTGAGATTTCTTAGTCTTGATCTAATCACGCGGTAATTGGAAATTCCTATTACACAATCGGTGAAATGATAAATCAGTCTATTAGATGGAATATCTTGATTTTTATATATGAGTGATTTTTGTGAACTGCAGATCTGGGGATGGAATTGCTGCTAGTACTGGGAAGAGGATGGGAGGTCATTGAAGTTTTGTCATGTCCAGGAGCTTTTATATTAGGAATTCTAATCGATGGAAAAACTTGCGTAAGACAGGGCCGCGGAGCTATATGGATTTATGGAAGATAGCACCGATAAAATCCCGTTGATCTAAACTCTACATTTAACATTCCATGTAAGATCTTATACCTCGTATAACCAGTAGAATCTTATAAGCTCACTCCAACCTATCTATATAAGATCTTACAACTCGCTGGACTTATCTGAATATTCAGATATAATCCGGTAGTAGCTACTGTAGGTGATCTTGCCTAAATTTCAAATTTCAAATTCTATGCGGAAACAAACAAACTTTAGGTGGGCTAGTATCATACATACTTCCAGTTTCATGCCTTCATACTCCATGCTTTCTTATTTCACGGGCATGTGCATGTGTATGTGCACGCACAGCTCAATCTCACATGATATACATGACATGATTTGATATGAATGACAGCTCTGTACTGCATACTTGACACTTGTACCTATACATAGGTACCTAGGTAACACAACATAATTACATTTAAATTCATCAATTAGCTTGTATCACCGTAATTGCATCCATTGATACACATCCAAATGCAAATGCAAATGCAAATGCAAATGCACCCACATTTCCGACCAAACCCATCAGTAGCACAAAAACAAACCCAAAACGAAAACAAAAACCAAGACTCGATACATTGTACATTTGACAAAAACGGATATTCGCATATATACCACAGCGCATGCATGCACTCGAGCCGTAAAAAACAACGGCTTCTAGCATTTTGACGGGTGTCACTTAAATGTCAATGTAATGAACCGTATGTTGTATGTACTGTATGTACTATTGCGTATTTCTTGCTTCGGGTGTTTGGAGTATGTATGTATGTATGTATGTATGTAACTTCTAGATGGGCTGGAGATTAGATTTAATAGATTATGATGTTGAGGGCTGGAGTTGTGAAGATTTAGAGGGTTGAGGTGTTTGGATGTGGATCTGGATCTGGGTCTGAGATATTGGGTTCTGTATGGATGTGTGTAACTTTAGTCATGTTTTTAATGGTTTGAGTGATTTGAATGATTTGAATGATTTGGTGGTACTTTATTTCACTTTATTTTATTTTATGTCGTAATTTAAAATTTGAAATTTAGAGTGTGAAAGTGGTAGGAAGGTCCAACCTCCAATCGGATATCGATGTTGTTTCTTGAGTCATTTGTGGATTTTTTGAGAGGGAGAGGGTTGAGTATAAAATAGGAAGAGTAGAGAAGAGAAATAAATAAATAAATAAACCCATCACGAACGAACATCTTGAAAACAAACATAGAATCTAAAAGCACCAAGTATCAACTTTGACATCTACTACATATACACATCTCAATCAGTACCGTACCCCGCAAAAACCTTCATGTGGGGTTTCCAGGTTCGTAAGTACATGCAGATCAAACCAACATAAAAGATAACGTTGCATACTTTCTATGGGTTTGTATCCGCTGCCCCCACTAAGTCTTTGTGTACCTTTGTATTCTACTGCCGTTTCTTATATGAAGTGTATTTTATTCTGTCTCTCCTTCTCATCCCTGCTAATACTCATTTCCTAGGGCTTCATGCATATACGGTAGATTAGATGCCGTTGGATATTTGCAGTTTTTTTTTATTTGGATGAGATGTGGTGGGCCAATCGGTAGGTATATTCTTGTCATGGACGGTTAATATGTCCTATGCCATTCAAACCGATGGAAAACTTTACTATATGCGTGATTTGCAATCATGCAACGTCATACCGGTAGGTACCCCGTGGCTTAATAGAGAAACATCTATCTTTCGCATCCTATGAAGAGTTGTCGAGCTACCTCCACTATATGTATGATTCCTGTTAGATGAACGATTGCCTCCAGAGACCGCAATGCTTGGCCACGTATATATTCGGTATGCCAGGTTTCTTCATCCAATCCCATTTCTCGTTCCTCTTATACTTCTGTCTATAATCTGCCGATCTTACCCTTCGCTCCCCACGAAACTGACGTAGATTCGTACATATCCATAGATATGGTGTCCCTCACTCCTTTCATTCTTTCATCATCATTCTCATGTTCGAGATCAGGTTCTAAAACGCGCTCAAGAATCGAATCGAAATTACCATACAAAATTGCAGGAAAAACCTCATATACAACATACTGTGCACATAATACTTCTCGTGAACGACTTCTTATTCCTTCAGATCAAAGCCCCGCCGAACCTATTCAAGATTACCAAGAATCTCGTCGATCATCACCTAGTCAGCATTGGTACTTTCCAAATCATTCGAAAAGTACGAAAGATGAGGCAGGTAGCTCAAATAAAGAATTCGCGGGATATTACCTCCTCGCAGTAGTTTCAAGGCCCGCTCAGTCGACGGAAAGATCAGCAACAGAGAAAAGAGACTCGCCAAACATTGCGTCCAATCTTTCGCCTTCTACGAACAGTAATGTAAATGATATTTTCAGAGAGACTTTTGATTCAACAACGATAGATACACATGGTGAGCGACCGAGGTCATATGGTATTGGAGGAGCGGGAAATATCCGTAAGTAATGTTCTTAGTGTTTTGCTTGCGCTAGCAATCTGTAGTATCTATCTAACATTTATGGATACATAGGCAAACCATCAGAGGTGATCTATACTCCACGCGAGAGACGTAGACCAAGTATCTTCAGTAGTCTCTCGGTTTCTTCATCCACTTCTTCTGTTACGAAGAGAGGAGGCTTCCTGTCATGGATTGGAATTGGAAGCGGTAAAAGAGATGAAAAATAGTGGGCAATAGGCAGGATCTTTGTTTTGGGAGAAGAGAAAGTCGACGAATGTGATGTTGTAATGATGATGAAGCAGTGATAGGGAATGCTAAATATTGCGGAAAAGGCCAACTGGGCAAATGTGATGGAAGCTGGGTATGGAATATGGAATTGGAGATGACCACTGAAAAGAAGAAGATGATACCATGAATATGTTTTATATGAAGGGTTTATGGAACATGGGATATGTTATTTCTAGATATGAATTGAAAGGCTGGTGGCATAACCAAACAAAACGAACTTCGTTATGACCTGAAGGTTCAGGACTATGATGCTATGACCGCTTTTTGCGATAGAAATTGCGTGTCAATGTCAAAAGAATTCAAGTAGCTAAGGAAAGTAAAACATATCAAGAGAAAGATGGCAAGGCATATTTTTATAGCCAGTTCTGAATTGTTTTCCATCCAATTGTGAAAATACGAATACGAAAGTTGTTGGTTTCCACTCGAAAGCCTAACCAATCAGCCTAGACGTTATCTCTACCCTGGATGTTGGATGAAAGAGAACTCTACCGCAAAACAAATGAATATACGCAAGAGGAGTTCGATATCATGTACATTCACCATGTCATAATCATCCGGACAGATATGGTGACTTTTATATGTAGTAAGATCAAGATATTTGGATCTGTGCTGTAGATTTACTCCGTAGGGGATATCGTGGTGGAGGGCTTCCGGAGTATTTGCCACGAGGGAAGGGCCTGCCACTAAAATGAGCCACTAACAACACTAATAACATTCCCAGCCTATCAGCAATGCCATTTTGGTGGCTTAGGTGAATCATTAAGGTTTTACTCTACTCCGTATTCCGTACTCCACTCCATAGTCAATGGCATAGAACCGGATTACCGAACTCGACCTTGTTGAAGCAACCGCCCCCATCTAGTCCATTTGCCCTCATCAGTCATAAGTTCAACTCAGAACCATTCAATAAACCCTCTACCTGATATCAAAACAAACAGCGACTTCGAAATCTTACAGCGGAAATTATGATTAAGACTTGCAATCATCATTTCAGGCTTATTGTACGTTTTACCCAACGGCGATTACCTTTTGCCTCGATACTTCCCATGACAGCCATCAGATCAGATCAGTCAAGTCACTAACTTCATCCATCTTCACAGTCTCAATTTCACACCAGCAACTATACTTAGAATAAATTCGACTTGCGCATATTTGCCAGGTCGATCTCCAAATTAATTACATGATCGAGCCGCAAACCTCCCAACCATGGGACCTAACTTCTGCCATCGACCTCTTTAATCGTCTCTCTGTTTCGACTTCAGGCACCGATTTTCCACCTTCCAATTGTACAGTCAATGATGAGCCCTCAAACACAGATGGAAGTGCTCGCGCCTTGGGTGATTTCAGACCAATATGGAATTACTTAGGTGTCGATGCTGAGAAAACTTCTACAGATTTTGATGTTGGTTCATTTGAGTCTGCACCATCTTCTTTCACTTCTGGGGGGCTTTTTTCTGATCTAGACAGTCCGCCAACTTCTGCGACGGATGATTCGGATATTCCTGATGTATACGAGGCCTATGTGACGAAATCAAAAGAGGTACGATGGAAAGATGAGGTTAACGGAACGAAGTTACCGAAGCTGCGGCACCGGAGCAAAAAGGAAAAGTCCTTGGAAAATGTGGTATCTTTCCCGAAAGAGAACTTGGAAGAGCAATTGTCGCAGTTGAAAACAGATAGTGGATCGCCCTTTGCTGCAGATCGGCTTTTTGATATTCAATCACCTAGGCCACTAGAGAAAAGACAGACACGGAGACAGGTGTTGTCTGATATTTCACAGACGGATGAAAGTAGTGGAGTGGAATCAGAGGTAGAAAGGCCTTCAGCATCAAAATCTGCAAGACTTTTCGGCTATTCTTCTGCCGTGGGTGCAAAAAAGAGTTACGAATCTCTTACCATACACCCTCTTTACAATCTGACCTTAGAAGAGAAGAGAGCCAAGATAGCCAAGAAGCTATCGGATCAATTAGGTATCGACAAAAAGACACTTTTGAATGCTACGGCTAATCTTCAACGTTCCAATGAACCTAAAGCCATTCACGTATTCGTTGATTGTAGCAACATTATGATTGGATTTCATCAAGCTTTGAAAATTGCACGAGGAATTCCTGAAGAGGCGAAGATGAAACAACAGCCTTTCTCATATCAATCACTAGCGTTCATCATGGAGAGAAATCGCCCTGCTGCCAAAAGGATTTTGGCTGGATCCAGATCAAGTCATTCAGACCTACCAGTCCATTTCGCTGAGGCCGAGAAGTGTGGTTACGAAACCAACATTTTGGATAGGGTCTTGAAAGTAAGAGAGTCGACACCCAAGAAGGTGCGTCGTGGGCTGGGCAATGGATACCTCACCGGACGGTCGAATGGATCTGAAAGTCCATCCACAAATATGTCCTCGGTATCATTTGTGGAACAGGGTGTCGATGAGCTCTTACACATGAAGATACTTGAAACTCTAAACGATTACCCAAAACCATCCACGATTGTTCTAGCATCTGGGGATGGTGCTGAGGCGGAGTATTCGGCCGGCTTTTTCAAAAATGTGCAAAGAGCACTTGAGAAAGGATGGAATGTTGAACTTGTGGCTTGGAACAGTGGGTTGAGTGGGGAATATCGAGAATCGTCATTTAAGCAACGATGGAGAAAGCAATTTCGAGTTATCAGGTTGGATGACTTCAGTGAAGAATTATTGGCGATTTACAGGAAGCATGAAACATCACCGTAGATATCAGCGATGGGACAGATGGTGTTGCCTTCGAAACCTAAAATCGCCAAAATCAACCGAAGCTGACATATTTCATTTATAACGCTCTCAGCTGTGACATCAATGGAATTATGAGGGGCTGTACACAATTTCGTTGGCGGGATAGTAAGCAATGGAAACTTTACTGTTACTCAATAGGGAAGTCCGAAAGAATTTTTTATGATACGGGCTATTCGAAATCGCGGCACACTTGGTGATTGATATACATTATGAGATCATCTGTCATTATTTGATAATTTTGCACATTTTTACAGGTACTGCAGCCTGATATTAAGGCGTTGTAAAACTGGGGCTTCAGCTGAACCATGTGCTGACTTTCACCCCATTTTAGACTCCGAAAGGTAGTATCTTAGATAAGTCAGCTCTGAGTCTTGAAGCCGGCTCACCACATTGAACGGTATGCGCCGTCATGAATTTATTATATTTTGGTCCTTTCTCTCCTCGAGGGGAAAAATTCCATGTAGTTTTCGTTGACACTCTCCAAACATCATACAATTATCCGTGCTGTGCCCTCTAGCCCTACTGGCCATTGTACTATTGCTACTCAATTTATAACTACTTCTACTTTCCATTGACGGACGTTCACACTTGTTTTCAATTTGCTTGTCCGTGTTCTTAATTATTTCTTTAATATGCCGGGGATATTTCAAAAAGTTGATGATATACTACATCATGGACAACACAAGAGACGAGTAGCTAAACCCTTGCCCATAGAATGGAACACAGGAGTTCTCAAGGCGGAACTCCTCGCTCATTCGATCTTCGCTGAGGAAGATGATAAACTGAAGGAAGACCTTGATAAGACTAAATTTGCTACGGGTACATATGTTGGGACCAAAAGAGCAGTTTCAGAAGTTTATAGTCTGATAAATAAAACGTTTGTATCTCCCAAAACACACATCAGCAGGTAACTAACTAAATGGTGACAGATTTGACTCATTTTTCGATGTTCATCAGTTGGAATCTCATCTTCCCACTGCTCCTATTTCTCTAGCCGAAGCCAGAGAACGCTTTCAATTCCAACCTCCCGGTTCAGACGGCTACCCTCCTCATTTGAGTTTAGAGCCAAAAACCGATATCCTTCACTCCCTCAAAATCTTCCAAGCAGATCGTCTCTTTGCTACCGCACCCATCATTCAAAAAGTCATACCAGAAAAATTCCTAGATTTCGCCTACGATGAACCAAATCAACGATCTTTTGCTCTCATCGAAAGTGTTAATAAAAAGCTCTTTGATGAAAGAAGAGATATTGGAAAAATGGCTAATGTAGGTATGAGAAAGGATTGGTATTCGGATGAAGTGTATGCGCAACAGCAGTTTACGGGGGTTAATCCAGTGACGATTAAGAAGGCTAGTGAGGAGTGGATTCGACAGTTTAAGGCGGCGGCTAGGGCGCAGGGGAAGTGGGAGTCTGTGGGTGTGATTGAGGAGGGTGAGAGGGATGGGGGTTTGTATGTGCAGGATTGTAGTTTTTTTCGAAAGTTTGCGGGGGTGGAAGAGGGGGAGCCGTTGGTGAGTGATGATGGGAAGAGGTTTGCGTGTGCAAGCGTTAGCCTTTTTCAGTAAGTGTTTCGTTTCTTTGTCCCGTGGTTTTTGGACTTTACATTCCGTTTCGTTTCGTTGCGTTGCCTTTCCCTCTCTTTGCAGTCCCACTCTTTACGTCGCGCACGAGTTGCAAGTTCTATCTCGTAAGCGCCATCATTCTTCATAAAAAATCCTGGTTGGACATCGTTTGATAAGCATGATGCATACGAACTACCCACATACGGACGTATAAGCTGGAAAATTCTCAGCCCTGCAATCAGCCCGACCCGCAGTTATGCAAGCATGAGCGGAGCTAACCGTCATCTCTTCTCACTAAACCTCGTATCATATTTACTAAATCCTCACTAACACATTTAGCCTCCTCCCAAACGGCGCTCTCCACCCCCTCGCCATAATCCTCGACTACAAAATCAACATCACCAAATCCCTCACCCTCTTCAACAAACGTACCTCCCCCTCCTCCCCAAAAACTCACGAATCAACCGATTGGTCCTGGCGCTACGCAAAACAATGCGCTCAAGTTTCCGACTGGCATCACCACGAATTAGGTGTTCATCTTACACATACACATTTAATCGAAGAAGGGATAATCATCGCATCTAATCGTACACTCCCTTCCTCCCATCCCGTCTTCAAACTCCTATCCCCGCATTGGTTGAAAACTCTCCCGTTAAATGCAGCTGCGCGAGCTAGTTTAATCCCCCAGGTCATCGTCCACATTAATGGATTATCCGAAAAAGGATCCCTAAGCATGATAAAAAACCAATACGAAACATTCGATTTCATAGGAAACTACATACCCCATAATCTCGAAGCACGAGGCTTTCCCCTCAAAGACCTAGACTCAAAAAAATTCCACAACTATGCCTACGCAAAAATCATGCACCTAATGTGGTATACGCTCCGGCGATTCGTCTCCGGAATGCTGCGTCCCTCCTACCCCACCGATCTCTCCATCTCAAAAGATACACACCTCCAATCCTGGACTTTAGAAATCCAATCTCCCACTGGCGCAAATATTTCCTCTTTCCCCTCTCTCCACACTTTCGACGCACTCGTCGACGCAGTAACAATGTGTATCCACATTGCCTCTACTCAACATACCGCTGTAAATTATCTCCAAAATTACTATCTTGCTTTTATTCCTAATAAACCTCCTGCTTTATTTACATCGTTGCCTAATTCGCTCGAAGAATTAAAATCTCTTAGGGAAAAAGATCTTATTTCTGCACTGCCGGTGGAAGAACCGAGGGTTTGGTTGCTGGGGAGTCATTTGCCGTTTTTACTTAGTAGTGGGGTGGGGGTGGAGCAGAGTTTGTTGGTGTATGCGGGGAGTGTTGGGGGGGTGGGGGGGGAGGGATGGGGGATAGGGATGAGAAGGGAGAGGGAGAAAGAGAGGGCGGCGGGCGAGGTTTTATGAGGAGTTGATTGAGTTAGAGGGGGTTTTGGAGGGGGATTGCGAGGGAGGTTGATGATAGGGGGGGTGCTTTATAGGGTTTTGGAGCCCGAGAGGACGGCCGGTTAGTATTTT